TCTATTCATTTTAAGTACTTTTAAGATTTACTTATTCTGTTTTTATTTTGCTTTCAGCTCCTTAAAGCTCCTCTTAGGAGGTTTTTTTATGTTAATGGAATTCATACTAATAAGAGCATAAGCGACACATTTACCATTTTTATTTTGTGAGACAGTGCCAGCTGAGCAGAAAAAGGCATTTTTTTTAAATTATGTGTAAAATATTCATAATAAATTACACATTTGACTAAAACTGCTAATGATCCACATAAAAGATTGTGTTTATGAAAATCAGACCCTGATGCAAAGCCTTATTTAATTGTTTCAACATAAACTTAAATGGTCCTGATCACCCTGTTAGGATTCTCATCCACATGACCATCTGCTCACTATACATCATGCCTTATTTGACTGGGACAAAAAAAACTGATATTAGGAATCACTGCTTTTGTCTAAAGCAATTAGTTGCAGTTCATGTACTTGTTTGACATAAGTATAATTAATCCGAAAAATAACCCAGTCCCCTGAAATTTAATGACACTGAAACTTTAAACTGTAAAATTGAGCTTACTCATAATGTTGGTGATTTTCCAATACTAACACATGTCATATGACTTACATGGCTTACTGTTTATGCTTTGGGCATGGCATGCATGTGTGGATTAGCAGCTTTTGTAGCACGGACAAGTCAAACAAAAGCACCAACGTCTAAAGATACAAAGAGGATTTTCATGCTGGTTGACATGAACTCTGTCTTTATTGACATACACTGGGTCACCTCACAGTTGAAGTAAAAACACTTAAATTCATGGTTCCCACGATCATTGTTCTTCCTTTAAATGCAGACTTACATGACCCATGTGATAACCACGCTAATTTGAGGTTTCTAAGGAGCGGTTCCACGCCTTTGTTATTAGGTTTCCTCCCTTTATAATTGGTCATTTTTTACAGATACACAGCCATAAAGATGTTGATCCTGCTGTAGCATTTAAATTTGAAACAGTCAGACAAATCAATTTTACAGCGCTCCAAAGCTAACTCAGTATTTACCTAATTCTTTACTCAAGCAGGCGTGCTCAATGACCTTAATCCTGGACTCAAACAAACATCTTCCAAGAGTAATATGTACTTTTAAATGGTCGCCTATCAGTTGTTTAAGTGTAACTTAGTTGTAAACTTGCTGCTTTTACAACAAGAAGTTGTATTTGGAAACACGGCAGCGTTTGTTTTTAGAAGTCTTCTTTATTGGCTTTTCAAAGTGCTGGTTAAGTTGCGTTGTTGTGTAATCCAGGGCAAGAACAGGTTTCAGACTAATTGTAAGTCAGGTGGTTTGGGAGTCAGCTGACCATGACTCAGTTTTACATTCAAAAGTCTGTCAGTTAAAGGTTTACACCCGCCCAAAACAGATAAATCAACCTTTTTATGCAGAAAAAACACATGAATTCGACCTGTTTATTTGTATAAGTAATGTATTAGATCGTAAGACTTCAATAAATCTGAATTCAAGTGAGCGTAAAGGAATTTTCAAGATGTTATCAATCATAGTTTTGTCAATATATTGTTTTGTAATCACTTGATTCTGAGATAACAATCCCCTATTTATTACAGTATTAGCTAATATAATTAAAGGGGAACTAAATACTGCATTGTGCATTTAGGATTGGCTGAATTTATCTTATTGATGATCGTTATTTCATATTAATATAAATGGCATCCATACAGCCACACCTTATCCTGAAGTGTCAGAGCCAAACACTTCACAGTTGTTGTACTCAACCCACCAGGATATGACACACCCACACGCCCAAACACCTTTGATTTCATTACTTCTATAGTTTTTTAATCAAAATAAAATAAATGCAGAATGAAAGAGATGTTACTCACCCACTTTCCCCGTGTAGCAGCTGTCCTGGGAGTCACTGCAGGTCTCAGTGGATCTAAAAAAACATCGACCCCTGAAGCCCACTTTACAGGTGTTACAGACCAAGGACTCACCTGTGGGCACAAAGATCAAGAGAGAGTACTTTACGGTCATAGTTTTCATAATCATAACAATGGAGAACATGTATATACTGTAGGTGTCTTGATTATTTAGTTTATACCACCACACTATCTGACGTCTTAAATGATATTTGACATTTGGCTTAAACTTTAAAACAAAAACAAAAATTTCAAACTCTCAGCAAAAAATCCAGATATATTTTCAACGCAAAAATATTAAATCAAATCGTTTTACATCAAAGAGACCATTTTAAGATAATTTCTAGCAAAATCAAAATGCCTCTTCTTATTTATAAGAGTGCTCTCAGCATTCGGTCCTCTTACCTGTCACAAACATCGCCATCAGCACCGCACAGACCACAGTAAAGTTCTTCATTTTGCCTTTTTGCAGATAAATGTGTAAGAAAAAAAAATCTCGGTGAAAAACAGACGTCCAAATCAATGCTTAGTGATCCAACAGTACAGCTGCTGGGAAATCAGCTTCTACTTTTATACCATTGGTCGGGGCCTTGAATAGGTCGCCGAAAACAAAGAACGGGACCAAATGCTTAGAACCAAATCAAACAGAGGTTTGTTTGACATCCTTAGTCTATGAAAAAATCAAACAAACAGAAAAAAGGTGATTGAAGACACGAGTCATTCCTGTGTGTTTGCATTTGTGTGCGTGTGTTTGAACTTTAGTGATGTATTGCTAGCCACAATGATGATCATTTTCAAAACCTTTAGTCTACACAAGAGAACACGGCTTCAGGCTATGATAGAGGTGGACTATGAGGACAAATCTATAAAGCTATGGGTGGTACTCCCCTCACTTCAAACCTTTGGAGTTAATGTCACAAACAGGACAAAAATCCACCTGCAAGTCAAGGATTTTAAAATTAAATTGAACAAAAACGTGTTAAAGTAGCAAAGGCTATTTTTTTGTGTACTTACCCCCACACAGTTACAGATATTAAAAACAAACTGTTCACACCAGGAGAATTTAAAACCAATCTGAATACCCAAAAAACTGTCCATCATATTCCATCCATCCATTTTCTACCGCTTATTCTCGTACCCAGGGGGGCTGGAACCTATCCCAGCATCTTCGGGCAAAGGCAGGGGACACCCTGGACAAGTTGCCAGTTCATTGGCTGACATATAGAGACAAACACCATCCACACTCACACCTACAGGCAATTTGAAAGTGGCCAATCAAACTAACCCCACTTCTGCATGTTCAGTTAACCCACGCAGACACAGGGAGAACATGCAAACTCCACACAGAATCACCCTGACCTGGATTCGAACCCAGGCCACAGTGCTAACCACTACACCACTGGGCCGCCCACCCGGTTGACCATATTCTGCTGGTTGTCAATATGAAGTTTTGATTGCATGCCAGAAAATGTGTTGCTCCCTACAAATAAAAGAAAACTAAACTTTTTGATGCTTTGAGATAATTTGTTTGATTAAAACCAAATAGAGAAACTGGAAAGGTTTTCATGTAATTGTGTAAAAAGAGCTGCTGAACCTCTATTAGAGACAGAAAGATTGGTATCATCTGCAAAAAGCATTAGGATTGTAGTTTTTTTGTAAATCAGAAACAATAACAACCCTTATATTGACCCTTGAGGTACACCACATCGAACAGTTTCACTTGTAGGCTCATTACTATTAATGAATACATATCGTGCTTTATTATGAATATAATTACTGAACTACTGAACATGAACACTTGCCTGGAAAACATATTTGGATTTTAGTTAACAACATGTCATGGTCAACAGTACTGAATGCCTTGACAGGTCTATAAATATACCAATGTGCATTCTCATAATTGTCCGGTATATAATCTATCAGTATGCCTTTAAAGTGTAGGATGAATCAAATATTTTTGCTGTGTAGTCATAGTGGTGGTTTTACAGAATATTGTTTAAGTCCAAGTCTTCTAATATTCTTGTAAACTTTAACTTTTCTGATAACTTTGAGCCACATTTGTACCAAACTATACTGCGGATGAGGTGTAATATAAGACACACTGACAGAAAAGTACCAAAGGAGTGCTGATTTTGTCAGTTCAAGTACGCATCCTAAATAAATGAAGCTCCACTCCTCATAGCAACAGTCATAAGTGAGACTCCTGACCACAATCCTTTGCTGCATGTCTCTGCCTACTCTCAGCTGCCACATTTCCTGTCAAATCAAAGCTTTTTAACTCAACACTACTTTCCAATAAAACATTTTAATCTGTACCAAAACACCACAGCTCAAAAGAGAGACAGTATAGACTGAAAAGAGAGTAAAAACTGCCATTGAAAACACAACCCGGACACATTATTGTCCCCTGTTTGTATTTGAAATTGTGGTTATGATGTAACCTTTGTCGTTTCAGGGAGGGTCCTTCCTGGTTGTTGTGCTATTCAAGGTAATTATTCATGTCAGGACATCACAGCCCTTTTTAAATACCTTTTCAAATACCATGCTCAACATATTGTTCAGTTTTTTTTCTTTATCAGTGAAAAAAATTACTCATTTATTACTAAAACCATCATTAAATGTCAGTCTCTCCATTGACTGTCTTTGAGAACTTATAGATGGATGAAATGTGTGGAAATAAAAGTAGCAAAGGCAACAGATGTTTTCAAAAAAAACTTTATTTTTTTACATCAATGGGTTGTCCCGTAGGACACAAAGTAGTGAAAAGGATAAATAAATTTGTTCACAAACATAAACGACTACAAAAACAGCTGGAAGATTTATGAACTCAATGTTTCCCTGAAACATGCCATTGATCGACTTCCAGGACCTGCGTACCTTATTGTAGGTTTGATCGAGCTTGTCATTAATCAGTGAATTTTACATTATTAGATCTGAGTGATGAAAAGATAAAGAGTGTCACAGCATAGGAGGATACAAACAAACTCATATGAGTTTCACTTGGATAGTGCTTTTGTCTCGTTAAGACTCTGATTGCTGTTTTAACTTGTAGTAGAGGTGGGTTTCAGGAGCAGCTGGCAGCAGTTAGTCGTTTCTGTGTATTACAGCAGGCCCAACATAGAGGACAAGACTACTGCACCAACTACAGAGGCGAAGGTCATCTTGGTGGATGGAGCCCCGCTGACCTGGGTTGGGTTGCACTTGTCAGTTGAGCAGCAGTCAACTTTGATCTGGTACATTACGCTCAAGATTGGCAGTGTGCCGTTGCTTGTTGCGTTACAGCCGCTTGGCTCCCTGCAGGATTGGGTGTTGAAACCAACGCTGCTTGAGACTGATGGGAAGGCTGTGGAGAAAAAGTTTTGTCAGACTCTGGAAAGAAACTTTATACCTTTGGTATAATCTAATATTCATGACTCTTTCTTGGTGTTTTTGTGTTTTTATTTTGGTAACCTTGCCAATTAAGCCTACTTCATCATCAGAATTCGGACATATTGATGACATGATTTTCTGAATCATGCTTGTATTGTTAGTGTTGTTTGGATAGGGAGGGTGTAAGGAGGTGACTTACTTGCTTTTCCAGTGGCACAGACGCTGGTGTTGGTTGCGCAGGTCTCCTCTGTTACGCTAAGGCAGAAACCCAACAGACCATAGCTGCATTTGTTGCAGACCAGGGACTCGGCTGAAACACAAAAGTAACACAAACGTCAAAATGAATAAATGATGTACATTTTCTATTTCTTTTTCTCTTTTAGGCTGCATCTTGTTTGCATAAGTGTAGAAAATAACTTAAAGTGCGATATATACACCACTTCTATGGTCTGACTGTTTGTTTTTGAGTCCGTCTGGGATGAGACTTTGAAAAGCTCAAGATTTTCATCGTAGCCATTTTAAGTTTATTTTGTTAATAGGTTTTCTAACTTGTATTTTTGAATGAGAAACTTCAGTCTTGCTGCGGACGTATCTCTTAAGTCTTTTCTCAGTCTGTCATCTTGACCGTCTGCCAAGTCTGTGGTTCAGCAAACACTGGTTCGAGGGGGGTGAAATTCCACCACACCCTGACCTTTGGTGCACACAAAAGCCCCGCCCTGGATTAAAACACAATCAGAGCGCAGAGCAAAACACCTATTGTCAAAGGATGTCAATTTGTAGGATTTTTTTTGTTTTTCTTTGCAGCTAATTTTTCTTTCTTTCTTTTTTTTTTTGGCTACAAAATATTTCTGGTATTTAATCTCATGAAGGGGAGTGAATGGGATTTCTTTTATAGAGCTCAAACTTTGGATGTAGGATTTAAACAACATAAGTTGTCCTCCAGATCTGTAGGAGGTGGACTTTGTTTTTTGTTTTATTGTTTCAAATAAAATGAAGGATTTCTAAAAATATATATTTATCACAATTTTTTATAGTTTACAGAGAAAAACATTAAAATTCATTCTTTTTTTATGACAAATTTCTGATAATCTGGACACCTGCTGATATCAGAGTAAACTATGAATGGCTCGATATCTCCAGGGAGAAGTATGAAAAAGTTTTTGTTCTGGTTTGGCTTGACTGACGCTTAAAAATATACTTCAGTTACCCTTTTTTTAACCTGACGCCTAAACCTTCAATGGCTAAAATTATTCCAAACTTAAAGAAAAAGACTGAAGACATCTGAGGTATTTTTTTTTCTTCAAAATTTCCGCTATAGCTGATAAAATATTTCCCGCCTTTTTTAAAGAACAAACTCATTAGTTTAATTCTGGTCATAGAAGTTGTTCACCCCCACAAGAAAGCCCATCCGCATTGTTTCTCAGATCTTGTGATCAATCAATAAATCTCTAACAATAATCTGATAATGTGTCTTACCAAGCATGAAAGATGCAACTGCAACAAAGACTCCGATTAAGATCTTTCCCATTTTGATGTGGCGCTTCGGTTCCTGTTTTTTTGGCTGAAAAAAATTCCTTCAGGTGAAGTGATGGGGTGCTGTGAAAGGTGAGACTGAGGAGCCTGTTTGGTGAGGACAAAGATTTATACCTACAGTCAGGTGATGGGAGGGGAAAAAAAGGGGGTTTTTCAAGTCTTCAGTCTACCTCCTCACCTCAAGGGAAGTGCCACCGAGAGTAGAAAAAATGACAAGGATGATTGACATTGTATGAGGTACGGCTTCACTGAATACCAAGCACTCTAGAAGGTGACCACACCTGACATACCAGTCCTAGGATGAGTCATTAATGGAAGGTGTTCAACTGAATCACGAGGTTACACTTGAAGATTTTGAGAAGCTTTTGTCAAAAGAAAGATGAGTAGATATTTAAAAAAGGATGTTTAGAGGATTTAAAGTCAAATATTCAAAGTTTTATCTTTAACTAAAGCAGATATCGTCAGTTTTGGTCTTCAGCGCACATTTTTAAAGTAGGTTATTTGGCATTAAGCTTGTTTGATTTGATTATTCTTGGAAGGTGTAAAGTCAAACAGTAATCTTAGAAAAAGTGCCTCAAAAAAGTACGACCCTACATATTCAACCACTTTTACAAAAGTAAACAAATAAAACTAATGAACTGGTGTAAGGAAATAAAGGTTTTATGATGGTTTACTCTTGAACCTCGAACATTTCCGGCATTTCTAAAATTTTTGAGTCATTACAGCCTTCAAACCACAAAAGCCAGACCCATTCATGCCAACTAGGCTATGATGTTTTTGTGGCATGTCAGCAAGATTGAAACTTCATTTAGTTAAAGGATCCGACGAAAGGCCTCAGAAGTTGCCACTAAAAACTGAAGTTGGCAACAAAGAGTGGACACAAAGAGAAACCTAACGTCAGACCTTATTTATTAAAACAGTAGCAGAATTAAAAAACATGCCTCAACTTGTGGATTGGCTAATTATTGGTTTCCCTAAACGCTTACAATGTCAATCCAAAGCCAAAACATGAAATCACACCTCTCCCTCATACCAAAACCAGTACTGTGGGCTCTCCCCCTGAAACCTGAGCAACCAGTCGGTCCTGCAGGATGGCGCAAAGGGAAGAAACATTCAGAATGACGAAATCAAATCACACCACACCACATAGGTTACTTTTCCCCCATAAGTTTGGATATTTATTGCATTTTTCAAATTGTCTACATTCCCGATTTCACAATCATCAGAAACACATTTGTGTTGAGAAACAGAGCTAAAGATAGCTTCGTTACAGGATCTTATCTTATATGATTTTTTCTTAAAGAGGATATCTATAGATCAGACATTTTTCAAATTGCCCTATTCTTGACTACACTTCAATATCTGCTAACCACAAAGTCGATTAAATCGTCCTTCCCGCACAATTTAACATACAGTATATACATTCAAAACCAGCAAGATAAAGTGAAGCTTTTACCCGACAGTTTACGATTAATGTGCAGTGGGAATTTGACACAAACCTTAAAAGTACAACAGGCTATAAAAAGTCGATCGATAAAATTGTGTCAAAAAAAAAATGAAAAGAAAAAAAAGTTCCAGACAAAAGCAAAGAGACAACTTACATACTAATAGATGTGCATTTATAAAGTGAACACAAAAAGGCAGTAAATGAAATGAATAGGAGTAGAAATGTTCAAAATAAGCATCTTAATAATGCGTCTGAATCATTAATACAGCAGGAGGAGATTCAGCAATTTAAGGAAAGGGTTACTTGCTTTTTATCAAATGAGTTTGATAATGGTCGTTTCTTTTTGGAGTAACGGAAAGGGCGATTAGCTTAGCATAACGACAAGACAGCAAAGCGATAAACTTATTACCAGCTAACCTTTTGCTTTGTAAGTGTTTGGTGACATTTCTTATATAGATTTAGACAAAGCAGAGAGAGCTGCATTACTGTGTTCAGTAGATATGCTAAGCTAACTGTAGCTTAACTTCATGTATAACGGAAAAATTGACTGAGAGTATTCCTCAAAGCGTCGGACCAACCCTGTGAGCTGTAATCGAATCAATTAACCCACAACGGCAGTGACGCGGTAAAACGGCACACGCCTGATTTAGCTGGTGACCCCCTTCGCCCCACACCTAAACTTTTAAGCAGCTCGTCTGGAAAAAAATACGTTAATTGGAGAACATTAAAAACCGTAAGGAACTTTTAAATCTCCTGTGATGTAAGAGTTACAAGTTTATGCAACACTTTCAATGGTCAGCTAATGTTTTAATAACTCCTTTAAATTAAAGGGAGGAGCTGGGACGGTTCACTGATTCATCTCTATCACTGATTAATATCTATGTAAAGACAAAAATATAGATTTTATAGGTATACATGTGTGTTAAATTAAAAAAGTAGTTGTACAATACACCTCAGGGATAGTAAACAGAAAACTTATGTGTGTTTTGTGCGGACTTCTGCATCGTGCTCGTGTCAAACCATGTTGGCCACAAACACAGCGGTGAGGGTGGCGACGGCCAGGCTCAGCGCGGAGGCCCCGGGCAGACCGGGCGCAGCGTTGCACAGGTCCATGTTGCAGCACGTTTTGGTCATGGTGTAAAGCGTGGTGGAGTTGGAGTCACTGCCGGGGAGGTTCACGTCTTTGGTTTGGTTACACTCGGCCACTTTTAGACAGCCCTTCATGGTGATGTCCACAAACCCGGCTGTGAAACGACAGCAGAAACAATAACAGTCAGTGCTGATTGGTCTTCATGGTTCACTTAAATCAATCAGCTTCTATATAACATGAGGTAACATTTCTCTTTTCAGAAAGCTAACACACTCAATTTGATTTATATCTCAGGCTGATGCTATTATTATGTATTTGCATTTAAGCTTAAAGGCTGTCAAACTGATTGTCAAAGAACAGATCTGCTGCTAACCAGATAAGGCGATCCAGTTTATCAACTTCACTACAGAGACCCATAAAAGTCATCATCAATCATGACATTCATGAGTATTCAATGTTCATTTCCGTGTCACTGAGATATTTATGTCAGAACAGCGAACACATGAGTAACTTTCGAACACAAAAGGAGGCTAATTGATGACTAAAACGTTGCGTGTTTCCGTTTCATTCACAAGACTCAAAAAGTGCAAGACTACATCATTAACTTAAGCTAACTGAGCCGCTCTTTCATTAATCTTGTAACACTAACACTGTCAACACTGACTTTTAGTTTCCTTGGTACAAAAGAGTTTTCTACAAACTTCTTCCATGTGCATCAGTACTGTCAAAAGTTTCCTCCAGCCCTGTGCACGAGTAGCAGTAGGAGTTTCCCCGTGGGGCTTCTTGTGCATTAGATGTTATACAAGTCTCACAGACATCAGATTTAATTTTGCTAAGTCACACAGAACATTGCGTGATAGGGTTGACAGAGGCGACAGTCAGTCAAGTACACTTCTTTGTACCGTTAAATGAAGTTCCTGCATAGCTTTGTTGAACGCTCAGTTATGATTGGCCGATTACAAGATTGGACAGTCTGTTATTTCCAAATAACAGACCATGGCTGTGAATAACACACCAGTGCTATGGAAGGTACTATGACCGAACCTGACCTGCCTAAAGACTGTCTCACATGTACACGGTACATATTAATCTGGTCGACACTTCATAGACAGTCAGTGCGTTTACATGCACAGCGTAATCGGACTAAGCTCATCATTCGTTTTTTTTTCCGCTGAATCGGACTTCTCTCCTTGTCCGCGTATACATGCAGTTGAAAAAATTAAATTATTGCCGTCAACAACAAGAGCAGATCTGTGCCAGACATCAGAAGTGGCTACAACTGCTGCTGGGCATTTTTGAGCAAGAAGATGGAGCATCGTACAGCAATGTTTTTGTCGTTCATGATGTATGCGCAACTTTTTCTGCATATGAGGTGAACGCTACTCCTCTTCTTTGGTGTGTGCACATACACACTGGTTACATGGTAGAGAAAATCAAATTCCAATCACATTATCTGGGTGTCTAAATCAAAGTTCTCCGACTCCAATCAGAGTTCTCAAACTACAATTATAGTTGGACTAAGGTGTTGCACTTCAGTTGTCTGGTCTTAATTGGAGTAAGGCAATAATTCAGTTTTCTTGAGTTTCATGTAAATGTACTGACTGTTTGGGAAGGACAGAACCTTTAAAAACGGAGGGTGATTGGACGATCACTATGTCCGTTACATGCCAATCAGAGCAACAACACATACAGTGTGGTTTAAGACAAGCGCAAAGGACAATACGCTTTATTGTTATTTCTTTAACATTTGTACGTGATGTGAACTCCATCCGTAGAATTGTTTGCTAAATCATCACGGTACGCCTCAGCTACCTCTACGCTACCATTTACAGGCTCGCCACAACTTAACACTACTACTGCTTCTTTCTTCTCAAATGATGCTGATTGGTCCGGTCATTCTCCAACCAGCTTGACGACAGATGTGGGATGTGGCCAATTTATCTGCTTTGCAAGTTACAATCATGAATTCAGATTAAAAATGATCTTAACAATCGGCTGATTGGTAGCTGAGCTTTTCCACATTTTTTTTCAGATACCCTTCTGGTATCTAAAGCAGTGGCCCCCCCTGAGTTAAACCCCCTAGATGGGAAATCAGTGGCTAAAATAGGTCGTACAGTTTCCTGTCCCAGTAGTTGTTTAAACAGACAGAATTCCCATCTGAAGCGCCAAATTTCCTCCCTTGCTTCCGTTAAAACAGTTTTGAATTTCGAGAATGCAACTGGTGTGGTTTTATGAGTGATGGAAAACGTCTTTGAGGAGAATGCGGTCCGGTAGGATATTTACCTCCTGAGGTTTCTTACCTGCTTTCCCGATACCACTGAAGCACTGTTCGTCAGCGGCGCACCCGACTTCAGAGGTTAGGCACATGTTCCAGAAGCCAATTTTGCATTTGTAGCACTGCAGAGCTTGACCTGGTATCAGAAGAGAGACAGAGGGAGAGAGAGAATGAGGGGAAAAGAAGAGGAAGAATTACGAAAACAGTGTAAACAGCCTGTCATTACAAGGTTAAGATGTCAGCAGATAAATGTGTCTGCAATTCGGTAAACATCTTTTCATGTTCGTTTAGAAAGGTCCTGAGAAATGAAACTGTTGCGGTGTTTACCATCCACTTACGTGATGTGAGCTGGCATTTTAAAACAGATAACTGCCACATGGGTGACCTTTGAGGGGAGTTCTGTGGTCAAGGACACTCAGAGACACTTACTGGATTTTTTTTTTTTAAGTTTTGGCAAACATGGATGTCACGAGAGGATGCAGAGCACGTTTTTCAGGTGCTAAAAGTACCAAGGGGTTTTACGCTGTGTTAATAAAACCTATTTTAACAACCCGCCAAGCTTCCAGACGCAGACAAACAACTGCAGACTCAAGATAATAGTACCCCGTGTGAAGGTGCTGAAACCATTACTTTGACAGATGGGAGCTTTAACGTTGGTTTATAATCAGGGTATGTTGACAAAAGCTCGTCTCACTGATAGCAGGTTAAATAAGGATGTTTGTCAGGATTTTCCAAACCAGTTTAAAGAAGGAGGTCATATGAAGCTGGTACACAAGCAGTGATTGTTCTGGGGCACCAGAAGAAATTGATGTTAAACCACTCGAGTGTGTTTCAAATGACTAGTTAGGAGATTGGGACATCACTGCAGACTTTTTCAGGGGGGTCGGGATCAAGTAACGCATTCCTGTCCCCCTGCATGGAGAGCGAAATCTGCAACACGGACATTTTATGTAATTTGCAACTAAAACACATGCAGTAAACACATCAGAAAAGCTCTATTTATTATAATAAATCAGCTATTTTTTGTTCTGGGTCTCATCTCAAGGCTTCAAAACAGCCATCAGCCATTCTCAAATGAAGCAGTGCTACTTTAAAACAGATAGTTTAAGCTAAAGCTAACACGCATGCTTCAGCATTTTTAATCACATACTATATCATGATTGGAGTATTTAACAATGTACTCAGTGCATACTTATGTCATGTCATAACCCACAGATATTTTAACACCTACACAGTGAAGAGATATGAGTAATCACATCTTGCATAAGGAGAGATGCCCATGCTGCCAGATCTCACTAGATCTTGTTACTGTGACAAAGACGGGGCTAAATCTTACATGTGACTTATAAAGAATAGGTCTAACACCGACTTTAGCTACTATGTGAATAAGAAAGAGTCAAGAAAAGGTAAGCAGCGTTTGGACCTGCTGTGAAAAGCAGAGCACTGATGGCACAGATACAGAAAATGAATCTATGTCATCAGCACTTTCAGCCACTTCTGGTTAGAGCCGTTTGATTGTGTTATAATAAATAGCACAATCATCTGGTTTTAAGCTGAAATGGGTTCAACTTTGGCCTAAACATATATAAAATGATAAAACTCAAAAACAGCAGGATAGTGTCTCTGCTGGTAACAGCTTTCTGCCAGTTTTCCTGAAGTTACTGCCACTCAAAACACACAGAAGTGTTGATTTCTATCCATCTATGTCAGAAATAAAACGTAACTTTGAAAATAAACCACCTGCTGCTGTGGCGATGCGGCAAGCCTTAAACAAGACAGGCCATTGTGAGGATTGTGACTCATTGCCGGGAGGGAAGATACCTCACAATTGGAAAAAACTACTATGGAACCAGTGAAAAAACCAGTCGCTCCAGTTTCAAAGTCAGTGCCCCCATTACTTAACTGTTCAAGAGAGGACCCACTGAGGTCATTATACAACAAAAAGTCTCCAAAGTCCCCCTCAGTCGTCATCGGTTTGATTTATTATTTCAGCTGCATTTTGACAAGTGCAGGAAGTTCGTAAAGATCCTCTGATTGTCGGTGTAAACGTGCCTGTAGTAGTAGTGGGTGTTTTCTACATACAAAGTTTGTGTTCTTATTGTTAAGGCTGCTCCCTTTCTGATTGTTAATGTCATAAATGCTACTTGGATAGTCTTGTACAGCTTTGTTATGGGAGTGTTCAACAGTGGCTGCCCAAGCACAAATAAAAAAAATCTAGACTCTAGACACTCGAAAAGCTGCAGTTCCTCAAGAGTAGAGCAGCGTCCATCTATTCGGAGACAGGCGGTAAAAGCCGATAAATCCAGTGTTGTTTTTTTTTACAGCTAACTCAAACGGCTTTGAACAGGCTTAGACTTATACATACATTTTCATAATAAGAGGCTTGGCTGAGTTGACAGAGGCCTGCTGACTGATTAGCATGCCTTAAATTGATGATATTTCAGAAACACGAAGGAGTACTATATCGTCCGAACTCATTCAGTTACTACCGTATGATTCCTAAGGTTGGCTACAGTGATATAAAACCTACACTTTACTTTTAATGGCATTTCCTATCTTCAGTTATTCAAGTATATATATATATATATATATATCATTATATCACTGCTGTATCCTGATATAATCATAAGCTATGTATTTTGATATCATATATTATTGTATTGTATCAAATCAATCATGTCGTATTGTAAAGTAACATAAAGCATCATATCATACCTCTTCATACTGTAAGTTACCCTGCTATTCTTGCCCTCGTATTATATCGTATCGTACTGTATTGTATGATTATTAATGTTATTAATATACTAATGTTTTTTTTTTTACTGGCATCAATAATTGTGGGTTTTTGGTCTAACTAAAGCAAAAAAATGACCTTAACATGAGTAGAATTAATTGAGAAACAGTGAATTTAACTCATCACGAAGTACAGGTTTTTTGTAAGAAGAGGGGAAAAAATGGAGTCAACTCTTTCCCAAAAATATTTGACATAAACAGCTGACAGTCAAAAAGGTTGTCCTTTTCCCCCCTCTGATTTACTGCTGATTCTTCAGATATTTGTTATGTTGACTCATCCACAGACATACGGACACTTAATCACTCCACATTTGTCTGCTGAGCACTTTATCTGTTTTAAGGTGTGTCCAAAGAATGAATGAATTACATAATAGAGTTACATACATTAACATGCAGTGATGTTTTTTGTTTCCATTAGGTTTATATTTACCAGAAGCTGACTATTTTAATTTAAAGAAGCTGTCAGAGACTTGGGAAACACAACCAAAACAAGACATCCAGGAGTGTTAAAGTTAAAGAATCATTGTAAAACAAAGGCAGTGCATCAGAAATGTATATAAACTACAAAATAAAAGCCTCAGATCCTGTGGGTCAGCCTGATTTTAATCACAATACAACAAGGTAATCCTTTTTATTTACCTCAGAGTTAGAAACACACCCACAACTCTAAATGGGAACAACAACACACCCTGTCGCTGGTTTCGGTCACACCTGAGTTCTGGTGAAATCTACATTTTAGATGCTTTTAACTAACCTCATACTCAAAACTAGAAAACATAATCAGACACTGAATGTATAAAACACACTGTTAGATTTCCTGATCAGAGCAAAACAAAAACATCTGATTATCTGATCGCAGGAAAACCAAAACAGTGAAACTGCTTCAGTCAGTATCTACTTCACTTGCTTTTTGAAGCCTGTGTGCTAAAAAAATAAATAAATAAAAGTCTGCAAAATATTTTTCATGTACTCAAAACTGAAATTTAAGCACCATGTAACGTGCTGCACCTATTCACATCTTTTCATCACTCAGCAATGCAGACTGACGTGTTGCGTACATCAACTTTTCCCTGATGGTGACTGGATGGTATCTGAAATCCAGTCTAACCTGCTTGTGCGACCGGTGGTGGTGTCATCTTATTTGTACACACAGACACGCACACACACACACACACTCACACATACACCCTCACACACACACACACAGTCACTTCAATGCAAATCCCTGTTGTTTAAGACTTTGTCAGCAGAATAATTCATTGTCGGGGTGAGAGGAGAGTCTGAGGAGGTGAAGTCACTTGGGGAAACAGAAAGTAAATGAGGCTCAATTACTGCTCACGGTTTGTTAGTTGTGGACGCACATTTAATTGGCCGCCTCCACCTCTTTTAATTGCAACAGTTGAACTACATAAACAGCACTCATACCTTAGAGAAAAGGCAGAAGATAAAAGATGTCGCAGGGTGTATGAAGACACAAACCGCTGCAATGACTCACTCTGACAAAGAGACACAATAGTCAGAGGAGATCGGTATGAGAGATGTAGCAACGCATTTTTCGGGGATTAATTAGTGGTGCAGGAGGCTGAGCAGATATCAGGTGACAGTTGACTGGAAACTTCACAATCCTCCATTCTTCCTGGAGTTCAAGTTGTGGCTGCTTGAAAGAAAAATAATTCCTCACCGTATGAGAGGCAAGCTTTCACATCACTCCGCACCCTTACACTAGAAAAACACGCTGAATACAAAACAGCAGCTACTTTGTAGGAAGGCCTTTTAACAATGTCTTAAAACAACAGAGGAGATATGACGAGTGAAACAAGGGAACTTAAGTTGAAGAAGCAGATACCAAGTAGAAAAGTTTTAAAGCATCTGGAATCAGGTTAAATCGGTTTAGTCTGGTCCAGATTCAAAATAATCTGATTTAAATACAAAAAAAGAGACATAGATGTGTGGACTGAGTTTTACAGAGTTACTGATGACAATATATCAAACCCTTTTAATGGTTCAATTTCAGAAGAGTAAGAAAATGTGATTGATTTGAAATTTTTAAAGGCAGTAGAAGAAAAAGTCTGAGTCTAAAAAAGAGCAAAGATTGAAAGAAGTATACCAACAAATAAAAAGAAAAGCTGCAGGTTTGGCATTGTGGTTCAATCCTGTGTAAAGAGGCTAAAGTCCTCAAACTGTGTGGATGATTCTGCTTCTCAACCCTTAAACATTTTCCTTTCCTTCTCTCTCTTCACAGTTTCCTATTCTATCCATCAGGTAAGTGACAGTATCGTCAATTTTTAAAGTAATACAATATCGTGGGAACAAGAGTTTCAATACTATGTGGTAAGAAATGATAGGTCTTTCTGTCAAAAACTTCAGAGACCATCATCCTTTGCCTCATCAGATCTAGTACAGTGAAAATGATGGACACTGGCGCCAAAAACAATCTGCAGACACTGCCAGAATACAGTGACCTCTACTTTGTGTAACAGGAGTTATATGAGACGCTTCTTTGGAAATCATACACCAGATTCAAAGGATTTAGGAAAACGTGAGAAAAAAAATCCAGCCAGGCCAAAAGACTCTATGGGAAGATTGGAGGGAAGCAGCATAGAGGGGTTAGAAAAAAATTTTATGGTGGGAGTGTAACTTGATCTGCTGGTTCAATAATTTCCATTTGTTTTACTTGAGAAACTTTCAGGTTACTTGACCCATCTTATAGTCTTAGTCATTGTTTAATTTATTTTTAGCACATTAAATATCATATGATGACTGTGGTATTATCATCATGATATTTTGATGTAATTATATACAATTCACTTTCCTATCTCTCCAGAAAGGCAAAATAACCTTGTTCAGAAAACATGAAGTTAAAATCTTATTAAAAGTATAACAAAAGTTGACAGTTGACAGTGTTCGCATTACAGCGAGCTGCTCTGTTGTCTTTTTTATCAGTCAATCAAACCCTGTTATTCTATATCTATATCTCTGATTTCATCTGGATATCTCTCAGCCTACCAAGCATGTATGAATAAGTACCTTGTAAACAAGTCCAGAGAATGTATGATGGGTGTAAACCTGATTAATTTCTTCCTGCTTGGTGTTTACTTCTGTTTTTGCAACAATAGAAGTTTCAGAACTTGTTTAAATGTGTGTTAGAGTGACCCACTTACAACCTGGCATGAATTGTTGCAGATCCTGTATCCTGATATGTCAACTGCACCTTTATTCCCATAGATCTGTTTATTATTGCTGAATGGCGTGCAGAGAGTGTTGTAATGTAATTTTGTTTTCAGAAATTCAACAAAAATGCTCATGGTGTGTTTTCATTTCAATGAAATGCATCAGCTAAGCTATATCCCCGCTTGCTTAAAAACATAATCTTACTTACTTTGGACTTGCTTTTAAAAAGAGTTGGGTTTATTTTTAATGGGTTTGCAATCTCTAATCTGCAAAAGTAAATCTCTTGTAAACATTTTTAGATGTTATTTGTCTTTTTTTTTTGACTGGGGTATGAGGTTTTATTGACTTTGTGCTTTTGCAATCCTGTTTAATAGCAATGAACCTGCTTGAACTGAGGTGTGGCACCTTACTCAATCAGAGCAGAGTCAGCCTTACACTGCCCTCTACTGCTCTGTATCTACAACTACACATCATTAATAAGGCACCAGACCTTCAGGTGCTACAAGGGCCAGTAACTCCAAATGGAGACAAAGCTAGAAAACTAACAAACAAATAAACAAAAGGAAGAATAGACTGTATATGGAAGGTTTAAATGTAAGTGTAAAAGGTAAATCAAGTTATTGTGTAGATTTGTTGGAGTGGGAGTCACTTCCCCAGATTTCCACCTGAGGGCATCCGTCCCCACAGATCCTAAAATAGTTTGTTTCTAGTCAAAACAAGTGCTGTTTGTTTCTAGTGACAACATTACATCATTGACTCAACATGAGCTTATGCGTGTGTGACAAACAGGAGCAGCCAAAAGGGCCTGAAGAAGTGTCCTGAATCAGCCCAAAACATCCCAATTTCACCTCAAACTTTGTACTCTGACTTTGGATAAAAGAGGTGGAGAACAAAAGCTGAATCTAAACCTAATCTAATAGGTGTCACATGCTACCAAACTATCATGTGCATGGAAATTCAAAACCGGACGCCCTTTCGTGAGATGAAAATACTAACAAGTCAATGAAAAATATTATGAGGTTAAATATACAAAGTCCATTTTCAAAGCGTCCTCTGTGTGGGGTTAATTATGTTATCATGACAACCTCACAAAACATGATGCTGCACACACCTGGATGGGTGTGATGTGATGTGTAAATATTGTAAGTTTGTATTTGGGCGCAAGTGGATTACACTGTGGACATCCTTAAAGGATGGGAGTATCCAGAATGTTGGGAGGAGTAGATAGATCAAATGTCCTCTTTTAGGTCCTCTACTGAATTCATCCTTTATGTCTCAGGACTCAAACATTTGGTAAGGCTGTGAGTAATCATCAAGATCATCAAATTACTGCTAACTTTTAAGGATTATTTTTCCTTTGTTTGTTTAACAGCTCCAACAGTAGGTCCTCTACATGAGGCGAACTCTTTCACCAACATGTCCACTGTTCTCACTTATCTTTTCATCCATTTATCCTTCGGCTACTTTAAGCCATCTTTTAGTGGAAATTTTTTGAAGTGCTTGTTTGCCATTTCAAGCTTACAGTACTTTCAAGTGATTTTATTTCTTTGCGCTCACTGTATCAATCACATCTCAATAATATAAAGCGAACTTTTTAAGTTGCAAAAGAACAAACTTAAAGACATTAATCATCAAATTTTCTTATCATCTCAAAATTTCAGACTGTTTCTGGAAACATCTGGATTTAAAAGTTGCCTGAAGACACAGAAAGAGTATTTCAGTCTATTTTTCTTTGAGCTGATGCTTAGGGAAACCTCTCAGTGGCCTGTAACATGTTGACTTCAAAAACTGCCCAGACTGCCATCTGAATCATCTTATTTTCCCCAGAGTACACTCACCCACAGACACACTATTCATCCCTCATGGTCACTCACACAGGAGTATAAAAAAAACTCAACTATGTTATTATTTGCATATTCAAATCACTTTACCTTTACAAACACCTGTTTTATTAAACATTTTCAGGTAAAAGGTCAACGGTATCACCTTTAAGTACAAAAAGAATCAGGAATGGGACTGCAGTTCCCGCTAGGATGGGTGTGGTGTGAAACTGGAGACCAAGACAACAGAGCTAAGGGGATCCTAAGAACAAAATGCTCAACAATAGCCCCAAAACACAAAAGTGGAACAACGAATGTCCCATATAGTGCACCTAGACTGCAGACCAGAAGTGGAATTGGAGACTTCAGCAAAGCCTCAAATACAGGGTGAGGAATTTCTCATGTAATAGCTGGCAGGTCAGGACATGATTCAGTCTTTAAATGACGTTTGTGGAACCAACATGTTCTTTTTTTTTTCCCCAACCAGGCTGCCTCACCCCAACCTGTAATAACGGCATTAGAGTAAAGCCTGAGATGTGCGCAGTTGGTAAACACAGCAATATTCTGCAGCTTCTTTGTGTCGCCTGGGGAAAGGTGGAGTTCACCTGAGTCAAGTTATATTTGACAGTTTCATTGGTCTAAATGAAGACTGTTATTCAAAACTACTAAATTTACTGTAAATATACATCAAACATAAAATTATAGTCCAATGAGTAGCTATTCAACATTCTCATTAGCCTAAAAAAAGTCCAGAAACTCTGAATATATTTGGCTTACTTCTGCAATGACTATCAGCAAACCAGAAGTTAAGTCCTTAACTTGGAAAATAACTTAATTATGTTTACCTCTAAACCCTTACCAGGACTTGAGGACTTTTCTTTTAGCTTATTCTTGAAAATATTTGATTATCGCTAATCCAACCTTTGCGTATTACTTTTGCCATGTGTTCAAACTTAAAATGTTTGAGGCTAATTACACTTAGCTAAATATCTTTACTAGGTTACCTTTAAGCTAACCATGTAAACTGAATACAGCTAATGCAAATCCAACCGTTTGTTTTCTTTAAATTACAGATTTAAGTGTTTATTGCCACTGGAGGATAATACTTAAACAGTTTAACTGTCTCAAATTCAACAGTTTGTTTTCTTTAAATCACAGATTTAAGTGTTTATTGCCACTAGAGGATAATAGTTAAACCGTGTAACTGTTAGCTAACTGTCTCAAATGCTTAGCTAACATTTTTAACTGCTCAACATGTATCCTGTGCAAATGTGTGCATTGTGAGTCCCATTTAGCTAACTATTTCAACCTTTTATTATCACTATTCTGTGTTTGAGACGCTATTTCAGCAAATACTGTTATTTCCCCATTATTATAATAAGTCAACCGTTATCATACGTTAACCGTTGAGTTTGAGTTAACCGTAGAACTAGCTAGTTAGCTAGTTTTTTTTTTTTTTTTTAAATTTGGCTATACTTGAAAAGTTTCTTCATTAGGCTATAGTTTACTGCTTTTGGCTAACTATTCAGACATAACCCACTCCCTAATACGATAAAATGACTCTTAGTGGCTCTTAAAAACAACTATGAGATAAAGGAAATGTTTTTGCATGAAATTGATGATATCAAAAACGGCACTGTCCTTTGTCTCTTCATAAAAATGGCACCAAAAGTACATCCCAGCAAACCAGGAAAAGATATAAAACACGATAAACCAATGCAAATCACAATATGCAATCGTTTAATCTGCAAACAATCGCTATCACGATTGAGCATTTGCATTAAGGGAACCTTTTATCAAATTTTGGGACACCTGCTCTGTCTGTAATAGAGACATTAGGAGGGAACACACCCAGTTTGACAAAATCCCCTGATCTGCAGCACCCTCAAACACTGAGCACACCCAGTACACTAAACTTAAAAACATGACACACTCAGGCACTGTCCCAAATCCTGTCCAAAGAAAGTCAAATAGTAAGTTTTACTCAAACAAAACGTGTTTAACAGGATCTTATCCGGGTTGCTAAGCAAAGCAAAAATATGGAAAACTTTTTCTTACTCCTTTCGCACAAAAAAATTAAAAATAATGGGTAAAACGCGATGTAAAGCAAAATAAACCAGAACTTATTATCTACATTTGCATAAAAAATATTTGAACAATTTTTACAGGATATAAAACTTTCAAGATTAACAAACTTAAGTTGAACACAGACATTTCTCGAGCAGAAAAACGTGATTTATCTCGTAAGAAATGTCCTTTAAGAAAATCTCATGCAGGTAAATTTCACGTGTGATTCACCGTCAGTGAAAAAGTGCGCATTTTCTTACCGACTGCAAAGCAGAATCCGACTGCAAAAAGCTGCAAGATAATTCTGTTCATCTTGAAGGACGTAGATTAAAACTCTGGAGAAGTTGTTGTCGTCTGTCTGTCTGTGTGTCTGTCTGCAGACCGTTATAATAATGATCACACAACAAACTTTTTTCCACCAACGCTGCATTTATAATCCTCCTCCTCCTCCCTTTGCAGGCGTCACCGTTGTCCAATGAAAGGAGGTCTTCTGGGACGTCCACCCATTTTTTTCTCTTCTTTTCCAAGATCTCCTACCTGAAGGATTCACAGACAGGTGAATGCAGTTTTATCCAATACCAGCAGGTGTAGTTTGGGAAAACTTGAAGCTGTTTGGGTATTAGATTATGCATGGAAGAGATTTTGCATGGATGCTTCTTGTTTCTAGGACAATAATGAGTGTTTTGATGGTGATCAAAGGGACTTTTGATGCTCTGAGCCACTGTAAAGCTCATGTGAGGATTTTTTTTTCACTCAGTTTTGAAAACAGTCTGATTATGAAACTCCCTTTATGCAACCAACACCAACACCAAGATAGATTTATATTTAGATGCATATATATTTTACTGCCAGGAATCAGTGCTTCAGGGTAGGAGTCAGACAAAGTGAGTTAACACTGACAGACAGATGACAAAATTCATATTGAGTAATCTGTTGAACTTGTAATGATGCAAAAAGAGATTATGTGTCAGAAGACACTAACAGCACTGAACAGCGCTTTTTTTGATGATATATTAACTTTCCTGAGAAACTTACTGACATACTGACCCCACAGCTACCACCATTGATCTACAAATATGGTTTCCCAACAATCCTCACATCGCCTACTTTTTCAGAAAGCTGGAAAACTCCCTCATGCCTGAGAAAACAGTAGATTCTTTAATGGGAAACCAAATTTGGCATTGCTCTCCTCATAACATCACACATCAATGGATACTCAAGCACTCAAAAAAGTTGCAGAATTGACATTGATGGACTCCTTACGGTAAAAATAAACATATATAGGATCTTTTTGTTGCTGCACAGACGACAGGACAGTGAGTTAATCACAGTTTTCCCCCCTAAAGTCTGAGTCCACCGATTATATACATTATCCCAGCCTCCCACAGGATGTTCAACACATACTGTAGGCTACTAAAACACACAATAATATGTAGGGGATTTTTTTTTTTGCCTCTACCATATCCTGTTAAACTTACATGTACAAGAAGTCCTAGCAGGGCCTGTTTCAGCCCATTTTCTGTACAATAGGGTTGATATTACAAGGTAATACTTTAAAACAGAGAACTTATATAACTCTGGTTCAGACGACAGAAATGATCAAGCGGACTCTAAATTAGTCAACAAAGAGCAGTACATAGAGGGAGGTGCTTTTGAAGCACATTCGACCTGCCAGTTTACACTGTGAATGCCAGTTAAAGCAGACTGGCACCACCTCACTAATGTGTGTTGATAAGCCCCACAGAACAAACTGCGAATGAGCTAATGTTACACATAAATTACAGTGAGAGAGTAACACTCAACTTCATGTGATAAACAAAGAGTGTGCAAGTTATTTCAGGAGCAATCATAAGAAAAAACTTGATTCCTCTCTGACTCAGACATCAGATAAGACCATTATATTTACATTTACATGACAAAACAGGACTTGAACATAGAAGAAATACCCTTTAAATTATTTGCAGTTCATTTTTTTCATCCTTCAAATTCAACATGAGTCAAGCTTTAATTTAGCTGTGTCTCTTCTCTTGAGCTGCTATTTTTAGTCGGTGGAAAAGATTTCTGAGCATCTAATAACAGATTAAAAATAGAGTAGTCCACTGCAAGTCTGGGATTTCCCACACTGTGCATGACATTTATTTACCTACATGCACACACGTCCATGACCACTGTAAACTTTTGCTTTGGATGCAGAAAAATAGACAAAATTAGCAGCTGTGTGCTTTTATATATAAATTCTGTCAAACTTAACCTGTTTTGTGCCCATAGTTGAGTTTGTTATTAAAGCACTTGTCTCAAGGAATGGCAAAAGTGAAATTCATAAAAACAAACTTGAATAAAATTAATTTTTTTTAAATGAAAAATGTCCTTATTGTGCTGACTAATGTTGATTTTCTAGATCAAAATGCTACCAAACCACACCATGCAGTACGAGACGCCGTCTTTACATCTGGGTAGTAGAGCATTACAGCAGGGGTAGTAGCTACAACAACCTTGAGAATCCAAACATTTATCTCCGATTCAACCACTGCACATCTTTTACACAATATGTTTAAATGACCTCAAGTGTGAAACAATTGTGACTGTCCATTGTTAGGTGACTCAGTCTCCCGAGTAACAGAGTTTCTCGGTTGTAATGAAAACTCAAACCGGGTAAGGGAAGTGTCCGCAGGCTTTTCCTCCTATTATGATCCTGACAAGTGAGAGCCGGTGATAAAAGAGCTTTCCTTGACTTCATTCCAAGGAGCAACTGTATCTTGGTTACATTTTTGTGACATAAACAAGTCTGGTCTCGCCTCGTGTTTGTCCCCGAGCAATTTTGAATGTGTGTGCGCGTGTTTGTCTGAGTGTTTGCAAACAACCTAATAAAGAGATGGCTAAAGAATTTAGTAAACGACTGACAAGAAGGGTCATGCTCTGAGTGATTACCGAGACTTTCACAGTTGGTTTGTCCTCAGTGGTCGCAAACTGAGAGTATTTCTTATTTTGGGTGGTGGGAATGTTTGCAGGCTCTGTTTGAGATGTTTAATGATTATCCCTGCATGAGACTCGAAAAAAAGGGGGCTTGGTTTGGCTTCTTGCTGGAGGGGGGGAAAGGTTATGAAATGGCATCTTCAGAGTCATGGTTTTGAAATACTTTGCAGAGAGGGAGGCTGTTTGGGCTCGGTGAAATGCCTCTATTGTCTTGCCCACAGATCCTCTGAGTTTCTCAACACTTGTTGCTCGGAGAAAGAGGGCGTGACGGAGACGTCAAGCCCAACTAATCCTTGTTCTTCAAGTCAATGCAATATTGAAAAATCCACTGTATAATCCAAATAGGGGGAAAAGAGATGAGCAGAAAGCTGTCTATTAACAGCAAAAAGGCCCGTAAAAATAACTTTTAAAAGGCACATGAGCATCTTCGGGGTAAGTCTAAGAGGTGGGGGTAAAAACCACCAAAATGTGCTTCTGAAACTAATTCTGATGCCTCTATATGACATCCAAAAATAAACCAGATCATCAGGAATAAATCTGATCATTTCACTGTTGTCGTTTTATCTCAGGAGAAACAACCTGAAAGTGTCCATCAGCACTGGGAGAATCGGGGAAATATAATGTATGGATCCTTGTTGGCATGAGGCATTAGTAAGGAATGAGTCCAAACTCTCAAAGCTGAGGCCTAAGGATGGGCAGAGGGGTCATAGAGACTACTAAATCAGTTGGAGGCTTTTTGTACCATTGCACTAATGGGATTTAGTCTGCAGGAAACACTGGAAAAACTTGCACGCATACAGGATCAAATCAATGCAGGAATTTACCAAAATTTCAGGAAGAACAGAGACCTGCCAACTGGAAGAGGATTATTTTTCCTACAAGGCGATGACTCAGAGCCAGAGCTACACAGAAGCAGTTAAAAACATCATGTTAATGTGCTGCACTGGGAGAGTCACGGTCTATTATAAAGATGTGAAGTTGTGGCGATTTGAGAGCTCGGGTGGAGAAAATTGGGGGAAAATAGCACTAACTTGTTGCTCCTTTAATTTCCTAACCTTGGATATACAGCCACAAATTAACATTTCACGAAGGGCGGGGACTCTTTACGGTTAAATCTGCTCAATCGTTACCTAAAACTCGATCTGTGAAGTAAACAATCTCTTGGATTTTAAATGTACGACTGGAATCTCATGTGTAGTAAAAGAAAAAAACTCCAAACGGCACATCTTTGGAGTACGTTTTGGGTGTGGTTTCAGTTTCAGTGGCGGGCATATTTCCTTTAAAGTCGCAGTTAGGAATCCCGTAAGAAATCCCAGAGAGGAAAATGGTGCAATGTGTCCTCTGGGTGTGGCAAAGCTGAGCCTGAACATTTCACATGACTGCAGCATGAGCTCTGACATGACCATGATTTACTCTGCAAACAGACTCTGGTGTGTCTTATTACAACATTTGACGCATCTTTCCTCCCTGTCTGAACACCTCCGTTTTTTTTCCAAAGTGATCATTAAAGGAAGACAGTAGGAGACAAAATGTACAGAAAGGATTCTTCTTCTTAAAGTGAGGAGCTGGGGAGGATGCAGGAGCAGGGCAGTTCCTGGGCTGTGGTTTGAGGTTATCCTGAGTCATGAAGAAACCTCCTCCTCCTCCTGCTCCCTTTGGAAAAACTGACAGAGTTATGGCCACATGAAGAAAAGTCAGCCCTGCCAGTCATCTTGCTATAGACAGTTGCCGTGCAGAGAAGAAAAACAGCGTCTCTGAGTCATACATGAAGAAAGCATCCTACCGTGTTTGTGACTCAAGGTGTTTTCTAAATATAAACGCTCAAACTCAACAAAGACATTGAAGCTGTGTCCTGCTGATCTGGACTTTTCATGTTTCAAAGGGCCTAAAAAAAGTTAATTTAGGAGTAACTGCATTAGTCTGATGGAGGTCTCATGATCATGTCATTTTGTTAGCACTGTATCAGTTTGTTTTGTGTGTTTGTGCATGTTTCACCAACTCTCCTATTACTCAGAGTCATGTGAAACGTCCCTGCCACCACACCCAGAAGACCAAACACCCATCTCTGCTTCTGGTGCCGTGAGAAATCATCACACATGTCTGGAAAAGCGCAAACAAGAATTTGTTATATTCATAGTGTAATGGGTTTGTAGTGTTTTTGCTTGATATGATGTTTTTAAAATGTGAGGTTTAACTTCTAGAAAGAGCCGCAGAGGTAGAGAAAAAACGCTCAAATCAAGCTCTCTACTGACACAGTGTGATAGGAGGGCGACACTGCAGCCTCACAGGGGAATAAAAAAAGAGGACAAAAAGAGTATGAAAAGAAAATAGAAGTTTATTGAGAATTCTGAATCCTGCTCACCCTTCCACAGTAGCAGAAAGACGACAACAACACAGACGTTAGTTAAAATCTGGACACATAAATACCTTTTCTTTTTGTGTCATGAAATCCAAAAAGAAAAAAAAAAAAAAACAACAACCTGTTCCAGTCACACTGAAGAAGAAATCTGAAGAGGTGAAGGGAGGAGAAGTGGGGCGACTGTGCATCTGCCCCGAAAGGAAAAAGGCGGCTGGTGGTCTGACTGTCTCTAAACGTGAACATAAATAATGAGACTGTGCTGTGGAGACAACAGGAGGGATCAGTGCAGTGGTGGAGTGAGCGTAAGGATTCAGATTGTCTAAATTCCTCTTTCTCTAAGTCTCCTCCTCGATCTTTACGGGATGGATTGGACATTTTTGGAAATATGCGCTTGAAGAGGAAAAAGAGACGAGTGAAACAACCATGATTGAGAAAGCTACCACGAGCAGTCAGCTGGGGATTCAGCTAGCCTACCATGCTGTCGAAGATATCTTGATTTTTTATAAGCTGCTCAGTCTCTGTGGCAAGTCATCGCTTTATTTACAGTTTTGTACAGATAGAAAATAAGTTCAAAAATGAACGTGTGCAAGAAAGTAAAGAAATAAGACAGTAAAAGCAGCGATATGGATGGTTAAAACCTCGACTATGTACTGGAACAACAGTTTTTGGCCTTATTCGTTATTCGCACAAACTAAAAAAATCATGGGAGCTGACGCCGCTTTCAAACGGAATAAGACTTGGCTGTTAGAGAAGCTCACCAAACGCTCCTGGTAGCTTTAAAATTCATCCCGTGGTAACAATCTCCTCTATCTATACTCCTACATATTTCCAAAAATGTCAGACTATCCCTTTAAAAGACGATAAAGCTACAGGGCAGGGGAAGTGACGTTACAAACGCAGATGCAGCAGGGGAGCTGATCAGAAAAAAAAGTAGCAACAGGTTATATTTTCACTTGGGTACCATTACAAACAGTTATTTGACACACGCACAGACAGCTGGAAAAAGGACTCAGGCTGATTACAATTGTCTGAAATTTGTGAAGTTTCATCTCATTCTACTCAAAACAGAAACTATGAAGAAATAAATGCTTGTGTCCCCCCCCCAGAAAAACAGAGACAATCCGTGTGTTTCCTCTAAATGTTAAGGCAAATTCAACTAAACGCTCGTACAAAAGATCAGACGAAAAACGAGGAACCAAATTGGACAACCAACACAAAAAAAAAAAACATCCGTCCAAACTGTCTCTGCGAGTGCCAGCCTGAGTGTACATGCAATGAAGTAGGGAGGGAAGGTTGGGGGGAGAACAGGCTTCCAAAGATGGAGGGTTTAACCACCACTCTTCACCAAACTGTGCCAAAGACAGAACAAACACGGAGTCGGAGGTGAAAACAAGCTCAGAAAATGTCACTCTCTTCAGCTCCGCAACATAAAAATGTTCCTACGGGGGAAAAAATCTCCCTGTAGTGTCACTAATCTCTCATCAGTGAGCTTGAGTGAAGCGGTGCTGCTGCTGCCTCCCCCCCTTCTGTTTTGCTCAGCTTCTTCCTGTTTTTGGCACTGATGAGTTTGGTAAGGTATGTGCATGGAATCCCAAGTGTGTCGCAGAATTTGTGTCTTTATGTGTGTGTGCGTGTGTGTGTGTGTTTCAGATAATGGCTGTGCGTCTTTTTTTTCCTTTACTTCTCTCTCACACTCAAAAATCCTTACACTTTTTCATTTGTCCTAATCTAAACCAAAAATAATACAGTCTTCAGGCTGGGGAGGGGGCATCTGGAAAGCTTTGTAAAGTGCAGGTGACCCCTCCCCTTCTGATCATAATTCTTTCCTCTCTTTTGCTCTTTCTAAGAATCTTCCTCCTCTTCCTCCTCCTCCTTTAGCGGATGGCCTTGACGGGGCTCTTGAAGCTTGAGGCGGCTTGCAGCTGCAGCTGATAGGCCATGGGGTGGATCTTGAAGCCGTAGAGCCTGAAGGAAAGACGAGAACATTACACCCTCTGTTTGAGCGACAGATGCAACAAATATTACCGTCGAATAAAAACACGCAAACTCCAGCCATGTAAGGGAGTTGACGTTGTGATGACAGGTGTATTTGCTTTTAGGGAGAGCGTGCTGATGCATGATTTTAGGCACTGGCTGCCTCCCATCACGCCACCCTCCACCCAGGATCGGTAAACTGACGGCAGTAAACAGACGTCACGATGAACTTCATCCTAAGTGTTCTCGAAGGATCATGACGGCGAGAGGTGTTGATTTAGATAATTATGAACATACTGCATGTAACTACACCATGACATGAAACAAGCTGGTGTGAAGCAACCTCATAAGACAGAGACCAGACGCCATTATCTCTGATGACTGATTATACAGGAGGGAAGGTCACATGTCTGTATGAAGTCAGTATGTCCTTAAGATTTTATTGCACATGCTTTATATTAGAGCCCGACTGATTCATCGGCGAGTTGATTAAATCAGCCAATTTTAGCCTGTTAGAGACTAATTGGTAATCGGCCAAAACTCGCAGATTTTCGCCGATGTTTTCAGAAATAAATGCGGAGAATACGATTCGGTTTCACTTCAAAAATGTTCCTCCATTTGCAAAGTTTCCTGACTTCTCATGTAGATGGCACAGTGACCTCATGACGATCTTCAATCTTCTGTCAAACTTTCGACCAATTACATGGTCTCATATTCTTCTTCTATTGTCCCCTTGATGGTAGTGTCCAATAAGAGAAAACCAAAGATCAACAAGGGACAAGAAAGTTCCCTGCTTGTCTGTAAAATGAGAAATAATGGTCCTCAATGTTTGGAAACAAGCAAAGAAGAAAATATGAGCAGTATGATGTGGCTCTCTGTCTCATCCCAGACAGGAACTGCTTCAAGGAGTGGCATAAACAACTGTAAATAGCAAAAAACTCCTGGAAGAATTAGTATAAATATGTAAATAGTTTCTTTTGTGTGTTTGTTCCAATCCCAATATCTTTTCTCACCCGCACATCATTCTGTTAAGTCTTGGCTATCAGGAGAAAAGGCTTGGTCACTGTAGATTTGTGTGTTTTTTGAGCAAAGTACTGTCGGTATAAATTTCCGTTTTTGTTTTTTAGTTGACTTCGTTGGTTCTGAATTTACTGTCACATTCATTTTACATAATTTTTTGCATAAACTGACAGCTGAGGTTGTCCTGAAAAAAAGGATGGTGTATATATTTGCTGTGCTTGAAAGGATAGAGTTGCTACATAGATTTTTACAAAAAAAAAAAAAAAAAAAAAATGGCGGACCAAAAATAGCAAAATATATCAGGGAGTTCTAAGGGTTAAGCTCCATCACTTGATCAATTTCCAGCAAACTGTCGTGCAACACCTCGGCGTTTTCTTAAATTCAAGCAAATTACAGACTTGGTCTATTCCATGTGAGAGCGCCACACCAAACGCTGATTCACCAGAGGTCCCTATAAAACTCTAATCCTGTGCAAACACTGCTTTAGAGTTGTTCTTATAAACTTTGATTGCTTAAAGATTAAAGACGTCAACATTAAAAGGTCTAAATGTGACATTAAAAAAAGTTTTTCCTCATGGCGAAAGATTCTAGGATTTATCAGTATCAATGGTTTACAAACACATGGAGTGGCTTTATTGATTCTAGTTTGGAGTTAATCTATCAATCTGTCTACGGCTGTTACGAGAGTAAATCCTGAATTGTCTACAAACCGTAAAAGTAATGTGTACGAGGGGCGACAGAAACAGAGTGAGGTGTACTCTCTGCACCTGTTTCGAACCAGATTGTGTTGAAGTTATATTAAGACCTGCTAAGCTGATGTGCGAGGTCAGCTGGAGTTTGGGTGGACTCTAATTGTGCACACAGGGATAGGAGCAGGATGCATGTTTAAGTCTTAACAATTTCACAAAACCAAGTCGCTTGAGCTGCTGTAGAAGTTGAGTTTAGAGCTTAACTTTAAGTGCTTCTAAATCACAATAACATGTTGATCTGGAGCTTTGCAGTGGATCACCAGTGTTTTATTACACTGCTGGTGTGGTGTAGAGTTTACAACATTACACTCCCTTTGCAAATAATCTGAAAAAGTTTCCTGCACACAGCTGGACTAAAACAACCACAGATGTGAAGCTGGTGCAGAGAAATTATTGCCACAGTGAAACCTAAATACGGTCCACAGAAGCAAACTTTCAAGTTGAACCTGTCGGACTAACCTTGGGACAAACTGGTTGGCGGGCCTCTTGGGCCTGTATTCAGGGTGAACCATGAAGAGCATGTGGGGGAAGCCAGTGCCGAAGTAGGCTCCATCTGTGTGGTGGTGCCTGGAGGATTTGGGTGTGTAGACGTCCATACATTTGGGACAGTACAGCTTCACCATGGCCTCTCCTGGGATGTCTGACAGACCTATGAATAAGAAAAATGATCTCAGGTGTGAATCAAAGTAAATCTAGATGCAGGACTGACAAAGGCTTCATTCTGAATGTGCTGTGAGTCATCAGGACACCAACGGAATAAAAGACGAGAACAAGCGTTTGTTGTTTCTCCTTAAGTGGATACTCCGGCATAAAATTTATTTAGTGTCAAACACACCAAAACACCGAGTTCGACAACCCCTCGAGAGATGAATGTTGCTGCCCGCTTGCTTCTCTAGTTATACCGACTTTAGTAACGACCACACGATAGCAATACACAGAGCCACGCACTCAACCAAAACGCCACTCTATAGCCACAAATAATGCTCAGAACAGCACCTAACTTCATCAACAGTACATATAGGGTCCCAGGAATCAAACATCTTTTTAACTTTGCCTAATTTCTTTAGCAAAGAGACTAAACACAACTCACCCTCTCTCTTCCAACAGCCGCTTGTTTGTTGCGAGGCCTCAGGCCAGTCCATTACAGACTACAGTGGGGTGACGCAGCTCAAGGAAGAACATTAATGATCATTTTTTCATAGAAATGCAATCAGACCGAGACGCTAAGGCAGAAGAACTACCACGTCTGCAGTGCAAAATGATTAATATGATGATTATTACTTCAAGGAAATGATAAAGAAATGATCATAAATGTTCTTCCTTGAGCTGCGTCACCCCGCTGTGGTAATGGACTCGTCTGAGATCTTCGTACAAACAAGTAGCTACTGGAAGAGAGTCGGTGAGTTGTGTTTAGTCTCTTTGCAAAAGAAATCAGGGAAAGCTTAAAAGATGTTTGGTGGCTGGTGCTGTGGCTGAGACCCTATCTGTACTGTTGATGAAGTTAAGTGCTGTTCTGAGCATTATTTGTGGCTATAGAGTGGTGTTTTGTTTGAGCGCGTGGCTCTCTGTATTGTTATCATGTGGTCGTTACTAAAGTTGGTATAACTAGAGAAGCAAATGGTCTGCAACATTCATCTATGACAGGACAGGACTCAGTGTTTCATGGTGTGTTTGACCCCAACTTAATTTTACGCAGGAATATCCCTTTAAACTTGTTCCATCTTTAAGTTGATAATAGTTTGCATTTATGATTAATAATCCTGAAATCATAATTTTTCTCACCAATTGGAAGCATGGGCTGATTCTCACAATAGACCCGGGGGCAGTAGCCGAAATCCCCCTGTTGATATTTCTCCAACTGCAGAGTAAAGATGAACATATAAGAGTCAATGAACAGAATCATGGCTGAAAAAAAAGTGATATTAAACAAATGAAACTTTTGAAGTAGAGATTGTAGAAGCTGAAACTTCAGAATAAAACAAGCAAAAAATGCCAACCATGGAACCCAGCATAGACATAAATCCATCCCTTTCAAAGGTGTCGTTAATCTGCTGGGATGACTGGATTATGTGGTGCTATAATCCAGCATTGTAAAGGTTTATTAATTTTTTATATTCACTCCAGTCAAATCCAGCTTTATCATCCCCTGTGTGATTATTGACATGGTGTAAGTAATTTTCTGGCCCATAAAGGCAGCAGTAATGGAAAAAACAGCTCCTCTAATGCAGACAGGCGTGGTGGGTTTCTGCTGATGCAGCCGCCGCCTACCATCTGTGCGATGCCTCTGTTAGTGAGGATGTAGCGTGCGTGGATGAGGCCGTACAGCATCTCGGCTGCCTGCTCGATCAAGTCACTCTGGTTGGGATTGTCCTCAAGCTCCTCATCTGGAAACAGAGTCGAGACAGTTTACAGAGACGCAAAGCTGCGCTGAGAGGAGCTTGAAAAAACAAATAACCCGACAGGAAACACCAAATATAAAACAGAGAGGTGCTCTTTGCTGCTTCAGACAGGAATTCAACAAAGGCGACCAAAGAGCTGAAGAGTCTGGCAGGCTAAAGAGACTTAAAAAAGGAGGCTGAGATTAAATGTTCCTTCTCACCTGTATTTATAAGATGGCATGTGAAACACGACTCCATATGACAGATTAAAAAAGCAGCAGTGCCAGGAGAGCTAACGCTGCTGGACTGATGAAACCTTTACGACTCCTCTACCCCTTCATCTCATTTGCTCTTGTCAGTAAATAACTCTAAATGCAACCCTCAGTGTTTAACGCAGAGTAAACTTCTCCTTTTTCTGCACGTCTGAGTTCAAATTCACTATTTCCACTATTTTGTTTTAGATTTGCATCAAGAAGAACAATGATTATTGCATACTAACCTGGTTCAAGGTCCAGAATCATGTCTAAGGCCTGGCGGTAATGAGGAACCTGCTCATTCAGACCCGTCAGGTTGAATTTGTCCTGGATGTAGTCTTCGTCCACCTGAAGACGGAAAAATATGATGTTACAGAAAGAAACTGCTAAGTAAGAATTTGGAGAAGTAGAGCATCAAAAGGAGGTGATAACACAAAAACTTCACTAATAAACAAAACAGATTTAGTCGCACGTAATTCATCACATCTGAGGATGATTGAAATCCTGTTTGATCTGCGTCACCAGCCCCGTGATTATAATTAACAATCAAACAAAAAAAAACTCTTCGTTTTCTTCAGCATGTGATTCTCTGAACACGACACTGGAAGTCTGTGGTCCCGTTGGTGGACTGTATACGTGCCAATAACACTAACACACTACACTCAGTCTAAACATGGTGCTAGATTACCTGTTACTATGACACACATGCTCTTATTCTGCATTTGTGACACAGTCATTTGTGTGGGGCTGCATTCAAGTGATAAACAGACTACTGCACATGCATCATGTTGAATTTTTTTATGATTTCTAACATACCAATATATCTGAACCTTCAGAGCCGATAGAGAAATCCATACTACTGTTTCTCTCCATGGTCAAGAACACCGAGTTTCTTCCATAGCAGAATTTAACTGTTACTCTTATTGTGACATTCAGCTTTGTCACCAAAAAGCATAATTACTGGACATCTGTATCTGTGTCTTTTGACGGGGACACACCATACAACTTGCCGCTCTAAACCCAGCTAAATCCTGGAGAACGCCCTTTTCTCCTATCGAAAAAGCATATTGACCATGTTTTATATTGATATTGAGGGAAATTAATTTGCGATATACATTGTTATCATTTTATCGCCTGGGACTTCCTTGGGCCACTGTTGAAGTTTAGTTTAGAGCTCAACTTGAAGTGCTTTTAAATCACAATAACATGTTGATCTGGAGTTTTGCAGCAGATCACCAGTGTTTTATTACATTGCTGATGTGGTGTAGAGTTTACACTCCAGCTCCTCAGCTGAACATGTAGGCACCACCAGTGAAAAGCCTTTTTAACCTCTTATCTGACAAAATCAATGTTGCGCTGATAACGCCGTACATCCCTACTTGTGTCAATACATCATTCAACCCTGTCTGGGTTCACATTTTGTAACAGTGGCCAGTCAGTGTAACCTTTTGGGGGCAAGAAAATCAGCACCAAACCAGAGCAGAAAGACAAAAAAGAGGAATATTTCCTGCATCAGATTTTTCTTTAACAAATTTGCGATACAGAGACAGCTTTTCATTTGCCTGCCAATGATACTTGGAGTGTGAAGATAGCTGCCATTCAAGAATGATTTCCTGTTCAAAAATATTCATCATTTGTTCGCAACAGTCATTTCAGCTCTCTTAAGAAAATCAGCTGTTTTTAATGATCAGTATGCTTATCTTTTTATACTTAAGGCAGGGAGAGAGAAAAGGCTGCAGCAAAGAAATGAAAACCTGCAGATCGCTCAGTGTTGTTATTTCTACACATGCTCTGACTGATTAAATTACAGTAACACAACAATAAAGGGGTGGACAAGATAAGTTTGATCAACTTCATCCTACACCCTTTTGAACAAAGAAAGATTATGTTGATACAGAGCTGTCTCTTTAATTATTTTTCTGCCAAAGCACATTGTATATTATCTTGTTTTTTCTTTTAACCTGTTCTTTAAATCAAATAAAGGCATTGATAAGGGAATCGTTAAAAATTTGAATCGATAAGCAGAATCAATAATGGCACCGATATCAATAAAATCTTATCAAGTCCCATCCCTAATGGATATACACCTATGAGATTTAGTAGGACATCTATCATTGCTACATCTATGTTGTAACACATTTCTATATATAGCACGAGTCCTGTCTCTGACACCAACCCCTGATGAAAGTGTGAGACATTATGAGCCTTTATGTGTTTGTGTAGATACATGATTATTTTAAGAAACAGACAGCTGATCAGTTAGAAATGTTTACAGCTCACCTCACAGAAAAACTCATTTCCCCTCAGTCCACAGAACCAGGAGATCCATGAGACTTCCTCTGAACTGCTCATCTCTGAAAACCTGCAAAAAAGAGACAAAAACACTCAGTTATCATCCGAAAATAAGGAGCTCATTTAAACCTAATTTCGCGATGACATTAAACCCTAATCTAGAAGAAAATTTCCCAGCACTTTTACTAAATAATGCGTAATAAAAACCCTTTACTCTGAGGATATTGAACTTTATAAAAATATCTTAGGTTACAGCCAAAAGCTGGTTTAAACACTGCTAAGAATAAAGCTAACAAGCGTTATTTCTCTTATCTTTTTCTATATGAAACCGCTGGGTGAACACAGCCTGCTTCAAAACTATTAATCAAAAACGTCAGATATAAATTAGAAATACCAGCTTATGTTTTAATGTGGTTATTAAAATAAAAAAAGACTATTAAGAGCAGAGCAGACCCGCCGAGCTAATAAGACCTGCTAACGGCTCAGAGCTCCACTGAAATACAATATGGCGCACCGCTGAAAAACAGGCCTCCCTACAAATATGAGCTGCTTTTTCAACTTTCTCTTCCTCTAACTTAATATGTGCCCGAGTATTTACGCGATTGATTCGGCCGACTTACCCAGCTTTTTACTTTTATTAACAAGAGAATTCCGACAGGCCAGATTTTGTCACAATCTCGCCGGTGTAAATAAGATGGACACCACCTCCCAGTTCACCCTCTAGGTTACGTTCTTCCTCTTCCTCCCGTTGCTCACAGGCGGCAGCGTACGGCGTGGTGACGTGGTGCTGCCCTCTATCGCGTACTTTGAGTATTACATACATTTTAGTAACACCATCACTATCGCTGGGTGATTTTTACCCGAAATAATTAACCCAAGAAAAAGTATATACTTGTCATCAAAATATATCAAAAAAGCGCAATACATGAGAAATTACAGCAGTTTTATTTTATTTTTAATTGTGCAAAGTCCAAAGGGAGGAAAAAAGGGCCATGAGGGGACGATGACCACAGGCACCACTGTTGCCTTCATCTTCCAGGCTTTCTCTATCTCCTCTTTGAGCCCTTGGTACTTCTCTAGTTTCTCATGTTCCTTCTTTCTGATGTTGGTATCGCTTGGGATGGCGACATCTACCACAACTGCTTTCCTCTGCTGTTTGTCAACGATTACAATGTCCGGTTGGTTGGCCATTGCCATTTTGTCGGTCTGTATCTGGAAGTCCCACAGGATCTCGGTCATTCTCCATCACCTTGGGAGCTCCTTCCCATTTTGACCTCTGGGTTTCCAGTCCATATTCCGCACAGATGTTCCTGTACATGATACCAGCTACTTGATTATGGCGTTCCATGTATGCTTTTCCTGCCAGCATCTTACATCCTGCTGTTGGGTGTTGAACTGTTTCAGGGCCCTCTTTGCACAGCCTGCACCTGGGATCTTGCAGGGTATGGTAGATCAAACAAAATAGACTCAAGAATTAAGGTGAGCTTCACATGGAGTGGACTGAAACAGAGCATCGAGAGTTACTACACACATATATGCTCAGATGATGGGCTACAAGTGTTGTGCTCCTGCCGTCAAGCCGCTCCTAAACCACAGACAACATCATAAGAGTCTGGATGATATATCTATTACTTAATTTCATTAAACCATACTAAATGCTTAAGTTTGATTGTCATCATGTAAATATTAAATACACATTTATTTTTGCTGCAGACAGCCATTATTTACTAGCTTGTGGAAACTTGATTTTCCCTTGGCTGACTGATTGATACAAATTGTAGTTTTTTGACGAGTGATGGCTCAGGGAATTATCTAATGCAGGTTCTAGTATCATGCCAGAAGTAAATTTTCAGATAAAGCTGAATAATTTCTGTCATTGACCCCAGCTGTTCGGGTGAAACTGAACCCTTTCTCTTAGCAACAGTCTGCCATTAAGAGATAACAGACTTTTGCCATTAACTGTTGCTATGCCAACCAATCAGAATCAAGACACATTATCAAAGTTTATAGGATTTTTACATTATAAGATGTTTTGCGTTACTCTTTAACATACGTCTCTTATTGTTTGCTAAATTCCAACTAAATTTAAAGCCACCAAGTGATGACGGCTTCAACAATTTGAGTTTTTATAAGTCTAATTTTCATACTAATTCTGAAACATACTAAAAATGACACATGAAACTCCTTCAGTTTATAATTGGGGCACAAATCTATCAAGAAATACACATTTCTTCATTAACTTTGGCAGTTTTGACTCATTCAAGTCTTTGCAGATTCCATTCACTTCAGAAGAACGAGACACCCTGAGAACATTTCCATTAAATCAAAAGTAGTTTATTTAACTTTGCCTTCTCTGTATAACTTTATTATAATAAGACACTTCTCTGCTTGTACATTGCTCCCTTGAACTAAAAATGGCAACATTTGTTTGTGGGAATGTAAGTTGGGGTAGACAAAACTTAGATACATACCAATATACATACATGTGTGTATATTACGGTTCCATTAATAAAAACCATAAATGCTAAAAACAGTTTGAACCACTCCATGTACCTTGGTAATGCTGGAAACATAGTACAATCTTTTGAGTATTTTTCTGGAATACACTACTTTTGTTTTCGTTTTTAACATGGGTACATAAAATAATGCGCACATCAACATTAAGAGTTAAGGAGGGATGAAGGACTCTTTGAGCCAGTGTGTTACGTGTACAGCTATCGATGTATAAACCAGTAACAGGCAAGGCAAGCTGCACCCATGGGTGTGTGTTCATGCTTAGAAGTCATGTGAAAAATAAAATATGTTCAACTTCACTTGCCTGCTGAAGAATGTTTTCTTAAATTACACACACATATTAAGAAACTGGTGAATTCATCCACTGCGTGTTCTTCATCTGGATGAGGAGCGTATACACACAGCTGCATGTATATATGTGGATGTATTTAAGAAACAGTAGAATTGTCTTAATGATACTGGTTAAATCAAGTGTGGGCAAACAAGGCAGAAAAAAGTGCTTGCCATTCATGTTCATGTTACCCCCTCTGGTCCCCACCCCTTCCCCGAGTTATTACACAGACACCAGAAAACACACACACGCACACACACAAGCACGCACACCCATACACAAATCATCGAATGCCCTACGCACAACATCCCAGAGAAGATCTTCAAACTGTTGTCAGTAAACAAACAAACCCCAACTTACAGCAGTGACAGAACTGATGCAAATCAATTTAGTTCACACAGGATGTCAGCTTCGGTCTTTTTTTTGTTGTTTTTCTTTTCAAGCTGTGTGTCTTTTTTTTTTTTATGTACGATACAAACTATGCTTTACAAGTGTAATCCTACATCAATCCAACATTTCCTCAACACTCCAGGTCAACGTTATTTGTTGCGAGCAGAATCTCGGAGACTGCGTCTTCAGCCAAAAAAGGTGACTTACTTTGTCACGACTTCCAGCTTTGTTCCTGGATTGAATTTGTGTGGGCTACTTGGTCGCCACCATGTACTGAAAAACCGCCATCCATTCCCAAGAACACACACCTTAAAAATACTTCCTCAGACACGAAGCTCTTTGTAGCAGTCCTTTTAGGTGTGAGGTCTCCACAAGAGCACACAGAGAGAGAAAAGGGGTGTGTAATAGTACAATACTCAGCCTAGCTCTGTACTCTGGGCCCAGACAGAGTACCTGAACTGTTGTATCAAATGTAACTTGCCCGAAAACAAACACAAAGAAAAACAAACATGGATTTCTTTACTACAAGGAGTGCTTATAAGAACATATTCAATCACCTATTGAAGCAAATATTTTATCTCTATTCCATTATGACCTATGTTTTCATTTTACTCTCCTTCCCCATGAAAGACTGATAGGTGTTTCAGCTCAGGGTAGACAAAAAAGTGTAGCTGGAAATAAAGCCATAAGCCATCAGTATAGTCTTCATGGGGTAAACAAAACACACGAGAGAAAGAGTGGAGCTAGAGTCCTTGGGGGTTGACTGGATTTCTGCAGCACAGAGAAGTTCTGCAGGTGGGGGAAGCTACTATGAGGAGGCTGGGGATGCCTTTCTCTCTTAAAAACAAAAAAAGTACGAACTCAATTGTTCTTTAAATGTTGGAGAATGTTAAAAAAAAGAAAAACAAGTCACACAGTCTACCTGAACAAGCAGCAGAAACATTGATATTAAAGACAAGTCAGAAAAAGTGTGGGTAAGTGAGCACTGAGCAGTAGTATTTTTATCACAGTAATCAGAGATGTACTTTGGAGGAGACCAAAAAGTCAGCAGAATTAGGGAATTTAGTAAAAAGGTGTTTTAATGACCTGCTTTTAAAAGAAAAACAAACACCCCAACATTTCCCAGAAACTAAACTGACATGAGGCCAAGAAGGACAAAAACAGAAACATCTTATGTTACATTGTTCTCATTAAAAGATGAAGCCGCCGCACTCTTTCCCTTTGTGAGGGAAGATGCAGATCTGCACTACTGAATACCACCCAAGGCCAAAGTGTGGTAGAAATATACACAGGTACATAAATATAAAAATTAGCCCGATCCGAACATTTCCGCCAATTTTATCCCACATTTTCAATTTGCGCCCACAGACCTGCATGTGTTTCGTGTGTTTTGAGAGATGTCATATTTGTGCTTGTAAATGTGAGTGTGTGTGGAGCTCTGTGTCAATGTCTTCTTTCAAAAACCACGTGCACCTCCACTTGCAGAAACACATGCTTGTCAAACCAACTGGGGTGAGATTTCAAGGGGAGAGGGGGGGTTTAAAGGGAAAAAGGGGGGGGGGGGGGTCTTAACAGAGAGCAAGACAGAACAAACAGAGAGAAATTTACATTAACGGACGGTAGAGTAGATGGTGCAAAGGGAGAGATGTGACATGAAGGGAGGTTAAGGGGCTAATGGAGGTTAGGGGGGCTAAATTGAATGTGAATACCATCTCCATATACTGTACATTACACTAATATGTTTAAGGATGCCAACAGATAAGCCATGAAATCATTATTGAAAAGGGGTTAAGATGGAAGAGGGTGGTCTCGATGTAGGCAGGGGGAATCTGAAATGTTTCAAAATATTCCATCACTTCCTATTTTTTGGGGAGGGCCAGTTGCCGCGCTTCTCCCCTCGATTGCCACCACCTCCATTACCAGGCCCACCAGAGCCACCACCCCCTGGACCTCTCGGACCTCTTCCTCCACCTCCGCCTCCAGGTCCTCCGGTGTTGACCCTCCGGTTCTGTCGCTCCATGCCAGGACGCTGGCTGGAGAAGCTCCGCTTATTAGCTGAGGGCTCTTTCCCTGTCATCTCGCGCTCCATGACGCCTCCGCCTCCTCCGCCGCCCCCTCCTCCCCTGCCCATGTGGTGGGGATGGTGAGAAGAGTATGACTTCCCTCCTCCACCTTCCCTGTCTCTGAACTCTGTGAAGTCGCTGCTCTCTGAGGCCGTCTCCCACTCTTCGTTGGCCTGGTCTGAGTTCTGGTTGGTGAAGTCCGGGGACTTTGCTCCGTGGCTGTGGTGGTGCTGTGGGTGGGGCGCTCCAGTGCTACCCTGGTTGTAGTGGTGATGGTGGTGGCTGTTTGCATTACTGAGATGACCACCACTATTGTTATTGTTGTTTGTTACTGCAGTATTGTGATTGGCGTTTTGGGCGTTGCCTGTCATGGGGGCAGAGATGGGGGCTCCGTTACTGTCCTGAACTGAATTCAGGGAGGGAGAGGAGGGCCTTCCTCCCCCAATGACCCCCACTCCTCCGTTGATCCGTGCGGCGTTCTCCCGCTCCTTCAGTCGCCGGAAGCGTGGTGGCTTGTCCTGCTGATGCTGGGAACGCCCATGACGGCGGCGCCTAGGTGGTCGCTCGAACCCACCCGGCGGAAACCCACGGTTAGTGGGCAGAGGAAGAGCGTTAGGCCCTCCAGAGTTTGATGTAGGGTTGGTCGAAGCTTGCTGGGTCCCAACTACTCCATTCTCAGAGGAGCTTACAGTGGCAGGAGTTGCAGTAGGTAATGTTGTCTGGGGGGGATTTGACCCCTGACTCTGAGTTTGACTTGGATCCGCTGTCTTGTCTTTCTTCTCTCCTCCATTTCCTCCCCTCCCCAAGTCTTTGGGCCCAGACGTCTGTGGTGGGCCATGCTGCTTTCGGGTGGAGGCTGATGCCTTTGAAGGCCCACCATGAGAGGCTGCATTAGATCCAATCCTGTGCCCTCCAGGTGGTCCTCCAACATTACCACTGCTTCTATAGATGTTTCCTCCTCCACTTCCTCCACCCCTGCCCCTCCTAGAGGGCACCCCTCTGGGGGTGAAAACCCGGGTCTGGGAACCTCTGTGTGGTACAGATGGCATGGTGCTGCTGCCAGTGGTGTTGGAGCCATTCTTGGTGTTGGATTTCTGGTTGTCATCTTTGTCTGAATGACCAAGGTCACTGGCACCACTCTCACTTCCAGTCTCTGAACCCCTCTCTCTCCTCCTCTTGGGGATTTCCTCATACTCTGAGCCCTCACTGCGGGTCTCACTTCGGTTCCTGGCCCTGGCAGGGTTATGCTGAGAGCGCTCCTGGCCATGTCTGCCACTGCCTCCCTCACCTTTGGGCTCATGGTGGTGGCCACCTGCCACAGATGAGCGGTAATCTCTGCCACTCCTGCCTCCCATTCTTCCGCGGCCTCCACCAACGGGCCCAGCAGCAGCTGTATAGGTGCCTCTGTATCCACGGCCCCGGCCATAAAACTCCCCCCCTCGTCCACGACTAGCCCTGCCACCTTTGGCAGCAACTCCATGATGGCCTCCTCTCTCAGAGGAACGCTCCCTGTCCCTTCTGGAGGAAGAAGCTGTTATTCCAGAGGATGAGGTGTCTCCATCCTTTTGCCCTCGACCCCCAGCCCCTCCTCCTGCTGACCGTTCTTTACCTCCATTTCTGGGTTTGGCTGTCTGGGCTGGCTCGTCTTTAGATGGAGCTGATGTGTTCTGGGTAGCAGAGGAGGCTTCCTGCTTGTTTGAGGTGGTCTGGCCCCCATCCTGTTCTTTATCTTTCCCAAAACCTGCATTTGTTTTTTCTCCACCATCCACTTCCCCTCCATCCTTCTTCATCTCTTTTAACACTGGCTTCTTGATCGGCCCGGCCCTCTTGTTGGCATTGCTGCCTCCTGCGTGGTTGGAGGGTTTGTGGTCCGACTGAGGGTTGGAGGAGTCGTCACCTCCACGGGAGCTGTTCCCGCCTCCTGCATTGTTGGCCTTCCTCCCATGAGAGGATCCTCCACCCATGTGACTGCTGCCAGGCCGTGGGCCCCACTGAGTCTCTGTCTTGTGCTCCCGTCCTCCTCTTTGGTTTGATTTATGATGGTGATGCTGCTGCTGCTGAGGATGAGTATGACTTCCATGTTGAGAGGAAGCTTGGTTAGCAGCAGCAGATGCATGGGGAGTGTACGATGGGCCTGATTTCTCCTGTTTCACGTGGCCGCCACTGCCAGAACCGCCACTGCTACCTCTTTCACCAACAGTGTGCCCAACACCTGCTTCACCGTCTCTCTGGGATGGGTGATGATGCATGGCAGCTTTGACATTGCCGTCCTCTCTGGCAGAAGAGGAGGAGGAGGAAGAGCAGGAGGATGAGAGAGAAGGTTGGTGGATTGGAGGAGAAGAGTCTGTCTTCTTAGCGTTGGCCTCAACAACCCTGTCCCGGCTGTTCTCTTGCTTGTGGGGATGAAGATGGAAGTGAGACTGCTGAGGGTGGTGGCCATGGTGATGGTGGTGATGAGAGTTGCTCTCCACAGAGGGGAGATCTGAACGACCATTGCGATCGTAGTGAGGGTGTGGAGGCCCCCATATCTGGCCTTGCTGAGATCCTCTGGGGGGTCCTTCATCTTGGTGGGTGAAACTGTGTGGCTGGTTTCCCCGCTCACCGGCCCTCTGCTGTTGGTGTGGAAGCATCCTCCCACTCTGGTCAGGGAAGTTGCTGTAGTTGCCCTGCCCGCTTATGTAGTGATGGGCTTGGTGGCTACCTCCCTGGACCCCAACTTGAGCGCCAACTGGAGGTGGAGTCTGATTGGATGTCCCAGAGCCAGAGCTAGGCTGCTGGATTGGTCCCAATCCACCCTCTCGCATTCGGTGTGGAGGAGTGTCGCTCCTAAGATAGAGTGAAAATATAAATAAAAGAGGGATTTTTCTATTAAAGTCGATGCTGATTTTAGCTTCAGAAAAGAAACAGAAACAAGGGAAAATCACACTTTGTTTTTCTGATTCTGGTCATTTCTGTTTAAAAAATTGTGTTTTATTTGACAAGTTTTGCATACCTGGGTCCTTTGGCACCTTCATCTTCCTCCATAGCTTGCTTCTGCCTGAGGGGGGATGTCAGTCCTCTGCCCTCTACTCCACCAGGGAATACCTCGGGCCCCCAGGCAAGCTTGGGATCCATCGGGGGAGTTCCACGGTGAGGGTGCCCTGGATGCTGCTGCTGCTGCCGGTCAAAGGGGTCTGAACCAGATCCTCCTGAATCAGAGCGCTCACGACCCATAAGCCCTGGATTTTCCAAAAGAAAAAATGTTCATATATGTCAGTGTTGTACAGACTGGTGGCTCAAATTCTGACTTTTTTCATCCATCAGATGTCACAGAGAATGTCTCATCCACTGACCTGTAGGGTGCATGCCAGCTGAATAGTACTCCATAGGTGGAGGGCGGCCCTGCATCATGCGAGGGTCCATGTAGGGCATCATCATCCAGCGAGGGTCAAAGTTCATTGGCAGTGGTGGAGGTCGAACCATATTACTGGGTTGATACAGCGGTCCACCCTGCTTTGGTCCAGGCCCCGGCTGTGGTGTTGCACCTTGTGAAGGACCCTGTGGAGCCTGGGGCTGAGGGGACAGCTGGCTTTGTGATGCCTGGCTGTGTTGCTGTTGTTGTTGCTGCTGCTGCCACTGCTGCTGCTGCTTCAGGAGCTGCTCCTAAAGAATGACAAAATGCCAAAACAAAAAACTTAAAACTCAAGAACAGGGATAACAGGTGGTTCTTATTTTCCACAACAGCAACAGTAACCCGAGGAGCTACTTTCTGTAAAGAGCTTACCTCATTTTAAGAATGACTGGCATTCAAGCAATATAAACCTACTTAAAACAATGGTTTGGTTTACGTTCTTACCTGCTGCTGCCTCTGAAATCGAGGTGGAAGAGACTTCTGGTACTTTGAGTAGCCCTGGCCGGGAGGACCACCGGCTTGACGACCTGGTCCTCCTCCAGTATTTTCAATTTTCACAGGGTCGACTCCTCTTTCAGTTCCACTTGCCGCACGGATGTGAGGACCTGCCAAGGGCTCTTCTTTACTTTCTCCTGGCAAAGGTACATCCGGTGACGGCTGCTGTGGCTGTGATATCGCTGGCTGGGGACATGGCTGAGCATCTGAACCAAGAGAGAAAGGTTAAGAAATTTAATAGACGCCACATTCAAAAGGTCATACCTCAGTTTACTTATGATATCATTAATCATAAACGATTAGGGATACTGAATTATAACAAAACGTTTCAAATCATTATGATTGTATATGGAAATAAATTACCTGCACTGGAATCATAGCTGCTGTTGCTGCTGGCCCGCTGTCGCTCACCCACTCCAGGACTAGGCCCTGTTTGGACAGCCAGCAATGGGGGCTCCTCCGAGTCAACACAGGGAGATGGAGGCTGGCTAATGTTGGGAGAGGAGGCTGATATAGAAGGACTGGGGCTGCCCGCTGTAGCGGCAGTAGAGTTTCCATCAAGGCTGGGGGTTTTACTTCCACTACCTCCTACGCTGCTGCCCTGTTGCTGCTGCTGCTTCTCATCCAGTCTCTTCAGCTTCTCCGCGCAAGCTGCTCGTCTCTCTTCCTCCATCCTGCGTTCTTCCTCCTCTCTGCGCCGACGGGCTCGCTCCACAGCAGCCGAGATCTCGGTGGAGGACTGCTTCCTGCGCTGGCGCCAAGTCTCATCCTCATCTTCTCCAGGGGCTCCAGGGACCAGCAGGCCAGGCTGGGGAGGAGGAGTAGGCCCTCCTGCTGGTGGCTGATGCTGGTTGGGAGCCTGCTTCCCTGGGCGTGGGGCGCCCTGGTTGTTGGGCCGTTCCTGAGTTGTTAAAAAGTATACCATGCTCTTTTATGCAGTTTTCAGCTGATCAGATGACAGCACGACAAGAAGTTGAAGAAAATGTTTCACAGATGATCACATGAACAGCAACTGAACTCAAAAGACGCAAAATTAAAACTAAAAATGAATTCTTCGTTCGACCTGCGGGCGGCAATGGGATAATGGTAGAAATGAGTAGTCTATGAGGCCCTGTTCAGATGTCTACCTGTCGGTAAAAGGAGTAAGGCCCTTGTCCAAGGAGCGGCCCTGGTGGGGGGGAGGGCTGCTCCCGGGGACCACCCAATCCAGGCCTGCGCCCCTATATACAGGCAGAGACAGTTAGCCATACGCTAACACAATTATCTACACTGACAAAAACAGAAACACACTAACATCTCTGCCCATAAATAAGTTTCCTTACAGTATACTTCCAGCTATTTTGGTATTTACGACATACCTAGTTTTTACCTGTCTGGGCTGAACTCTACTGCTGCAGTGCATTTTGTCGCTACCTGGAAATTGGTTGGTGCTCCTTGACCCCCCCAGCCACTGCCTCCCTCCTCGGCCCATCCTGGCTTGCTGGAGGGGGGTTGGGGTCCATTGTCAGCATTAGCGGGAGGGGTTCGGCGTGTGTCTCCACCACTGTCCGAGGCTCTGGTGCGAGAGGTTGCAGGGGGGGCATCCTGGGACCTCTGTTGCTCACTAAGGACAAGACAGATGTGTGCGTTTTAATACTGATTATATTGTTTCAGTCAGTCGAGTCATATTTTAGGCCTGAAAAAGGAAAAAGATTATGTTTTTCAATTTGAATCTATGATGTCACATACTGTGTCTCATTGTTGCTCTCGGTTTTCTCTTCTTCCCCTTCCTCCTCTCCTTCATCATCACTGAACTTCAACTTGGCGGAGTAATCAATCTCCTCATGAGCCCCTTTAAAGAAAAAAAAAAGACAAATTGTGATATACCTCACACACGCTTTACTTTGACAACCCCTCAGCTCCTCCTCATCTGAACTCATGCTTTGACTGCAAAACAATTGCGCAAGTCAGCAAAAAAGTTGAGTTGCAGAAATCTGCAAGCATCTTTCCTACCTGCCCAGCCCTCGTCCCCGTCATGGTCCAGCTCATCAAGCTCCTTCAGGTCATCCTGTTTCAGGATAGAAGGACGCTTCACCACCTCTCCACCTGCATCACGTGGGCCGCCCGGAGGCCTATTGTCTTGACCACCCTGCCCACGAGAGAACCTAAGAGAGGAGAGGAGATTGTTTGTAAGATTTGATAAGGTAAGGTAACTGTGAACAGTCAAAGGTGAGTTTGATGCCTACTGAAAAAATAGATGAATACACAGCAACAATGTAATCTATTACTGGGTTAACATCTGATTCAAGGTGAAAGGCATACCTTGGAGCAGGCCCTTCACCAGGTGCCGGGTACCTGTACGGCCCCTGAGGGCCATAGGGGGCCGGGAAGGGCAGGTAGGGAGGATACATCTATTAATAAACAAATGGACAACATGAGATTAAAAGGTACTATATGATATATGATTACTGAACTAATCTGTTATCACTACTTGACATTAAACTAAGAGAGAAAAAGAGGGGGAAAACTTACAAAGGGCGGCATGATCCCTCTGTACTGGGGGAACCCGGGCCCCACAGGGGGCTGGGGCAGGGGCAAGGCAGGGCTGCCTGCGGGAGGGTTTCTAGGTGGCCCATGGGGCTGTGAGTTCGGAGGGGGGACCCCAGCTGCCCCATCCATCACCAGAGCCCCACCAGTGCCACCCTCCACTGCCCCCTCCCCAGACAGGGTGGGCGCCAGGGCTCGGCCCCCACCGTCCCGCCAACTTGTGACGTCTGAGAACAGAAAAACACAAGAAAGATGTTAGTACTATAGAGCAGACAATTGACAACTTTGTATGGTGCTTACTGAAAAACACAAGCAATAGTTCATCCTGGAAATGAAAGGAATGCACTGCAAAGTCAAATTTTTAACAGTTTTTCTTTGCTTTTGTGTGTTTTTGGTTTTGTATCATTTGTGTATTACAGTGCATTTCTGTCATTTTGTTTGGACTCAGGAATGGGTTTTTGAAATTGCCTCTTTTGAGTATTCGTTGCTGGTTTCTATAAAAGAGGATTGTACTGAATGGTTTTTGGTTTTTAATCAGTAAGTCAGCCATGATTTTAGAGATTTTGAACATCCTTTGAGTAAGACACGTGTGGGTAGCTTAACAATTTATGCTGATGAATGAATGAAAAAAATTAACATTAGTAAATACACAATTATCAAACTGTTGTTGTACAGATGTAACAATAATAGGATACAAGTTTAAATTAATAAAACAAGACCTGCAGAGTTCACCTGCACAGTTGTAGTATTTATTCATCGTAGCTTTTGAGATAGGTTTTCCAAAAAAAACAAATTTAACCAAAAGACTGTTTGATCATGATTACTCACTCTGGGGGCGGAGGCTTGGTCCTGGCCCATACCACTGATCTGCAGTGCCCTGTTCTCTGCCAGCTTTGTCCTGGTCGCCAGCCGCCTGCAGGGTGGGAAATTCCTCTCGAGAGAATGGCGACGGTAGGTTTGATCCCTTTCCACCTGCGGAGAGGGAGGACAAGAGGAGCATTATTTGTGAAGAAGAATGCCACAGAAGGCTAACTGCATAGAAATGAGCTCAAAAAACAGGAATTTACCATCCCCTTGTGTTCCATGTGTAACACTGGCCTGTGCCCAGGACCTTGCCCCTACGGCCTGGGTTGAAGCTGGGGCCAGAGCCTTGGGGGAGGAGCGGGGAAACAAAGCATATGATACATGTCAACTGTGGGCAGCATTACTATCCATGCACAATAGCACAGACCTTTATGCAGTTTGTTTTCATGTAACTGTGACTGTGCATACCTCTGAAGCTGGCGGGGTTTTCGGGCGCGTCGGTGCAGGTGTCGTTGAAGCCACAGGCTGCTGCGATTCCGGCTGCGGTGCTGACAATGCATCGGTACTGAAAGGGGGGGAAAAAAAGTAACATACATGAGTGACACAAGAACGATTACTTCAGCTTTTCCTACCTACAGAAGTAACTTTGAAAGATAAAACATGCGAGATTGAATTTGAAAGAGTTGTTGCTAAAGTAGGCTTACTGACCTCTTTGGGTCTGCTTGTTCCTGTTTGCTTGCCCATCCTGTGCCGTCTTTGGGAACGAGCGAGACGTTGGGGTCGTTGCCTTTGTTCTCTGCCTTCAGACTGGGCAGGTTGGCAGGGGGTGGCATACGCCGTGCGGAGGCAACTTTACCAAGAGACTGCAGGCCATGGCGGGGGGGAACTGATATGGAGGAAAAAAAAGGGAGTCATTAGCAAAAACGGACCGCTGAAACCTGACGCCAATTAAATCAACTGTGTGCAAAGAGGAGTCGATGACAGGACGGCTACTGCTTGCTTTGCCAGACATGCAATTAGGATGCTGAACATCCAACAAGGTTAGAGTCTCAGTAGTTACAGTCTGATGATCCAGATGAATATGGATTAGAAAAAGACACTATTAAAATCCTCCACAGACCCACTTCAATTACAGTTCATGGAGACACACAAGGATATTGATGCCCGCAGAAGCATGGAAAAGCCTCGCAGTTTTGTTAAGTGAAGCTATGCCGAATTTCAATCCCTCATTTGTTGCCCTGAGGTTGAGAGAAACCGCAGCGGTGCATGGCTTCACTATGTAGGGAGGGGAAGTCTGTCGTTTGCACAACGAGGACAGCTGCTTGAATCTAGTGGGGAGCTTCTGAATAAAACATTGACTGGGGACTCGGCGCAGAAGTCAAACAACGTCCACAAGCGAGCCTCTGTCTTGGGTCAGGCTCAGTGGCTCCGCAGCTCAGCTGACATGCTGTAGCTCAAGAGCTGCTAACCCTTCCAAACAGGCATGATTTCCTCCTTTATTTCTACAGCTGTGACACATTCTGAAAGAAAATGTTTCAAATATATGAGGCAAGAGTAAAAGGACTGTAAATACGGATAGTAAATATCCCTGGGTAAAAATAACTGTATCAGCAAAACCAGGTTGGCAGGCAGTTGAGAGATGCAGTATTATCTTCTATTGGAAATAAGCACCAAAGCTCTTAGGGAGACAAAAGACTGGAGCATCACGGTTGCAGTACTCGGTATCGGGAGACAAAAACGCACAGCCAGGCATTACTTATCACAACACCAACAGCAACAATGGGTAAACCTAACTGTGCTGTTGCAGATCTATTCAAGTAAAAAACAAGGAGCACGTCCTTGAGAGGAATAACAAAACTGTGTAGTAAAAACAGAACAGGCCAACAATTTGGAAACTAATACAGTGGGTGAAAAGACAAGAGGGCTTGCTTTATAAAAGTTTGACACTGGATGTACAGTAGGTCTGAAATACTTACCAACAGGCTTTTGTGTTTCAAGGCTCTTTCCTTTGTATGTATCAAACAGGTTGAGAGACGCATACTTGGTTTTGCCTTCCTTCCCCTTTGCAGTTTGCCCAGAACGCTCTGACATTGCGCTGTCCGCTCATTGAGTATGGTGAGCCCTGAGACTGAGGCAGAGAGAAAGAGAAAGAGGCAAAGAGAGAGACAAAAAGAGATTTGACACCTGGTATTTGAGAGAAGTGAAAGGGCTGATTTTAAAAGCATGGATGATCTGACATGTTAGCGTAAAAATTGAATCTTCCACAAATATTTATAACAGATCAAAGAAATGATGTTGGCAACTCCATGGGGTTTGTGTGATATATCTACACACTTGATGAATTACTTAAAGTATAAAATCCTTTATTAAAGAATATGTTAATGTGTGAAAACAGGTCGTTTTTAAACTTGTTACACAGACAAACAATTCAGTATTAGAGATTTATAGTTTCTCCTTGAACTTGTATTTTGCAACTGAGACGCACCAGCTCTGTGGGCCGCTCAAAAGACTAAAGGCTGATAACCCTGATTCACATGACAACAACTTTGTGAGCTTTTCTCTCATTAGTTTGGTCAGACTTATTTTTCCATTCCATTAAATAATCATTACATGTCAATGTTGCCGCACAAAAGTCTTATTTCGATTCATTGTGCAGTTTAATTTTGGATTTACAGGAAGTGGAAACTTTGATAAACATGATTCCAGAGTCAAGATACTTCAACAATACTCCTTTTTAATATACCTATCTTAAGATAAAAACTATGTAATTTGATACTTAACATATTTGTGACTTTCTTGCACAACAACCCAGCTCCTTATGACGTTAAAAATTCAACATAACACAGAATTGACCCTTTAATAAAAAACACAAAGGCAACAGACCTACATGACAATGGCTCTGTCTGGCATCCATTTACTATCAAATCCTCTCTGTAACCACTTCACCATTTTTTACAGTTGTTTTGATGTTAAGTGAGTTACAACACCCTCCTTATTATAATGGACTAAAAGCATCTCATAATGAACCATAACAAGAATTGTGCAACATGCTGCCAGAGCCACCCCCTCGCATCAGTTTCAGGCATTAGAAGTTACAATATAACTGTTGTCATCCTTGTCACTGGTGGTTTTGTTTGCTCCTCTATATCATGAAAAGGCATAAATGTCATGAACATCAAGAAACTTCTCTCAGGAACTTTAATGAACCGTGCACAGAAAAAAATTCACAGATTCTCAGTTTTTGATCTACAGCCTTACAAAAACATCTGCATTAAACAAAATCTTTTACATATCAATTGTTTGCACTGTTTCATATGTAACTTATTCAGTTTTCCATTAAACAAATTCTATTGATTCCTGAGCTTTCACAGACTGACAGGTGGTTTTGTACCAGGATTACTTAAGCATCCTTTTTCATGGTATATGAGGTGAATGTAGATTTACTCCAGCACAAACAAAGTTGAATGTATATGTATTAACATCTCATCACAGGAAACACTGTACAAAAGAAAAGGGAAAAAGCTGAACCGACGTCTCCATGGCAACACATAATAAATGATATTCCTCTATGCCTTGCCTTGAGACTGGGTTTAGCTCCATGGCAACAGCTGGGTCTTTAGCTTGAACTCATTTTACTGCACATCAATAAAACACACTGCGCTGACATCTGTCCGGTTCAGAGTGATTGGGCTGTTTCAAACAGGTTCAACTGCTGGCCCCACTCCACCCAGCGCCATTAGGGACAATCACTGAGAGCGGATCTCCTTACATTATTATTATGCCACAAATAACATTAGTTATTCAACTGTGCACTGAATGAAGTGAAGAAATGATACAAGGCAATACAAACTCTCCCAGTATAAAAGAATGATTTTAGAGCATCTTGCAGAATGTGTAATAAAATTCTTACTTTCAAGGGCAGTTACAAAAAATTATTAATGGATAAATTAATAATAGAGGAGCTCATATAAGTCTGATATCTATGTTTCAGTTTTGAGAAGGTGTATTTTGTAGAGGGCAAGACCAGGTAAGTTCTTGGTTTCCTCTGCCCATTCTCAGGTGCATTGTGTTTTCATTGTGTCAACTCTTGGATGAAGTATATATAGACAGATACTTTTGCATTTCTAATTTTTTTGCATTAAATGTTTTGGTGTGTTTAAAACAAGGGTCAAAATGAGATGAGAACAACGCACAGTTCAAGGCTCAAGTCATGAGAGCTCTACTGATCAACGTTACATGACATAATTCTTTCTTGGGATGAACAACAACACAATATTTTGCATGACTCAGTTTCAAACAGAATGAAATCAAAACCTTAAAAGTAAAAAAGCAACCCAATTGAAACAGAAACCAAAGCAGATCTGACTGACGCCTGAAAACCACACATCCCTGGGAGAAATAAAAAAGACAGGACACAGCAAAAGGTTTTCACTGAGGGAATACCGAGCAGCAGCTCTGCACCGGGCCTCAACAACCAGATGAGATTAGAAAATTAGGTCGTGGGATGGCTGGTCAACTGCATGTTGTATAGGGATTAACATGGGCCAGCAGCTACGCTACCGAGCCAGAACTGCAGCAACGTAGACCACAAAGAGGCCTTAGAGAGCTAAAGCTAACGATAACCACTGACAACGTACATAAAAACACGACCAACTGAGCGCAAAACAACCTGGAGGATGTGACACCAACAATAACACATGTCATTCAGATCTTAAATCACAAATAGAAGAAGGAAATTATAATTTGATGGTGAGCTAACAAACGTAAACTGGCTAACACAGGGCCCAGTGTTGGCGTTGGGAGGGGGACTGCGTTCATGTTTCATAATGCATTTTCAACACCGTGCAGATACATTAGCTTATTGCTCTCAAGCCCTGAGAGGTGCTGTGTTTTGAACAACAACACCGACACTGCGACTTGTGATTTTCATTAAATGTTATTGTACATTCACAGCCCACGGGAGACACAGGGCAGCGCATAAAAAAAGCATTTTATTAGGAGAACAAAACAAAATGGCGGTGGACATAGGCCCTGTGCATATTAACATGAACACAGACCGGCTGGGTGTCAAAGCTGCCAAGAAGCAACCTGCAGCGACAAATCTAATAAAACCTTTATAAACAGTTTAATTAAAAGACATTAAACTAGGTTTAGGAATGAGAAACACAGGGTCACACTTGCAGTAAGAGCTAATCGACAAGCACCTTTCTATCATCCTCTGCTAACAGTCTCACCAATGTTAGAAAAAAACACCACACGCAGGTTTTTAAGGCAGTATCCTCATAAAATAAACATATATATGTACGTACAATCAAAAAGTTAATCCCTTAACGCGACTGGCGCTACATCCTTACACCTAGCCGAGCCAGGCTACATACAAGCTAGCTAGCAACAACAACTAAGTCACTGGAAAAAAATAAGACTGTTCCCTTTCGAAACGCCCTTTCAAGCGAGCTAACGCTTTATGGATAACAGTTGATGTTATTTTAGATGAAAGGGCGAGTTGGTAGTCGGTGTACGCATAGAAAATGTTTAATTTCGGGGCACTGACCTGGTCTTGTCCCGACTTGTCTCGAGGTTGTATCGCAGAGTGAGGTTAGCTTAGCTACCGCGTAGCTTTCTCAAACTGACCCAGCTAGCCAAGCGACGCTGCATAGCCTAACAACACAGCGAGTAAAGCTCGCTCTCACGCAGGAATAGGGGGTTATAGATTAGAAAAAAAAGATGTTTCGCTTACTTGCACTCCTTTTCTTTTGTGTCCAAAAAAATAAATGAAAAGGGGAAAAGAAAATTGTGATACAGGACTCGAACCGTCACCTGAAGAGCCGTCAACGGCTACTGTGTAATATCGTGAGATGGAAGCCGTTTGAGATTTCAACGGTAACAAAAAATTGGACTCTTAAAAAAAACACAATAAAGCCCGTTTAAAGTAAACATTTGAACATTATTTGTTAAAATTATAGTTTATAAAGCAAACAGAGACCGACTGGGATTTATCGTTTCACAAATATGTTTGAATTTGGGATAACCGTCACAAAAACTGAGGATGACAGATCCTCTATAGCAGGAGTGTCCGGATTTTCAGACTTCTAGTACCATAGAAATTTGATATATTCACCAAAAACAAAAGTTTCTCCAATAGTTTTTCAAGTTTCCAAAAGTTTAACTTTCAACAGTAAACATTTTAAGCACCAATTATCCCTTTACCTGCATGCTTAACCATGTAAACGCACCATTTTTTGACAACACTGCATTATTTTAGTTTTGTATACCGTGTCTGATCCACTTATAGTATTTATCAAGCAAATTTTCTTATCATGATAAACAAATTTATTTAAAAACGAGTCAACTTGAGGGGTTTTGCTCATATATTCCATCAGAATCCCCAAAACTTGATACATGTAGCACACATAACACATGTACTTTTGTGTGACATTAGGATTTTCTTGACAGAAAATGAAAACTTGCACATAAATTCAGATCGATTAATTTCTGTGCCACAAATATTGTCTAGGTTGTTTTCTTTTTAATTTAATTGTAAATACACAGTTTAACTCATCCAACTTCTCTTGCTTCAACACTGTATTTAACTTTTTCTGAATACGTAGACAACCCATCAGGTCCATCAATTAGGAAAATTGAACTTCTCTGGCACTTTGATTGTATAAGTTGGGTCACTGACGAATAATAAAACACACTTTGTTATATTTTCTGAACTTATGGATAGAAGAACCAACCCAAATATGACTTTTTTTTCTTCAAAAGTTGCATTCCTAACCCTATATTTGTTGCTGTGCGAGACTGTAAGTGATTGACTTCTCTGGAGAAACACTTCCAAACAGTTAAAATGTTCCCACTTAAATGAAACAGCATATGGTTGGCAAGAATCATTCATTTATTTTACAGGCAGCACAGATTGAAGCATCCCGTACCAAGACATTGATATCCTGTTTACAACGCTGGTAAAATCAAAATCTGAAGAGTTCAGATTACAAACTTTAGAGAACATTCATCAAAACAGAGAAAGCTAATCATCCCTCATACACAACATGCAGTCACCCCTTTCATCACTCTTACACACACTCACACACTTCATTTTTTAAAGTTACACCACTTCTGTCCAAAAATATCAAAGGCATTTGACATTATTTTACAAAAGTCCTGGCTTTGCAGAGGCAGATTTAGTTCGAAATCAGCTTGAATTTATGGCACATTTATTTCTGAGTAAAAGAAGCAGGACATAATGGACATAAAAGTAGGAGACTTCAGTTTGTTTCTTTCATAAGCTACTACAGAATCTGTCAGTTTGATTTGAGCAATCATGACTCATGCCTCTATGATGCAGAGTTTACAGTGAATCTGACAAAATTCAACGTGAATTAATGACAGATGCCACAGGCGCTTTAAAGTTATAGTGCACATAAACATGAGACCCCGACAACACCAGTGAAAGTCAATCACATGCGATTTGGAGGTTATATCGCAAAGTGGAAAATCCTTTACTGTAAAAAATAAGCTATAAAACATGGATTGCTTTAGGCTTTTTTGGCAAAGTTGGTTTTCACACAAAAGAATAACAAGTGATTATGGTGTCTAAAATGTACATTTTTTTCACAAATGTCCCTTGTTTGGTCACGCTGTCTTTCACTTACCAACAGAGAACCCACAAAATATTTGTGCTGTGCGAATATTTGAGGAAGACGTAACAATTCAGAACAGAAAAATAACAGATATGAGATGTGCAACTTGATCAACTGCTGAAAAAAATTATTAAAGGGTGTTTTTTGTCTTCAGTTTATAAAGAGTGGGTATAACCTGGCTCTGAGCCTCCCATTTCCCCACAATTAATATCATAAAGTGATTAAAAAGTCTTTCATTTTCATCCTGAGAACATCTGTGAGAGTAAACTGCATCTTCCCATTTCCCTTTTATTTTCAACCGTTTGTATCTGGGAGGCAAACACTCAGCAAGAGTCAAACTCCGGTTGTCAATGCCTGATCATTTCTCTGCAAACTCTCTCCAGGCAGAAAACACACAAGCTCTGCATGATCCTGCTTCTACTTACCTCCCGTCCACATGCCTTACCGGCCACCAAACAGGTGGATTTTAGCAAATGACACAGTTTCACGATAGTCCTTATGCCCCTTCTCATAAATAACATAGATGTACTTCCGGTCCTCTGCAGAACCACTGCTCAGGGACGTGATGCAGGAGTAGCCGCTTGGCCCCGCCCATATCTGCACAGCTTTCTTGTCCCAAGTTTTACCATCCGTCACAGACCAGCGCAGAGTCAGGTTGATCCCTGAGGATAGATCATGAACACTCATTCACTGACCTTTTGACTCCCAGCAGCCAGTTAGAGAGATAAAAATCATTTCAGAGCAGAGGAAAGATTGTGCCTGTGTCTTGTCATGTGTACTTACTGTGTTGCTCGTTGGCTGGGTTGGTGAAGTAAATAACCCCGTCTTTCTGCAGAGCTCCAGCTGCTACAACAGGGTCCACCAGGGTGTAGTCGAAGTACAGACCCTCCACAGGCAGAGACAGTCCTCCATCAAGGCTGCGGACCACCAGACGACACTGACAGTGGTAGTTGTTCTGGTTGCGCACATTGATGACGATGCTGCCGTCTGTCAACTCAACCGGCTGAAGGGAAAGACAGTGATGTTCTGTAACTGAAAGGTTTTCTTCTAACACTTGTGAGTAAGCGTGTCACTTTTTGTTTAAGACTTTTAGAAGTTTTGAAAACAGCAAATGCGTCGTACCTGACACTCATCTGGGTTGAAGTCCTTCGCTTTCTTCTTCTGGTTATAAGGGATGCTTTTCAGCGCTGCACCGTTGTACCAGTTCTGTCCGTGGTCATCGCTCAGGATGCAGAACACCCCGTCTCCCTCTAAAGTTCCATGACCGCACACCACCAGCCTCCCCTTTGCTGGTTCATAGCGCTTCTATAAAACAAAGTTATGAGAAAATGTGGACACAGAATGAGACATGATAGATTTAAAAAAGTGCAGTTAGTGGTTGCTCCATATTTGAGGACATAAAACTTATTGAATAGACTGAACAGACTAAACTAAGACTATATAGGTCAATCCCTACTACAAAATATCTCATAAAACCACCAATAATCATCATCTAGAGTGACAAGTGTGCTGCAGGACAACAGAAGGTTCAGCAACCCAAAAACTGGCTCGGACAACCCTGAACATAATAATTGAACAGATGCTCAGCACAGACGGCGTATGAGGAATAATAAGCCACTAATTTGCACAATTGCAGCTCCCTTTGAATTACATAATGATTCTGCTGGTGCAAACCTTTGAGTGCACCACAGTCAGCTTCCTATGCGGCTAACATGCAGGTTCACAGACGCCAAAATCTGAGATAAGCTTATCTGGAAAAACACAAATACCAGAGATTTCTATTTTGAGGGTTTAATAGGTTTAAAACCAACAATGCTGATTTTGTTGATATTTGAACGTGGCGTAATTGTATTGCATGACGTAGCTGTACCCAGTATTAGGCTACAACCCAAACACAAATATGAGGTGAAGCAGCAGGGGGTGACAGGTCAGATACTGAAAACCAGTTTGAGAAACAGGGAGACAAATGTGATGGGATTGAAACTAAGATAAAGCTGATTTCACTTCTCTAAATTAATCAGAAAAATCCACAAAATATACTTCCTCTTTCAATCAGTCAATAAAACCACAACTTTTTTTTTTTTAATTGTGTCAAGGTGACACAGTAGGACACATAACAGGCCCTTTCCATAAATCACAACATCAAGAAAAAGCTCAAATTTTCTGTCAGTTATTCAGAAAAATAAAGTTTGATATATTCTGGACTCGTTTCATGTAAACTACGAGGTCCAAACGTGTGTCTCTTAGTTTACTTCAGTGCATTCTCAGCCACAATCATGTGCGAGACTGCTGACTAGATAGCTGTCCAGTCAGTGATCATCAACAACCTCTCCAAAAAGGAGAAGCCACAGAAGGTCATTGCTGACTCTTCATAGAGAGCTGTATCAGAGTACAGTAACCGCAAGTTGACTAGACAGGAAAAATGTGACAGGAAAAGGTCTAAAATCTAAACCTTATTAAAAACTATTGAACCAATATGAGCCATTTAGTGAATAAATTAAAACTCGTAGTTTCCCACATTAATCTGTTTTTACTTCTCTCACCTGGATTCCAAAGCCTGGTCCCGGAGCGAAAGCTTTAACCCCAAGCTGGACAGACAGGTTTCTAGGCTTGCTCCAGCTGAGGCCGTCATCCACGGACTCCACCATCATGGTGCTGGCCGGGCGGCACTGGTACAGGTGGAAACATATGGCGTAGACCACAATCACAGAGCCCACTTCCTCGTCCACCACTACAGCGCCCAGGTTCAGGCCGTCAGGCTGTAGTCCATCATCCACGATGAAGGTAGTGGGGGCCCAGGTAGCTCCTGAAGTATGGAGGACAGGATTTAAAACTTGATTTTGAATACTTTTACAATAAATACAAAAATCTCAAAATTTTTGACTCTGTAGTCTTTAAGAGACCACGTAAAATCATGAATCTTCTCCTTCAGTTTCAGTTTTCATTTGTATCATTTGGTTGCTTTTTCACATTTTGCTGTAAGATAATCCATTTTTTAGCTTTCATGTGCTTTAATACATTTAGAGAGTAGAGGTTCCCTTGTCACACAGCATATTACAGAACTTGTTTGTTCTACTTAATGCTGAGATTCAAATGTGTATTTGCGTCACTATAATAATGATCCTCTGCATACATTTGTACATCTGCAAAGGATTGCTCTTGAGAAGACTGATCATTATTTCCTAAATTTTTCCTAAACACATAAATCTTAAATCTTAATCTCTGTGTGATCAGATCTGTGTAGATGTTGATAATATTTGTGCTGTTTTTGATTACAGTAAAACAAAATACAGCAATTTTTGGTCCATTTGAAAACTGAAAAATGTGTGTAATTTTTTTACTTTCTATGTGCTGTGACACATTCTGATTTAAGAGTTTTATGCAAGTTAAAACTACTGAATAAATCACATGTAAGTGGAAAACACTTGGAAGTATAGATGCATGATATTAGATTTTTGCTGATGTTTGATGCAACAATGTTTTCAGACTCATTTTGGCCTAAACTGATACAAACACACCCTCACATTGAAAAAAAAAACAGCAAGTTTCTCCAGAATGTGTCTGTTACTCTTGTTGTATTTGTTTTGTTTTCTTTTAATATATTTTTCAATTATAGACATTTAATGATGAAAAATAAAACAATAACTTATGTGGATTACATGTCATCAGTCTACCAGACAGTGGGGCTCAACCTGCTGACAAGCCTTACACTAAATATCCAGGAACCTGTAATAAGAGTAGCATTAGTGAGAAGCTTCTCTCATGACTGAGAGTGAAGCTTTGGAGGTCAGGTGAGGCTACATCTGAGAAGTAACGCTGGCAGGTACAGCACAGTGAGGCCTCAAGAACATCATTAGTCTGCTGAGGTTTGCAGCTTCCACCACGCTGAAAAGTTGGTTATTGAGAAGTATGGTGTCAACTCTACAGCAATACACTCACCATTGACAAGCACCTCGTTTGACCCCTTAAAGAATAGAATAGAATAGAATATTCCTTATTGATCCCACATGGGGGAAAATTTTTTGCCACAGCAGCATCACAGACAAAGTGCAAAAATGCAGTTATAAAAATAAAGATCGTCGTATATTAAGAACTTAACTAAATGTTCTAATTAAGAAAAAAAAAATGGAAAAGGAAAAAGGGAGAAGAAGAAAAAAAGACTACTCCTTTAAAAACAAAGTTTACTCATGACTAAGATGATGAAGAAATATTTTGTAACATCCTCCTCTTCCTTGAGCAAACTGATCACCAATGAGGGCCTGAAAAATAATGTGTCCAAAAACGTCGAAAAGTCTACTGGGAACACATTAGTTAAGGTTATTTTGCCATCAGGAAACTTTTATTATAAAACAGACCATTTGATTACTGAGATCACATGATGGTTAAAGGCTGTGTTTGTCTACAAGTTATGTGTTATCACGTGTTTGTCTATTTGTTATTGACTGTGTGTCTGTGTTGCGGTGGTCCTGCCTTTGTCTGTGGAGCGCCGCACAGCGATGAACTTTGCCCCCACATCACCGGCTGTAGACTTTCTGCCCTCTGTGATGGCCAGTAGACTCCCTTTAGGAGTGAAGCTGAGGAGTGGGATCCTGTAGGTGTTCACCTCCCCCTGAGCTCCACTCACCCACAGCAGCTGCTCCTCGTATAACAGAGGATCAATCTGAAACAACACAGACAGGCAGACAAAGATGATTACAGATAGGAATGGGCGATAAAAAGGAATATCAATATAAAACATGGTCAATAACTTCTTGATAGTCGGCGTTCTGACATGTTTTGGTAGCTGAACCAATCAGGTGCTGAATTAGAACCAAGTAGCAAACAACTGCGTAGTAACAGGCTGCAGCTAGGACTGTGCGATTATATGATCGTGATCGATGGTCGTGATAAATTTCAGTTCGATCACGATGATCAGCTGTGAGCATATTTACTTGATCAAACATGGCGGAAATGTGCGTCACAACAGCCAATCAGAGTCAATCCTGCTCACTTCTGTAAGTTGCCGAAGAAGTAAACAGAATGACAGAACGGAAAGCTAAACGCAGAGCTAAGGGCAGCAAAATAGGTGTCATCGGTTGTGTGGCAGTGGTTTGGGTATCTCCAAAGTGACGTTGAGAAATTACGCCGATGTGTAAGGTATATCAGCGGTCGGTGCTCTTAAAAACCGGCAACACAACAGATTTGTTTGATAAAATGTTGGACTAATCTCTAGTTTCTTCAGTTTTTAGTACAGATGCTTTAAAACTGGCAGTTTAAAAACAAATTGTGATAATAATCAAGATCGGACAATACGAAAAAATGTACCATGTATATATCATTTTTTTTGCCAAATTGCACAAGGCTAGCTGCAGCAACACACAACCACAGCATTTCAACAGGTGAAGCTGTCTGCTTTCTCTAGCGCAACAGAGAAACGCTTATTGTATTGCAAAAGACATGCTACCAATTAGCACTGTTAAATTTCATTTTTTTTTATCGTGATATGTATCGATATCGACTGATATGAAAAAAAATATTGTGAAATTTTTTTTTCCATAGCGTTCAGCCTTAACTACAGAGCGACTGAGGAAAAGGAAGATAATAATGTGCCAAAGAAACCAGTTAGGGCAGGGAGTTTCACCTGAATCAAGTGTCAGGTTACATGAGCATGTGATGATCACATTAGGAAGCATATTAAACTGTGAATTCCCCAGAAGCATACAAAGTCTTATCTTATGGACCCATAAAAGATCATTCTGGCATGCACAGGCTGTACAAAGTAACACAAAAGAGGTTTAAGCCTCAAAAAGTCACTTTCAACACGACAATCAAGCTGATTTTACACCTTTAACCACCTTTTAAGTTTAGCATCTTCATCTTATTCAACATTATTTCAAGAAGAAACATGGCGGTATTTTTGCAGGACATTTTAGACCAAAATGTTTCAGTACCTGTGCAGGATCTATCTTACAAACACACGAGCGAAACACCACAGAGAGAAGAAACGACAGAGCAGCGAGCCGGCCTCCTGCTTCCATGTCCAAACCGCGTCCCGACAAACTTTCTTCTCGATCCGAACAAGAGGTGTTCAAAAACGATCAGAAAAGAAGGCGAGAAAGAGATTGTTACAGAAAGATAAAGCCGGAAGTGCTCTGTTTAGTTCATTCACGGTGAGATCCAAACTCTCAGCAGCAAACTGTGGCGGTCATATGACCGACGTAAGCAGCCACGTGACTACCAACCCCCACCAAAATAAAAGTCGAATATCGAAGATTTAATCAAACAGGAGGAATTACTGTATTGAACTGATTCTGCTATGTTTGGAAGTGTTATTTTGTTAACTCTGAATTAAGCATTTAAAAATAAAATAAAATAAAATAAACAATAATAATAAACTTCATAAAAATAAATAATAAATAATAAAAAAATGAAGGGGAAAAACTAGAGTATCACTAAAGTATCACTAAATAAAAAAAATCACAGAAATTCATTTAAATCTGTTTTTTTTGGGGGCAATTTTTTTCTTATATCCGTAAATCATTTTATCACTGACTTAATTCAAATTCAACTTTATTTGTATGGCACTTTTTCAGACAGAAAAATGTAGTTCAAAGTGTCTCACAGAGGCCAAAAATAACAATTAACAACAATAAAACCCAACCCTCCCACCCACACACTCACCCATGGACCCACACACACAGACACAGACACACACCCACTCTCACAGACACACTCACACAAAAGCGCACATAAAGTGAGAATTAATTATATATTGCTAAAGAGTTATGGCATGACACCGAGGAGGAAAGAGCTACCTTTGGGAAACACTGGAGATAAAAGATTTTAAAAAATTAAATAAAATGGTAAAAAGAAAGAGTAAAACCTGATGGACTAAAACAAGAAAATAATATTAAATGAACAGATAAGTAAGAGCTCTTTACCAAGCAAAAAGGAGTAAAAGAAGTAAAAACCCCTGTGATGGGAATTAAGAAGGCATGCTATATTATCAAGACAGGTATGTTTACACTCATTCTGTTGGTTTGCAGGGATGAAAAACACCCTGAAATATATGCAGATACACTAGTTAGAGACAAAACTAAGATTGCCTTGATGCAGTGATCTGAAATATGAAAAATGGCTCATCTTACCCCACTCCTCCCTACACTGTGGATGCATCAATGAAAATTGTGACAAAAAAAATGTCTAGCTATCTCCACAAGGGGGCAGAGTTCTCCTTAATATTCATACTATATCCACACTGTTAAAGGGTCAACTCAAACAACCAAGAAAAAAAATACATCAGAATGGTTGTGAACTATATATGCAGATTAAATTTCATTATTCCATTCAATCATTGAGGGCGAATATAAAAAAGGATTTTCATCTACCTTATTTTTTACTGCATTAAAAGATTCACTTTGCTGAGTGATACAGCTGTATAATCAGCAGACACTCTGCTCCCCTCAGGTGCACAATGCTTTATTTACAGGTTTTGTATTTTAAGCTTTGGTTTCAAGAAAATGGGCAGAAGTCATCTAGTGGTCTTGTGATTAAGCAGATACCATCAAACAGTTTACTTTGCTCCAGAACCCTTTGTTGTTTCTTACTCTCTCTCTCTCAGTTTCCTGTCCAGTGGCATACCAGACTATATGAGGAACAGGGATTAAAAAAAGAAGAAAAGAGAGCCACATGTCGACAGTCTTGATCTTGAACTTAAAGAGAAAGAGAGCTGCAAACAATCTAAGAAACTAGTCAGACACAAACCACTTTTTAACAACTAGGGCTGCATTGTGTTGTATTGCATAATAAAGCGTTGTAGTTTCTAAGCTGGAAGAACACCCTGCAGAGCCTTTTGTTCCATTTTATAGAGCACTTAATCACATTTTATCCACCACAGGAGCCTCCAAGTGAGCACTTCTTCTGTTTAAGTTCCCATTTCCAACATAAAAACAAAGGCTGAAAAGAGATAAACGAAGGTAATAATGAGATTTAATCATTTCAGGGTCTGTATATTTTGAGTGCAATGGATGATCTGTGGTTTTAGGAAGTGAAAATGAACATTATTAACTGATCCGCACGCTATTGTGGAGTATATTAAGAGGCTCTACAGGGATATCACAGAGCATAATCATCTCATTTGAGAGTTAAAGGTAATGTTACCACTTTAATAACTTTATATTTCTTCTTTTTAATCTTTATTTTGAGGGATTTAGATGTTGTAACCCTAAAATTCCCCTCTCCTATCTACTGTATCTCTGTGTGGAACACATTTCAAGTTCAATCATGCAGGAAATATGACGTGTAAGGGTGGGAATTTGATTTCTTGCTTGGCCTCCATTGTTTCACAAACATCCTTCCACTACACGAGTAAAAGTGTGACAAATAGCTCTGGACAATCCCGAAATAATGACTGTGAAAATGATCAGAAACGCCTCCTGCTCAATGTATCATGTATCATAAAATGCTTTCACTGCAAGGAGCAGACTTAGAGCCGCATAAATCAACATCAATTCAGATTGATCAGAAGTGCCACTTCAAATCAAGGTTTAAATGAGTCTCCTTAATTAGCTTTTTCATACAGAATTTTAAAAAAGTTGAAGTAATCAAACATGCCACTTCTGGTGTTGTGTGAGCTGAGAACCACAGACCGCATTCCTTCAGTCATGAGGCCGGCTGATCTGAGTCACACGCTAACAGAAAGAAAGAAAGAGAAAGAGAGGAAAGACAGAGTGATAAAGAGAGAGAGAGAGAAAACCCAAAGAGAGAAGTAGGAGGGGAACTTGCTGAGTCCCGTTTGAGCGTGAAAGTAACACTCCACCAGTCTGTGTGTACTCTACGACTAACAGGGCTGCAATCAAGGAGTCATTACTCTGTATGGAAATGATCTTTGGAAGAAGAGATGGGATTACAGTCCTTACAGCTTTGTTGACGTGATGGATTTTTCATTAGAAAGCAGGTAAGATGTGTTGGATAATGTTTGTTTTGTACAGCTGCATTGAAACTTTGAAGGATACTGAAGCAACAAATTTAAGACACACAAAAAAAGTATGTCCTACTCTTCCAGGAATTGCTTTTGAGCGAAATACAAAATGCAGAATGAATAGATAAATAAATAGCTAATTTTAAAGTTGTCTGCCTTGTAGCAAACACAAGTATGAAAAAAAAACAAGCTGCATCTTAGAGATAACAAACTGCAAGTTCAGTTTTTACAGTGATAATAATCATGTTGTTTCCGCTTTAAAACTGCACCACTGCCGCCTGTGTTGTGTTAACATCTTTATAATTTCAGCTCCTCTTTTGCATGTGCAAAGTTTACAGGAAATAATACATTTTCTCAGACTCTTCTTGACTCTATTTAAAGGCGCAGAGGTGAGAATGAAACACTTGATAAAATGCAAAGAGGAGTAACCAGCGAAGAGGAGCTGAGAGAGGTTAAGAGTTAACATTACAGCTGCAGCTCTGAGTTTTCACACTTGAGTGGTGAAATGTGGCTCCGTCACACATAGGCAGGCGAGAAGTGAGATGGAAAAGCACCTGCAGAGAGCCGGTTCTGTCTCTAAGAAGCACATTTTTACTTTTATCTTTCTTTTTCCCTGTCTGTCACAGACATTAAGTGATCACAGGAAGTGGTCTGTGGAGGGTTTTTGTTGGGTTGTGGTGTCAAGGCTAAAGATGCTTCTTATCTACCATGAACAGACAGAGCTACAGTGTGGGGATAAAAAGTGACATTCAGGACATTTTTATCCAGAAAGCACTTTGAGTATTGGCAGCCCTAGAGGCTTTTACATTCACTTTAAGTCCCATCTAATAAGAGGGTAAAAGACCTGCTCTGCATCATAACACTGAAGGTCATCAGCCCTAGAGAATAAAGGAGGACTAGACTGAAAATTTCAGGTAGGTAGGAATATTCTCACCTCTTCCTTCAGCTCAAGTTTACAGCAAGAAGTTGGTACTTTACTCTTATACGAACCAGTGGTGTAAAAAGCTTCACATGACGAATTACACAATTGAGTAAATTACATCATTTCTTATTTCACAACAAGTTTCTAGAAGGACAAAATGTTCTGCTTTTAAAAAGTACTAATTCAAAGCAGAATTTTTAACACAAAAGAGTCTGTCTGACCTCTTCTTCTACTTCTTCTGCGAGCGAAGACTCTGACTTCTCCCTCTGAAAGCAGAAGTGATCTGGTTTGGCTTCGTGCCGACGTCAGCCTTATCATCCTCCTTCAGTCACTTAAAATAATCAGGGGTTGTTAATCAGTGACAAAAGCCGCGGCTTATCAGAAGCCTTTTTCTAAAAACAGACAACACTCATCTCGAGTGAACGCTCCACTTCACTTATGGATAAGTGCTACAGCTGTTTGGCTACAAACCATTGATGCAAATAGGCCATAAAGTCTGTTTCAAACTAATATTATAGCCACTATTTTTACCCTTGACCTCTTTTTTCCCCCGTGTTTCCATTTTAAATCACATACTTACCTTAATGCCTGAAACCACAAATTATGGCCAGAAAATTCTAATTTTTTTAGAGCTGAAATGTTTATTTCATTTACTCCTGAAAACCAAAAAAATCTAAATGTCCTTAAAATTTAATAAATATATTTATTTATCTCGTTTGATAAACCACAAGACGACATTTTTATCATTTATCGGACTGTATTCAGGTGTTTTTTTAGTGATTTGTTGATCATATTGATTTGATAGAAGTATCATAAAAGTATGTATCAAATATGATACAAAAGGCATTAAAGGGTTAGACTGCCATTTCAAATAAGACGTAATCTCTTATGTTTATTCCTACTTCTCTGTTGCAGTCACGCTATGATTCTGTGGTCTCTTATTCCTTTTTTTATGAAGTGTTGAATGACTGCTGTCACATGAAAACGGATCATCTTTCAGTGACAGTTCAGCAGGAATGACTAAGGAAATTTCATACTTTGCATTTTGTCATCAGCTCCAAGTGCTGCTTATTGTTCATGACTTTCCGGTGCTGTTTTCTCATGATTTCATACTGAATTTATTGAATTTTCTTCGAGGATCAATAAAGTTCTTCTTCTTCTTCTTTTTGCTCTGTAGACCTTGGATTCATCTAAGATGATGGAGGGGCAGAACGGCATTGGCCATCTAACGGAGGAGGATGTGGAGGATGTGCAAATCAGACCGAAATGGTCAAACGGTAGCAGCTTCTTCTTTGTTCTGATTTCTTTTATTTTGCAATTGCACTGCAGAAAAACAATAAACTTCTCCTTTTAGACAACCTCAGAAACATGGATGTGTTTTATCCTTGAATAAAGGTGTTTGGAAATGATGGAAACTGAAGGCTTGTCCTCTCAGGAAATGTGTGTTTGAACAGTATTTGTCTGCACAGCTTGAGTTTGTTCAGACCGGCTCCCCTCAGTTCAGGGAGATGATAAGACGGGTTATTCATATTTGACTGCCCTACATGGTTTTGTGTTCCTGCTGTGTTTCTTCTGCTGTAGTTCTCCGTAGTGTAATCTTTTAGTTGTTGTTCTCTTAAATCCCTGAACTTACTGCAATTATATCACAGTTTACTATTGGTCTTTCCTGTTCTCTCATCTGATCTCAGGTCAGTGCGTTCTGGCGCTACCGACCTCTTCGACTGTGAACCCCACTTTTGATCTGTCTCAGTGTCGGGCCAAGCTGGAGGATGATGGCTTTGAGGTCAGCAAACGCAACGACTCACTGTAACCCATAAAGTGTTATTCATTCATGTCGAAGGTGGTGTTTCAGTTCATTTTTGTTTTATGTTGACAGATTCCAGTCAGAGACTTGGAGGTCCCGCTGAAGATAGCTCTGGACGTTCCCTCAGTCAGGAGATACATGGTTTTCAACTCGGCTCTCTTCCATTTTATATTTGCACCGGTACGATCAACCATCATCGACCACTGAAGTCTGAACTGTGCTTTTGAATCTCCATCATATCATGTAAAGTCTAAACACCAGAAAAAATAAGACCAGTGGTGCGTCAGTAAGGGATTTGCATACCAGGCCTTTTTGTTTGGTGTCTTGTTTGGGTGTGGTTTGTGATTTTGAACCACCAGTTTGAAGTTGAACGTTAATGAACCACATCATGTAAGCGTGTGGAGCTGGTGTTCTCGCTTTTTGCCTTTGGAGGGCAGAGAAAATAGATCATGATTTTATCCCACACCAGGATGAAAGGAGGGTGAACAGTACTTCAAAGTAAGCACTGACAAGCAGCACATTAGCGCGGTGGTTAGCACTACCATCCCACAACGGTCTGAAATTCCTGCCGGGGCCGTCTTGTTTGGAGCTTTAGTGAAAGAAGACACGAGTGTTTGTTAGGGGCGAAAGAATTTGTATTATTTGGAGTTTTTCGTGGTGAATCCTTGACAATCAGAAAGTCACACTTGTTTTGGAGCGTCTTTCCCTCAAAGGCCACCATTGTGTTGAGGAAAGGTAGTGGTTCAATCTAGATCCTGGCAACTAGATATTGCTAAAATTCCCAATTTCAATCCTCTTAGCCAAACTAAGGCTCCTGCTCTGAAATTACCCTGCATGAACACTGATAAGTTTCCTTTTTTCCTGTTACTTCTAATAAGGATTTTATAAGTTGGTATCCAGCTGGAACATTTCACCCTTTTTGGTGTCAGTATATTTTATCACCTCTCTGCTCCCTCCTCCAGATTCTGTACATGGTTGTATGGTGCGCTGTATTTTCCACGCTCCACATCTACATTACTGTCAGCGACTACTGGGTCCTCTGCCTCTCTGTCAGCCTGGTCGCCATCTTCATCACCACAACCATCATCTTCATCCTCCACCACAGTAACAAGGATGTGAGTTAACCGCATATATAGAAATATATCAAAGAGGAACTCAGGCGTGTCAAATTTTACTTGTTTTTATCTCTTTTTGTGCGTCAGATCGACATGAATTTGGATGTTCGGTTAATCCAGGTGAATGAGAGGATGGTGAAACACAAGCTGCTGGTGGCCGTCGCCGACTGGGTGCAAAACTGCAACGGAAACATGAAGGTGGGTCAGATTAAACAAGCTGAAATTGAGATTTTTAGGTTGTGCATGTGCCTGAACACCATCTCTTTGTCCTGTATCTCTTCTTCTGTGTCTCTCTGCAGCTGTATTTCGTGTACTGGGACATGTCTCACTGTCTGAGGTCACTCACCGAAACTTTAGAGGAGCAAAGCTTTGTGGCGAAAGACCTCGAGGTAAGAGAGTCGTGTGCGTCTGTGGCTGCACTTGATCTCTTGCTGTATCATCGATTTTTCTGTTGCTCTCTTGTTTTCCCGCCTAACAAATCAATAGAAACATAATTCTAGTTGTTGGTTTAAGGGTGTTCGTTTCTGGACTTCAGGCAAACAGAAGTGGAAATCAAAATGATCAAATCACATTTTTTTATCAGAAAAAAATGAAGAGGAGAATGTCACATCTGGTCCTGGTGACTGAGGTTAACCCCGAGGTCGGGGGGTCAGATATGGAGCAGGACCTGGATGAGCAGAGACCTCTGCTGGGAGAAGAGGAGATCAGCTGCAGTACCACATCCAGCCAGCGGGAGGACACCAAAGTCACCACGAGCTACAGTCTGTTCCCTGATGAATCACTACCTGCTCAGGTAACCAGACTTTTTGTTTTTCAATTTAAAATTAAAGCCTTAATTACTATGTTTTTCATTTAAGGACAGTAATTTAACATTATAACCTTTCTTTCAGAGTTTTTATGGGTCATAGTTTACACCAAATTAGTATCCAATTAGACAAATCTTACCAGGGAGGTTTTGAATGACTAAGTAAATAATCAAATTCTTTAAAAAGCTGTATTTATCCTGTGTTTAACTAACTGCTTTGAGTGGGCAAAAGACTGCAAAAGGACTATTCAAATATATTCCATTTACTCAGATAATTATAGATATTTTTATATTTACACTACTGTTTTTAGAAAGAAAGAAAGCATTCAGCTCTTACACAATGACTCTGGGTGTTTCCTTTATGGGGTATTTTGGGACAGATGGATGACTATGAATGCCTGAAGTTATTGTTTTTTGCACATTTCCTCAATGCTGAGCAGTATCAGTTCCAGTTTCGCCACCTCTGACGATTTCTTTAATGCACTTTTTGCAGGCCAAAGCGTACCAGCTTCTTATAACCTACAGCGCCGCATATATGAAGCTGCTGGTGTCACAGAGGCTGTCAAACCACCGCCTACGTCCTCGGACGAATCACTGCAGCGCTGCCCCTCTCTGCCTCTGTCAGTACATCAAAAGGAAGATCCTTCAATGACAGATCGGACTGGTGCTGGGGCACTTAAGGACTCGCTCTCTCTCTGCAGACGCTCTCGTGATGAGAGAGCATTTCCTCTAGGGCAAACATGGCTTCTGCTCCATGTTTGAGGACGTTTTGATGACCTCTTTGGCGCTCCACACTTCTCATCACACAGTTGTATTTTTTTAAATCTTTTGTCCAGCGACTGCACCTCTGCTGCTGTTTGCATGCCAGCTCTGTGTTTGCACCACCTGGGTCCATTTGGTCCCAACAATCCTTTCAACCTGCCAAAAGCTGTCAAGCTGGGAACAAGCTGAGGTCTGTTCCAGCTGCTGTAGAACAATATTTGTACATCCTGTACACATGACAATTACTGCTTTAGTTACTGCTGTTCAAAACATTTGCACAAGTATTTATTATTGTTTCTTTCAAACACAGTCTGCTGTGTTTCTCTGTGGTCAAAGTTTATACAGATGTGGAAAGTAGAGAGCGCGGTATTTTTAATACTGATGCTCGCTGGTGATATCTCTGTACTTGACAGTGTTAGAAAACCACTCTGATCTTTAACTTCAGAAAACAAATAATACTAATATTAGTTTCAGCACATTGTTTAATTTTTTTTTATTTGTCCCCTTATGACCTAAAAGGGCAAAAGAGGCTGTTCAAAAGAAGAGAGACTATTTCTATAATTATTTTCAGTGTGTGAAACCACCAGCAGCCCGAGTGATAAACCGTTTACTTTGTTCACAGAGGGCATCTACATCAAGACAAACTAAATGTTCCTGACTGGAGCTTTAAAAGTTTGGAAGGTTGTCTATGAGACAATAAACATGTGTAAAATCCTTGTGTGCATGAATTAATATTCTATACATGTGTAAATAAATACAGTAAAAGGTGCGATATTTTCTTTAATTATTGTTAAGTAGATTTAAAGTTGCATTAAATTCGATTTAAGTACTTTAAACTGTGTGCTGAAGAACAAGACGTGCCACTTACTTGCCTTGAATTATTTTTGCATTGATGTAATGTCATTTAAAACTCACAAGATTGAACACGGGACAAACTAAAGCTGATACTGATGCGTCTTTATCGCCCACAAATGCAAATGAAACCATCAGTGTGAAGACTGACAATTTCCTTATTGTTTTTTTTTTTTTTTTTTTGACGTATGAAACACATTGTGGTGAGTAAAGGTGTTAGAGGTGATAAACGACAAACCGCCAGTACAGAATTCTCTCACATTTCCTGCTGCAATAATTCTTGATGCCTGATAAATTTGACTGGTAAAGTTTAAAGACAACACATGTGTACAGGGCATGGTTGGGAAAGAGATGCGGCACCACTTTGTCTACAGGGCGGATCAAAATAAACAAAAACTGAAAATCTCTCATTGGAGCGTTGCCGACTGCTTGCTTCTAAAGTTTTATCAGCTTTAGTAACGACCACACGATAGCAATACACAGCGGTCTGAGGAGCCATAAACAAACCTTAACCGAAACGCCACTCTATAACCACAAATAATGCTCAGAACAGCACCTAACTTCATCAACAGTACATATAGGGTCCCAGCCATAGTACTAGCCACCAAACATCTTTTTAACTTTGCCTGATTTCTTTAGCAAAGAGACTAAACAAAACTCACCTACTCTCTTCCAGCAGCCACTTATTTGTAGGGAGACCTCGTATGAGTCCATCATTGACTGCAGTGGGGTGACGCAGCTCAAGGAAGAACATTTATGATCATTTCTTCATGGGAATGCAATCAGATCGAGACACTAAGGCAGAAGAACTACTGTGTCTGTAGTGCAAAATGATTATTATGGTGGTTATTCAAGTAAAGGTAGATGCTTGGATGCAAAAATGGCTTGGTGGCCAGTACTATGGCTGGGACCCTATATGTACTGTTGATGAAGTTAGGTGCTGTTCTGAGCATTATTTGTGGCGTTTTGGTTGAAGTTTGTTTATGGCTCCTCAGATCGCTGTGTATTGCTATCGTGCGGTCGTTACTAAAGTTGGTATAACAAGAGAAGCAAGCGGTCGGCAACATTCATCTCTTGATGGGGTGTCTAACTCAGAGTTAAGTTGTGTTTGACCCTAACTTAATTTCACGCCGGAATATCCCTTTAAGGACAGTTGGCTAGTGTAATACGTCCTGAACCACTGCTTAGGTGTTGATGCAGCAGCATGTAGACAGAGATGCAGGTGTGTAGGCCTAATGACGCTGAAAGAAGGGTTAACATGAATCACTAGCCTCAGATTTCTGGCTGCATTACCTTAAATATCAGCAGCGGGACAGACCCACGTGTGCGAGCGTTGTTTGTTCTCACACCTTTGCTTTACTGTGTGTAGGTGGATCAGTGATACATGCATCAGTGTTTGCAGGAGGCTCGTTTTTTTCCCTCCCCACATTCCTTCACAATGCAGCGAATCACCCATCAGTCCTGATGCTGCAACTGAGATGACAGCCCAGCAAGGAAACTGCATGATGACACAAACACATGCGGGGAGACAGCTAGCGAGGCCAGCCCAGGGGATGCTGGAATTGTGTGATGAAAGAAAGAGGCATGCAGCGTGAGGCCAAGTTAAACGCTCTCAGAGATGCTGCTTCTCCTCAGGAGGCTAAATGGCCATCTGTGATCCTGCACACACAGGCTGGCTTAGCTCCAACCTTGAGTTTCCTCTCTCCAACCTCTTTTCTCTGGGCCTGAGTGCCTTTGTCCGCACCTTACCTGTTAAACAATCACTATTTGATCTGCTGTTTTTTTACTGTAAACCATAAATGTCAGAGCAAACTGATGAGATGCTGAAAAAACGGTTGGGGCGATTAAAACAGGACGACCAAAAACCACAAGGTGGCGCTAAAGGGAAGGGTCAAGGGTCTGTTTGAAGCGTTAGGAGACGTCCACTGGGAATATGTTGTAACTGAGTAAATGAAGGTGTCATATTTTTAATGGTTTAGGCCTATGTGTGAACACAGTTGACACTATATTTATAGAAGAATCATCTGCAACAAACAAAGCTAGTTGATCACACACTCACAAACACACACACACACATACACACACAGAGATAGTGTAGTTCATGTTCTGACAGGAAAAGAGAGACAGAGTGGCAAAAAAACCGGGGCAACTATAAATAGCACCTTAGTGATGGGGTAGAGAGAGGAAAGGCCGCGGAGAGACTGAGAGGATAGAGCGAAAAAGAGAGAGGCCACTATCATAAAAGCATCCTTCACAACGCAAAATTATTCTTTTATTTATTAATCAGACAACTTAACTCAGAAACAACCAATGCATGTGCAACACAGCCACGAAAATAATCGTTAAGATAAACCCCAAAGATAAACCACTTGTACACGGGTTAATTTTTTTGGCTCTTGAACAAGCAAACCCATCGCATTTACAGGCTCGAAAAAACAAAGCCAGAAACAGAAAAATAGAAATTTCAAACAGGGATCATCTCCTAGCTGTTAAAGATAAACAGCTATGGTTTAGCTATCTGAGAGTCCTAACAAAAAAAGCACTCAGGGAGATGCAGCCTAGCGTTATATAAACTAGATATGCTGGGAGTGACACACACTCACTGCCAGAGCCTTCTGTACAACAGTAATACTGAACAGCACTGTGCTTCATTTACTCTTTAAACATGGAAATATCACTGTGTCAATAGCAGGATGGGGCCTGTATTTATCAAACCAACTAAAACACGCAGCTAAGAGATGAATGAAAAGCGTGATACCATTTTCATGTTAGCTAAATCTGGCAACAAGGGGGAACGCCTGCTCGTCCAAGAAAATAAAATCCACCTACTAGTCCATCTAACGCTCACTTATCGACATGTTTTCCTTTTTTATTAGTCTGAACAAAGACCCAAGAGGGAAAACAACAACAAAATGGCACTAAGAGGTAGACTTTGTTAGCTTGCACTGAAAGCAAACACCTGATGGCAAATTCACCACAGTCTGGCATCAGGATTCTCATCAGTGAAATTGTCATTTTAGATGTTTTAAGGTTTGATGTTGTAGCAAGGGAGGCTACAACAACCGTGTTGCATTCAAGAGATCTGAGGTGTTGAACATATTTTTAGTAATTTAGACTTTATCTGTGATGGAGTAGTTGTACCTCTGCACCAAGTTGGTTCGTTTTCTTCTAATTAGTGATGGGCACAGCAGTTCTTTTAGATGTACTGAATCACTAGAATCGGTTCACTAAAAAGATTCGTTCAAAAGATTTGTTCATTGAATCACAGAATCATTCAGTGCTTGGTGGGAGGAGCCTGTGACTCTGACCTCCTGGACTGAAACACAGCTGAACGGTTCAGGATTCAGTTCAATTCAAAGCGTCTGGGACTGGGAGATGAGAGTGTTTGGCTGTGTTGCTTTGGCAAACAGGTTTGTGAAAATGAACTTGTTTATAAGTCGTGATGTTTTAAGTGTACTGTCCTATGGAATGCTATTTACCCGGTCTGCTTGGGCTCAGTGAGTGATTCGTTCACTGAAGAATTCACACTGAGCATGCACCATTCTCTCGCCAACTGCTGCAATGATAGGATGCTGCAGGTTTTATGCACTACTTGTTACATGCTGTGTCCTATTGTATGCAAGTTGTTGTGGTGGCAATTTAGCAGTAAAAAATAAAAAAGTTAGTTTTGTCCTAAAAAAATGATTCCAGAGAGAGTAGTTCAATGTGCATACGATCCCTCGTTCGCCGACTGCTCGCCTGGCAATGCTGCGTACTATAGCGTCTGCATTTCTGACAGCTAAATTGAAGTGAGAATCGAACGACTCACTTGAGGAAGTGATTCGGTTCAGTACGTTCACTTAAAAGATTCGGTTCTTTTGAACGAATCGTTCACGAACGACACAACACTACTTCTAATTCCAACAACAACCAATTAATTTGCCCATACTTGCAAATGTTATGTGTTCAAACTGGTATAATTCTGCTTAATCATAAAAAAAAAACACAGAGGACAACTTTAGGGAGGTGTTTTCTTCTTTAAGCAGGCCTAGAAAGCTGTTGGTTTTAGATTGGCTATTTGATAAACACAGGCCAGGTTGTGTCCGTTGTACTTAACATCATACATGAGTGATAATCAAATGAATAAATAATAATGACACTTAGCCTATAATATATAAACTACAGAAAAACTGTATTTATACGATCTCTATTTGTGTTCTTAGTCCACAAACATGTTTTTTAATATCTCTGTATAGTTTTTAAAAATATCATCATCATCATTGGGACTAAGAGCGGAAAAGAAGATAGGGATTAGAAGTGTTGTAGGTCCAATAATCATGTGGGACAAAGGGATCTGAGGGTAAATTTCAAAGAGCAGAAAGTGCTACAATACAGTATAGGCATCCATATTTTCTCTCTTTTTAATGGAAAAACATTCATTTTCTGTTCTCCTGGATCTCCGGCAACTGCCACAAAATATTCACGCTGTACTCTACGGCCCGTACAAACAGCAGCGCACCTGCTGCTCAGAGCTACGCTACATCATGGAAACTCGAATGAACCGAATAAACACTGCCAGACTCTGTGTAATATTATCACAGGAGCTCCCAGCACTCGCATCCAGCCTCCATTTTTAAGACAAATGGAAACAAACTGAGGATGACATGCAGGATTATGATGCCTCATAAATCTAACGTTGCACTACAGTTCATACACAGTGTCAGATTGAATAAATAGCTAAAAGATGTGCAACACAAAATAGGCCAATACACTTTGAAATACTTGCAGAAATCAATATTAGTAAATCTTAAATTCAAATACTTATCTAAACCGTCTCGTCTGTATTCTTGTTCTTACAGCAGCTAGTTTGACATTTTGAAAAATACTATATAACACATATTTCTAGACATCTTTAAGGAAATATTCCCACCGACAGATGGGAGACAAGCTATTTTTGCACCACACGCCTGATAGTTTAAATCTATAATTAGCATGCACCGTAAGAAGTACGTCGTATGGATGTAAGCAGCTGCGTCATTTTATGGAGTTACTACAAAGTGCAAAAATCATCATCGGATATCAAATTTAAGCCAATTACAAAGTGCCAGGTAGCTGCGATACAGTCGTGATATACTATAAATCATAGCAGACAAGGTCGGAGCATGAGTAGATATCGAATAAATCAATAAATAACAGTTTAAAAAAAAATTTTAAACAACATAATTCATAAGTTATCTATCATCTCAAGTCCATGTAACGCACAAACATCCAATCTCAAATAAATACTCTGTTTGGTTACATTAGACGCTCTGTCAGTTTCTATTTGGTGTGTTAAATTTGTATTGATTAGCCTCTCTGACACTTCAGATCAGTCAGATAGTCTGCTGTCCCCATCTGTTAGCAATAACACTATTATGTAAATAAACACTGTTTTCCTTCAGCGTGGCACTTTCTATGTTTTCAGACAACAAAAACAGACATCTTTGTACTTTTCAGACTAAAATGAGCTTTAAACCGTCCAAAAATAATACCTGTCCAGGCCCGGGTGGTAGATTTTGTTGCAACACACAGTCGTCTACCTTTTCATTTCACTAAATAATACAAATGAGTTAATTAGAGTCAAATTAATTATTCATTTTTACGGAGCATTGTCTCGCTCTTGCAGCTTATATTACAGTGGGAATGATAAGCGATTGCAGTGCCAGCAGCAGTACTGGACCTCATTTGACAGCTGCTGTATTTGGTGTTTTAATATGAGCTGTGATTGATTGTTTTTGGTTGTTGGTGTGTGTTTTATGGCAGCGGGTTAAGTCAGAGCTGTGTGTGTTGTTGCACACAGAGGGCCAGCAATGCAGTAGCAGTTTGTGTTGCATCTTCAGTGCTCCTATTTCCTCAAAATAATTGAGAGTATTTAGCTAGCTAATATATGCCGTATTTTGCCGTCTTCCTGACACCGGTGTGGAGTTATGGTTCCCAGTCGTCGTCATGGTGCTGGGAGGCTATGATGACTACCACCGTGAGGATGGTGCACAGCACGATGGAGGCGATACCGACAGCCAGGCTGATGAAGGAGAAGTTGCGTGCCTCGCGGGAGGCTATTTCCGCCGTCACCATGTCCCCTCTGGCTATCGCCGTACGCACCTAAATGATGCAGCAGGGCAGGGACGGGTGTGTAGGAGAGAGAGTGAGAGAGAAAGGAGAAAATTAGACGTTACGTAACAAGAGGACGCATGAGTGAGAGCAGGAGAGAGTCTAAAACACCATGAATGGATCGATTTCACTGCAGCACAAGCCCGATGTGCAGAAAGAGGCCACACTCCACAACATTAACGCAGCATAGCATCACACACAGCTCAGACCGGCGGGTCCATGCCTTGTCAGCTCAACTCAGCTCAAAGCCAGCTGAACTGGCCCAGAGGAAAAAATCCATTTGATCCTGTTGCAGTGACAATGGTGCAGTTACGTAATGTAGTGTGTTGTGTGCATGTTGGTCAGCATAGTCTGCCATTAAAAAAGCAAACAACAGGCATGAGGGCCACCAGACTGAGCCTTTACATGTCTGGCATCACGCTCAACTTCACTTGTGAGTGAGATCACATCAGTGAAAGGCTTATAAAAGAGCAAACTATGTCTCTAATGCAGAGGTGTACTGAGATGTGTAGGTGTAATGACGGCGCGGTGGCATAGTTCACTTAGCATGGTAAATCATTTCCTGACTTTACTGTGGCTTTATTCTTCTGCTGTCCATCTAATCCAGTCCAAGTGCCTGTGACCTACATGTTGAAGTGTCCTTGAAGGCATAGACATAGGTGCATGGCTGAGTGTTGAGGGTTACTCATAGGCTGCTGAGCACCTTTGTCAGTGCATGAATGTATGTGTAAAAAGTGTTTATGTGACATGTTGTGTAAACAGATTTGAGTTAAGATCAGCTAGACATTACCTTTACAGGTTAGACCTTGCATAATTTGTATGTATGAAAGCATCATGCCTCTGCAGAAGAGTCTGAGTGCAGTCCACCCATTGAAAGCATCACAACATAAAAATATGAATGGGACCGTCAAAACAGAGTAGAGAGGTGATGCTACACAGTAATCACCTGTTTTTGTCAATATTTTACTAAGACTTTTGGAGTTTGGGCTGCACATGCATGCGTTAAGAATCTAATATGAACGATGTATTTAGATGCTTCCCTTGGAGCTTTTTGAAGCTATGAAAGTGCTTTTAATCAAGCGCAGAAATACCTTTGAGGTTATTTTGTCCACAGAAGGACATGCATGTGTATACCACATTTATATACTGAGGAATGAGGTTTAAATTATGTGGGAATTTAAGTATCCATCTGTTTCCTGGAATTAACATAAAATCAAAGCACATGTCTGAGGATAAAATGACTGTGAGGGTCATTTACACTACAAAGTCTCTTGTAAGGGCCACAATATGTTAATAAGCCTGACAGATCAAAAGATTTCATCAAGTGTCATTACCTGCACGGCTTTGATGATGGCAATGATGCCTGTGGGCCAGAAGCAGCAGACGGTGGTGAGCACGGCGATGGGCAGGTAGTCATGAGGCGGCCGGCGGTCCATTAGGGTGATGCTAGGAGGCATTTGCATGGGATGGATCTGGCCGGGTGGGATCGCTGGGTGGCCTCCTGCAGCTGGCATGTAGGGCTGACCCTGAGCAGAGGAGAAAGTGAGAAGTGCTTTAAAAATCAGAGGAGCAGTTTACAGACAGGGGTGTGTCCAGGTTTTCTGACCCGGGTGGCTGTGACTCAACTAGGGTGGCCAGTATTTAACCACTATTCCTTCTCCCTTGATGGAAATCGCTTCATTTACTAACATTCAAGTATTGAGATTTCTGTGTTAACATTTTTAACTAAGAAAACACAAAAAGTCCTGTTTTTGCTTCTGAAAAGAGGAAACTTTGGTCTACATTTGTAGGGTGACCCTGGGGGTGGCAGATCAGATCCTAAAGAGGGCTCATGCCACCTCTGACCACCTCTATGAACCAGCTGTCTGAGTACTAAAGCAGGAACAGAAGAGGTTCTAGGTTTGCTGCATTTGCCCTATAGTCCCGTTCACGCACGTGGATTTCATCAGTGAAAAAATGTGTTTTATTGAACATGACTCACGAGGTGAGCTGAACCGAACCACAGCTCTAGTTTGAAATTCAGTACACTTGATGGTGGGACCTGTATTGGCAAAACAACACTTTCAGTTGTTAGATGACTCATAACCACAGGTCGGCAAAATGGAGAAGTAAAAAGTAAAAATTGGATGTTCTCTTAAAGTTTTCAGTTCTGGTTGAAAGATTTAAATGTGAACGGATTAACCACATGGACTCATGTTTGCATATTCGAGAGCTGATGGTAGACTTCTCGATTATCAGTCCTAATGAAGAGTTTTTCTTACAACCCCAAAATGACCTGCTGGCATCTTTCCCAACACCCAGTTTGGAAACTACTGATCTAGAAGAGTTTACTGTAAATACTAATAAGTTAGAGAGTGATTGGTGTCATTTTGACAAGTCTTTTGAGCCATTTTATCTGGTGTATACTGCTCTGTTTCCCACTTCTTCTTTCTCTTTTTGCTTTCGGAGCTTTTGGCTGATCATAACGCCTTATATAAAGAGAAATAATACATTAAATGCAATATAAATATACCCCCACTTTGCATGGGAGCCCCTCTGAGGGCAAGTAATGCAAATTAGCTTAAAAAAATTCATTCAGAAGTACACTAAATTGAAGAAAAGTACTTCTAACATCTCTGTTATTAGACAGGTGTGGAGGAGAGTGGAAAATGGGTCTATCAAAATTCGCAAGAAAACTCCCACACATGGTCAGATGTCAAAAATACTTTCATTAGCGACCTTTTGGGACAAAACGCTGTGAAAAAATTAGCATTTTATTTTTTATCTGCTTATTCATTTATGCCTTTTCTCAGAGGATTGGTATGTTGTCTCTCCATTAGTTCTGATACTTCCTAAATAATACACAAGAATAAAATATCTGTAGAGTACTGTAAGGATAGTAGTTAAAGCAGAAATGTGACAGAAAAGGTTAAGAAATATTATGCAATTGTGTAAGTAAATTATGTAATTCATGCCATCCCTGCATGAGTAAACGCCTCTCCCCGGCCTATTAGAGATAATCTGCAGTTTTTGTGCTTCAGTGAAGTTCTTGATGGTAAAAATTCTTCTATAAATCAGCTCCACATCTAGAAACAGCAGACCTCAGCCTGTAGTTTCCTTTTAATTACACGCATCTTTCAAAGAAACTTCCTTAAAAACAGTGCGAGACGACCTCTTTCAGCCATCAAATCAGCAGAACTCTTGGCTATGATCTGACATGAGGACAAAATGTTCAATAAATCAGAGTCTGGCGTAATCCGCTCAGTCTGATGTCAGACCTGTGAAATCTTTACTCGTCTCTGACTCACCGATGCCATGGGGTAGACGGGTACGTAGGCCGTGCAGGGCTGCAGCTGGAGCGGGTAGCCTGGGTGGAGGTATCCTACAGGGGGGTGAGGCAGGGTGCCACCAGGGCCCTGCGTCTGGACCGTGAATCCCTGTGGAGCGCCCTGTGGTCCCATGGGGGCACAGTGGAACTGGGTTTCTTGGAGGTATCCCTCTGATCCCGGAGGAGGAGGTGGTGGAGGGTAGTTAGGCTGGGTGCCTGGAGCAGGCTGCATGTTGGGAAGCTGGGGGACATTGGGGTCTTGTGGGCCGGGGAGGTACGGAGGAGGCTGCATGGTCTGACGGCTGGACTCATCGAGACCTGCGAGAAAAGGAAAAGAAGATAATGGAGGGAAGATTAGAAAACAGCATGTAGGAAGGAAACACAAATAGAAAAAGCAGAGGAAGAAGAAAAAAAGAGAGGGATGTGAAAGTGAGGGCACGTTATCTAACTCGACACGGTTGAAGCACTTTTGTCTGAATGTCGACTGAGCTCATTTCAACGTGAGAAAAGGGAAAATATTACACAGACCACAGGTTCTCACAATGACTTGAGAGACAGAAAATCTGTGCCGCCTGTGTGCTAATGATGACAGAGATTGACATTTTACCTCAGCAGAACCAACACTCTGCTCTCTCGCCTTCTCCTTTCAAGACGATGTAATTATTACTTCTGAATGTGACATTTGAGAAATGAAAAACTCACCTGACAGTCTGTCGTTCCGTGGCGGAGGGTGCATTATCAAGAAAGCCTTTAGAAATCGTCTTCAAATTTTTAATATATGTTTATCACTCCCCACCCCCACGAAAAAAAAAAAACAATAATTAATTCCAACCTTTTCCAAACACTTAATGAAAAAAACAGATAATTTTGCTTGTTTGACCTTTAGACCAATCACATTATGATTGACAAACCAAACAGAACAGTGATGCAGGTGCATCATTGTGCTCATAATAATAATAAGAGAAAATAGTGTTTCCAGCTGGTTTTCTATCGCTAACTTACATACTGCGGGCTGTACATGTAATCATCAGCGATTAGCATACACACTCAACATTAAAGGGATATTCTGGCGCAAAATTAAGTTAGGGTCAAACACACCGTAACACAGAGTTAGACACCCCCTCGAGAGAAGAATGTTGCCAACCGCTTTCTTCTCTAGTTATACCAACTTTAGTAATGATAGCAATACAGAGAGCCACGCCTTCAACCAAAACGCCACTCTATAGCCACAAATAATGCTCAGAACAGCACCTAACTTCATCAACAGTACATATAGGGTCCCAGCCACATTACTAGCCATCAAACATCTTTTTAACTTTGCCTGATTTCTTTAGCAAAGAGACTAAACACAACTCACCCACTCTCTTCCAGCAGCCGCTTGTTTGTAGGGAGACCTCCGGTCAGTCCATTACGGACTGCTGCGGGGTGACGCAGCTCATGTGGCCTGAGGTCTCGCTACAAACAAGCGGCTGCTGGAAGAGAGTTGGTGAGTTGTGTTTAATCTCTTTGCTAAAGAAATTAGGCAAAGTTAAAAAGTTTGGTGGCTAGTGCTGTGGCTGGGACCCTATATGTGCTGTTGATGAAGTTAGGTGCTGTTCTGAGCATTATTTGTGGCTATAGAGTGGCTTTTTGGTTGAGTGCGTGGCTCTCTGTATTGCTATCTGTGGTTGTTACTAAAGTTGGTATAACTAGAGAAGCAAGCGGTCGGCAACATTCACCTCTCGACGGGGTGTCTAACTCGGTGTTACAGTGTTTGACCTTAACTTAATTCAATGCCAGAATATCCCTTTAAGCCCTGGGATGCATCTTCTTGTTTTGAAAACCAAAGTATGAAAAAGATATTCACTGTCTAGTTTAATATAAATGTCACTGAATCAAACTTCAAACTTGTCTTTGGTGGCACCTCTGGCGATGAGGGGTAACTGCAGGTCCACGCTGACAGTTGCTTTCCCTTATTTGTCTTCCTCTAGAGGTAAAACTTCTTCTCTCTATTTCTGAGGATTTCTCAGAGGACTTCCTCACAGACCAAACACCGATGCGCCACTATCTGAGAGATTTTTCCCAGAGAAATGCCATCACAGACAATCTGTTCTGTCACCACTGTGTTTACAAAAAAAAAAAGACTTAAATTTCAGTGGGAATTTTTTATCCAGTGTCTTCTCCAGACACGACACAGCTGTGATCACGACAGTGTAATCCTTTGGGGCAGTTACAGGTGAAGTGAGTTAGGTCCAGGGGAAATGCTTATTTCAGTATCTCTGATTTTTTGTCATGTCTGAAACTATCACAGTACAGAAAGGATCTTACAGTGTGAACGGAAAGAGCAAACTCAAGTGGAAGTAACTTGTTGAAAGAATATGATACCAAGATTTGAAGTCTAGATTTAGACCACTTAAAGAAGCTGTAAGAAGAATCGTCATGGCTACCCATGCTGATGATTTGAAAAATAATGACAGGGCATGTATAAGTAAAGGTTGTCCCTATTTAAAAACCAAATTCCAAAACTTCTCTTGTGGTCACAATTACACAAGTTTGTGGGCAGATTTACCTTAGAGTGTCACATCTCTTGATTAGTTAAGTTGCTTTTTTTGTCCTTTGTTTCAGGTCCATTGACCTCTTCCTCCTTGTGTAACCTTCTCCCCTGATTACCCTGATGTGTCTCACCTGTGTCTCGTTAACCCCACTGCCCTGCTGTATTTACACCCAGCTTTCCCTCTCCTCTGTGCCAGTTTATCTTGTCCTAAAGTCTCAGAGTTCCAGCATATATTTCAAGTGTTTGCCTCAGTGTTTTAACCTCCTTCAGTATTGTTTGACTCAGCCTCTTGCCTGTCGATTTGGATACCTCTGCCTTGCTTTTTTGGAATAAACGGACTTTGATTTTGCCCGCCTGTGAGTCTGCATCTGGGTCTCCTTTTGGTTCAGTGTTACATAGATAAAGTCTAAATAACCAGTTTACATTAATGAAGAAGAACTTCATGACCCTCGAATCTATCCTGACTTTTCAGAGGTTTCAGCAGTGTTGGTCGTAAATCACTTTGTATGACTCCTAACCTGCAGCTGCAGTTTCAGGTATTATTCAAAACTGCGTTGTAGAAATGATCAGTCTTTCAATTCCAGGCTTATTTGCTCATGTTGGTAATCAAGACGCATCATCATGTATTTCAGTCCATTTAAGAACCAGCTGATAAATTCTCACAGGAGCTCTAAAGTATTTCACAGATTCTTCAGTTGGATTTTTAAAGTTGTTTTTTTTCCCTATGATTTCATCATTTTGTTCACTGAAGTTAAAGGTTTGAGTGATTTGTACACCACTGGAAGCATCAATCTGATTTCGGACGTCTTCACATCTCATGCTCACTTAGTTCTCTCCCCTTGTGTTTCTTAACACACAAAATGACTGATGGGGTGTCATGTTTTTACAGCAGGTAGGTGGTCGAGGTGTGGTGATGTATTCTGACAGAGACGGGAGGAGGAGGAGCGGGAGGAGGAAGGAGAAAGAAAGAGGCAGTCGGAGAGCGGGGTGAGTGATGAGGGATGACAACTTGCGCTCGGGGACCAGGCTTTATGTAACGGACCTCCAACTCTGTCACAAGCAGTAACTGGACCAGAAACAGACCGAGAAGATGAAGAGAGCCACAGAGAGAGGGAAGAGACACCTCTACAAAGGTCATGATGTTGGCAAACATGAAAGACGGAAAAATATGTTGGTATTTTCTTGATTTTTAAGTGTGAAAAATCCAAAATCTGCCAGAGAGTTGCGTAATTTTAGCTTAAATTGTGTTAAAATGAGACGGAAAATGTCAGAAAATTTGGCTATGAGTAGCATCCATGATACACAAGGAATAAAAATAAAACTCTGACTCGCAAAGCTCGTGTACTAGCAGAGTTTAATGTGTGAATTCATTGAGATTGCTACAAGACCTTAGGGGCTTGCAGGTAAGAGCTAAATAGGAGCTAAACTGACCAATTTCAACAAGATGAAAATGACTTAAGGCTATTTTATGAATAATTCTACCAGTTTTCTATCCCATGCTAGAGATTATTCTACTGCAGTTGCATTACTTAGAAGAAAATGTACAAATGTTGTTGGTTGCTGCTTTAAACATACTTCTAACGTCTTTTTCACCAACCAGTTAGATGTGCATTACAGTTTAATGCTTGACTCATCTTTGCCAATTTCTAGTGATATTTGTGTATCTTTATCATTTTTCGTCTAGAGAACAGTTAAAGTCTAACACCATATAAGTTACATCACCTGTCCAGTGACAACAGGTCTAGTTTTACCTGTCATAAGAGCAGCATACAGAGCATTGCTGAATTTAACCAGACTAAACTGAATGCTATGGAAGCCCTAAGAGGACATACATCCCTTCAACATTCAAACAATTTCCAGAAAATCTAAGTTTCTTTTCTTTCTCTGTTTATTTATCTCTTTATCTGGAGGTAGAACTCGTGTTTTCTGTGATGAGGACCTAATATTAGTTGTTTAACGAGTTCTAGAACCTATTGTTCTTGTTATGTCTGGGTAGCAGAGCTGGTTTTTCTGTTCCTATTACTCATGATTATCTCAAAGTAAAAAAGCTTGTTTTCTAGTGATAGCAGGATAACTTTTTAGGTGTACTACAAAGCAATGTTAGAAGAAAAAAGCCAGTTTTCCACGTCATGTTGCTGTAGACTGATGACCTGGCTGGGACCAGGTTTTGGTCAGAGTTACCGCTTGAAACTGGATTAACAATTTGCAATTTCATGAAGAAATGCCAGATGATGCCCTTTATACTTCAGTAAACTATTGGTACAGTAAAAGAACTATAACACAACATCTAACTGTTATATCAGTTTAATGTTTGACCCGCAAGTCCTGTCAAGTCTGTTAAACCGCACAAAATGTATTAGCCTGTTGATATTTTTCACTGATTTAATAGATAATGAACCAATTAGATATCCAGTTGGCCCACTAGTCCAATGTAATCACAGTATCAGAGCTGCCAAGCGTCACGCTTTGAGTGTGACAGTCACGCAGTTTGACCCATTCTCACACCACACGCAACACTTGACATTTCTCACACTTATTTTTCCCCATTCAATACTCTGTATTTATCTTTTTCATGATAATAAACTTGGCTTGCCATAGTTTGAGAAACTCTGATTGACTGACCAAGATAACCAATCCCACACCAATCCATCAGTCCTTTGTGCCTAAATTTAACCAACCATGGAAGGCACTACGCAATGTAAACCAATCAGAAGCAACATAAGGCAGGTCTTGGCGTCTCTAACTATCTTTCACACACAACAGCATCGACATTTAAAACCATAGACTGTATGGACAACTCGATTCCATCTTCCGCCAGTATACGGATTTGAAGCCGAAAAGCTCTCGGTAATTCTGTGTTTTTTCTTCACTTCCTAAAACCAACATTGCGCAGTAGCATTGTGCACATTCGGCTCAAACAGTGAATCCCCTGGGTGAGCTATACAATCTTCGTACCCCCATAGGCTGTATCAAGTGTCAATCATAGAAAACATGAACCCCCTAATAACTTTTAAAAACTGAGCTGTACAGAAAAAAAATGACTTGAGCACAAACCAGTCTGACAATAACTACATGTCAATATCGCAACCAGGGGGAAGAAAAATTTATATTCTGTGTAATAAATTTCTAAAGTTTGTCCACAGCTTCATAGAGATTGTTGGAGGAGGCGGGATTTATGACCTATACTGCAGCTCGTCACCAGGGTGTGCTGTTCTCGGAGTGGCTTCACCCAGTGAGGAGGCAGATGGTGTCCATCCTATACACAGTCTATGTTTAAAACACACTCGACGTAATGCAATATTGACAAATAAAAGTGTTTTGTCAAAATTCTTGTTACAATTTTCATTTCTAATTTCTGGTTAATTAAGAGTAGCATTGGGGAGAGCAGCTGGCATGGAGGCAAGGACATCAGTGTTAAGGTATAAACTGACGTTGAAAAGGCAAAAAAAAAAAAATTGTGCGCAGCTGAAAACATAATGCTAGCGTCTCACTCTTGTCATTTTCTGAAACTTGGCAACCCTGCTATTGATATTTATCACAACCGTATTGTTGAGGTCACACAAATCTGTAACAAAAAGTCTGTTTTAAAGTTCATAACTAATTTTGTGATACCAAATAACTGTCATGGGAGCTTTTAGCTTTTTCGAACTAGCTAACTCAAAGAAAGCCCGCGTATGTTGAACTTGCTAACCTTCTAGCGGCCGTAAGACCAAAAACAGCCAGACCACAGCATGCTAGGCTGCCATTGGCCATAATAATGATCTATAAATTTAGCTGTTCAATGCCTAATAACTTAAAAAGTTATGACTTTATCATTATAATGCTAATGAACATGCTAACATGGGAAAACAGCATGACCTTCTAGGCTTCCGTACTATTCCATGTATTACCTCCACAATATTTCCCTTAGCCAACAGTATGCTCAAAAATAACCTTTTCAGACAGCTATTTTTTTGTTAACCTATTTTCAGCTAAAACTGCAGTCTCTCAGCTTTTCAGTTTCTTTTAAAAAAACTTGCTGCGTCTCATTTTGACCTTTATCCATCTATTTTAAGCTAATGCTGCGTCACCATTTACTCTAACATTACTTTAACATCATAGAGGATATGAGAAGAAAACCGGACTCATGATAAATCGATCTTTTTTTTATTTTTAGTGCAGCAGACGATGAGGATTATTAATTAAGGCTGGAAGGCACGCGCAAGACGAGTCGTGCACGCGCAGAGGACACCCACACTCATGTCTACAGTAAGGAGAAATTTACGTGGGCCTTTGCGTAAGGATTATGACACTGAAAAATGAACAAAATGCAATATCACAAACTACAACGTTGCTCCTTATCATCTAGATACTTGTAGTTCTAATGCATTGACTACAAAATACACCCCAAGTGATTAACCTGTCATGCAAATACAGCCCCTGTAAGTCTCTTGGTACCACTTTAACCCCCTTGTTTCAATAAGGGGCCCTAAATGGGTGCTTTCCCCCCGCAGGCTGCACCCACACAGCAGCGCATCATCCTACAGGAACAGCTCTGTGTGCACACCGACAGCGGATGGAGATGCAGATTACACCGATAAAAAGATATCGGCATCCTGTTCACCGATCAAACATGCTAAAAATCCTCACATCTTAATAAAAAATGGCCAGATTGTGCTCCAAAACAAGTGAAAATCAAGATAAAACAGCTTACCGTGTTTTTCCGACGACATACCTCCCGATCTTCTGTCCTCCTCCTCTGATCGGATGTATTGTGATAAAGAAAATCGCTCCTCTGTTGTGCGCAATGATGCAGACTCTCTTGTTTTACTTAAAAACCCATCCTCAAGATGTCTTCATCTTAAGAAAACACCCACGATGTGATGATCACTTTAAATAAACCCAATTATCCTCCAGCGCGCAGCTCTCTCTGCTCTGTGCTTCTCCTCTCCTCTCCTCTCTCTGTGGGGCTGCGAGTCTAATAAGGTTTCTCCACTAACGCGTCGCCGTACATTGAATTAATCAGACACAAAGCTATCGTTGTCTTAAAGCGACAGCCCGGCCTGTTAGAAATGCACACACACTTTGCAGGAACATCCCATGATCGTCTCTGGCTTGACAAATGAAGAATAAAAGGTGGATGTCTTCCCTTCAGGTTGTCCTCACATGATTTCTCTGTCCAATTTCCCTTGCAACCTTGTCAGGGAGGATGCATGCAACCCAACATTTAAAATGTCATTTCATATCTTTTTCAATACAGATTTTTATTACTGTACAATAAATTACAAGTCATCTTCATGTTGTCTGGACTTTGGTCTGTCAGTTAAAACCATTCCCTTCTACATTTCAAGTGATTTTGTGTAAACATCAACATGTTTTATAGGCACATACAGCACTTATGTGTTTTAATTACACCGCCTCTACCACCCCCATCCTTTCTCACACCTTTCACACGAAGACAAACACTATAGCTGCAGGCATCTCTCCCCGTCTTCTCAGTGGGTGTAGAGGGAGGCGGTGAAGACGATGTCCCTGCGGATGGCCAAGGAGGCCTTCTCCATTTTACTCCCCAGGACGGAGTCACCCACGATGCGGGCCGCCTGACACACCTCTTTCAGCACCTCGTCCAAGCGTTGGATGCAGCGGACCACCGTGCCCTCCTGGACGTCTGTGAGCTGGGCGATCTCTGCAAACGGCTGCAGACAAGACAGGGTGAGGGGAATGGAAGAAGTTATGAAAAATCTGCAACAAAACATTTCAGGAAAGCAAGATTATGGAAAGTAATCAGACAGACAAAACAAGTCTAACATCTAACTGTAAGATCTTAAATGATCTCATACTCGAGGTCTCAATTCTGTCTTCTAGTGTGCAAGAGAGACACATTAGTATCACAGGAGTAAGCCCTCAATACCTTATGTGTGGGAGCCAAAATATATTTGTTGAAAGTATGATTTCTAATAAGTACATCACTTCCGGGAATCGTCATTTAGGATGTTTGGTGGGTTATTCAAATCTCACCGGTGTAGTCAGATAATGGGTTTTTGGTAAGCTCTGATAATTTTCTGTTGAACGTTTCACTCATCCTGTTTTAACCTCATTTCATCTTATCACTTTTTCATTTACTTTTTCACTTTTCACTCATTTAAAGGCAAAAGTTTAAAGACAAACATAACAGAACACAGCATAATAAGTAGCTTATTGTATTGCAAAAGACATGCTAACAATAAGCACTGTTAAATTTTAATTTTTTATATCGTGATATATATATATATCCAAACTGACTGATATGGAAAAAATATATTGTGATAAACTTTTTTTATATCGCCCAGCCCTAGAGTCAGATCCCAGCTTCTGTTGTCCACATGTTCAAGTGTCTTTGGGCAAGACTGTAGACCCCAAACTGCCTCCACAGACTGTACCCAGCGGTGTGTGAATGGTATTAATAAACACTAATGGGTGCTTTACATAGTTGCACCAGTGTATGAATGTGTTGTGAAGGTGATGTGTTATGTAAAAGTGCTTTGAGTGGTTAGAGGACAGGAGAAAGTGCAGTCCATTTACCAAATACAGTCCATTAATGATCATTTCTTCTCTGTGGCCTTGCTTGGATAAGAACAGCCCCATTAACAAGAGAAGGATTAAAATTGTTCATGTTGAAATGACAATGGTTTGCACACACAAGGATCCGCAAAAAACGCACTGTGTGAAAATTTCACTTTCAACAGCAGAGTTGAACCTCACCATGCCTCTTGCCCAGCAGTAAACCACCTCCGTAAGGCCAAACTTGAACTGGCCCACAAACTCTTCCGCTGTCTGAGGTATCCCACAATCCCTCTGCAGCTCTCCAATACGCTTGGCCACTGCAAGAACCCGATCGATACCCTGAAAGTAAAGGAAAGAGAGAACCACAGAGAGAATGAGAGGGGTGTGGGGAGATTGGAAGTAGCAAGTGAAGCCTGAAGGATTTTAGTTTTACATGCGGCCCTTTAATGCATCATTTACTTTTCTCTCAGTGTCAGCAGACTGACCTTGTCATTTTTGTTCCAGAAATCTGTTTAACAAACTGTCTGCTGTGCTCTTGCAGGTCTGCAGAGCTCGTGTCATGACTAATTCAGGAACTCGTAAAGCACTTTCATGTATCAGGGGCAGTTCAAGACTCACACACCCACAGCGGAGATGACAGAGATGGAGACACGAGTGAATAAATAAGTGAGAAAGGGACTGGGCTGAGTCAGGTGAAGTGCCCCTGCTGTCCTTTCTGCAGGCCAAGGATGTAATGCCAGAGATGTACAAGTACAATGTAATATGATGTGAGAGTCATCCATGCGTGAGTCATCCATGGAGGAGGCAGAGTCTGTACATTATGTCAGCGCACAAACGTCACAACAGCCATCATTTTAATTGTGTTGTTTCCATAAAGCTAACACGCGTCCTCCTTACCTCTTGAAGCGTGTTGGTGATGTGCGGCTCCACCTGCGTGTTCTGCGTAAAGACCAAACAGGACAGCAGGGCGGCGCTCTCCTCGGGGGCAAGTGGGCTCAAGGCGTTCTCGAACAGCAGCTCGGTCAGGAGCAGCTCGTGGCTGCTGATCTGACAGGCGACGCGGCCTTTCAGCTGCACCGCCCCGTTGCCGTCGACGTACTGAAGAGACTGCAGCACCTGATAAAAAACAGATGATAAGGAAACCTCAGAGTGTTTGTTTGGGATGAATATGTTTTGGCTTCGATTCACTCATGCACACACAAAAACACACTTTCTGTTACTATTTTTTACCACGGAAGTCTGATGTCAGAGCTGAAAATGACGTCACACCTGAGTTACAAGCGTTTCAGTTACCGAGTCAGAATAGAGGCAAAATCGGAGGCGGAAACAAGATGGCTACATCTACGAAAGTTATTTAAGCGCTTGTTATTTTGGTTATTTTAAGTTTGTCCAATTATTTTAAGTGCCTCCGATTTTGCTTTTTTTCGACCTGGTAACTGAAACGCTTGTAACTTGGGTGTGACGTCATTTTCAGCTCCGACATCTGACTTCCGAGAAAACTCGTACGCAGCATAAGTCCCTTAAAGCTCCTGTAAGAGACTTTCAGTTTGTGTCAATTATGGCGCCCTCCTGTGGACAAAGCCGCCTTTGCATAGATGCTATTCTCAAATTTCAGAGGTATCTTTAAAAAAATCTCATCCTCCAGACTTATAACAGAAAAATATATCATTTATAGTGGCAAAAAGAGGCAAAAACAGCTTTTTCTACCTTTCTCCTCAAAGTGGATAATGATAATAATAATTTGTAAAAACAGTTACGAAAGTGTTTGATCCAGACCTTGATCCTCTGGTGGTATTCTGGCAGCAGAGACAGAGACTGATCGGACACCAGGAACAGCAGCCGGTCCAGCTCCTCCTGCACTCCCATCCTCTCCTGAACACGAGCAAACTATAACGCACATAAAAACACACACATGGGTTACAACACGGCCTCTTATCTCACACATACAACATCAGGAAAGCAGCACTTGACCTGATTTCAGAACAATAAAAACTACACTGCACTGTAGCCGAGAGAAAAGATACTGCCTATTGTCCTCTGATTGGTAACACAAAGGAGTCTAACTGTGTAAGTGTAACATGATCCCACAGAGGCCAATTACTAACAGCTCGCTTTGCGGAGTATTATTACAATAACCATCACTTTATTAAACCCACAATGCTGCGTGAAGACAAAACAGGAGTGTGCGGTGTTGAATGGAGACATAATACTGCTAACAGAGCTCCTATCTTGCAACGTAATCAAAGCCTGTGTGAATGTGTGTGAGTGTGTGTGTGTGTGTGTGAGATGGCTCAAATGACACACTGCGCCTGTGAGACGGCGATGAGCTGCAGCTATAAGCCTATATGTGTAATTATAGAAACAGCAGGCTCCAGATCCTCGCATCTTATCTCCTCAGCGAGACTGCCAGGAAGACGTGATACGCGGCGCAGAAGGAGGAATCTAGCAGCCGGAGTTTGATGTCATTACAGCGAAAATAGAGGGCGGAATGACGGAGGGATGAGAGAGAAACTAAAGGGAGGAATATAAAAGGGGCCAGTCTGAGTGTGTTATGCAAGGGTATGATGTTAATTAGCTGCATAAATATGCAATCACTGCACAAAAGAATTCATAAGCAAACGTGTAATTAGAAAAAAAAAGCTGGCCTCATCAGAAAATATAAATAACCACTTTAAAAACACTGCATAAGGGATAAAACACACACACACACCTGCTCTGCGAAAGTGGGCGAGTGGATGCAGTTGAACTCTTTGAGGCTCTCCTGCAGCACGCGAAGCCTCATAGAGCCCTCCACCACATCCACGCTCTTCAGCTGGAGGTCGTTCACAGGGTCCAGGCTCGCTATGCCGCCGGGGCTGGCCTCGGCCAATCGCAGGAGCTCCTGGGTTGCCGTGGAGATGGCCTGGCCGGGAGGGTCGTGTCTGAAGGAGGAGATGGGGGGGGAAGGAGAGTGAGGAAGATAATCTTGTTTTGGTCTGAGACGACGAACAGTCTGATAAAAAAGACCTCAATAAGTGGTTTTGAATTTAGCGTACACAATAACTGACACCAGAGACACAAACGGCAGTAAATGAGGAAATCACATCCTCATCAGCTGAAATCAGTCGTAGAGTATATGAATCCTTAATGAAAAATAGATGTGCATTTTCAACACTGAGTCTCGGCAGGACAAAGCTCTCCAAAGTAGTAGCAGTACCGAAAGCAGTCCAAAAATAGACTCAAGTGTCCATCATCATGAGAAAGCTGTCCAACTCTTTAGACACCAGAAACATAATGGACATCTGCAGCCTCCCTTAAAAGCACCACTTGTACTATCTGCCTCCAAGTCGACGGTACAACAGGGAATAACATCTGTAGGTCTGTTGCACAAGGGACAAATAAAATCATGACTTGGAACTTTTTGTACTGAAGCAGGTCTGCTATCTCAGCAAACAGCCCGGCTTATTTGAAGGATTTGAGTTTTTCATTCAAGTATTTAAAGCTCAGAGCAGAAACTTCGTATTCCTGACAGTCATCAGGATCCTTGAAGACAGGGCAGTACCTCTACTCCCTCTATTTCTGTCACATACACAGCAAATAAGCCATCCTGCCATCTCCTAACCACTGAGCATCATACAAATATGGACGACATCTGCTCCCGCTGGAAAAAACAGTGAAGCCAAACTCCCCCCATGATTGGTGCTGACGTACTTCTATTATCACCTATTTGGAGCCAAGGCATGTGCTAACAGGATCCAACTCATGAGGCACAAATGTGATGTCCAGTCTCCTCCTTAGATCTTACCAAAACATACATTTAACTTCAGGCTGGTACGGCATTGGTTAATGGAGCTGTCAATCACAACATCACAACCCCTAATCTAAGTGTGAGATAAGAGCTAGTGGCTGACAGAAAGCATAGGGTTATGCTATGGGTATAACGCTGCATTCCAGTTACCTCGGAAAGGCGAATGTCGGAGCTGGGAATGACGCTACACCCAAGTTGACGGCGTTCCAGTTAACAAGTTGGAAAACCAAGATGGATGCTTGCTGTTAGGCATTGTTAGCTGTTGTTTACAATTGTCAGCTGTCGTTAGCCGTTGTCAGTTGTTGTTAGCAGTTGTCAGTTGTTGTTAGCTATACCAGTTGTAAACAACCCACAACACAGTATTTTACTCTTACAAACACCATAGCACCGTGTTCACAGTTAGACATTGGGCAGTACAACATAAACCACTTATTTAATTTCACAAAAACAAAACAGAAGTGCTAATAAATAATACACTACGAGAGCTTTCACTGTTACTCTTTACTGTTGATGCACTACACTGCCATCTTGGATTATGACGTTGTCATCAAGTCGGGGTTGGTGATGATCGTCCGACTTTCCGAGTCGGAAATCCGACTTCAGGGGGGCGTTCCAGATGAATTTCCGACTCGAAGCTCGGAACGCAGCATTAGAACATGACTTGACGCCATGTTTAACATAAATGCTCTATCATCACAACAGTATTTACACTGAACATTTGCCATAACTGTTTTAGAGTTAACAAGCTGTCATAGAGAAAAAAACATGCTTTGTATGCCAAGAAATGGTTGAGATATATTTGATTTGTATTATGATTATAATAATTTGCCATAGGTTCCATTTATTAACATGCAAATAAAAGCAACTCAAAAGTTAGTGCTGTGTGTCTTTTTTAAGACACTATCCAGGTAGGCAGCTTTAACAGGTTAGTAACAAATGTAATAGAGGTATTTGTGTTATATCCAGTGTGTTCTATAGTCGGTTAAAACTCCAATAAACATGTGGGTGTTATCATTCATTTGTGATAATAAGGCCCTTCTTGGGTTTTCATTATTCATATCAGTTGGCTAGAAAAACTTAACTGCGCTCTCTTACATTAGCTTTACATGTCTCTCTATCTGCCCTCAGTGTGTATTTCCTGTTGCTTCACTGCCACCAGCTGTCAGTTTGCAGGATAGCAGGAAACCAATGAGAGAGTATAGATCATATCTGAGTTAGGATGTTAATATATTTCAATAGAATGATTTAAGACCCTCACCTGAACCTCGGCTGCTGCCTCTTGTTATAGTTGTCGATGATCCTGTCAGGAATCACTTTGAGGGTTTTCACTGTGATGGCCGAGATGTCCTGAAGCTTCAGTTTCTGCACAGTGTGGCTGCAGGGACCTGACAAGAGTGAAACAGGAGTATTTCACAAGCTTCCTCTGAGGTTACCATGACTGAAAAATGTTCTGTGAAAGCCTCGGCATTATCACTGAGATGTAACCGGGGTGATTTAAGTGAATCTGAGGGTAGAAACGTGGAGCGACTAACCTTCAGGAATAAAGAGTGCTGTGTTGAACAGGTGGGGAAAAGCATTGTGACTTTTTTCTTCACCTTCCTCGTTTCCTTTCTCGCAGATAATGAGAGCGGTGAAGGTGCGATTCACAGCATCATTAGACACCTGAGAGGAGAGTAGGAACAGGTTAAACAAACATGCTAACTAGTTCTGAATTAAGTATTTTTGTATTCTTTGTGTTAATTGAGCTTCCGAAAATTCCTCCTTCAAGAGTCAAGCCACTCATTACAAGTTTTAAATGTAGTTATTTAAGTTTCTATGATGCCAATTTAGAAAAATATTAAAAATAAGCTCAAACATCCACCTGTAGAATAACTCCGAGGGCGTTCAGATGCTGTTTGTAGTTGACCACGATAACTCGACCCACTGACAGAGCTTTCAGCCCATTCACAGAGTCCAGAATCGCACGCTGAAAACGAAGACAGAGAGAGAAAAATGTAGCATAATAAAAGCTAAGGGTTACAGAATACATATATGTGTGAGTGTGTTTGAACCTGGAGGATCTCTGTGGTGGTTCTCAGCTCAGTCACGGTGTGATAATAAGGCAACATGTCAGACAGCTGGCCGTCTGAGTCCAGAGGAGGCAGAGAGGACAAAGTCTGCTTCAGCTGGCTGATCCTCTTCTCGTGGGCCTGCAGGAGAAGGAGAAAAGATTTTAAAAACACCTTTTTTATGAGGCAGGGAAAAGAGGACAAAGCAGCCAGGAGGTAGACGACAGTTTGGAGGCATTAAAATAGTCAGAGAAGAAATAAAGCTGTGGCTGTATTCCTGTTTTTACTGCATGATAATACTCACTTTTAAACAGTGCAGAAGTTACGACAAAACTGGTGCTTTTTAAGCAATCAAAAACAGTTGTCTACTGAAATACAGGGTTTGTGATTAATGCGGCATTAGTGTTGGGTGATTAATCAAACATATATAATAATGGAGACCAAAGGTAGACTCAATTACTCTATGTTTGGGTGCTTATTTCTGACTTTCTCTAATTTTCCTCTGACTAATTGGTCGATTACTTAGAAGTGCCTGCTTTGCTCTGCAGGTGTACATTACCTGAGTGTCCCTGTGGCTCTCAGAGAAGCTCCTCCTCATCATGTCGGTCACACGGAGGGCTTCCACTCGCAGCAGGTTGAGGATCATGGTGTAGGTGAGTCTGAACTGGGACTGGAGGATGGTGGGTTTACCCTGAAACAAACAGGAGATCTCAACATAAGTCTGAATGAGGCTGAAATAATGTTGATTGTTGTTCCTGATTTTAAAGAAACAGAGATCTCCATTTTGTTTTTCCTTACCAGCATCATTACGTGCAGATCAGCCATCTCGTGCACTCCAGCTTTACACAGAATGATGACTGTACCTGTGGCATCCAGGCCCCTCCTGCCCGCTCTGCCCGCCATCTGAATGTACTCACCTGAAACATGAATGAGATATCAAACACACTCTGCTGTTTTCCTCGACCCCGATTCAACCGGCGATGATGAAACGGCGTGAAAAATGTTGGTTCTGATGAAAGAGACAAAACAAAGACAGAAACGGAGAGAGCGTCGAACCTGGCAGCAGATTTCGGAAGCCGGTGCCGTCGTGTTTCCTGATGCTGTCGAATACAACAGTGCGGGCGGGCATGTTCACTCCCATGGCGAATGTCTCTGTGGCAAAAAGAACCTGGAGATGAAGAGGAGATAGAGATGCTTGTTTTAGGAGATGGACTCTAAGGTTAGTTATCTTCTGCCCTGGAGTTACGAATGACACCATCACACTATCTGATGAAAAAATTCTGCCTCATGATTATCTTTGTCTGACTCACCTTCACGAGACCTCTCGAGAAGAGCATCTCAATGACCTCCTTCAGAATCGGCAGGATCCCGCTGTGGTGAACTGCTATCCCTCTCTTCAGCAGGTCCCTCATGAGCAAAATCTGAACGTGACATTTTAAAAGTCTTAGCATCACAACAAAAAACTTGGACTGGCCCAAAATAGTTCATTTTTTTCCTATAAAAAGTGAAACTTCCATATATTCCAGATTCATCACAGGCAAAGTGAAATATTTCAAGACTTTTTTGTTGTTTTAAACTTGAGCTCCACAAGAGGAGACACGCAGACAAGTCCAGGAAATGGACTACAAGTGTTGTGTTCCTACTGTCAAGCTACTCCTGAATCAAAGACATGGTTTCTGCAAGGCCTGAACAGCCTCAATGAGAAGAAATTTCCTAATCTCTTCTTTGTAAAGCCTGAGATGAGATAATCAGGAGGCCAATCTGCTGATTTCTACCTGAGGCAGCTGCCGGTCTCCCCCTCGAAGGCGACTCATGCTCTTCTGGAAGAAAGAGTGGATCTCTGCCTTTTCTACAGATGTGGTCAGGTCCATGGAGTCCAGCGAGCGTGCGTTGTCGTCACAGCGTGTCCGGGAGAACGTGAACGCAACCACTGGCGTCTGCTGCCTCTGGGACAGGTAGTGAAGGAGAGTGAGCCACACCGCTCGGTCCTGGTGATATTTAAAAAAAACAAAGAAGAATAAAAAGTGAAGCATGAAGACGTGGTTTGAGAGAAATCAAAAAGCAGCAGAAGAACAGAAAAAACTGATTAGTTACCTGACTAGCTGTGGTGTTCTGAGACGTGTTTTTTGCGCCAAATGATTGGGCGTGTTTGCTGGTGCGGTCCTTTTTTGCATCGACAGCTGCATAGTATCTGAATAACAAGCACACTTTTCTTAAACACAAACAGCAAACTCACCTTGAATGAAAGCATCAATAAAAACTCAACATAGATATCTGTGAGATAAAGATGTGCAAGTTTTTACCCTTTCGTGAGGAAGTTTCCCACAGCATCCACCAACAGGAACAACTCTTTCTGGGTCTTGGTGCTGTTTCCAGTGTAGAGATGATGCTCCAAAGGCACAGGTCTCTTCATGGTGCTGATCACGTAAATATGCCTCTTCTTTATCCGACTGAGTGGATGAAGAATAATACAGGAGAGAGAAGGAAACATAAAAAAGGTTGATTTTGATGCATTATTTTAGGAGTTAGAATGACATGTTTATACAAATCTAGTGAACATATGAACAATAACGGAGGAAACAAAACACAAAGACCTGCTTTAATACATGAATGCCTCAAATAAAGGCCTGATCCTACTTTGCTTCAATAGTCTGTACCTACCCGATCCACTCACTGAACTCCAGAGCGTTCGGCACTGTGGCGCTGAGAAGAATGATACTGACGTGATCAGGAAGCATGATCAAAACTTCCTCCCAAACAACACCTCTCTGAGCAGAAACAAGAAGGAGATAGAGAAAGAGAGAGAGAAGATGAAAACTGTTTCTGTGTTTTAAAATGATCATAAGATACAGGATGAAGTTTCTGACCTCAGCATCATTGATGTAGTGAACCTCGTCGAAGATCACCCACTCCAAGTCTCTGATCACCTCTGAGCCGTTGTAAAGCATGGACCTGACAGATAGAGAGCGATAAACCTTAAAACTTAAAGCTTTTGATCTTTTCCAGAACATCGATTTAATATTTGTGACAAAAGCCGGAGTACCTGAGGATCTCAGTGGTCATGATGAGGCAGGAGGACTCAGGGCTGAGCTGCACATCACCGGTTAGGAGTCCAACGTCCCCGAATGTGTTTTTAAAGTCTCTGAACTTCTGATTGGACAGGGCTTTGATGGGAGAGGTGTAGATGGTCCTATCAAAACATCAAATAACAAAGATGAGTGATAAATTTGACCGCTTCAATAAAGCAGGCTGAGATTTGTTTTGCAGGAACGTGACGGGGCAAAATCATCTGAGGGAAAGGGGGCATCATGATGCTCACATCATGCTCACAGGGGGCGCCAAATCAACACCTATTATTGCAGTACATTCATTATGAACAAGTGTCTCAAACATCAAATACAAATATCAGGTGGTCAGGTTCAGAATAGAAACGCTCCCTTGCTCGCCCCTCCTGTCAGTGAAGTGTCAATTTGTCTGTTTTTTTACCATCAAAGATGTCTATCAATACAAATCCATGTTTTTCTTCATCCTCTATCTAAAGTTTCAGTTAACGTTATGGTTCTAAAATCCTCTCCGACAAACTTCTCCTTGTAACTTTCCATGGGGGTGTGTTTGGCTCGCTGTACAGCTCTGCACCAACCTGAATCGTGTTGGCAGAAGAGAAATTGAACTGTACCGACAAACACACACCTCGTCATGTGTTTCTGCGAGAGAGCGATGGCGTATTCAGCCACCACTGTTTTTCCAGCTGACGTGTGAGCAGCCACAAACACGGAGTCGTGAGCCTCCAGCCTGAGCACAGCCTGCTTCTGGAAAGTGTCCAGTTCAAACGGCCACTGGAGCAGAAGAGAGCGGAGGAAGAAAGATCAGTAAGACAAACATAATTATATGTGATGAGTCATTATCTACACAGAAAAATAAATACACATGTAGGGAATAAGAGAGGAAAGAGAGACATGGTTATTATATCTGGCTACTGGGATGATTTTGAAGGACCCACCTTGAAAGCTGGGTTGGGGATGCGTTTGTAGAAATCATCACAGGGTGCAGAAATGTTGACAGGGATTGCCCACTTTTTATTTTCCTCTGGGTTTTCATTCGGTTTTGGTTTTTCATTTTTGTTTTTCTCTGAGGGGGCTGCAGATGACACAGCATCCTGAAAGGAGATCCAGATTTATACATAAAAAACACTTTTTACGGATGAGAGAAAGTCATACATTACACTGTGATAACTAAATAAACCACTCAACTCATTATCCATTCTTTACTGTTCGTCACTTCATCTTAAGCATTTACAGTCATTTGAAATGACTAAAAAAGAACCTCTACCCGTAATCTTATGTATATATTATCACTTTCAGTTACAAATCTAATGACCCAAAAGTTCTAATAACACACATTCTGATTCAATTGATTTTTTTAACACAAAAATACACAATCCTGCTCAAAGCTTTTATCTCTGAATTCAATTTTGACTCATAAGAATCAATTTCTGAGCTCTATTGTATGTTTTTATGCACTATTTTGACCTCTCTTGACTGGAGTACTGAAGACCTAGTGTTACTTTTTGCAATCTTATTAGATGGTTAGTTTTATTGTAAAAATGTTTAATAACCATAAAAGTTTACAGCTCAATCACCCTTTCCCCTTTTTTCTATGCTATTATCATAAAAATGATCAATATACATGTTAGAAGAAGAAAGAAACAGCTAATCTTTTTGTGTTGATCACCATTTCAGATACAGACAACAGTTTTTTGAAAGCAAACCAATCACCTTGATTCCCAGGTCTTCCAGGCTGTTTGTTCTGGGTAGTTTAGGAGTCTCTTCTTTTCTTTTGTCTTCCTCTTTCTCCTCTTTGTCTGGTTGCATATAAGCGCCGTCATCGAATGTGGACAGGAGGGACATGAGGTTGACCTCTGCTTTCGCCATCTTGGAACCTTCCAGATAAAACCAAACAAAAAAACAAACAATAAAACTGTTAGAAACTTTACTAGAAAAACACTAAAGGCTTTTTTTTTGCACAAGGGGGTCAAACGACCAACCTTTGTCAGTGAAGTCCATTCCAGCTTTGAATCCAGGAGGGACTCTGAGTAAATCTGTGAGAGGAATATCAAACATTAAGCGCTGAAAAAAACAAAATCCTTACATTTTATAACACAAGTCAAAATGTCCACATCACCATTCTCAAAGTCGATGTCCTCCTCAAGCTCAGATTTCTTCTTAATCTGGTCCAGACTGAGCTCCTCCATTCCTCCTGTGAACAGATACACAGGACAGTGAAAACACCTCAAACTTTCAGACACAGCAAGGTCACTCTTAGACAGTCGATGGTTTGAATCAGTTTATCTCACCAGGAAGAAAAGGGTAGTTCGTGTTGCTTCCTCTGAGGCTCTCTGAAGGAGGGCCGGGTTGTCGTTGCAATGAAAGTGAGTTCTTTGCAGACAGACCAGTATTTTCCAGTAACACCTGAAGGTGGATGAAGACTGATTAACTGTTTAATTTCTAAACACATTGGACTCTTTCTCCGATACAATCAAAGAACAACTTCTTTCTATGGAGGCGTGCTATTCTGAAATGAATGAATGAATGAAAGGAAAACGCTTCCACAACTCCTTCTCGATAAGAGGCCATTTAATTCATGTCATTTATGTTTATTAACACAAAATAATTTTCATTCTAATTCAGCTCATGAATATCAGACAACAGTCAAAATATAGTAGGTGCTTTGCCAAAGTGCAAGTCTAACAGAGAGAGAGTGCAGAATAACTAACGTCAGAGATGAAGAAAAGCAGCTATTTTTTAAAGGACATATTTTTAATTTCTGCTGAAAAAATAGACCTAACCCTAACCTTTTCCTTTCCCATAAGAAATGTTTAGCATTCATTTTCTGTCACCTATGACCCCAAGCTGCCTCTGGAGGACACTATGCTTTAAAAAATCAAAAAATGACAGCACAGTAGAGTTGAGTATGTATGGGTGTCTATGATCTACCTCTGTGAAGTCCAGCAGCATCCCTGTGGTTGGATCTCTGATGACAGAGAGACCAGAGTGAAGAGAAGACGGAGTGCAGTTGAGTAAAGAGTCGGCGTTGACTTCTCTCTGGGTCACCCTGATGAAGAAAACAGCAAAAACATTACAAATACAAACATGTTTTAAAAGGTTTTATCAAAAACACCCGTTATAAATACTTGAAATAACTACAAATTGCATTTTCTAAGTTACAATAAAGATATTTTCCTGCTAAACACATACTTTGGGAACTTCTGGAAAGCAAAGTCTATGTCGTGTATGGGAAGCCAGGCAGGGTCACGTAAAAACTGCTTCTCTACTTCTTTCTCCAGGTTCAGGCTGGTGGGAGGTAGTCCATGGGGGAGCTTTGGGCAGAAAAACATGATCAGGAATTCAGTAACTAGAGGCAAGGCAGCACACCAATATCTACTACATCTATATTAATAATATGTTCATCTGCAGGATAAATGAAGCAAATGCAAAGTACTGCATTTCCTTGTGACATTTTGTGAAGGCAAAGTAAAAGCAGTGCATTAAGGTAGGGCTGGGCGATAAAATACTAATGACATATATCAAAAATTAATTTCCCTCGATATCACTATGAAACATGGTCAATATGCTTTTTGATAGCCGGCATTCTGCCATGTTTTGGTAGACTAAACTCGCCGCTCCACACTGAACTGACCATTCAGTCCGCTTTCTCTAGCGCAAGGCCTTTTATCGCAAAATATCTCGAGTGCTGACCATTTGGGTTGAGCTTGTGATGACGTTTCCAGCTTTTCTAGCCAATCAGAGGCGAAGGGGGCGTGACTTTCCCCAGGAAAAGTCTTCCCAGAATGCCGTTTTTTCCCCCCCGGAAAGTCCCAAAATCACATCGCACTTCATTTGTATTGTCAGGCGCGTCAAAATTCGCCTCTGAATATTTCATAATTTCGCGTCGTATATTTGCGTTGGTCCCGGTGTGTAAGGACCTTAACACACATTTAAGATTGACAAGTGATTTATTTGTATCGTGATATATGTCAATATCGAGTGATATTAAAAAATATATCATGATAAGCTTTTTCCTGTGTCGCCCAGCCCTACATTAAGGAGATAGAAGCTCTATGAGAGTAAAAATGTACACAGTCATCCTGCAGCACACTAACCGTGCTCTGTGGAGGTAAAGGCTGGCCAGGCAGGGGATGTGTGATGAGCTCAAGCCTGCCAGAGCATCCCATCTCCAGCAGGGACAGAGGCAGGTCCATGGGGCCCGGCTGGGGCACATCTGCACAGAGAGGAGGGGGACAGAAACAACAATAGATGTAAGAGTCTGAATGAACTTGAGAAAATCATGCAGGGAGGAGATGCTGATGATTCTGAAACAGCCTGTAAGTGCTGAGTCAAACCCCTAAAATCCTTACTGCAGTCTCATTGTGGTCTAAAACTGGATCCACAACACACGAGGGTGCTGAATGACCCCAGAGTGACAGAGAGCCACATCACCAGACAAGCTGCAGCACTACAGCATGATCCCAGGATGTTACACTCTCACTGTTAAACAAATAAAAGCCCTCTAAACATTTAATAAAAGGCCTTAAAACTTACTTATCCGCTCCATGTGTCCACTCACTCAGAGCTGAAAGCTAAAAGTTGCCAACACCAACTAGTGCTCAGCTGTCGCCTCGGAAGTTGCCACAACTGAAAGCGGAAGTGGCTACAAAACGGAGATAGGTTTTTAGCTACATAGAAAGATTAAAAACTAAAAGGTGTCCGTGTCAATCATTTCCCCAAAGCTTTTAAAAATGTATAATAATATTTATCAGAGAGATGTCGCTCTGTCTACTTTACCGGATGAGATGCTGTTAAAAAGCGCCAATGGACTCTTCTACGTCATATTCATGCGTCCGTGTTTTTGTTGATGTAGGGGACAGAAGAGTGAAAACTTGGTAAAAAAAATTAATCGATTAAATGATAATTTTTGGAGAAAGTGCATATTGAAATACCTAAATCTTTATTTCAGCTTCTGATAGATGTGTTTGTGTTGCAGCTGTTGCCGTAATGGTGGTGTTTCCGAGTTCTTTAACGGAGGAGGAAGAGGCTCTGCAAAAGAAATATGCCAAACTGAAGAAAAAGGTAAATCAATTTTAGTCTTTAATGTAACATCCCTCATTAGTTTAGTGATATTTAAAATTAAAAACTTGTCTTCTAATGCTGAAATATTGTTTTAGATAAAATCTGGTTTATGGCGATTCCAGGATTGCATTGACTTCCGTTAAATGTGGAGTAATTAGTCATAATATCAAATAAAATATCGTCTTTTTAAGTTTACAGATCAGCCTCACTAAAATGATTGACTGTGTTTTCAGAAAAAGGCCCTGCTCGCTCTGAAGAAGCAGAGTTCAACCAACCAGACGAACCAAAGTGGTTTGAAACGGAGTAAGTGTTATTAATCTTATTATATTTGTAGATGAACAGAAAAAAATGTATGATTAAAAAAAGAAAACCTCAGCGGAACATTTCTCAGCTAATAAGATTATTTGTAACTGTTTAATTACATGACTGGTATTAAAGGGACATTCCGGCGTAAAATTAATTTCTTCACGCCTCTCTAGTTATACCAACTTTAGTAACGACCACAGGATAGCAATACAGAGAGCCACGCGCTCAACCAAAACGCCACTCTATAGCCACAAATAATGCTCAGAACAGCACCTAACTTATGGGGTCCCAGTTACCAAACATATTTTTAACTTTGCCAGATTTATTTAGCAAATAGACTAAACACTATACTGTAATACTTTCCTTCATAACAGCTTTGTCAGACCAACCTGTAGTGGACACGGCTACAGCGACAGAGCAGGCGAAGATGCTGATCAAATCTGGGGCCATCAGCGCCATCAAATCAGAGAACAAAAACTCAGGCTTCAAACGCTCTCGAATGCTGGAAATCAAACTTAAGGTTATTATTACTATTTTTCTTATAAGATGGTGTGTAAGCTGACAATCATATCTTTTCTCAGTTTACATGTTTTTTGATTAATTATATTTTCTGTTCTTCATCTGCCACAGGACCCTGAGAAAGGCCCAGTTCCTGCTTTCTTACCGTTTCAAAGGAGCGTCTCTACAGACGAGGAACAGCCTGAGGTATACTGGATGAAAACATGGTTGCTAATACCAACTCTTTGTCAGAGATGGTATTTTGACCATGTTTCCAAATTGCGCTGACTCACTCTTTTCTAGATATTATTATTAAACAATGTCTTGTGTCTGTGTTTTAATTCTTTTAGTCTGGGAAGAGAGCCCACAAGAAGTCTCTGTATGAGAGGTAACGTTCAAACCCTCAATGAATATGCAGATGACATGTTTAATTCACTAACAGAGGATAAATGTAAGTAGTTTATTATTTCCCTTGTGTGCATCTGCAGCTTTGTCAGCTCCAGTGACCGATACAGAGATGACGATGATGGAGGTGGAGGTGGAGGTGGAGGTGGAGGAGGCGGTGGCATGTCATCAAACCGTGAAATGGATCGGGAGAGAGACAGAGACAGAGATCGGGACCGGGAGCTGGAGAGAGATCGAGATAGGGACAGAGATAGAGACAGAGAGAGAGACCGGGACAGGGATCGAGAAAGAGGCAGGGACCGAGAGCGAGAACGGGACAGAGAGAGAGACAGAGACCGGAGCAGAGAGAGGGATCGAGACCGGGAGAGGGACCGGGAGAGAGACAGAGATGGACCCTTCAGACGTGAGAAAACTGTTTGAACACTTGTACTGATAAATAGAGGTGAAGTTAAGTGTTTGATGTGCAGTGTACTCACTGTAATGACCTTTTATTGTGTCTTATGTCCTCACTCTCAGGATCAGATTCATACCCAGAGCGAAGAGGTGTGCGAAAAGGAAACACAGTGTATGTTTACGGCTCTGGTCTCGCTGAGGAAAACCTACGCTCTGCTTTCTCTCAACACGGAAACATCATCGACCTCTCCATGGACAACCCACGCAAGTAAGAAACCATTAAACCTTACTGCGTGCACTCAGCCAACATCTCTACATACTGTTTCAAACACTAAGCTGTTGTCTTATATCCTCTTCTGCTTCTTTTTTCTACATCTAGCTGTGCATTCATCACTTTTGAGAAGATGGAGTCTGCAGACCAGGCTGTGGCTGAGGTTTGTATTGAACATTAAGGAGTAAGGATAAACACAGTAGAAATGCTGTTTAAGGAATGGAGGAGCTTTTGTTTTTGGCACCCTCTTTTGGACAATGCAGTCTTTGCTTCTGACAGATATCTCATCCTGTTGACGTTTGCCGGCCAAATGTATCATAAAGATAATTGTTTTATGTGTAAATTGTGAAAAACTTTCTTTGCTTTCTTTGTCCAACAGTTAAATGCAAGCATGGTGGGAGATGTTCACATCAAAGTCAGCATCGCCAGGAAGCAGCCCATGCTGGACGCCGCCACTGGCAAATCTGTGTGGGCCTCACTGGGTAAAAAACCTTACTTTTGCTGTTTGTTTTTTTTTGGGACTGTGAGTGTGTGTGTCTGCTCAGTGTGGACTAACCTTCATCAATGTCTCTGTTATATTTCACAGCTGTGCAGAACAGCACCAAAGGCTCCTACAGAGACAAGAGGAACCAGGTGGTGTACAGCGAAGATTTCCTCTGAGCTTTTTTTTTTTTTCGCAGACGATCTTTTTTTGAATATTTCATTTCATTGACATGTTAGCCGCATGCTTACAGTGAGTGTTGCAGGCTCAACGCATATCTACCTGTCTGAAAGTTTAGATGACTGTAGTGTGTGATTGTTCTGTAATGATGTGTGCCAGCTTTGCTTTTGGAAGTAGGCAAGATTTTCAGCTCAATAAATAATATCCACATGTTGCTGCTTTCTTTTCTTTAGTCTGATTAAATTTCCATGAAGAAATGATCATAAATGTTCTTCCTTGAGCTGCGTCACCCCGCAGCAGTCCATAATGGACTGGCCCGATGTCTCACTACAACAAATGGCTGCTGGAAGAGAGTAGATGAGTTGTGTTTAGTCTCTTTGCTAAAGAAATTAGGCAAATTTAAAAAAAAATGTTCGGTGGCTAGGGCACTATATGTACTGTTGATGAAGTTAGGTGCTGTTCTGAGCATTATTTGTGGCTATAGAGTGGCGTTTTGGTTGAGGTTTGTGTGTGGCTCATCAGATCACTGTGTTCTGCTATCCTGCGGTCGTTGGCCTAGGAGTAAAAGAAAGATGTCACTAATCAGTCTTAAAAAGCATCATCACAATTTTTACTTATATGATTTACAACATCTTTTCATTTGAAGTGGCTATACATTATACTCAACATGAAATACATACGTTCAAGTGTAAGATTACAGTTCTCAAACTCATCAAGTGTCATGAAAACCATCTTAGACGTGTCACAGTGTGAGAATCACAGGTGTGGATAATTAAGATAACGCGGGCTGAATTCCACTTAGCCACTCCACTCTTGAGTGCCCCCTCCCTAATGCAGCATGAACTTTTTAACTGTATGAAGCCGTGATAATACGTCACTTATAAGTTTATATCAATGATCTTTTAGTATACTCATGAAAATCACTCAATCTTGATAAAAGCAGTTTATCGGTGCCGACTGGAGGCACAGACAAACAAACAGCATTACATCACTAAGCCAGCATCAACTCGCTCCACACCACACTCACTGTGGCAGACCCTCTGTATTCATTTCTCCTCCATGAATACGGAGGAGAATGTGCTGGAAGAGGCTGTGAGGGGCAGCTCTGGAAACCCCCTCGGCTTTAGTGTGGAGTATTTTGGCTTACAGTCATACGGCCTTTCTCATACCCCTCCCTTTGAGTGCTGTCCAAAACCTCTGAGTATGGACTGGGAGTACAGTGGATTAAATGTGAGTCTGCATTGACGACTTACTCCCCAGTGTTAACTGTTTACCATGGAACCAGTTTTTGAATCACATCCAAACTGGTGTGACCTGCTCCAAACAAGAATACGATACCTATGGACAATAAAACAAGATATTTTTGATGTTTTGAGGATTTTGTTGTATTTTTTTTATAAACATCAGAATGGAAACAATGAGAGGTTTAACAAAAAAAGAAATGCCACTAAAGGAGATGGTTTCATTTCACATTGTGGAGTGTTTTTTTTTTAGACTGCTTGTTTATGAAAACAACCAACAGGCTGACATGTCACTGGAGTTTTAAAAATTCCTGTTTTGGAGTTAATTCCAAAAATAGCTGCTGTTATTCCATGAATGGTGCTTTTTCAGTGGTTCCCAAAGCTAATCACGGCCCCCTGGGAGATCCTAAGACGCTTCCCAAAACAAAAGGAAATATTTTGTTATATGAAATAACGTCTCTGTAATCATATTTCGAAAGCAAATGTTAGGTAAAAATGTTAAATGTCAGTACTATGCAAGAGTAAAGTTTCAGATTACAAGGTGGATGTGTGTTGAAGTTATCCCCAGATGGGATTACAGGGTGCTCTGAAGAGCTTGTTCGAAAAGTCACACTAGATACAGTGAGATCAATATGAGATTTGCCCAAAATCGTGTCACCACAGGAAATGGAATCATATTTGACGATCAAATTTGTCAACAGAAACACAAATGGTTCTTGGCAACAGTGGAGGAGGCTCCCAGAATGCTGGGTTTGAGACGGCTGCTAAGAAGCGATCAGAGGGACAATATAAAGTTAAAAAAAAAAAAAAGAAGTTGAATTCAGACTCAATCTCTTCATACACAATGTGTAATCAGTTTTCTGCCATGACATCTGTGGTCAATGCAGAGATTATTATGGGCAACATTTAGTAACCTTGATGGACAGTGGGGCGTCACCAGTCTCTAGTTCTGCTGTTTTCAGATCCCAGGCTGAAACGTTTGGAAACGGCTTGTTAATTCAGCGGTGATCCTCACTGTGGGGTCCAGTTTGAGAAAGGCCTTTTGGCATGTTACAGTGTTGAAAGCTCAGGTGTAAGTACTTTAAGATAACAAGGGCTAAATTCCTGTTTCGGTCATACAGTTTTAAGGCTCACAATCATCTGAAACTGATGATTACAACACAGCCATAGTTCATGTTATTAGTAACTCATGGGATTTTTGTTATGATGAATCAAAAACACGATATAGGAGTGTTAAAGACTGTGCTGTCCCAGCCATTCGTACCAAAATCCATCATCCGTTTCGCTAATGCATCTCTGGACTTTAAAGTTTTCTTCACATTCTGAGTTTTTAAGGCCTCATGATTAGTATCCAGCCCCTGCTTGATTACCATGAGGTCATTTTGCTGACCTTTGCACTCGTCACAGTGTACCCGCCTCATTCTACGACCCTTGTTCAGTAACCAGATATTCTTGCTCTTCTACTCGAACTGTCCCGGCTGCTCCTCTCGCTCTCTCCCTCTCCTCCTGCTCATGCAGAAAGTTCTGCCCCGTGGTTTTCCCGTGCTGCTCCTTCAGATGGCGCCGTAAAGCGGGCTTGTGAGCGAAGCGGGCGTGGCAGTACGCGCAGCGGTGTGGCCGCTCTCCGCTGTGCAGGTTCATGTGGTCTATTAGAGTGGATTTCTGGGTGAACGTCTTGTAGCACAGAGGGCACTGGTGGGTTTTGCCGGCGCCTCGGTGGACCGCCATGTGTCGGGTGAGGTTGGCCGAGTGGTGGAAGTGTTTGCCGCAGCAGGGGCAGGAGTACAGCAGGTGGGTGGAGCGGGAGTGGAGGGCGAGGGAGTGGGGGGAGGGGAAAGTCATGCCGCAGTGCTCGCAGATTACAGGCCCGACAACGCTTGACGTGGATCCCACCACTGCCACGGACTCATCCCCGCCCTCGTTTGTTTCTACGGTCGTCAGTCCTGAACTCCCCTCTCCAGCACCTCCACCACTCTCCTCTAAAGCGAACTGGGACAGACTGTTGGCGCCCACTGGTGAGACCTTTTCTCCCTGATTATCGCCCACGCTGAAGTCTATCTGCGGTAATTCCACTGATATGTAACTGTCTCTTTTAGGGCCCCCTTGGCTGAAGTCCAGCCCCAAACCCCCTCCCATCTCTGCTGCTGCAAGATACCACAAATCTGGGTTGTGGTCCATCCCAGGAGCTCTTTTCTCTGACAATGCCATCCACTTTTTCCTCTTAAAACCCCGCCCTCTGCCTCTTCCTCTGCCCTGGCTGACTTTAGGGTCCAACAATTTGCGCCTGAAAGCCTGAAGCCCCTCTGATGTAAGTCCCCCAATACTGACAACACCCCCTACTGGATTCAGGTCAAATTCACTGCTCTCTCCTCCTATCACAACACCCTCTGCCTTTGAGTTAAATTCATCCTGAACCACATCAGAGGGGGCTTCTTTCTCCTCCTCTCTGTCTCTGATCAGCTGCTCCTCTTCAGAAATGTACACCCTGAGTACATCATAGTCCTCCTGTCTGGACTCGTCCTCCTCGTCTGATCCAGGAACCTAAAACACAGAAAAGACAGAGAATATTATGTCCTCAGCTTTCACATAAAAACCCCAAACCAGTAAAATGTCAGTGCTTTGGATAAATAAAATAATACAAACACATTTGAGAGGCTGAAATTGAAAAAAAAAAAGATCTTGTTGCATGCTTTCATACTTTTCGTATCCTCATGTGAACCCTCAAAACTGAGACATATAATACCCACTCAGAAGGGATTGTTTTGTAACCCCTAAAAGCTTCTTTTCTGTGTCAATCCTGTCCTCTTTCCCCCTTTAAATCCCGTAACCCTGTTTTCTTTCCAACTTCCCTGTAATCACCCCTCACTGATCCTCTGCATAGACCTTTTATGAATCAATACCACAGTCCTGCAAGAACAGAGGAAGCAAATGAACCTCTTTCCCCATGAGTCTGTGTCCAAACACCGGTCAGGATTAGAGACTGGCTTTAGTTGGGGGAGTTTGCATCAAGGCTGGCGAGACTGGTAGACTCCTGGCTCTTTTGTGCCCTGAACACTTGCAGACTGTGACACAAACCTTTATACATTGCTCATTGGGTATTGGACTGGTTCCCTGGTTCACAGTGGCGCCCTGGTAAGTCACTGGGAGGTTTTTCTCCTCTACTGCTGAGCGCACTGCAGGACTGTGTGTGTCCACGGGGGAGGGTCGACTCGTGGGTGGAGAGGCAGGTGAGAAAGATCGCACACTACCGCTGACAATCACCGGCTGGGACGCTGTTTCCTCTGAAGTCATCTGAAGGTAGAAACAGAAGATAAAATGAAAGAAACCTTCACCACCTCAAGTGTTCGAAACAGAAACAATAAGGTTATATGGAACTTGGAAACTTGAAAGATTTACAGGCTACGAGGAAAATGAAATTTTAACAGAACAACTTACTTTCATTGACTTAATAATATATTCACAATATAAGAACAAGCAACGTGACTGCTTTTGGTAACTCACTTTTGGCGAGTTGGGGTTTTTCAGCTGTACATATTTCTTCAGTGCTCCACGGCAGCGCTCCACTATGTGCTCCATCTGTAGGTAGCTAGCAGCAGTCAAGTAGTTCACGATTTCCTCTGGGTTAAACTGCAGGATGCCGGTGTAACAAGAGTGGAGCAGATCACACACCACTGTGGCGCTGTACAGCATTGAAACCTGAAACAAGATTGAGAAACATTTTATGAGTTTAGCAGGCTGCACTGATATAGTGTGATATAATATGAGTTGGTGTATTCTTACCTGGAGCTTGGAGGATGGGTTAAGGAGGAACTGGTCCCTTAAGAAGGGGGAGCAAGCAGCCAACACCACCTTATGACCCCTGAATGTCTGGTTATTGCTGGCCACAATGGTGATATCACAGAAGTGCTGGCGAGTTCTCAGTGAATTCATGTGTTTCAGGGTTGTGTCCCCGTGGCTCGGTAAACGGAAACAAAGCATCTCCATCTTTTCTGTAAGGGAAAGAAATAAGAAAATTTGAGCTGAACTTGACAAAAATAAAGAACAGAGCACCAAAAAAATGAAACATGATGAGTCAAACTCAAAACCAAAATAGAAATAGATCTGAAACAGTCAGATGACTGAATAAAACTATAACATCAACTGTTTGGTAACCTGTTAAAATTTAATTTCATGGATGTGATCTTCATCTTGGAGTAAATTCATAGTAAGGAACGATTTAGACAGGAGGCAACAACATGAGTAAGAGCAACAAACTGCCCCAAGGTAAAAGGGACACAGGTGCTAACAAGCAGTGCTAGAGGCACAGTATAGGGCGAGTAGAAGAATAGGTCTCTGCATTGGCTACCTGTCTCTTTTAGAATAGATTTAAAGGTTGCTTTGTTGGTTTTTAAAGCTCTTAATGGCTTTGGCCCATTTTATTGATCTTATCTGCTTTTACCTTATGAGCCGGGTAGAGCCCTCGGGTCTTTAGGCAGTTCTCTGTTAACATTACCTAAAGTTAAAACCAAGACATACGGTGAGGCATCTTTTTATTACCACGGCCCCTGTCTATCGAACAGCTTACCTGAAGGCCTGAGGACTGCACCTAATCTTAATGATTTGGATAAGGGTTTTTTGTTTCTTTAGTTCCTATGCTATGTGCACTTTGTGCTACATTGTTTCTGTATAAAAATTGCTATGCAAATAAAGACTGATTGAAGAAGTAATAATGAAACCTCTACATCACCATCAAAGCCACTGCTGCTGAAATCATCTGAAGCACCACACGACCAAGTGCTGAGCTGTTCACAAGAAAGAGGGTCTAAACTAAAACCTTCTCAAATGCTGTCAGAACTCTAGATAGGCTTGTGGACCACGCAGAAAAACAGGACACATCTTATTTTAACACAAATTTCATTATAAGAAGGTTAGGACATTGCCAAAAGCATTAGACTTCATTATCAGTCATTTGTATTCTTTCAGGAAAGGAATGCAGTTTTTAGCAGGGGTTATATGACAGGTCAGCGTTCAGGTCCTCGGACCTTTCTTTGGGGTCAGTAAGTCAGTAAATCTGAAATGGGAGACATGGGCTGAGATGTGAATGATTATGTAGATGTTCAGAGATGGAGTCAGTCTGAAAGGTAATACACAACTCTGTCTTTGTTCTTCAAATTGACCGATTGAGAAAAGCCAAAGGTTTGGGTCAATCTGGTTGGGTCAGTTTCATAACCTGAAAGTTCAAACAAGTCAAAAAAAGATTTATATGGTCCTGTGTCCTGGGACTAAATAAGGTAGCTGGGAGCAATGTCAACCAATCAATCAAATTTTATTTATATAGCGCCAATTCACAACAGTTGTCATCCTAAATGCTTTCCAAAAAAAAAAAGAGCAGAAGAGGCAAAGCGAAACTTCATTTTCACAGGCAGAAACCTTGAGCAGGACCAGACTCATGTAAGACAGCCACCAAGTCGCTGCTGGGTTGGGGAGGAATACAGAGAGATAAAGGGAGGGAAAGAGAGAGAGAGAGGAGTAGGAGAGAGGGCAGGGGGAGAGAAAGAGAGCAAGATAGAGGGAAGGAGAGAGAGAATGAGTGAGGGAGGGAGAGAGAATAGAGAACGAGGGTGAGAAAGAGAGACAGCAGCAACATTAAAACAACAACAGCTCATGCAAAGTTGTGGTTGCAGAGCAAGTTAAGCTGAAACTATATGAACTCAGTTTACAGGATCAGGATATTAGTAATTGTGGACTATGTTAAATTAATTTAATGTGATTACAGTCAGCAAGCCTAATAGTAGCAAACTATCAATTCATCCTGTTACTTTTTCACATAACTGAATAGAAAAGGGCGAGAAAAGTCACATTATGCTTTCAGCTCAATACACCCACAGCTCTTCACGAATTAGCTTGGTTATGTTAGCATTAAATAGGCTACAAATAGACTGGTTGTGTTGTCAACGATTGGTATTTCAATAGACAATGAGAGGCAATAACTGTACCGGTGTATACACCATAAAAGGTCGAAATTGGTCAGTAAGTGTTTGTTTTTAGTCTTTCTCGCCTCTAAAACACTAACCCACTTGTATGAATGTTAGCTTGCTGGAGCTACCTGTTAGCTAACTCGAAACTGCCAAAATGACCACAGCGTATACAAACAAAATCTCAGTGGAAACCATCAAACTTTGCTGTCACTCACCGTCTCTTCGTGTTGAGTGTTTAAGCCTTTTGAAGAAATATACAGATGTTTGTTCGTTTCAGCAAAACAACCATAGAACCGGGTGGCGTCAATCCGCTGGCTTCCTCATCCCCTGTTGCCATTAGCTACTAACCGCTGCCTCGGTTTCTGTTTACTTTTTGGCCTTTTTTTTGGAGGAAGCCCATCTCGGCGGCGACAACATTACAAAAGCCGCCGGTCCTCCTCCGCCGCCTCCTCGGCTGACCGTGAATCGGTTTTCGTCGAGAGTCTCTCCCCTACTCCCACACGTTAACCCCACAGACAGAGTACGCACACTGACTTCTGATCAGCGGCTCTCTGACGAATCAACGGACGCGCAGGGACAGGGGCTGGGCTCCGGCGATGACGCAGCACGTTCATATACGTTAGTGGTGCCTGTCGTGAAACATGTCGGCGTCCGAGACAACGACAAAGGTAGAAAACCCTCTGCAGCACATAACCGTTTACCCTTTTTTCTGGCTTTTGTTAACGTGGAAGACAATATAGCACAAATAAGGCATCGAGTCGACAGCCTACGGGAATGCATGATATCTTAATTTAACGGTTACAGGAGGTCTTTTTTGCAGTTTGAGCTACACTATTAGCTACATTAGCCACCAAAAAGTCAACAAATCGCTGTCAATTTTCGTCATTTTCTCTCCTTTCCTCAGTATATTAACTGCCTGTACTATCGTCTGCTTTCGTTTTACATTGTCTACATATCACCAAAAAGTGTTATTTAGGTACGCTCAGTTTGGACTGAGTTTTAAAGCAACTCTTAAGACTAACTGTACCTTTTGCATTATAACAATGGACTGTACGGACATAGGAACCTAAGGCTTGAAGGAATTGAATACTCATGCCTTTTTCGCCTTTCTATTTTCATTAATGTGCCACTTTTAAGGAATTAGGCTTGCTTTTGTTGCTGTAAAAAAGCATGAATGGGTTGATTGACTCATGGCGGCAGCTGACGTCACAGCAGAGACGACGCGCCATTGGTTGACAGGTTTATTATGTTGAGTAGAGGGCGGAAGTAGGTAACGTTAACATGTACACATAATTTAGACAGTTGTGAACATATAAGCAGAAGTTTTTTTTAAGCTATCCTTTTATGAAATGAAAGCTTGACAGTTAATGTGGTTTGTGGGTTTGGTTAAAGTTATTACATTCTTACCATGAAACTGTAACATTTATTTCAAAATGCTAATTTACAAGAGGTAATCAAACCCTCTTTTGCAGTTCTACATGGCAAAGACACACATAATTTAAACCACCAAGTTAGTATGAACATTTAGACGAATTTTTATGTCACTATTGCATGTTTTCAAGCTGAGAGTTAGAATTTTCTCTGGTATATTAGTTTTCTGTTTTAATTGGATTTGTATGAGCCTTATAGGATTTTAAAGGGATATTCTGGTGTAAAGTTTATTAAGTGTCAAACACACCATAACACAGAGTTAGACAACCCCTCGAGAGATGAATGTTGCTGACTGTTTGCTTCTCTTGTTAAACCAACTTTAGTAACGACCACAGGATAGCAATACACAGTGGTCTGAGGAGCCATAAACAAACCTCAACCACAAATAATGCTCAGAACAGCACCCAACTTCATCAACAGTACATATAGGGTCCTAGCGACCAAATATCTTTTTAACTTTGCCTAATTTCTTTAGCAAAGAGACTGTACACAACTCACCTACTCTCTTCCAGCAGCCACTTGTTTGTAGCGAGACCTCAGGCCAGTCCATTATGGACTGCAGCGGGGTGACGCAGCTCAAGAAAGAACATTTATGATCATTACTTAATCATTTCCTTGAAGTAATAATCACCATATTAATCATTTTGCACTGCAGACGCAGTAGTTCTTCTGTCTTTGCGTCTCTGATTGCATTTCTATGAAGAAATGATCATAAATGTTCTTCCTTGAGCTGCATCACCCCGCAGCAGTCGATGATGGACTGGCCTGAGAGACAACATTAATCTCTCGAGGGGATGTCTAATTCAGTGTTACAGTGAGTTCGACCCTAAATTAATTTTATGCCGGAATATCCCTCTACGTAAAGAAGTCATGACAAATTCTGAAGGGTAAAATAAAAGATGAAACAATAAATCAATGTAGTGTCTCTCAAAACTTTTTTTGTTCCTTTTAGGAGCCTCCTGAAAGAAATGTTGCAAAAACACCAACAGAATCAGATGTTGGACCAAGTCATGTAAAAGAGGGTAAGTCGACAGCCATCATGGAATCACAGTTTGAATTCATCTGTTAAACTGTGAAACAAGGAAGATATGCTTAAAGACTGTGCTTTTTGTTTATATATGAAAACAGTTTTCATACAAGAACTTATCCTTGTCCAGATAATGCAGCTTCCATCACAGCTGCTGCCACCAAAAAGACAGAGCCCATGGTTGGTATGTCATCCATGTTGTCTTCTCAGCAACTTGGGAAGGACTCTTCAAGAAACGTAGAGGAGAGTGAGAAGAGGTCACCTGTGTCCTCTCCAAACAAACCTGGTAAGACCAAAATCCAGAGGTTTTCTAAATCATTGTCGCAGAAATAACAGCATTTTTCACTGACTTCATTCCTCCTCTTACAGGACACGCTTCAAAATCCCTTTTATCAACATCAGCATCTTCATCTTCCTCCTCTCCCTCCACCTCATCAACGTTGTCCCCTGGTCGAGCAAAGATGAGTGTTTCAGGACCTGGCAGCAGTAAATCCATCCCAGGACCTTCCTCTTCTTCCTCTTCTTCAGCCGCAGCTTCCTCATCTCCCTCTGTTTCCCCCGCCCCACACAAGATCCACAGGGCTCGCAAGACCATGAACAGGCCTCCACTGGGACAGGTGGGTTGATGTCACTTCAAGCAAACTTAGTTATTTAAGTCAAATGTGTCCCCCTGTATTAGAGGCATTTTTCCGCTTTTGTTTTTCAGATGAGCAACTTTGAGTCACCGGCTGCCCCTTCGGGATCCTCTGCCTCCTTTTCCTCTGACTCTGAAATGGGTAAGTTGCTTTGGCTTATCTGCAAATAACATGTTTTCTGATTAACATAACCAAACTAACATGAGTAACAATGAGCTAGATTGACTTATTTAAATAAAATCTCAATCCGCTGTTCTTATTAATGAATGTTTGTGCTTTTATCAGCTGCAAAAAGGAGAAAACTGGACCGTTTATCTGACAATACACCTGAGAAGTCTGAGAACATTCCTGACAACGCTCAAACTGTGGTACGGTCATTTGTTTCTGGGATTTTCATAAACAAGCTCCAAGGAAGGACTGCTAATTTATCTTGTTATTGACAAATTCTCTTCTGCATGTGTTTCTTAAATCAAGGAGGAGAAGTTAGTCCATAAGAAGTCGGCAGCTGTCGCAAAATCTGCAGCCGAGAAAGGCAGCAGCAGTGTGAGGAAATTAGAGGAAGAAGCTGCTGAGAAAATGGAAACTTCGAGTCCATCAAACCGAGCTTCGGAAAAGGTAATCTTTGCTCATTTTGCATAGAGAGTTTGCACAAACATGAGGAGTAGTTACCCACATCTGAGTGAGTTTGCTATCCAGATTTGAATTGTTACAAAAAAAAACTGGACCCTTGTCGGCCCCGGGTTTGCCTCTCCTCAACAAATGCAAGCACTGTTAGGTATGGTGCTACAGCGTGTGTAAGGAATATTAGTAACTGATTGGTTGTAATTTTTTATTTTTTTTTACATATCCTCTTTTTGTTCCTTTTATAGTTAGTAGACAGTGAGGTGGGGAAAAGGCTGCGCACTAAAGACACAGAAGGGTCAGTGAACACTTCGGATCATGTGAGTGATGCCATCTGTCTTTATCGTTCATTTTGCAGTTATAAAAATACTTTTCTCCTAATTTGCCTGAGAACACTAGCTGCTCAAGCCCACTAACACTTTGGCTGAGAAAACAGACTTGTTCTTGTCAGACCGTACTGTGCTGAATGTTTTTCTTAGAAATCAGATGACTTGAATTCTTCCTGCATCTGTTTGGGAAAAGCAAATCACCTCTCTTACTTTTACTAGTCTTTTCCTCCAATTTAAAAATTAAAAAATGAGCTAGTGCTCTTGTTCTGTTTTTAATAGTTACAGCCAAAAATGGAGTCATGTGGTTGTAAACATCGCTCTCTTTAGCACCAAATAGGTCAAAAAGTGACAAGTGAATCATAATCATTCTGAATACAAGAAAGAAATTCAAATGTCTTTAAAATCACGTCATATTAAGACAGAGTTTCCCCCTCACAGAGTCCAGAGTCTGAGACACAGAGAGCTGCCCGGTGCAGGAATGAGAGCGAAGAGTCGCCGCAGCAAAAAGAGAAAAATGCAGCTGATGCGGTGGAGACTGCTGGAGGTGAGCAACATTACCTTTTCTGGGAATTCCACTTGTGTCCCATAAAAATTCACAGTATCGAAATGATAGCTGAACCGTTAAGTCCTGTTGTTACCAGGGGAACAAAATCTCTGAAACAGTACTTAGATAATACCACACACAAGTCTCTGCTTCTTTAATTTGGGCCCTCTAAACCATCTCTGATGCTGAGTCACATGATGAGCTCAATAAAGATCACCTCTTTCTGAACAAGGTGTGCCACCTGACCTCAGCGTCATGCAAACTAAAATAATTATAATGCCAAAAAAACACTCAAAACAAATGTAGCACACTATTTTTGTGCGCAATGTATCCTGGGAAATGTAGGCACTTGTCTGTCTTAAGTTAGCTAAAACTGCATTTAATCTTGGTGTAAGTAAGTAAAATGTTTGCATGTAGTAATCCTCATGGCTCGCTGTCGTTGTAGCTGAAAGATCCAGTGAATACACAGAGGTTCCCTTGGGTGCTCTGGATATCGCCGCTGCAGACAGTTTGACACTTTCTCCTGCTCATGGTAGGTCAACAAAGTAGTTTGAAATGTTTGAAAAATCCTCATGTTAACTATCTGAGCCCTACCTTTTCACCTGTGATCAGATACTGATACTTGCAGGTTGTGGATGTTATATATAAACCCACTGATTTTCATTGACACTAACTGTACAAACGATCACACGGTTCCTTCTCTCTCCATAAGACGGGAGCGATGCAGGAGACACGGAGCGTCTGGAGGAGCTCCCTCTGTGCAGCTGCAGGATGGAGGCTCCTCGAGTGGACAGCACCAGCCAGCGCGTCAGCAGACAGTGTATGGCCACCGAGAGCGTCAACGGAGAGGTTCGCTCTTTGTCCGCCATTTAAATAGTTATGATAGTTCACAAAGCTCCCATATGATTCCTATCTGACTGTGGTTTTTTTTGCAGCTGAGGGCTTGTATTAGCCGGACAATAAAAGGGGAGACGATGCGTCCGTCCAGCAGGGTGCCCCTCATGGTTCTCTGTGACGTCCATCGCTCTCACATGGTCAAACATCACTGCTGCCCGGGCTGTGGATACTTCTGCATTGCGGTGAGACTTGAAAATAAGTTATTTCATGCTCTTTGAGCAGCTAATGCTCACTCTTTGTTGTCCAACTTCTTCTTCTTCTGCTCGCTGTAATACCTTCTTTGTCGCCTCCTCTTTCTTGCTATTCTTTCTGCCTCTTATCTTCCCACTCGCCATTGTGCTTTTTCCTCTTCTCTGTGTTGACAGTATCTCTTCTTTTATCTGCTTCCCCAACTAAATGATACACTTTCTTTCCTTTCCTTTATATTCTACTCCTCTTCACTTTCTCCTTAGTTTTTATTCTCCTCCTCTTGCTTCATATCTCACTTTCTGCCTCTTTCTCTTCCTCACTGTCCTGCTTTGGTCTTTTTTCACTTAATGTTTTTTTTCCTCCTTGATATCCTGTTTTCTTCTCCTTTTTTCTCTTCAGATCACAAATTCTCCACGCTGTCCTGCTTTTTTGCCTCTTTTCTTTTACCTCCCTGATTTTGTTTCCCTCTTTTTCCTCCTCAGTGTCATGTTTTCACCCTCTCTTTATCTTCCTCATTTTACTTTCCCCTCTTCTTTCTCCTCTGTAAAATCTTTAACTATAACCTCTCCACTTTTTCTCCTTTTTTTTGTCATCAAACTAAACTTCCCTCTTTTCTGCCTCCTCTTTAAAATACCTCCCTCCCTCTCCATCCTCTTTTAGGGCACGTTCCTTGAGTGTTGCCCGGACCAGCGTATCGCTCATCGTTTCCACCGCGGCTGTGTGACGGTGCTCGGCGGCGGGCGCAGCAGAGGAAATGGAGGCGGTATGATTTTCTGTCCGCACTGTGGTGAAGATGCCTCAGAGGCCCAGGAGGTCACCATCCCCTCCTTCAGCTCGGCCACTACCTCCGCCACCACCGTCGTCACTATGTCAGCCTCCTCCACCACTACCCCATCTCTTCCGCCATCCACCCCCACGGCGCCCTCCCTCACTGCCTCAACGGGAGGAATGAAGGATGGGAAAATGCCGGAAAGACCTGTCAGGTGAGACTTCATAAAGTTTAAAAAGAACGAACTCCTTAAAAGTTTCTAAAATTCAGTTGAATTTACTTTTTGTTTCTCTCTCTCTCTCTGTGTTTCTCCTAGTGCTCGCATGCGCAGCCATGGTTTAGTCAAACCGGCGGTGGAGCAGCAGCAGCAGCAGCCCCCACAGCCTGTCGCCTCGGCCGCAACTGTGACCACTGCCCCCCCAGCAGAGGAAGGGGTGGACAGCGTGGGTCCCTCTCTGTGCATGCCGAATGGGAAACCCATCAGCCCGGGTGCACTTCCACCTGGACCCAGCAGGGCGGCGCTGCAGAAGGCAATTCTAACACAGGACACAGAAAGGTTGGAGCTGAGATCTAGATTTTTATCTGATTAGTTAAACTTACGGGTGATTTATGTAATCTCTGTCATATTTTGCTCCAAAATGCATTAAATGTGAAGTTTTTATCACTTTTGACTGTTTGTTGTTAAAAAGTTGTGTAAAAAAAATTTTGGAAGATTTTGTGCTTAAGAGAAGTTTGCTTTAGCTTTAGAGAGCAGCATGTTTAAAGCCACGTCAACCTGCTAGAGTTTGGGGTGAATCTAAAGATGAGATCTGTATTCTGCTTTCTGTCCCAAGTATGACGACATAAGAGAGGAATTTTTAGGAAAATCGCCCGTTGATGTTGATTTCTTCAGGTTAGAAGATTACCAAAAAAATTGAAAGTTGTGTTTTAGAAGAGAAACCAACTTGGAGAGAAGACTGACTATAGTGTATAAGAGGAAGCTGTCAGAAAAACAAACATCTTTAAGAGTTAGAAACTTCATGCACATGATATATGATAAAGTGTCGAATAAAGATTTTGTTCTTTGCTTTTTTTTGCAGGAAAAAGAAGCTGAGGTTTCACCCTCGCCAGCTCTATCCTGCTGCCAAACAAGGAGAGGTGCAGAGAGTTCTGCTCATGCTCAGTGAGTGTTGTCCTTTTGAAAATAAAACTGTTTTCTCTGGATTCAATCAAACGGAAAAGTTTAATGTACATTTTTTGACTGGAGGATTATGTCAGAATCGTACAGACTTTCTTAAAATGTTTTTGTTTGTGTGTGTGTTCGTCACAGTGGAGGGCATAGATCCCACATACCAGCCCGACTCTCAGAACCGGCGCTCTGCTCTTCACGCTGCAGCTCAGAGAGGTCTGCTGGAGATCTGCTACATACTAGTTCAGGTGAGACCTTTCAGTATTAAGCAAGTGCGTTGTGAGATTTTAAATTTTGCGACACAGTCAAAGATGTATCTTATAGTGATGGACCTGCAGAGAGCTGACCCACGGCTTTACAATTCTGGTTCACTATCACTGCTGATAAAGTGAACCTCTGGCCACTCTAAAAACCTCAAGCCCAGTTACTGAATATTTACAGCATATTGAAATGAAGCCTATCATAGATTAACAGCTCAGGAGACATTTTTAGAAAGATGTTAAAAGCAGGAGTTACCTTCATCAAGTGAAGAGAAACACGACTTAAATGGGAAGGATTATTTCTGATCTGTTCCTTTAGATTAAAAAATGTATTTCCTGTTCACTGACAGTCAGGTGCTCAGGTGGATGCCAAGGACAAGGACCTGAGGACCCCTCTGCTAGAAGCGATTATCAACAACCACATCGAGGTGGCTCACTACCTGGTCCAGAATGGCGCCTGTGTCTATCATGTGGTGAGTGTCTGCTGACGCCTAAAATCAAGCGTAAATGTGGACCTGTCAGTTTGTTTGGACCTGATTTGAGTCTCCGTTTGTGTCCCTGTTCCTCAGGAGGAGGATGGATATACTGGCCTCCATCATGCAGCCAAACTGGGAAACCTGGAGATTGTGAAGATGCTTCTGGAAACGGGGCAGGTTGATGTAAACGCACAGGTAAACAAATTAAACGAGGATATCTGGCAAAATGTTCCAAGACTGACCTGAAGTAATGAACTAATACTTGAACTTATACTTTGCGTAGTTGTAATAATTCTTCACACATTTCACCGGTTTTAGGACAGCGGTGGTTGGACGCCGATCATCTGGGCAGCAGAGCACAAACACGTCAAAGTGATAAGAGCTCTGCTGAACAGAGGAGCTGATGTCACCATAAACGACAAAGTAAGTTTATAATCATGAATGCTGACAGTAATGAGAGTCAGAGGTTCTCCGATGGGTCGTTTTAAATATATTTACTGAACTCATTCAGACTGTGCAGAAAATAATGTGTATTTTTTTATTTTTGGGTCTTAAAATATTTTATTTTGCAAAGGAGGAAATGCTGATTATTTTAATCTGGCTGTTTAATATGAATGTAGTTGCAGGAGAATACGTAAGGATCGATTTTTAGATGATAACAGTCCCGTCTCTCCCCTCAGGAGCTGAACGTGTGTCTCCACTGGGCGGCGTACGCAGGAAACGTGGATATAGCAGAGCTGGTGTTGAACGCCGGCTGCTCGCTCACCTCGGTGAACGTACACGGAGACACGCCGCTCCACATCGCCGCCAGAGAGGGCTACCTGGAATGCGTAACGTGAGTCAGTCTTCAGCCGTAGCCTCGTGTTTACGGACGGGTAACATGTCCTACGCTTCAGCTGGAGAAATAGTGACTGTTCATCATTATTTAGTATTAAGGAAAACATGCGATTCAGAAGTCAAAGGTCAAAAACATACAAAGGAAGTGAATCATTCAATGATGATGAAGTGTCTCGAGAAGCAAAAATCAAATACTTTTAACTCCTAGAAAACAAAAGAATCATCACAATCAACTTCTACACTGTTTTCTGTCATGGCTTGAGATTCTTGAAATGGTGAATTTGTTATGCTTTCCTTCATCTGCTCGTAGCTTATGTTAACTAGTTTCATTCCTCTGCAGGTTGTTTCTGTCCAGAGGTGCAGACATTGACATTATGAACAGAGAAGGAGACACGCCTCTGTCCCTCGCTCGGGCTGACACGCCGGTGTGGGTGGCGCTCCAGATTAATAGGAAGCTAAGGAGAGGAATAACAAACCGAATGTTGCGGACTGAAAGAATCATCTGCAGGTGGGTTTAATAAAGGCTGCTTTCTTCGTGCCAGATTGTCCAGATGCTCTTTTTTTTTTTACTCCTGTTGTTTACGCATGTCTTTTTGTTCCAGCGACATCGCACAGGGCTACGAGAATGTACCGATCCCCTGTGTGAATGGGGTGGATGACGAGGGCTGCCCTTCAGATTACAAATATGTGTCCGAAAACTGTGAAACGTCAGCGATGAACATAGACAGAAACATTACACATTTGCAGGTAAAGAAGTAACCCGACTCTGATTTTAAATGTTTGTCTCTTTTTAAAACACTTTTAACATGATCTCCTATCAAAAACACATAATTGTTTTTATGTATCTTGACTGCAGCACTGCGGCTGTACTGATGACTGCTCATCCAGTAACTGCCTCTGTGGACAGCTGAGTATCCGCTGCTGGTATGATAAGGTACAAAGAAATGTTCAACTGTCACATCCTCACAGAACACCTGCAGAAATCCACAGAGGGGAATGAAATTCTTAAAATTTCCTGTCTTCACTTTTAAACACGAGCCTTCCTTAAACCATCAGAGGATAACTTTTACAATGGGATCAATTTAAGGGATATTCTGGTGTAAAATTAAGTTAGGGGCAAACACACCGCAACGCCGAGTTAGACACCCCCTCGAGAGAGGAATGTTACAGAGTGCTTGCTTCTCTAGTTATACCAACTTTAGTAACGACCGCATGATAGCAATACACAGTGGTCTGAGGAGCCATAAACAAACTTCAACCAAAACGCCGCTCTAGATGTTTGGTAGCTAGAACTTTGGCTGGGACTGTATATGTCCTGTTGATGAAGTTAGGTGCTGTTCTGAGCATTATTTGTGGCTATAGAGTGGTGTTTTGGTGTTACGGTGTGTTTGACCCTAAATTAATTTTACGCCAGAATATCCCTTTAAGATGATCATTTTTCTGAGATCCATGAGTACTATGACAGCACCTTATTAGTTATTTCATTCTTGTTTGAATTCTTCCAGGATCAGCGGCTGCTTCAGGAGTTCAACAAAATCGAGCCCCCACTCATATTTGAATGCAACATGGCGTGTTCCTGTTACAGGACGTGCAAGAACAGGGTGGTTCAGGCGGGCATCAAGTAAGAATTCACTTTACTATGTTGAGGATAATTTTAAGGAAAATCTTCCTTTCGTAAACCTCATAATTTCCGACTTTTTCATCTCAGGGTTCGACTCCAGCTCTACAGGACAGAGAAGATGGGTTGGGGAGTTCGAGCTCTGCAGGACATTCCTCAGGGGAGCTTCATCTGCGAGTAAGAGAGAGACCTCGCAGTGATTTGATTGAAGATGAAAAAGTCATGGACTGGGTAAATGAAGCAGCTTTCCTCTGTCCACACAGATATGTCGGGGAGCTGATCTCAGACGCAGAGGCGGATGTCCGAGAAGACGACTCCTATCTGTTTGACCTGGACAACAAGGTGAGCAGTTTTTAAAAACGTGTTTTAATCTTAAGTTTCTGAGAGGAGACACATCGCTGAGCTAGACAGGAACCTCCTGCTGTTTTTAGCTCACGTCAGACTTTTAGGTCACATTTTTTAAGGAAAGAGCAGCGTTAGCGCTTTTGCACTGAGTTACTTTGGACAGCCCAAGGCTTTACGTGCCGATGTGCAGAGGAAAAACCTCCCTACTTAGAAAGAAAAGATAAACATATGAACTTGTAGTTTTTCTGTGATAAAGATGTTGAAAAGTCTCTTAAGATAACGCTGTTCTCTCTTTGCTTTTTCTTCTAAGGATGGTGAGGTGTATTGTATAGACGCTCGCTACTACGGCAACATCAGCCGCTTCATCAACCACCTGTGCGACCCAAACCTCATCCCTGTGCGTGTGTTCATGCTACACCAGGACCTCAGGTTCCCCCGCATCGCGTTCTTCAGCTCCAGGGACATCCTCAGCGGACAAGAGCTTGGGTTAGAGACTGAGACATTCATTTTTTAAAAATTTTCTCAAATCTGTGCCACATTTTTGTTTAACGTTTAGTACAAATCTGACCGTGTTTTTCTGTGTCTCTAGATTTGACTATGGAGATCGCTTCTGGGACATTAAGAGCAAGTACTTCACCTGTCAGTGTGGATCAGAGAAATGTAAGCACTCTGCAGAAGCCATCGCCTTGGAGCAGAGCAGACTGGCTCGAATGGAGGCTTGCCCTGATTCAGGAGCGGACTGTGGGATGAGCATGCTGGGAAACTCTTAAAAAAACTCACCCATGAGGCCTTTGGATTATCCATTATACATGTGCACACACACTTTGAGTTTTTTAACATTTGTACATTTGTCTGTGATGGATGGTGCTGTTTCTTACTTGAAAAAATTATGATTTTTCCGCATTGCTTACCACCCTTAAGGTTATCTTAATCATGGACGAAATGGGCCTCAACATTTTATCAAACTATGTGGGTGTGATATCGTAGACGGAAAAAGTATGTTTACTGTATGTCACCATGGGGCACATTACATTTGTGCATCAAGAGAACCTATTGCACATTGTTTTCTCTGTTGTGCCAACATGAGCTTCTTTACACAGCACAGTGACGAGTCAGCCATCAACTCTGACTGAACATAGCGGTGAGGAAAACCGAAGAGATGTTGGTGTTATTGTTTATTATTGTTTTAGCTTTATTTTCTTATTTTTGTACCTATTGTTTCTTTTCTGACAGTTAGGGTAAAATAAATAAGCTCAAAAGTTTATCTTTGGGGGCCTGTGTTGATGATTGTATTATCGTTTTTCATTCAAATCTACAATCACAGAGGGTAAGTTGAGCCACAAGTTGACCCTGTTGCTTGGAAATGGTAAAAGAAATTGATCATGTGACCAAATATTTAGGAGATGGGCATCAAATCATGGAGCCTGTGAAGGTTAGAAGCACATAGGTAAAGGGTTAGACATTTATTTCTAAAAAAAGTACATTTCTCACTCTTGAAAGTGACTTTAGTCTGTCATAAGTTTTATTAGAAGGAGACCACTTCTTTTTGGCATGCTATATTATCGAGACAGTTATGTTTACACTCATTCTGTTGGTTTGCAGGGATGAACAACATCTTGAAATATATGCAGATTTACTAGCTAGAGACAAATCTATGATTGTCTTGATGTAGTGATCTGAAATATGAAAAATGGCTTATCTTTCCCCACTCTCCCCTATTAAGTTTTCACAATTAAGTATGAAAACTGTTGCTTGCAGGTATTGAAACTGTCAGCAGGGGGCATGCACAGCAAAAGTAGCTGAACTGAAGATCCCAAAAAATGAAGATGACCCACTCTCCCACGGGAGAAAAAACCCACTGATTTTAAACCCCGAAATGGAAAAAAATTCCAAATATCCCAGACAGCTTTATTTTACTGTTAGAGCTTATCGTTTAGAAGTAGGTTTTATCGATTAAAAATGAAGAACTTAACGTATAGTCAATATAATGTAAAAATATCGTCTAAATGTTAAAACCTGCTGTTGGGTTTTTATAATCAGTTCAAGAGTGAGACCTCTTGCTAGTTAAAAATCTTTGATCGGACGTTCAGGTGCAGCAGGTGCGCTCGTGTCGTCACTGCTTAGTTACATCTGCAGGAAGGAAAAGATTTCTCTTAATTAGTGACCGCGCGCTCTCGAGCTCGACGACAAAAAAAACGAGTTAAACCGCTTTTCTGTAATGTTTTAGTTTACTGTGAGCAAAAGAAGTCACTTTTTAAGGTAACAGAGGGGAAAGGTGGCGGCTGAGGAGGGAAAATGGGTAAAAAACAGGAGACAAATCCGGACTCCGAGTATGGTGAGTTTCCATCGTCCGTTACCTCAGAGGGTTCACCACATAAAAGTGTGTAACCAACGCTAGAAAACTACAACTTAAGAAGTATTAGACGTGTTGTTCAGAAATCGTTCAAAATAGGTCACTAAATTGAGAAGTTTGATCATTTTTACAAGTTATTTAAAGCAAAATAAGGTCAATTTAGGTAAACATATTTAATGGAAAGTCATCATTGGACTTGTCTTTTAACAAAATTTCATCACTTTCTCAGATGTGAGGATGTTCTGTGCATGTGTGTTAACTTAACCAACAAATTTGGTTTAATGGTTTAGCCTACTTACAACTTATCAACTCGTGATGTCACTGATTTATAACCAGAGATTGCTACAACCATGACCTATTTACATGAAATATTCAGCCAATATACTAGTTGTCTAACTCAGTCTGAGCGGTTTAAAGCACCTCTTCTCTTGGATAACCACTACTATACTGTCAAAAGTCAGAGAATAAGCTGCAATGAAGGTTTATTTGGACACATTTTGTCAAAGAAAACAGCTTTAAATAAATCACACTATCAGCCTAACAAGTTTTAATAGTCATATAAATGTAAATCTGCTTTCTGGTTTGGACTTGTTGGTGACTGAACCTTGACAGACTGGTGCAACAAGTTCAAAATCATCATTATAACAATATTAGGAGATACAGTCATGATACAGTTGTAATTAAAGAGGCCACCTGCTTTGTGGCATCAAATCCATTTGTATTAGAATAATTTCACTGTGTTGATGATTATAATGGCTGACTTATTGATTCAATGGTTAACAGTATGTTATTTAGCCAAAATGTCAAGCATAGTTTGAATTTTAAAAAAGTTATTTCAACAGTGTAAAACCTAAACATATCCATCTACTTTATCATTTGCCTCAAAAATTAAAAAGTTGTTCAACTCTTGCTCAGTGTTTTAATTTTTCTTTATTCAAATAGTTGATAATAATTTAATTGTCTTTGCCCATAAAAATTGATCCTCAATCACTAAGATCTTTTAAAACGTCATTCTAAAAATAGTAAAACATGATAGAAGACTCATAAAAACTGAAATTTACTCTTGAAAATTGTGCTTTTGATAATGGACATCTGAATGATCTGTGAGACGTTCAACCTGTGATCAAATTTAGTAAAAGAGCTTAAATCTTTAAAAATTGTAAGATGTGGTGAAAAATAGCTTAAGCACAAGTTTAATCTGGCTTTTAATTTGGTGAGTATTAAAGTGAAGAATTGATGCACGGTTCCTCTTAGGAGAAGTACAAAATCTATAGTATCCCTTTATTTGGATAGACATGCTTTAGTGAACCAAGAATGTAAACTAAACAGGGATTGAGTTTTCTAAGATTAAGGGTTTTTTAGTTTAACAGAGGTTTTAAAGTTGTGTTAATGTTGAATGAAGGGTAATCAATAATAGAAACAGCTGACAACACGAAGCCTGAAAATACCCATAATACCCTCCATATTGTCACTAACTCGGTCCTTCAAGATTTTCAGATGGAACAACTGGCTGCAGGTTCAAGATATAAAATCACAAACTTTAGTTGAAATTAATATAAACGTGGGAACATAGTGTGAATTTTAAGGATTATATTCAACAGAGAGCGAAACTGTTTCCTTTGCATCTGATTTCTCGGTTTGTTGTTCCCCTTTTTTGTTGTTTTTGTGTGTGTAGTATGTTTTGCTGTTTCTGCATTGACTCATGAAGCCCACATCTGTCATCCGTATTTGGATATTACTTAAAGATTGAGTATTTGATTTGCATACTGTCCGAATTTTCAGCCCGGGTCAGCGCAGCACATTTGAATTTGTTGGTTAGCGTAGTGTCTGTTGTCATTGTTGCTGCTCGGATCAAACCGTGGTGAAAAAAAATAACTAAGAAAAGTGGAAAATGTTCATTTGAATGAATCTTAGGTGACGTGTGTTTCCCGATTTATTGCCTAAAAGCTGGAAATATCTAAACTTATACTCAAAAACAACATGGATTTGTTGTTTATTTCTGCTTTAGTGTTGATGAAATGATTATTCAGGATCATAAATACCTGCTGACCACAACCCGGCTTCTCGTCAGGCCTGCCTGTGACTGTGTTTGATTTTCAGTCCACGGTCATGTGTCACAGCTCTGTGTCCTGCATCCCTGTTTACACTGTGGGCTATCTGATGCATTGATAGAGACTCGGGTCTATTGACAGTCAGGGAGGCTGATAATGCTACGGTAAACAATCCCTCCCTGGAGGTAAATATCCATGACTTCTCAAATGACTTAGAAAAACATCAGAGGATAACATTCTGACAAAAGAGGTGACAAAATATGTTGGTACTGACACTTAATCAATCGCGGCTTTATTGAAAGAACTTGGAGCTGTATTTTTAGTTAAACCATCAGCTTTGTCTTTGTGAACTCTACCATTGTCCTCCTCGAGGAAATATAAATCACTTTAAGGGTTAAACATGAAACCACACTTCATTACCTCTCAATGAGTGTGGTTGCAAAATTAGGCTCATAATTCATATAATGAGTTTGTTCTTATTTGGAACAGTTAGGTTGTTTGTCACCTGCTAATATGTAGACACTAAATGTTGGGACTCACAAGAGGCTGTTGCTGCAAATCATTGACTGGATACTTTGTCACAGCAGCAGGAAGCGGGAAAAGACTGAGGTCTGATTTTAATAATTAGCTGGTTAATGTATAAAGTAATAAGGCTGTGTATGTGTTTTGGAAAAAGGTTTACATTTCCCTCACAAAAATCCCCTGATAAAATGTTCATATTATGTTGAATTAGTCTGAAAATGAATGACATAAAACTTAATTTAAGTTTATTTGCATTTTTAGTTTTGCACCGTATTTAAAGATAATTTAAACCATCAAGAAATATGTTAATTTATTTTTCAGTTGGGCTTTTTGTACAATTCTGAAGTATAATTTAGGGAATTTCTCACTGATTTTAGTCGTTTCAATCCCTTTCTTGATGAATTGATCGCAAAAGTACGGAAGCCCTGAGCAGACATGCCTCTGTACATCTCATTTATCTCAGTATCTTGAGATAACCAAGATAGTAATTTTGTTTCTAATCACATGGAAAAAGAAAATTAAGAGAGGACCTGAAGAAAACAAATGATATGAACTTGTTAACACAGGAAAGTGAAAAGTGACTAAAGAGGAGTTTCAATAACTGCATTAACTGGACTTGACATGAACCAGACCACTCCCTTTGTGGTTTTTAATACTTGGTTGATGTGACTCGTTTCTTTCGTTCCTCTTGGGATGGTCTCATGTACTCTGTAGATTACTAATTAACTGCGCTGTCATCTTCTTGTCGTAAAACATAAAGAAAGGTCAGTTCCATATAAAACTCGTCATATTTAAGATATTCAGATAAAAGATGGTACCAGACCAGTCATGTGACTTGACTCCTAGCTAAATATCTGTTTTCGTCCCCTGAAATGACTGAGAAGTGTCAGTATTTACATTGTTATCTAAGGCCTTCACTCCAGCCATGGTCCAGTGATGACCCCCTCACATGTCGTCTCTTGATTTTGCAAACCAAAGCAATAAATATGTTCCATCTGTCCTGTCTGGGGTTCAAAGTCTAATAGTTTTAAAGCTTTCGCTCAGTTATTTTTTTTTAACGAGGATATAAAAACCAAAGAGTCCTTTATGTGTTGGACAGAGTCACAGTGAGCTCTTTTTCCATGTTGTCACTCAGTCTCCTAGCAGAGCTGAAATCTGACACTCAGTCACTGCGTTACAGGCTGATGAACAGGTTCCTCTGTTCTCTGAAGAGACATTTTTCTCTGATTCTTTCATAAAGATTTTGGGACTAACATCCAAAATGTCCATAAAGTGCTTTGTGAACAGAATAAAATGTATAATTATATCATAAACTCGGTCTCAGAGGAGTTTGTTTTAACTATAGACTTTTTCACCTGAGATCTGGACATTGATTTTCAGTCCATTGATGCATGCGTGCACATTTCTCTCTTCCCTGTGTTGTAGAAATGCTCCACAGAAGTTGTTTTTTCCTATTTGAATTTGAACATGTAGTTTTTTTGGTGTTGTGTCTATTAGATAAAGTCCTGGGCGCTGCCTCTCTCAGAGCAGAGGGAGTAGCTCGTGGCTGCTTTTATCCTTTCCTGGTTGAAGATTTGCATCCCTGCAGCAGTCTGCCAGCACATTCATCTCTATTTAAACTACAGCCTGTGGAGATAGCTTCGCCCTCGCGGCTATTAGAGACATCATCACGAGCTACATGGTCAAAACATCAGTTCCTGTGGACAGATCATATCACCACAGTTCGCTGGTATTTGCATGTTTGAATAAAGATGTATGAGGCTGTTGTTTTTGGTGACACCTGCCCAGAAGAGTATATATATTTATTTTTCATGTGATTAAACACTCAAAGAAGTCCTGTGAGTTTTTCTTGCCTGACCGGCTGATATCACGTCACATTCCTGATGTCAAATATGACTAATGTTTTCAGTTTGGATCTACTCAAACAAGTTTTTAGATCAGATATAATGAACAGTTACAGTGATGAAACATTTCTGACGTGCCCTCCTACTACACTCCCATTTTTGTGACTTAAGCTGTAGGAGTCAGTGCCTCAACTCAGATACTTTTATCTCTACTCTCATCCTTGTAGTCGCACATTGAGTAACTCATTTTTCTCCTTGTCTTTCTCTGTGTTCCAGGAAGCAACACCGAGACTTTCCTTACCGTAACACAGTCACCTTTGTTATGAGCAACTAACCCATAAAACATGACATTCTTCTGTCTACGTCTCAAAGTTTTTTCCTTATTGACCCCAACAGTCATTTATTAACTCTTAGAAAAGGACACATGTTGCTTAGAAACAACAACACCCTCCTACTTTGAATAGGAATCCTTTGGTGTAAAACAGTGTCCTATTTCATAAACCTGTAGCTGTCGTAGACAGACATAAAGATTGACTCGACAAACGTTTATTAAATCCCCCCAAATGTTCAATTAAACTCTGTGACATACATGTTTATATCCTTGACCTACACAGACCTCATTATTGATAACTCATGTTAAAAAAGAGCTGCAATAATGAATGACTTAAGAGATCTAAAAACAAACAATAAAATTTTAAAATCAATCCTATAAGAGACGGGAAGCCAATGAAGGGAGCTAAGGACAGGAGTGATGGAGTTAAAAGACGGGCAGTAGCACTTTAAAGTTGCTGTGAGGAACTTTTGGTTCCTGTTGGCTCTGGCGCCCCCTGTGGACAAAGTAAAACCTCTTCTCTCTTGTTCCGTATAAAATCAGGTATTAAATCTACAACAGGGAAATAATCAGCCTTGTTGCTCATAGCAGTGCCTTTAAATGACTCACTGACCAAGTCACAGTTACAGGAAAACAGGAAATACTTGCTGGTTACAAAGTTCAAAGTGTGAGCTGGGCTTTCACAGTTTAAGGAAAATACTGCAGCAACAGTTTGCAGGGTGATAGGTATAAAAAAATTACTTATTAGCTCTTACTCAGTCTCACACAGTATGTGCATTTTGCTACATGTCCTAATTTTATCTTAAATAAATAGATAAATCACTTTTCTAATTAAGAAATAAATCCCGTTGGTTTTGTAGAACAATTTTTATACTTGCAAAGTGAAACCGTAACTAGAGCTCCCGCTGGTGGCTGGCTGCAGTATAGGTCTTTTTTACACACTTCACTTCTAAGATGGTTTTGGTATCCTGATTGTCCGCTCATTCCTCTGTTTTTGTAACTCAGCTGGTCAGGTTACCATATGAGCGCCCTCTGCTGGATCATACAGTAAGCTGTTTCAGGCGTCTTGATGCGCTGGTCCACTGTATTATTAAGAGTTTGAGGATGATTCACAGCTTTGTTGAGAAATACATACTCTTCTTGCAGTGTTTTTTTTTACTATGATATCAGGGTAAAGGGACACACACAGAGAGAGAAAACAATAAATCTAACGACTTGTGCTTGAGCTTCATCTAACTGCATTCAAATTGTTTGAAAGTGGTGCCATTATGCACTAGCATTAATTGGGCAGCCCTCCTGAGACCTCACCAAAACAAACAAAATTCCCCCCTGGAGTCTGCAGTATTTTAGAAGCACGGCACCTTCCCATGTGCCCACAAGAACACAAACGCAGAGGTGTTAAATCGGAGCTGCATTTCCTTTAGGTGGTACTAACAAATGTAAAGGATGAGCTGAAGTGCCCCTGAGTAACCCATGCATGGAAGTCTGAAAGTTATTCATGGCTCTAAATGAGATTATTTTCTGTGTTTCTGTTTTCTTCTCTCAGGAGAACCGGCTCAGTTTGACCCAACATTCAATGGACCCATGAGGAAAAGGTGAATCCTGCTCTCACTGACTCCTGCAATCCTTTTAGACCTCAGAATATGTACATATAATATAGGACTTTTGTTTGACTCTCAGTCTTTCTTTCTGTTGACCGATGAAATCATGTTTGTCACCCCTGAGGCAAAACCTTCACACAAATCTCAGACCTCTTACTCTAACTTGTGTCTGTCTGTTTTTCAGAGGGTGCACTGATATCATCTGTTGTATCCTGTTCATGGCTGTCGTTGTTGGCTACATGGCAGTAGGAGCTTTAGGTGAGACTTACTCAGATCTTTGAATTCAACCCCACACACTCCTCTCTTTCTCTCTCTGAAGCACAAAAAAACCACATTTTTTTGTCTCAGTTTTGTTCTTGGTGTCTCTGGTTAGCTGGCTGGCAACTTTCTGGTGCTGACACGAGCCCACTTTATTGTTCAAACAAACACGATAGAGACCTGCATACTCTCCGTCAAACAGGCTAAACATGGAAGGTGTTTGTTAATTGAACAGCTACTTCCACTTCCTCAAACAGCAGCACCAAAGTAAAGGACAAACCAACGTCTGCACAACAAAGACTCGTACAAATCTATCATTCACAAAAATTTATGCAAGACTGTAAGTTTCTATATTCGGTTTATATTCGGTGAACATGACGTAAGCGTCTCTTAATGCCCTGTCATCAAACTTATTTCAACACTGAGGGTCATCGCTCTTATCTAGAGTAAACACACAGGCCTGATAAGCGGAGACCGATCGTGTCCTACATAATCGACATTTCCCCTTGTCGAAGGATGTGGACAAGCATGTTGATGAGGGTAGATTTGTAGTAGCGCTGAAGTGGAGGAACCTGCTTCTGGTGTACACAGAACCGGTGGGATTTAATCCACGATTGACAAAATAAACAAAAGAAATGTGCAAACTAGTCAAAAAATAAACCTGCGTGGACCAAGTGGTGGTGGTAGAATCCTGCAAGACGACCCTGATTAGATCCTTAGACTTTGTAAAGACCAAATCTTGTTTTTTGTTGTGAAACATATGACATTATTATCATCTGAATAGCAACAAACTACATGAGAGATCCTCTGGTAGCATTTTCTTATCTCCACCTAACTGTATTTTTCCAGCATGGCTTTATGGAGATCCCAGGCACGTACTTTACCCCAAAAACTCGACTGGATGGTTCTGTGGCACCCAAGAAAACAAGTAATCAAATCTCTCTCGCTGTTTCTGATTATTTTTGCATCTTTTTAATATAATCAATAACTTTTTGACTCATTAATTCTCCTTATCCTCTCCACAGAGATCGACCAAACTTGCTTTACTACAACATCCTCAAGTGCGCCACATCCGTTAATGTCATTGCAACCGCCCTCAATGGTTTTCAATGTCCGACCACACAGGTAGAGCTCACCGCCTGATCCAGTCATCAGTAGGAGGACTCCTCCAGTGTCCCTGAAATGATCTTGTTTTCTTTCTTCAGGTTTGTGTGGAGAAATGTCCCACTGAGTTTGGGGCGGTTTTATTTACGGATTATCTCAAGAAGCCAGCTGAAGTTTTTGAGCAAAGCCTCTGTGTGCCCTCCTTGGACTTGGCGAAAACTGACTATGTAAGTCTCAATCATAAAACTATTGCAAAAGTTAGCATTTTTGTGCAGGACTCAAAAATGTTGTGATGGAACAAACTTGCAGGACTAGTGAAGTTATTCCATCTTAATCTGGATGTAATTATGACACGTTTAGACTAATCTAGAAACAGGAAGAGATTGAGTTCAGGCTACAGCCAAATGGTTAAATCAGATGACCTATCATATCCCTGGCTCATGGAGTGAGCCCCTAGTGGACATTTCAAGAACTGCAGATTTTGACACTTCTTCAATGGCTTCTTTTTCAGCGCTGTGATTTCATCTGTTTTATATTTTGATATCAGACATTTATCAGCAGAGGAATCTTCACTATTTGATTTATTTATGTGTAACTTTTTATGACTTGATCCTGTTCCCCCCTCAGACAGTTCAACAAATTGTAGACAAGGAGTTGTGTCCGTTTTTCTACACGCCCACAGTCTCCGGTGAGTGTAACCTCTCTTTTACACTTAAATGTTTTATTTTCATGTAGCTGTGACCAGAGACTGTATAGAGAATGGACAGCGTCTGCCTCCTCGCTGGGTGAAGCCACTCCGAGAACAGCACCCTCTGGTGACAGGCTGCAGTATAGGTCATAAATCCCGCCTCCGCCAGCAAAGCTTATGGGGTTGTGGACAAACTTTAGAAATTTATTACAAAGAACATAAAAATTTCAAATCTGTATACAGGTGGGAGGCGGAGCCAAGTTGTCCATAGTATGTACAGTCTATGGTTGTGACTCGAGGTGCCTAAAGCCAATATCTAGACTTAAGTACTGGTGGTTATCAAACACCCCCAGATTGACTTTAATACGAGTTGTGATTATACATCTACACGGTTGCTTCACCTGCTGCTTCACCTCTTCTCTCTCATATTAGTGTTGGGAAGATGTCTGCCTGATATCACGCTGGAAGGGACTCCCTCTTGGTTTGCAGATGTTCCCGGCCTGCCTAACACAGTCAATGAAACATTCAACACTATCGTGAATGGCACTGGGTAAGAAAAAAAGGATCCAATACCAAATCATACATGAACAAAACCAACTAAAAACTCTGCTGCTGTATCAATGACGATGTTAACGTGCTCCAAATATCACAGTTTTTGCCCTGATTGTTTAAAAGTCCAATGGAAATTGATATTCAACTTTGAAATGCAAAACTCTAATTAATGAAATAATCATTTTGGAAAACCGGACGTGTTCAAAAATGTTTGCAGAGGTTTTCTTTTGTGTCACAAACTGCAGGAGAGGCCGTGAAGGATCTGAACATTAATCTGCAATTTAAATCTCCACTTTAATCTGTAAAATTATTCTGCTGTAAACATATTGACTGATAACATATACGGAGACATACGCTCATTAATAACGGTTTCTTTCTCCTCTTCCTCTCCAGCAAAGGGTCAGTGGTTTTCGTGAGTTTTTGTGTCGGCTTGTAGTCTAGCAGCTGTTTTAGTCGCTTCGTAGTTGTCCACCTCAGTCTTTGAGGTGTGTCTTGGGACTAGATCTTATAGTCGCCTTTTCAGTCTGTATCTGCAGGCATTGACTGAATCTCTAAGTGGCATCGGACTCACCTTTTCTATCAGTACACCACCTTTAGTAACTTTCATTGTGCCTCCTCTGTTTTCTCAGCATAGTTAGTTGTTTGTCCTTGTTTCCTCTCTGTATTAGTTTGTATGCAAATACACTTTGTGAAGGCGAGGAGTCACCGGCACAGCCTCTGCTTTTGTTTTCAACAGGGACATTGTGAACGGATTCAATGCCAAAGAGATCGGCCTCCGAATCTTCGAGGACTTTGCGTTGTCATGGCCGTGGATCCTCCTGTGAGTTTCCTCCTTAAGCAATAATGCTCATACACCGCCACCCAGATGGTAGAGAAGTGCACTACTCTAGGTTTTATTTAATAAGCGTAGTTTGATCAGTTAAGGTTAATATATGAAAGCATTTAATATATGATGGAGTATTAGGGCCACATAAAAAAAAGAGGATTTTGAGATTAAAGTAGTTAATTACGAGAATAAAGTCATTACTCACGAGAATAAAGTCATAGTGAAGTAATTACTTATGAGAATAAAGTCCTAATAAAATCATTATGATACTTATACTAACGTGGTGCTGATGTGCCAAAAGATAACGTATCTCCTTGTTTGAGAAACCTATATTGAAGTACATTTTCACGAAATGCTCCATGGCTCTCGTTTCAACAACCATCATCTTAAACAACAGGTTAGAATATAAGGACTTTATTCTGACTTCACTCTCGTAAGTGATTACTTCACTACGACTTTATTCTCGTAAATTAATCTTGAAGTCTTACTTTTTTTTTTCTTAATATGGCTCTAATATTCCATTGTATTTATAGGATCTCATGAGGTCAGTTTTTAACGATAATTATTCCAAAACTCAGATCTTTTTGTTTGACGTCCTTTCCAACTTTCCCTCTCAGCGGTCTGGTCATCGCCATGGTGGTCAGCATGCTGTTCCTGTTGCTGCTGAGGTTCACCGCTCCAGTCATGGTGTGGGTGCTCATCATAGGACTCCTGGGCGCCGGAGCGTACGGTAAACAGTGTTAATATAATTCACAATTATTTTGAGCGACACACCAAACATTGGAAATACTGTCACATGAACAGTAGATTCTCTTTCTCCTTTTTTTGGGGCATGTGTATTTTGACCCAATTACAACATGACCCTGGTTAGAAGATGATCCCCCATCTTTTCAAGACTAGTTTTTTTTTTTTTTTTACAGAGACTTTATAACTCTGCCTCAGTTATTTGGTAACTCGTCCTACTTTTATGCTCCTTTGCTCTGGTCACCACACCTCTTCATCGTTAAACCCTCTGGTACTGTAATGCTGACTGACGACTAACTTCTCTTATGAAGGTCTCAGTTGTTTTACAGCTAAGTGGCGCCATCTACTGCTGCAATATTTAACTAACAAAGTCTGATCCCATTTTTCAGACAAATCCTCTGGAGGTAAAAAAAAGTCCACTCAGTTAGCAGGAAAGTATTAAAGACTGTATGTAGAGGGAAGGAACATCTTCACAAACTGATCACATTACTGTGTTGTTTAAAAAAAACACAAACAGATGAAATTCGGCTTCATTTTCCTCTGGAAGGACAAAATTTCACTGGTCCCACATTACAGCCTAAAGAGTTATTCTGTTACTTTGTTTTGGACACAAAGTTGACTGATCTAGTTTATTTGTTTGTAACAGGAAGAGATGTTTATTTTGGCTTCTTAGTTGTTGTTTCTGTTTCTCTGGCAGGGATTTGGCACTGCTACTGGGAGTACGAAAACTTCAAGCAAAACTCCATCACTGAGGTCGGATTCACCACAAACTTCAACGTTTACCTGCAGGTCCAAGAAACCTGGCTGGCCTTTTGTGAGTCTCTTCAGCATTTTGCCATCGCCATTAAGTACTGTAAAGTTGATTTATATTTTAAATTGAGTTATTTATACAGCCTTTACATGTAGAGGACAAAAACAGCAAGATTAAAGTTTCCACGACGTCCACAGGAAGCTCTGGCACAAAACTTATGTCAAAAAGTTAATTTTACTCATTTAAAACATGGAGATAATCAACACACAGCAGGAAACTCGGCACATAAATAGCATCAACATTACTAATATATATAAAAATTTCTCAGTTCCCAGACAAGCAGTTTGATACAAGCACAGAGAAGAGGAGAGCAAGAAAAAATAGCACTAATTACATTATTTTTCACTTTCTCCTCTCCTTCCACCGCAGTGATTATCTTATGTATTGTTGAGGCGATCATTATCCTGACCCTCATCTTCCTGAGGACCAGAATCCTCATAGCCATCGCCCTCATCCAGGAGTCCAGCAAGTGAGTCGTGACACAGTAAAACCCTCTGCAAAAAGGTTATTCGCCCCTAAAGGGATATTCTGCCGTAAAATTGATTTGAGGTCAAACACACAGTAACACCAAGTTAGACACCCCCTCGAGAGATGGCTCCTTAGACCACTGTGTATCCTGCGGTCATTACTAAAGTTGGTGAAACTAGAGAAGCAAACAGTCTGCAACATTCATCTCTTGAGGGGTTGTCTAACTCGGTGTGTTTGAACCTAAATCAATTCTACACCAGAATATTCCTTTAAATGTGTATCGTACTGTGAGGAGACTATAAAGCTTCAACATGTAACTTGTGTGTGTTCGTGGTCCACAGGGCTGTAGGTCACATGATGTCCTCTCTGCTCTACCCTCTGGTCACCTTCGTCCTCCTGCTGGTGTGTGTTGCTTACTGGGGTGCCACTGCTCTGTATCCTCTTTATCCCACAGTTTTATACGTGTGTACAATAAAAGCACTGATATATTCTGAGTTTGATTTTAATCTATTGGTGCTTCGGTCCAGAGTTTTCCTCCTTAATGATGAGTGTAGGTATTTAGCCACATCAGGAGACCCCATCTACAGAGTGGTGTCACTCAACGCCACTACGAGCGACTGTATGAGCCTCAATGGTACCGAGGACTGTGACCCTCAGGTGAGTGGAAGGATTAAGTTTCAACCAAAAGTGAATCACATTTTTCAGAGAGTATTTATAATTCAAGAATTTTGACCCTTTCATTTTGTCTCCTATCTCCTTTCCTCAGAACTTCACCTCGTCCTCTTACCCAGACTGCCCCACAGCCAGCTGCATCTTCATCAAATACAACGACGAAGGTTTCTTCCAGAGGAACCTCTTCAACCTGCAGATCTACAACGCCGTGGCTTTCCTCTGGTGCGTGAACTTCGTCATCGCTCTGGGGCAGTGCACTCTGGCGGGGGCCTTTGCCTCTTACTACTGGGCGTTCAACAAACCAGGCGACATCCCCATGTGCCCCCTGTCTGCCAGCTTTCTACGCGCACTCAGGTAGGTTTACAAATCTGCAACAGCATCAGATCCATCTCTGCGACTCAAATCTAAATACAGGATGTCTGCGGACTCTTTTTTGACCTGAATGTAAAGTTCATACAAGCCTGACTGCAGTTCTCCTTCTGGTTCCTAGAGGGCGCATTCATCCTTTAAACCAGGAAGCAGCATACACTTGAATGACCCAGGAGGTATTTTCTTATCATTTCAGGTACCATGTGGGCTCTTTGGCGTTCGGTGCTTTGATCCTGACCCTGGTGCAGATAGCGAGGATCATCCTGGAGTACATCGACCACAAAACGAGATGTAAAAGCAACACATACGCACTTTACTGTCCTCATGGATACTAAATTTATCCCCTCTTCCTTTTTTGTGCTTGTTGGTAATGATTAGGATCTTAGCATCACAGCAGATACTTTGTCCAGTCCACACAGAAAGTATTACTCAGTGAAAATGACATCCTAAAAACCTACATTGAAATACAAAAAAGAAGTTTAACTGCACATACTCAGGGGTATGATAAGGAAAAAAATCCAGACACCTTGCACTTTGCAGCAGCATGTTTATCAATTTACTTTTTATTACTATGTTTTGATTATATTTTAAGGTCCATCTGCTCAATCTAAACTATTTAATGCTTTTCATATTGTTCAGGGTCATCCAAAAGCAAATACGATTGACATCTTTAACTCTGTCTTCAAGCACAGCTGCTAAGTTACTTACTAACAGCTTTCAACCTGGTAGTTTCACAGATAGGTCCATGTTTACCAACAAAAAGGCATTTTCAAGAGGGTTTTTCTTTGGTCATAAAAAGTTTGATTTGCAGAGATTCATCTTTTATTTTACAGATTAGCAAAGATATGCTGTATATTTATGTTGTCATGTCTCTTTATCCTCAGTTTTTTTTCCAAAATATCTGGTTTAATGAATGAACGCTAAAGTTATGAAGCTACATCGTTGTAGAAATGTCTTCAGAGGAGACACTGTTAGAAATCGAACTGGCCTAAAATATGATATATTTTCATTTTCTGTCCCCAGCGGCTCAGAATCCGATCGCCCGTTTCATTCTGTGCTGCATGAAGTGCTGCCTCTGGTGTCTGGAGAAGTTCATCAAGTTTCTCAACAGGAACGCTTACATCATGGTGAGCAGAAGGCAGTAATGTTGAGTGTCTGTCCTCAACGCCGCTGCTGTTGTTGTGGTTAATGTTTGAGTGGTGGTTATCTTACATTGGAGGAAACAGAATTAACTTTTATGTTCCTCCTACAACTATTATTCATTTTAAAATCTCGTCTGTGATCACTCACAAACCTGTTGATTTTCTTTTTGACAGATCGCCATATATGGGAAAAACTTCTGCGTCTCAGCCAAAAACGCGTTCAAGCTGCTCATGAGGAATATTATAAGGTCTTGTCTCCGACTTAAATGCAGCTGTAAAGTCTCATATTGTTGTTTTTATGACATTTATGTGTTTGGATTTGTTGAGACTGAACAGAGTCTTATTTCTCCGCGCTCTGCAGGGTGGTGGTGCTGGATAAAGTGACAGACCTGCTCTTGTTCTTCGGGAAGCTGCTGGTGGTTGGAGGAATGGGTAAGAGCTGGTAGTGGCTTTATTTAGTATCACAAGTCAATGATGATTATTGTTTTATTATTTAAAAAAAGTCCAACCACAAGCAAGCACTTGCTATCAAAGGCAAGAAAACTTATTTCATTTGGCAGAAACCCAGAGCAGGAACAGACTAATAAGTGGTCTGCCAGTGTTTATCTTGGCTGAGAGTGGAATAAAGACAAACTGAGACAGGGAGACAAGCAGCAATATTTTGGATGACACATGAGGATGCACAATATTTTCTTATGGTTTTCAGTCACTTGTAACCTACTTTTGTCTCTTTCTTCCTCTGTTGGACATGGAAAAACTGCTAGAGTTCATTATTACCAACTGCTGAATATATTTGATATTCCTGCCCTGGTCTCCACCGCCTATTTTGGAAAAACTTTGGCCCTTTTTCTGTGAAATGATCTACTTTTCCCACAAACCAGTGCCTTACTTTGTCAGCTGTTTGATGCTGGACAGGTGGTGTAAGAGTTTACATCCTGACGACAGCTAACACATACCTGACAAGAGCAGTGAAGTGTAGGAATGAATGAATGTGTAAAGCCAAGAGGAATAACAACAAACTGTCTAAAACTCCAGACTGTGTCTTTTTTTAAAATCTATTTCCAGGTGTTTTGTCCTTTTTCTTCTTCTCTGGGAGAATATTACTGCCAGGCGACACCTTCCGCACCGAAACCCTCAACTATTACTGGATGCCAATTATTGTGAGTAAAAAAGGATAATCAATCAATCAGTCAATAAAGATATCTCTTTCTGAATCCTGTTTTTTCTTGTTTCTTTCTACCTCAGACTGTTGTGTTCGGTAGCTACCTCGTAGCTCATGGGTTCTTCAGCGTGTACAACATGTGCGTGGACACACTCTTCCTCTGCTTCTGTGAGTACACGCTTCAATTTTACTGTCTGTGGATATTTCAACTGTATCATTTTAATTATAAAACACACGGTTTCGTCGTTATTGGATTTGTCTCTCACTCTTTCCTCACAGTGGAAGACTTGGAACGAAACGATGGATCACAACAAAAACCTTACTATATGTCCAGAAACCTCATGAAGATCCTGAGCAAATCAAACAAAACGCCAAAGAGAGGTCGAAACAAGGACTGAGGACGGTTTTTACCTCCAGAGGTCACGACAACACAACAAACGTGTCATCGCTGTTCAGGATATTTAGTCAAATTTGACACTTCAACACTTTGTTTACCAAAGCTAAAAGGCTGTTTTGCACTTTGTGATTATTTTGTATGATGTTTTTAACATGCAGGAGTAGTATTAATGACTGTTCATGGGAGAGGACTGGCAATGTGAAAATCGAATGTAATGTGAAGTTGGAAGGTATCCTACTGAAGTTGTTTCTTTGATTCCTACAAAATCATCTTTTATAAAAACTCTTATTTAAACTTGTGCGCTGGTTTTAGGAGCACATATTCACCAGCGAGAAAACAATCCTGCTCCAGACGATTGTCATTCATGTTTAGTTTTTTTCTACTCTTTCTGCTGAGAATCTTTTATAGAGCGGGGACCATTAAGACGTGCTCTCCTCAGATAGAGCACTAATGTTGTTTGAATATATATTTCTAGATTATATTTGTAAAAAAAACATTTTTATATAATAAATTTTTATGACTGAGGTTGCTGATCATACTGAAAATAATGCAATAATATTGTAAATATGTCTGTTAGACTGTATGTAGATGGTACCAGACCTGCTCATGTTCACTCATACTTTTTAAATCTTTGCACTGTAAACCTGTTCATCATGTCTCATAATTACATAAATAATATTTCAGATTTGCTGGCTGTTATACTTTGTAAACCACTGCTGCACTGCTGTTTAGAAGAAATATCACGGCACTAATTCCTCTAAACATCATGTTGTTTCTGTGGTGCAAGACCTCCATTATGTCGGGATTCCGACTCCACAGTCGGATGTCATGTGAAACCTCACATGTTCAAGCTTTTCTGGTCACATCTCTAACTAAGCAGCATGATGCAGAAACCGTGGGAACATTTAGCGCACCAGCGTTTCAGCCAAGATAAAAATGCAAATAAGGATTTTAGGATTGCTTTGACATCCCTGTTTGTTTTTAACGACCTTTACTGTTTTCTGCATAGTGAATTTGGTAAATTCAACCCAGATGTTTTCAGTAAAAATGAATTATTCTTAGTGTTCTTAATATTTGAAATTAGGTGTAACCAGACCAGACCCAAAGGATGCCACATTATTGACATTTAAGAAATAAAATTATTACCTGATCATCACTTTAATCATGTATGAATCATGAATTAATAAATGATCATTACTTTGTCATTTTCTCGAAGTAAAAATCATACACTAATCATTTTGCACTACAGACTCAGTAGTTCTTCTGCATTAGCGTCTCAGTCTGATTGCATTTCTATGAAGAAATGATCATAAATGTTCTTCCTTCAGCTGCGTTACCCCACTGTAGTCCGTAATGGACTCACCTAAGGTCAAACTCACCAAACGGCTGCTGGAAGAGAGTAGGTGAGTTATGTTTAGTCTCTTTGCCAAAGAAATTAGGCAAAATTAAAAAGATTTTTGGTAGCTAGGACCCTATGTGTACTGTTGATGAAGTTAGGTGCTGTTCTGAGCATTATTTGTGGCTATAGAGTGGCGTTTTGGTTGAGGTTTGTTTATGGCTCCTCAGCCAGCTGTGTATTGCTATCGTGTGGTCGTTACTAAAGTTGGTATAACTAGAGAAGCAAGCGGTCGCAAAAAATTCATCTCTCGAGGAGGTGTCTAACTCGGTGTTACTGTGTGTTTGACCCTAAATTAATTTTATGCCGAAATTTCCCTTTAATATAGAGACCATGGAGTCCCAGTGGTTTGAGTCGCAAGCCTTGTGGGTAATATGGGACCAATACTTTGACATAGAAAGAGTATAGAATCAAAAATTGAGACTTTTTAGGCTCTTATGATTTCTTTCTTTTATTCTTAAAAATAGATGTTAATTGGTTTGTTTCTATGCTAAGAGTTAGTAATGGGAACAAATTAGCTTCATTTCATTTCCATAAATGAAAGGAGACAGGAGAGTTTTTTTCTTTCGTAACATTTATTTAACTTAACAGGAGAGGGTTGGCAGGAGAGTTATTAACATGGGCTGCAAGATTTTCTTGAGTGTAAGGAAGGAATTCATGAAAACCGGGAAGCAGATCTCGCTTTACAAAAGCATCTCGAAGCTACTCGCACATCTCGACCTTCCTCACTCTCCGTGGTTGTTCATCCACTCAGAAAACACATAAAAACAGCATTTACAATATTCATATGTACAAATATATAATGTATACACACTCACTCGGACACAAAGAGACAGGAAAAAAAAAAAAAAAAAACAACTGTGATAAAGTTCATTGAACTTTCTTAGCGTGCCGAGCTTTTCACCTCCTCGGTTATCTTGAAAGGATCCACCTCCCTGTCTGGACTGCATCAGCTCTACTTCCAGTCCTGATGCAGTCTGTGGTATTAATGAGCCGCAGAGAGCTTTTTTTTGCTTTTTCACTCTCTGCAATTTGCTCACGATACAAAAAATCTCCCAAACTGGCCTTATCTGTACAGCGGGAAAAAAAAAAAACACGCAAAAAAGTGGCTCAACACAAGCTCACGCTCCTATCATTAGGGCAGCTCCATCTACGAATGACTTCACAGTGCAATGGTAGTTTTTGTTAAGACAAATGTATATAAAAAATGCATCCAAGTGTGCTGTTACCACTGTCAAGAGTTAAGTTGCAAATTCTAGGAGTACTTGTTCATTTCACGAGGAAACTGTAAACAGGAACATAAGTCATTAGTTGTTTTTTTTACCCCCTGATTCGTACGTACTGGTCTGCTACTCTTTGGCCTTTTAGAGCTTTCCACAGCAATCCTCTCTCTCTCATATTATTGAAGAATTAATCTGTGACTCCTTCAAGAGGAATGTGAAAAGCCAAAAACAGATTTGCCCAAAACTTGTCCTCCACCCACCTCTCTTTTCCTGCGTCACCTGGATCTCATAATACTGACTTTATTTTATTTCTTATTATTTTGGAAATCCGACTGACACTTTCTCGTGTGTGTTTCTTGCATAAACAAAAAAATGATCAAAGCAGGTTGGTAGGTGGGTGGAGCTGAAGTGAATCTGCCTCTGTCGGGTGGAGGACACCGAAATTCCCGCGTCTTAGTTTTGAGACTCTCCCCACTTCCTCTCCCATGTTAGTACCTGCTAGGAAATGTAAAAATGAGTGTGTGTCTGTGGCTCGAGTCAAGTGTGTGTTTGTCCTTTTTTAATGTTTTGTTTCTTCCCTCCGGTCTCCATCACACACTCAGCAGCCAGAAGAAGAAGAAGATGGCCACAAACAGGAAGAGGGAGTCTTGCCAGTTGTTATTGCCGTTGTTAAGGTTGCCGTTGGCTTGGTGGTCACCTGCATACTGGTCTACAGAGACAGAACATGAATTAATGACGTTAACACCAATTTACTCGCAACTTCTGAATAGAATAGGACACAGAAGTGATACCCGGGAGGCCTGATACATGATTATTATAGACACTGGGCAACAGGAAGTTTCTGCTTCTGCATAACCAACCCCTGTCTGCTTTACCGAATTTCTGTACACTTCCAAATCAAACAGGAAGTAGTTTTTTAAAGGGCTTAAAACAGAGCTTAACGCTAACTTTTTTCACAAGGGGCACATGTGCTTCTAAGTTAAAAAAGTCAGGAGCACACAAAGAACTTTAGGGGCACAATGAAAATTGATCAAATAATGTTTGTCTTGGTGGTCCACATAAGTACTATTATTTGAAATCAATTTTAGGTCTTTTGGTCACATGACATATCAACTATTGAAGGAAAGATTCAAAATTTGCCTTTAAATTTAACACTCAATTTATTTAGAGGACAAATTAGGGAAATGAAGAGGTGTGTCTTATTGGTCGACCTTAGCACTATTATTTGAAATCAATTTTAGGTCATGACATGGAAGCTATTGAAGGAAAACAGCCTTTTTTCGAGGACATCTACCGGTAATTTATTGACGGTCCCTTATTCAAAACCCGCCATTGACAGCGAGGATGCCGAGTAGATTTAACAACACTGCTGTTGTTACTATTCCAGGTTAAGGAGAGTGAGAAGACACCGGTAGATCTGCAGTGAATGTCCGTCCGATATCCAACGTAAAACTAACTTCACTGCGGTATTTACATTAAAGGAAAACAACTGTTGTCACTGTTTTCATTTCACATCTATAGCCTCATAATTCAGTAAAATATACCTTTTCAATCATGACAGAAACTAAATCAAAAAAAGAGATTAAAAGGCTAAATAACAGGATCACTAAATGCCATGACATTTGGTAACATTATTTGATCGTACCACTTTGACTGTTAGGGTTGCTTTTTGAGCTGCTGTGTCTTTACCTGCTCTGTGAAAGGGGTCGTTGGTGTTGAAGACTGTAGTGAAGAAGCCAAAGGGGAAAGCACCAATGCCAAAAGACATGTGAAAGCCAGTGTCCCCGAAACCCTGAAACATCTACAGACAGAGAGAGAGACAAACGGGTTTCAATATTCAATCAAAACTGACCGGTCAGAGAGAGGCTGATCAGAGCTGGTTTATACAGGGTCCAAAACTTACTCCGCTGCTTCATGTACATTCTATTTTGACCAAGACACAGCACAAAGCGTACACACCTATAGCTCATTTTCTTTATTCCAGTAAAGATGAAAGTTATTCATTGTTATATTTTCCCTTTGGGGTTGCTTTGTGTTCTCACTGCAGTGATGTAAAGTGAACCAAAACTCATCCCTGTGGATCAGACATCCTTACACCACTGTCCCTTTTCCACAGAAAATGCCACAGATACTGATAACACAGTACTCCCTGTGCTGTTGTGTGTACATTAGACCCCTTTAGAGAAGTTTCAATCCACTCACCCCGCCTCTACTCTCTGGCTCTGTTCTCTGTCCCTGAGGCCGTGGAGGAGTTTTCAACCTGAGTGGCGACAACAACAAAACACTCAGTGATGAGGTGACAAAGAGGCTTTCACTTTAACTCCACATGCACATGAAGAACACTTGTAGGGTACCTGGGGTCCTCTTGGCTGGAGCTCCCTCGGCCGTACAGTGGGATGACTTTCTCTCTGCTGATTCCTGCTTTACAGACAGGACACTGCTGCCTGCTGGGCCTCGTCTCCAACCACTGAGAGCAGGAAGGAAGAAGTTACATAATTCAGACCAGATCAAACCCCCTTTTTGTGCTGTTTTCTTTTTGTGGAAACACTGCGTACAAATCCAAACAACACCAAATTATCTCTCATTGTGATTCGAACTACAGCATGCGCATTAAAGTCTGCACAGAGAGCGGTCTGCAGCTCCACACGCTGGCTGGAGTGATGAATAGTAAAGAGAAGGTGCAGTAAACAGAAGCTTTAGGTGCATTAGCATGTTTAAGCTGCATTAAGTCAACTTAGAGGTGTCATTTACACGCTCCGGTTACATCACATCCTTACGTTGATTAGGTTAACTCGCTAATTGAAAAGGGGCGATGTAAAGCTTCGTTGAGATTGACAGCCAAAAACGGGCATAATAACACCTTACAGGTCCTTTTTTATGAGTGAAGGTGACATGACAAAGAAGAAATACTCACTTGGTGAAGACAGGGCCAGCTGCAAACAAACAAAGAGAGAGAGAAAGAGAGAAACATGAGTATCAAATCAATCGTACTGATTAGAATAAAGAGAGTGTACGGCTGTTTTTCTGTACATCTTTGAGTCAGATTTTCCCCCCGTCATCTATGCATCCCCCACCTGGCCAGAAAAACCTGTTCCTTATGACGTAGCTGATTAAACTCATCCCCGCTCCCTGTCGCTGTAAATTAATTAGCTCCATCTGTCATTAGCAGAGCTATCACTGTGCGTGTCCCTGCTGCTGCAGAAAACTGTGACAACGAGGGGAACATGTTTGGGGAGCACGTGTGAGCAAAATACTCGTTTTCTTAGAGTTATAACTTTGATTAACCATTCACTAATTTAACTAATCATTGAGCCAGTTAAAGAAGAAGATACCTCGATGACTGCAGTGGGTCATAGGGTTTCATTAGGGCCTGTGTCCACTAGGAACATCTTTATTTTTCTGTACATAACAGATGCAATTCAGAGTTTCAGATGCTCATTATCCTTAACTCAAGAAGACTGTAAATAAGTTTTCAGTGTTCTCCGCTAAAAACAGTTTAACTTTTGAAACAAAATCACATTCATCAGTGGAACTTTTCCATAACTGACCAATCAAAATCAAGAAGGGTCTGGAGTTCTGACAAATGCAATAAGGAACTTACTTCCTTTTCAAGGATACTACGACAGGAGGGACAAGCCGCCAATGCCACAAAAAATTCCTGTCACTTTCATTTGAAAATTTACTTCCGTTGGATAAAAGCAGCGCCTGCTCAAAGAAGACTGTAAATGGACACAGGCCCTTAATTTTTTGACTTTCACAAGGATTGTTTACATGAATACAGCTAATGACCACTGAAACATGTGGACAACAATGTTCTTTGTTCTAATGTATGCCAACACATCCAATACTACAATTTAACTCAAACTTTCCTATTCTGCATTTCTATCCATTTGAAACAGAGATTAGCAACCTCAACCCTCAAATACACTTGGTAGCCAAAGACAAACATAATTTTTTATGAGTTTAAAAGTGGCTTGAGGAAATTTGCTCCTCTCAATTATAGTAAACAAACCTTCACCATGTAAAACTCGGGTCAAATCAAGAATTTATAGCCCTACCAAAAGTCATGACATGTCCATCTTGAGATATAATTTCACTGACATAATCTGAATGTATAAAAAGGCCTCAAACTTAATCCTACTTAATCCTCATAGTCTCCAGTGCAATATATATTAGATAGGAAACGTTTTCTGGGGTCAGTTCCACCCCTAGACCCTCAGTTAATTAAGGCGCACTGCAGATTTAGCACTTTATCCACTGCAGATAAAATGTCCAAGTTGAGATTTTCCATGAGGTAAGCAGAGCCCTCCTTATGAGCTGACAAAAAAGAACAAGATAACATGTTCCTGCTTTAAAGGACTTTTTTTCACTCAGACGGCTGTTTTAGGCATGTACTGATGCTAAAAATAGAGCCAGTGTTTCACTGTCAAGAATGTGGTAACATGCTCAGCTGAAGGCTATTATTTGTAGGGTTTAATATAAATATACATACTATATATACATATAAGTTTTTCTGCGTGAAGACATCACTGTTGACTTTTCTCTGATCCCTTTAAATATCTATGTGAGGGATTCCCTGACAGACGAACTTCATCAGATCATGCAGACGAACAGGCAGGACTTGTTTTTAGACATTTTCAAGGCTTCACAAAACAGTCGAGCTGTCATAGCCTCGGGCAGGCCAAACCCAACGCCTCCACATGAACTTGAACATGACTCGAATAAACCAAACAAACTCAAACGCCAAAACACAACATGTCAGTGTACATGCTTTTTTAATACATACTAATTTACAGTATTTCAGAGGGCTTCACGTTACAGTTCAGTGTGTAGTGTACAGTGTTAGTGTATCAGATAGCTGCTGAGAATGACATTCCTGTGAATACAAACAGCTGAACAAAGCCAAAGGACTCAGTTAACATAACAGTCCATTCAACTGTGATTTAACATGTAGCCACACGTACAGCCCGGCTCTTGTGACCTGAAATTAACCGCTTAATTTCCTATAAGAGGCTCAATAAGTGTTCAATGAAGCCTGACCACACAGTTTACTCATATACACGCTCCATTGTGTCAACCCACCACAGTCATTCACTGCATGCAGGGTCTCATTTGCCATAAACCAAACTGGATTTTTGTCGTGTTGCTTCTCTGATCCTAATCACACTGCACTTTATTTTCGGTAAACACAATGCTGACAGCATGGGAAACTCTTCTGGAAAAAAAGGGAGGATACACAATGAAAAATAGACGTCTAAGCGCCCAGGGTAGAAGTTGTTGGTCTTCACAGATTTACAGACCAATTCTTTTTAGACCCTCAGACAAACTGCAATGAGACGGTCTAATCCATGGAGGATCTCGAGTCATGAGATGTTACAGCCAATGTTACACAACTTGACTTCAACTCTTCTGTTTAGATCTTTGCTTGTGTTGTGCTTCCTCTAAAACGTAGGTCACTTAAAGGGATATTCCGGCATAAAATTAATTAAGGGTCAAACACACTATAACATTGAGCTAGACACCCCCACCCCGAGAGATGAATGTTGCCGACCGCTTGCTTCTCCATTTATACCAACTTTACTAACAACTGCACGATAGCAATACACAGCCACACACAAACTTCAACCAAAATGCCGCTCTATAGCCACAAATAATGCCCAGAACAGCACCTAACTTCATCAACAGTACATATTGGGTCCCAGCCATAGTACTAGCCACCAAACATCTTTTTCACTATGCCTAATTTCTTTAGCAAAAAAACTAAATACAACTCACCCTCTCCCTTCCAGCAGCCGCTTGTTTGTAGCGAGACCTTGGGCCAGTCCATTACAGACTTCAGCGGGGTGACGCAGCTCAAGGAAGAACATTTATGATCATTTCTTTATGGAAATGCAAACAGACCGAGACACTAAGACAGAAGAACTACCGCGTCTGCAGTGCAAAATGATTAATATGGTGATTATTACTTCAAGGAAATGATAAAGAAATGATCATAAATGTTCTTCCTTGAGCTGCGTCACCCCGCAGCAGTCCGTTCAAACAGAATGAGCTGCCATTGAGCCTTTATATATAAAACTCACTTGTACTCACTTCTGCCTATTTAATCAGAATCAATGACAGTGATGGGATGAGTGTACTTAAGTGAAATCTCACTCATAGATAGTAAAGATGTCACACGCCCAATAACTCATCTGATAGAGATATAAAATCAATGTAATGCAACTTTGGTGCAAGTTTGTTTTGCAGTTGCAGCAGGTGGTCAGACGACAACACATCTCATCATTGCTGATACTTTCATCATCACCGTTTCATCACGAGAGAGAGGAGAGGGTGACAGGTATCTTAGCAACCACGTTACATCAGCGCCATAACACAGGAGCTTCACTGACAGAGCGGCAACTGCACATGTGAGATAAGGCTGCCTTTCTCCAGGAACAAAACAACAGAACATGTCCAACGCTTCCTTTAATTGCTGCTCTTAAAAAGTCAAATTTTTGCTTGCAGACCTGTCAACAAATGTGATAAGTTCGAAGTGTTTGCCCAAAAGATTTATCTTGAACAAAAGTTCAAGGACTCTATCTGGAGTAAGGTTTCCTTGTTTTGGCTTTTATTTTGTAGGTTTGACCAGTAAATCTCGCTATTTTCCTCTGATAAAGGATAACACAAGCAATGTCCGTATGTGGCTTCTTGTACATGATGTACTTTTTTAGTTGGAGTTCAAGCTTCACCACAAACACAGAGATAACATCCATAATCAACGTTTACCGACGTCACTTCAATGCAGCTTCATCATCCTTTACCTCTCTAGACCCCCATCAGGTCATTATCGAGTCAAAGTACAAAGATGAGACAACAACAGGTGAAGATAAGATACGTTTTCTTCTGAGCATAATACCTTTAGCTTTGACCCCAATCCTACTCTCCGTGGCTGTAATCTCACATTAGCCTGAGCGAGCATGGCTGTCAGTCAACACACACAACTCCTGAATGAGCCTCACGTCACGGTGGACGATATCAAGATGAGAGGTTGCGCAAGTCTTTGATTTCAAGAAAGATAGAAGACAAGACATGAGATACTAGTAAGGTGCAGTCTAACAGTGACTTGACTCGTTTATTACAGTACTATGTAGGGAAATGACAGCAACTCCAAATATCCCTCAGCGTATTTATAGGAATGAGTAACAGAAACTCCTTGTTGCAAGTAAAATGAGTTGACACACCTCTTTATTTTAGATCAACTTTTTTCTCTGTAACTTTTCAGAGTATACATCCCAGAAATGATAGTAATATACTCGTGGAACACGAGTTGATGTCTTCAAAATACCAGAGAAGAAAAACCGATTTGTTTGACTCAGATATGAAATTGAGAAAAGGAGCGAAAACACTAACCAGTGGATCTGCATTCCCAAGTCTTTCCCTGGGAGGATGTTTGGACTTTGCAGCTCAGAATATTCACCTGCACATGTACGGACTAACTTCGTCAGCAGAGTTAATGTTTCACCTAAGCCTGTACATTTTCAAAGGAGGCTCTGGCTGTCTATGTGATCTCTGACCAACAACAAACCTTCTGACATGATCAGCTGCGAGCGCCTGATACCTCACAAGATCGGAGAATCACATGTGCAATATGTATGTCAGAAGCACCTACACAGCATGCTCTCCAGGCTGTAAATGCGGTATTTGTAAACAGGGATAAAGGGCAGCTACATATGAGTTAGGGGAGAGTGGGGTAAGATGAGCCATTTTTCATATTTCAGATCACTACATCAAGATAGATATTAAATACATAAAGGCGTAAACATAACTCTCTTGATAATATAGCATGCCAAAAAAAGTGGTTTCCTATGGTCAACTTAAGGTCCTTTCACACTGGGACTGTTTTTTTCCTGCGATTATTTCGGACGTCAAATTTTTTTTTTTCAAACCCGTATCCTGTCAATACAAGCGTTCACATCAGCGACGTTTTCCCACCCTGTGATATTGCAGCATTCATTTTTTCTGATATGACGATGGTTTGTGTTCTTTAAAAGTTTGCTAAACGTCTTTACTTGAACTTTCATCTTTGCTAACGTAAGCTAACGGTTGTTACCATAGTTTCATGTGCTTATCTTATTGCCTCTGATTGGCTATAAGTGCTGACCATTTGGCTGGAGCGTGTGATGTATTGTATACAATTGATGTATAAAACAAAGTTAAAATGATCTTTTTTGGTCTGAACACAATTCTTATAAAAATTATGAAAGACTTCATTCAGTTTCAAGCATGTAAAATGTTTTTTTTTTTGTAAATAAATGTCTAACCCCTTCACCCATGTGCTTCTAACCTTCACAGACTCCATGAATTGATGCCCATCTCCTAAATATTTGGTCACATGATCAATTTCTTTTGCTATTTCCAAGGAACAGGAGGTGGCTCAACTCACCCCACTCTCCCCTATACCAGCTGTACTGACAGCAAACCAACACCCTCTTCTCTAATATTTAACAAGCTATCATGGCCACTCTCAGCCCCAACAACAAGCAGGGATAACAGACTCATATCAGCGTCTTACTGGCCTTCAAATAACTCATACTAGAGGTTAAACGAGGCCGCACAAACGGGAAAAAACATACTTTATGTTAGGTGGTTAAACCCGCACAGGAATGACCACCTCCACGCATAGAAACATGCCCGCTTCCCCCGCCTTGGACCGTACCAGAACAAGTGTCCGCACATACTGATGACAGCGTCCCTCGCAGTGTCCAGACAAATGTTACACTCGAACGTTGCCCGGTCTCGCTCCCGTTCGCCTTCCCCGCTGCCTCCGCCGCCCGGCCCGTTACGGTCGTTGCTGCTCTCCCCGGCCGGGAATCCTCCTCTGCTGGCCGGCCCGCCGTCACTCGAGGACCGGGGATCCGCGGCCGCCATAATATCGACTGAACAAGTTACGGAAGGTAAGACACCAACCCAACCCTCCACCGCACAGGCCAAACCCGAGCTAACGTTAGCCGTGAGTGCGTGAGTCAGGGACGACGACGACGACTGTCACCGAGCCGACGGCGCTGACCGAGCTGTCTCGCGCTGTCTGAATGGGTACTTCCGGTTCCGGGAAAACAGTGGCATGGAGTCTGGATGATAAACACCTCCTTCCAAAAATAATAACAACAAATAAAATACTACATCAACTACAACATTTCGACTTTTATTTCTAATAATTCGCATAATAAAAACGAAAAAAAGCATAGATACAAAAAGAATCCATACAAATAAATACAAAAGTGAGGAACATAAACCTTTTTAAATTTAACATAAAATGTAAGCATGTAACACTTGAATTGCAATAATTGTTGTCCACACTTTTATGTCTCTTTTTATTTATTTATTTTTGCTTTATCTTGCATGAAAAGGAGTGATATGTACGGTGGCTGAGAACTGCCACTGCTGCTAATAAAAAAAAAGAATGCAAATGAAAAAAAAAAAACGAATTCGAAGTCCGCTGCAACTAAAAAAAAGAAACGGTGCAGATAAAAAAAAGGCCACAAAAAAAAAGTGGCGATGCAAAAAAAAAGTTACTTACTGCGAAAATGGGATTATTAAATCCAGGACTGAGGCAGTTATGGAACTTTATGTGACAAATGAATACAAATACCAACTTTCTTAGTTAGAAAATAAATGGTTGGTTGATTAATGCTTTGAGAACGTTTAGGTGAACAATTATTGTGTTAAAGCGCCCTCTTGTGCATAATGACTTTAATGCATTTAGTAGCCAGTTAAAGAATAAGACTTTGATCATCAACACCTCTGTTAGAAAAGGGGAATTATAACAAGACAAAACTACTCACCAACTCCTGTTTGCACCGGATTTCCAGCGTTTACCCTAGTTACCCCAATACATGCACACTCAAAATTCAACAGCAGCTGAACTGAGCACGAAAACTTGACTGCAGTAGGTTTGTGCAAATGAAGCATGATAGAGACGGCCATGGAGTGTGGGGGGGTAGTAGGGATACGGCTCAACTTACCCCGCTCCTATGGTCAACTTACCCCACACACGGGGTAAGTTGACCATAGGAGACCACTTTTTTTTGGTATGCTATATTATCAAGACAGTTATGTTTACACTCATTCTGTTGGTTTGCAGGGATGAACAGCATCTTGAAATATCTGCAGATTCACTAGTTAGAGACAAAACTATGATTGCCTTGATGTAGTGATCTGAAATATGAAAAATGGCTCATCTTACCCCACTCTCCCCTACTCCAGAAATCATGTGCCCCTTCAGTGAAGAGCTGTGGACTTATGAAGATCCACTAGATGTCACTGTTGGTTCACCACAAGGAATACTTATAAGACAAATAAATGTAGGGCATTTAACGACCTTGTTTTGACAATAGTCAACACTAACTTAAACGCCTTAAGACTTAACCTTTTTATTGCCATGATTCAGTACAGAACACTAGTTTCAATTAGGCCCATTCATTAAATTAATTGTGTTTTTAGTTTTACAGGATAAATTGGAGAAAGGATATCATAAACAGCCCATGAATCTATAGTATATGCCTATTTTAAAAACATTTTCAATTTTTTTTAATGTTATAACTAGATTTCAGTGGCCTCTTCAATTTTGTGTGCCCTATTTTTTTTTTTTTTTTACAGACATCCTTTTCTTTAGGTAAGAGATATGCTATCTGACCCAGTTGATATTGTAAGGTAGATCTATGTTTATTTGACACACTGCTGCAAACTTTGAGGAAATATCAAAACATTTAAGTGGGATAAACTACAGACATGATGATACATATTTGGACCATAGGTTGCCGTGCAGTGGCATTACAAGGCTGTGTGGATTCTGGGTGTTGCTCTCGAGGGGCGTGTCGCCACACCTGAGCTCCGTGTGCTGCACAGAAAATGAAGCAGCAGGTCGGGAGCAGCTGTCATCTGTCAACAAGTGCCATCAGTGCTTTGCCTTTTCATTCGACTCCTTTTCATTAGCTGTTAACGAGCGGAAAAGTAAAGTCGTTTAGAGACTCCGAGCGAGTCCTCCTCTGCCCTCGTTCACGTCTCCCCCCCTTTTGCTGCAGAGATGGCGAAGAGTCCATCCAGAAAGTCGCTGAAAAGTTTGTTCTCCAGGAGCGAGGCCAACCTGCGCGACTCGGCGGAGAAGGATGCGGACAAAAACGAAGGAGAGAAGAAGAGGTTTCGCTTCTTTAGGCTGAGAAGAAAGACGCACACCGGCTCGGCCACAGAGAAAGCTGCTAATGAGACCCAGCAGGTGTTACACAGGTATGTTTGCCACCGTTGAGGATCTTCACTTTAGCTTGTGTTCATGCCTGTGCATGTGTCATATGGCTGCTCATGAAGTAGCAGGGACATGAAGCAGCTCCTGGCGCTTTTGGAGCTCCAAGGCTGCAGGTTAGGTATGCCACAGAATTAATTAGTGTAGGGGCCCATGAGGTCTGCAGCTGCTTTAGATTAACCCATTCTGTCCTTTTGTTCTTGAAGTCAGCCACCAGTAATGCTCTTCCTGTATCATATGAGAAGTTTTTAACCGCTTCTCATTTGAGTCTTCAACATATCTTGTTTTGAGTGACACAGGAATGTCCTTCCAACCAGACTGCAGCTGTAAGTGGACAAATATAGCCTGTAGCAAGTGTTTAATAAGGATAATGATGGCTGAAAAGGGGAGTGCAAAAAAAAAAACCCAAGCCAAATCAATCTCTTAAGTAGAAGCATAACTGTGCGGATGATTATGTTCATAGCGATTTTGTGCCTGAAGGACATTTTTGTCTAGACAGCACTGTAAAAACAGGGCCGCTGTGAAGCCTAATCCCTAAAATCAAGCTCAATATCTTGGTCATTATGTAATTGGGTCTAAAAAGCATGGAGGACATTAACATCACTTGGCGCTCTGAAATCTTGCAGTATCCATGAGAAGTTTTTGGTACTTTTACCATTATCTGATATTCAAGGAGCAAAACAATCACCAAATCAATGATAAGAATAAGCCTGTTGGAGTTTTTTGACATGAACAAAATAGAGAAATTCAGGTTTGACCTTTTAATGGTGTACGAAAGCAAGCAAGACCACCAGGTACATGATTCATAGTGCAATTTTTTATGCCTGAAACTGTTGTGAGGAAGTAGGTGGCTTAAAAATCTGCTCAATAAGTGTTACATTTGACTGTCAAAATGCCACAGTCCTAGTCTAACTATTAACACTGATAGTCATGACACACGTTAGGCAGTGGAGCAATAAAGTTATAACTCAGTATGGAGCAGAAACACCATCTGCTCACCTGTGATATGCAGGTTCTTAAACAGCACAAGCCCCTCAAACAAGGCAAACAATGAAAGCCTTGTCATCCTGTGAATGAGGGTAAGTGTCTCTGAGTGTCTACAAATCCATAATAGTGATTGGCCAATATTGGTAAACAGGTGAGTCAAACAGTCAAACAAAGGTAGGAGTCGAACCTGTTGATAGATGGCCTCTTTGTGGTGCTTTACTCCATCAATGGCACCATCTATGGATACACTCAAGTGAACCTTGTGTTTGTTGTTGTTGAAAAGAGTAGAAAGACAGAGAGAGACTTTTCAAATGAGTGAAAAAGATTTATTTCTCTGTGAAAGTAAGCCTACAAAGTGTTTTGCTCATGGTGGATGAAGATGAGATGAGATTAGATCTTGTCTTGGTGTTGAGTTCAGTCTATACATGCAGGAGTTGCAAAGTGTCTTGAGATAACTTTTGTTTTATCTTATCTGGTCCTCTGCATGATAAAGTAGTGTCACCTGACAGCCAATCCTATCCCGTTGACTTTTGTCAGTTTAATGTTTCATTTTTTTAGCGAAAATTTGAAAAGTAAAACATAAAAATTTGACTTTTTTTAAGCGGCTCCGCTGGCACCTACCCCCTTGCACTGGTTTCAGGCATTTAAAAATCACAACATAAAAATCACCAACCTTGTTGCTGATGGTCTTGTTTACTTTTGTTTATCACAAAAACACATCATTATGAATTTTAGTTGTTTTTTAAAGTCTTAAAGGGGCTTTAAAGGAAGAGGAAAATTAATTGGTACCAAAAGTAATTAAGAAACCATTTAAATCAAAATAATGTCCTCTTTGATTGTAAAGAGAGGTTTTTCTTTATAAGATGAACAACTATAGCTAATGCAAGTGAAAAGATGGCATCAAGATGTCAAGCTTCACCATTTTACAGTGTATTTTCGAAGTGAAAGTGCATAAAACTGTGACTACATTTAGACTACAGCCGAAACAAAATGTCACATTAAGTGTGTTGAAAGTACTCTGATACCTGTGGTTTGTTATTTACCTTCGCTGTACGTCCACGCTGCAGCAGGCCGTAAGTGAGCATACTAATGCTGTGAACCCGCTTAAGAAAAGCTAACTGACAAAATGTACCTATGATGTCAGCTTAAGAAAGGAGAGTGTAAGAAAACAAATTATATAACTAGTGTACTTAGTAAATACACTGAGGATAAAAACAAACATACTTGCTGCCACAGTTAGTATTGTGAGTTTCATAAAATGTGACCAGAGATACTTATAGTCAATTAAAACTTCAGATTTATTTAAAGCACCTGAGAGGTTGTTAAAATATTTGGCGTGATTCTTGCAAGAAATGCAACTTAAAGATTCCACTGAGAAACACTTTTTACCTTCCTCTGATCGTCTGTTTACTGACGGGCGAAGACACGGTGCCCTTCTCTAACTACACACAGTGCATAAGCAAAGTAGATAAACCCACAGGTGAGGTGGTGACTTTATGCAAGTTGCATGCTCGGATAGCATAATCATACTCACTCAGACCAGACTGGATGACAGCGTGTGTTTGCACAGGCAAAAACAAATTAAATGACGGGTTGACTAGGCAAGAACCGCCTCTGCAAATAAGGGCCGCACACAGGGGTTATACAAGGGTAGAGTTGACTAATGAAGACAGGACAGACTGTCAGTTAGAAAAATGAAAAGTAAAACCAAGATTGAGGACGGTATAACTGTGCAAGAGTAGGATCTGACGAATTACAATGATGAAAAGGATAATTGGTCATTTCTCTGAATAGCCTCTGTCTGCTCTTTGTCATCCACAGTCGTTGCTTTAAGGAGTTAATTAGCAATTACGGTCGCTTTTCTGTTTAAGTGAATCCCATTGTGTGATTACATTCTTTAATTGTTGACATTGCCGATGACTGTCCGCCACCAGAATTTAATCCAGACACAGACTAAATCTGCTTTTGTTGTTAGTTAAGGATTAAGTTTCAATCCATGTCCTAGGTTTTGTCATGCAAAGACAAAGGATTAAAGAGTCTGGAAAACACGTCTTAAGGTTGATTTATTTATTTTACCTTTCACACAGTTCAAGTGGAAGTCAATGTCAAATCGGATGTATTTGATACTTGACCTCTGCTGTGTGCAATTACAGATGAAAACACAAGATCTCTGTTTCAAACAAGTCAAACACACCCACAGCTCGAGTATCTGGTGTGGTCTGTCGGGCTCCGGAGCCGAGCTGTGGATTAATGGAGGTACTGTAGAGAAACCTGCCGCTCCACATGCCTGCCGCATTTTCATGAAGCTACTAATCAATGGCACAAATGCACACACATACCATCATTGTGCAAAGAGATACAGGCTGGCAGCACAGAGCAGCAACAGCTGAAGCTCAAATGTCTCGAGTCAAGTGTGTTTAAATGTCTGAAATAATTTTGAACAATTGAAGTGAGTCACGGCGATGTGGAACCTGTTATCTTTGTGTAGGTGCAAGCAAGTTAAAACCGGGGTTACATAAAGTGAGACCTTCTTCATTGAACTATTTTTGTGTCCTTCTATAGAAGATGAGTCGGTGGGATTTCAGATTTGTGTTATCTAACCTGTATTTTTTTTATTAGCATGTTTACAACTGCAGTGCTGAAAACAATAGTGATCTGTTTACTGACAGATAACTCCACCGATTTGACGATTCCCCTCGAGCGATGTCACCTGAGAAAGCACAGGTTGGAGTTGAGGTGTTTAAGTTTTGTGATTGAATAACGATGACGCTGATAATTGAGAGGGTGAGGAGAGAACTTGGCAGTCGTTCCTAGCTCGATTTAATTTGACTTTAATTTAACTTGTTTTTTTCTTTAAATTCTTGTAACTCCCTTCATGAGTCTTTGGTTTAACCTTCACAGTTATGGTGTAGAAATGGAAATATTTGGCGATATCTGGTGGTCTGATCTAGATTTAAACCCTACCTTACTCTCCTCTTATGTTGATAAGATTTTAATAAGTAATGTGGCCTTTTGCACGATAAGCATGATTCTCCATTTAACCATCCAAAACACTAATCCACTCAAATTATTTTGCACAAACTACGGCTGCTGGAATAAACCAGTATTGATGATAATAGTCTGTTTAAGAAATAATCCAACAGTAGCACCATGACTTGACAGTGGCAGTCCTCTAAGCCTGTTGCCATATGTCATAAAACAGAGGATAGCAAGAAGTTAATCAACCTTTAGGCAAGACAGAAAAAATATTGAAATAATTGTGATCATTGATGGCCACTGATGTTGGGGAAACCCTAGCGCACAACAGAAACCATTCTCTCCTTTATTTTCCTCTTTTAACCTGTGTGTTTTCTCTGTAAATACTTAATAGAAACGGCACTTGATTATTCGGTCCATTCTGTACCACTTCATAAACTTGGCGATGAGGGGGTCCGCGACACAAGTTATGCTCAGTCCGCATTTCAATTACAGTGGTCAGTTAATGAGGTGACAGGTGAAACAGAAATTCCTCTAAATGCGTTTTATAAAGTTAAATGTGTCTTCAGCGTCAATGGTGGCAGATGTTCATGGCTGATGTCTGAAAACTGTTACTGATCGAACCCTAAATTTGCATGGTCGGGTATCAGTCAGATGTAAAGTTCAGAAGATTTGCTTTCTTTGCAAACACTTTTTATAGACTTACTGACAAAATATTCAAATGCCAGTAGTTTTGCAGGTTTTGCCACTGTTCACATGGAGCTCAAGAGTGATTTGCCTTTTGTTAAGAGTTTCTACGAAGTTCTGTTTCATGTTTGCTCGAGAGACACGATTATCCTGCGTGATTCACTGCGGAGGATGTTGGTGAAAGCTTTACCTGGCCTTTTGTTGTGTATGTGTCTAAGGCGGTGTGAGCAATTTACCGGGGTAATTTTCCCCATCATCAGTTTGAATGATAAAGCTCTTTTAATGATCACAGCAGCTGTGAGAATAACACCATCAAAGCTTTTCCTTAGATAACAACAAAGTCAGGTTGCATTTGGAGCCCAATAAAAATGCCATTCATGGCTACGTACTCGTGACATAGCCTACTTTTCTAAACAAACTCCAACTATTGACCTACATAGTTTCCTGTCATCTTCTTTTGGTTGTGGTTATTGTGAGAATCAAGCACTTGAATTAATCAGACAAACAAATACATCAAAGACTGTTTTAGCTCCTGGACATGGTTTCGCCCATCAAGTCAACCTTGCTTTTACATTTTAAGTCTTGGTTTAATTAGAAGTTGCTCAACAAGGTGTTGGAGTAAAAGCCTATCTGTTTGGATAGTTAAATGAGAATTGACAGCCACTGGCTTACACAGTAGATATGTTAGTAGAGCTAGCAGTCAAGTTAGTTTAGCTAGCATGAGAAAAGGAGAGACAACTAGCCCAACAGGAAGCAACCAGTTCTGGTAAGCGCCATCTTTTAAAGCTCAAAATTATTGGGGTGTTTTGCTCAGACTTTGCTGTGAGATGAATTTTATCACTTAAAACAGAGGAGGCTGTTTCTTAATCTGTCTTGTTTTGATGCTAAGCTAACCAACAGCTGACTAGCATTACAACTGCATTCATGTGGATTCATTGAGAGAAATTCCTCTTGTTCGTTGACTGATATGAAGAGCTTATTGTCATTAACCTTCATGCAAGAATGTTGTGGTTTAAGCTGTAATAATTGAGTCCCAAAGTCAGAGTGCAGTGTGCCTAACTTCAGCCCTCTCCCTCTCTCTTTATCTTTTGACTCAGTCCTGTTCTTACGCAAACAATCATCGTCACGTTTTACTGCACGGCCAAAGAAAGCACCAACGACACCCTGTGTCTCTCGCAGACACATCCTGTTGTACCTTTTCCAAAAATCTAGACGCTTGTAAGACTCTTTTTGACACCATGTCAGGTGCTGCAAGTTCACAAAGAAAAAGACGCAGTGTTTTTTCTCCTGTGTTAAAGTGTAAACACACACCATCTCAGGACAAAGATATGCCTCATCTTCTCATCTCAGGGAGTCTTCATGACCGCAGAACAGCTTATTTTCCTACACTGTAATATTTCATCACTTGACTGCTTGAAGGGCTGCTGTTTTGCATGAGGACAAGACAAAGACAATGTATGGATGTTCATTTGCAAAAAAAGTCTGAATTTCTGTTTGTCTTTCTGTGAGGCATACCTCGTGAGACAGATGAATATCGGTACATAACGAACTATTCAAATCTGTGAGATGAATAAAGAATTTCTATACCTTTGTTAACAGCAGAGGGCACTGTGTGCCTTTGTGCCTGTGACAAAGTAAGTGCTTTTCCCTTTCAGGAGGTGCTGCTGCATTGGATAATTCTTATTTCTGAATGTTTCTTTCATTAACTCCTGTCTAGTGGGAGAGAACTGTTCGCATCCTTTCAAAATAAAAGCATATTTGGTACTAAAACAAGAAAAAAAGACGCCACAAATCATTTTTTGAGGCTCATAAAAATGTTGTTTTGAGCCTGCCATATTTTACACTGTCAGACTCCAGTTTTTGCAGCATAATCAGCTCTTGTCATGTGGACTAGTCAGACCAGTTGTCATGTAGATATGCACAACTGCAGATCTAAAATATGCTTGTCGAGGGTACAATGGTCTATAATTTACGGTGCTGCTGCAAATGTTTACTTGCCATTTCGCTTCCTGTTTCAGTCAGCTGCACAAAAGCAACCAGCACTTGTGTCTAATGTGTCCTTTGTAGGCTTTGTTTGATGTAGTGACAGCTTATTACCATGCATGTGTGCTGAGTTTGAAGCCCCTGCAGCCTTGGATGGACGCCACCGTCAAAGGACAAGAGTCAGGCGGCCGGATAAAACAACAGAGATGTTGTTTTAGAGGAAGAGTGCAGTAGTTGGAGTGATGATCCTACTGTTTTAGGTATTGACTGTATGTATAAATGCTTAAAGCAGCTATACCTTAATGTAACACATTGGTTTATCGCAAAGGTTTACCAGTTTAAGACCTAAGGCGCCAAAACAGCTTGTTTAACTTGAAGATCCTGTGAGGAAATTTGGTTTGAGCCAATTTGGCGTCCTCTATGGACAAAATGCTGTAACAGCAGTGTACAGTTAACCACTTTGTCGGATATCTACCCCTTTATCACTGGTTTAAGGCAGACGGTCTTGTTTTATATTTTTATGTCACAAATGGAAATTTTGTGAGGTCTCTGGCGGTCAAAGAAGTTTTGTTTTTAGAATGAACTGTTGCTAGCTTTTTAGATATTGTAAATATTGAACATGTTTAGAATCTACTGTTTCAAGTCAGGGAGACTTCGATCGTCTTCTGTGCAGATCGGAGGAAAGAAAATCATTCTAGCACACCTCTCATTACAGGATCATCTATCAAGATAATCTTGTGAACCATCCAGTAATCAGGCCTTTGCTGACGTTTCTTCGATGGGGGGAGTTGAGCCCAAAATTGGCATGTTCAAGAGGTTATGGGGCCAAAATACTTAAAGGCAGATACATCGAAGATTTTGATGTCATTAAAATCTTAGATGTAAATATTCAAGAGCTATGCAGCTAAAGAGACAAACTAAACTTGTTGACATTTTAACGTTGAGATTGGCTTTTATTTGGAGGCCGGTGAAGGAACTACAGTTTACGGTATTCTACTTTGAGCCTGGTTATCCAGCCATGGAGGTTTATTTTATGCTTTTTGCTACTTCCTTTAATGCTGATTTTGACTTCACTGACTTCACCCTGGTGGCATTATCAGCCTTTGTCTAAAGGGAAAGTCACATTTTACATGGACATGTGTTGCATGTCGTAGGAAACACTATCACTCTCTGCTCAGCCGGTTCTGTTCAGCATTCCACACTTAGTGATTCACAGCTTTATTGTGGTAGGCAGAATATTTCCCCTGTCTTTTTTTAAGTGCAGATGATTCTACAAAAACACTACATGTGTCTGCATGTGTGACATATGTGCATGATTCCACATACCAAGGTTTGGCAGTGTGCAGTTTTGTGCGTGGCTCAGCAGTAAATTGAAGTACACCACATACTTGACTGAAGTGATCTTTCAAACTCTAGAAAACATCATATTTTTTCAGTAGCTTCAGTAGATACCAATTTGTAAAGACCCCATCTGATTCACATTTTGATCTGTGTGCCCCTCAGTCCTGTCAGTCCTACCAAGGAGGATGGAGACACCTGGGATGAAAACAAGATCTGGCACAACAAGAAGGTGTCTCTCTACGCCACTGCGCCGCGGACGAAGGTCAGTTTAAAGTTGGCTCTTTTAAGATAACCGCCAGTTGAACCTTTTTTAAAAAGCACTTTAGCGAGCACACGTGACTGCATCTTGTGATGGAGTTTATGTGTTTTTAGGTAAAATTGTTCCCCAGAGTTTCATCCCCTTCAGGCTTGTGTATTTAAATCGATCATCCAGTTTTATGGAGGGTGATATGGATGGCTGTTTGTTTGTTTTTAAACTCTGCCTTAAGGTTATTTGAGTTAGACAGGCAGTGTTTTACAGTCACACATACGCTCAGTATTCCTGCTATTTCTGTTTTGTTACAAACATTAAATATTTGATCAACCTAAGAATTTGTAACATTGGACAAAAATAGGAAAATGAAAGTTTGAGAACTCAGCATTAAACGGTAACTGTATGTATTTTAGCTGACAGAACAATACACTACAGACTAAATGACTTATCATGTGTTCGATAGGAAACACATGAGCACGAAATACACAGATCCTCCTGACTGTATTAAGAACAAAACACTTTTGTTCCTGAAAAACAGGGAGAAATTGTTGAACTGTTGTGACACCAGGACAGGTAATTTTACGCGGGAGCCCCTCTGTCTGATTAGCCTGGGGGGTGTCGCCATAAGTGAGAAAAAGGCAATTATAAAAACTGAAATAAAACTGAGGTTAGATCTGTTGAAATGTACATAAATCTTCTCTATGCTGCGCCCTCAGTAACCACAGTAGGCGAGAGAAGCTCCTATTAATGAAAACATTGCAGGCAGAACTATAAATCCAGCCAATTGGGCTCCTGACAAAAACTACTAAATCTTATCTATATAGCTAGCAATTAGATTGAAAAATAAGTTTACTTGACTTATTGTGACTGTACAAACATGCTAAAGAAGTCTGTCTATACTGAGCAAGCTTATTTCAGTGTCACTTTTATTTATTTAAAGGTAAGTTTAGGCTAAGTCTATTTTTCTGTTGATGTGCGACACTTGGAGAGACATACATTTCTGTCATGCAAACTGTGTTTAGTCACTCTTGGCATTGACATTGACGGATAAAATGCAGGCTTTAATTACAGGGGACTATCATGACCACAATAATAAGCAGAGAAAGTATGTCAGCTATTCTGACAGACTCGGCATGGCTGATTTCCAAAATTGAAACTAGTTTTTTAGGTTACTGCTTTCATTTGTGCTGATGTTGCCCCCTTGTGGCGAAGCGGTGGCATTTTCCTCATCAGTTTATGTCGCTGTCATTGGAAATCGAATGTTTTCAGGCTAAAACTCTGAGTATTCTCTTAACGGTACACCTTAAAATTGGCACAAATATAGGTCAAAATTCATAGCCTCTGTGGTATCTCAAAAAAATAAAAGTTCTTGCACTGAAATTAATGGATTCATAGGTACGTTTTGATAAGATTATAAAGTTTTACCTTCTCTCTTACCTAAAATGTCTAAGCTTCTTTGGGAAAAAAACACTTTCCTACAATTATGACTGAATTCAGGTAAATTTGTTATCTTAGGAACCCTGGGAAACACAAATTAACTAGATATATTTGTGTTCAGAAAAGAACAGCGACGCCATGTATGATCAAATGGTAGTCAAAACTCCTACCGATGGTTTACATTTAACTATTTCTCTGATCTCCAGTCGTCCTGTGGTGCTTTCTGTCCCATCCACTATAAAAATATTTTTTTGCTGTCAAGTCTTTTAAATAATTTAAACTTCTTTTGTTGGATCGAAAAGTGAAAAATCAGACAAGGAAAAATCTAAAGAGACAGTGAGGACTTTGCTGCTCAGCCTCTGTAACATTTTGTGGGAAACACTGATGGGTGTTGAGTGAAATTCGCCTCATTTACAAAGCCATACAGCTGCAAGGTGTCTGTCTAAATTAGCATTTATTCCTGGATTCTGGTATGCAAATATTTGTGAAACAGTCTTAAACACCTAATCAATCATTATTTTAGGACAACACAGATGTTTATCTCAGGATGTATCGATGAAGCATCTTTAATATCTTGGTTGTTTGGGGTAAAACAGGACAATGTTCGGACAAAAAAATAAATATTGCTATGTTAATTTGTTTATGATTGGTCGAAAAAACTCTCATTACGCTTATAAGAAGCCACATTTACCTGACAAGTCCAGATAAAAATCTAATTTCAAGATATAACAAGCTAAAATAAGGACTTCAGTGATTGTGAAGAGTTAGAACAGATGCTTATGCAGGAAGGAAAATGATCGATAGATAGATAGACTTTATTGATCCCAAACTGGGAAATTCTCTATTAATTCTCTTCTTTACTCAATAAAACAAAGAATATCTTACTTTTAGGTCGTAGTATCTTGAAATAAGATCAAAATCTGGATTTTTTAGGTCACTGTGTCTTCAGTAGGTTCAATAAGACGTTAAAGGACAAATACGAGGTTCAGGTTTTTTTTTACAGCGTAATGACTGTGGGAACAATGTCAAAGGCATGATTTAACAAGTTCAAGTTCAAACTCACAATCTAATTTTTGCCTTTAAAAATCTGTTTCCCCCTCCCATTCAGTCAGTCGTCTTCGTGGAATACCATAAATCACCCCGGCTGAGAAACAGAAAAACTCAAACTCTTGTTTTCCGTTGGTGAGCGTCTCGGACATATTGTTTTTCAGGTCCTGGTGTTCTCTTTGCATCTTTGAGAACAGGGTCAGAAACATGTCTGAGCAAGATTATTCCTGGGGGGGGAAACTTAATGTTTGGTGGGTGATGGGAAAAACCGCCCCAGATGAGGGGGATTCAACGGTTTCTACATTCCATCTCTGTGGTTCAATCGTCCTTGTACCTCCCTGCAGGGTCTAGCTTGAAGCACTGTGACCATCCTTCACCTTCTCCCCCCCTTTCAGACCATAATGACACAAAAAAAACCTTTATAACTCCTGTTATAATCCAGAGTCATGTCTCTGTACCAACATGGAGAGACTAAAGACTGCTGGTTTCTGCGACATGTTGTCCAAGTCCTCTCTAGAGGGCACCAGACCTTCAGAAAGAACAAACTAAACACAGTAAGCTTGTAAACTGTGTGATCACATACTCAAGTAAATGCATGAAAGACTCCTTATTCTTTCCAGAAGGGGGCGTTAGAGATTTACAGAACAGCAGCATTGTACCGAGGATGAATCATGATCTTGCCTCAGACCTGTTGAACGGATAGCATGTGGAAAACAAACAATCAAATTGTACCTATTAGTGATTTTTTTGTAAGTATTTTGCAGAAGCTACTTAGTTTACAGCTTACATTTCTGGTGATGAAGCAGTAAAGGAGAGTTTGCATGATAAAGTGTCTCAGCTCATGTGTCAGTCATCATTTACACCAGAGGGGTTTCACACTTAAAAATAAAATAAGTATGTTGTTTTGCAACAATTTTTAAGAATTGGAGTGAAAAAAGTTCAGATGCACAAGAACTCTAGCAGCTAAAGGGTGCATTACACTGCCTTTATATGGCCTTAGGTAAACTGTTTTAGATTAGACTTGATTAGATTCAACGTCATTGTCATTGAACACAGTACAAGTACAGGAACAACAAAATGCAGTTTAGCATCTAACCAGAAGTGCAAGGTAGTAAAGTGCAAGGTATGTACATATGGGTAGTGCAGGTATGAACTGAATATACTATATATATGTGCAATGAATATGCTAAAAATATATACAGGGTGTTGGTTACTGCAGGTATGAATAGGCTATACAAAAAAAAAAAATCTAATTATGTACATTATCTATATATACAGAGTATACTGATTAGTGCAGGTGTGAAAAAGAGAAAATGCTATTAAACAGTGGGTGCGTTGAAGAATATAAACAGTATGATACTCAGGAGTATGAGTAGGAATATCTACAGTTATTAATAGTTGGATAAAATATGTATATACAGCGGAGTGTGATGCTGTAGAACTGTATGTACATTTCTTGGTCAGGTTGACTCCCAACAAGGAATGCCACCACCTTTTTTAACAATTAACTTGAGAAAATACCTTCTCATCTCAGATCAGGTGCTATATTGGTTGAGATCCTAGTTGTCTCACTTTCAAAGGTGTGGGGTCCCACAGGGGTCTGTCCTTGACACATTGCTGTGTTCACTTGGCATGAAACTGTGTTGCTTTGGGATCAATTTCCACTTTTATGCTGATGATTTACAGTTATGTATAAAGAAATATAAAATAAAGAATATGAAGAAATGTACATTTTTGGTTGTAGCTGTTTATTTCCTCCATCCCTGGTTAAGTTTGTGTTTTTATACTTTGGCATCATCTTTATCTGGACTAAATAAGTTTCTTACTCAGCAGAGTCATCCACCCACTAAAGACTCTGCTTGGTTTGTTGTTTTTGCTTCTTCTCATACCTTTAAAACTATCCATCACAGGAGGAGGAATTTGCACGGACACACCCTGTTAAAAACCTGGCACTGACTGACTGACAGCCTGACAGGCAGACGGCGTTCAGTTGTCCTCTGTTATTACATCAAAAAAAAATAAAACAAACATTATCACCGGAAAACATCGCCTCTTTATCTTTTCTATCAGGGTTTGCCTTCATGAGCACACTTTGATGTTTCCTATTCTTGAAATATCTGATAAGGAAACATCTTGATCATAACAGATTCACTTTTTGAATGTGCAGAATTAAAAATTTGTTTGATTAGTTTGAAAAAAAAAAAAGTGGGGCCAAATTTTGTACTTAAACCAAAAAGACACTTTGCACCTCCACATTTACATGGTGATGCACTGTTATCTCAAAAGCTGCAGATTGTACTTGCTTCTAAAACCCTGATTTTCTGCAGTTTTACACATGAAAACTGATAAAAACATGAATGAATTTTATCTTTTCCAAGTAAGAAGGGTATCTGAGCCAGCAGCCACCTGATTTATCAGATCATGTTTGACTCGTCTCTCACTTTTTCAGGGTGGAGCAGCTTGTACTGCTTGGAATGAAGTTGGGTGTCAACTCTTAAACTTGTTTATAATGCCTGAAATAATTTTTCCTTATGCAATATCCTCATTCTTACCTTTTTAATGATGGAGTCTTCTTGTGAATCCTTGGCAAGGGCTTCAAATGGTTGAGTTTGTTTTAATCAGTAAATCCAGTCAGGGGTCGAGTTTGAAAGACCCAGACACTGAAAATGACACTGATATACAGCAAGCCATTTCAGTAATTAAAATGTAAGATAGACCCCCAGAACTTTAAATGATTTGGTCATTTCAATATGAGTGAATATCCATTTATTTCTCCCTTTTCTCTCTTTTTATCTCAGGGCAAAGAGCTCAGCTACTCGGACATGGACCTCCGCAAGCCCAAAAGGTTTTCCACCTTTAATTTTGGTCTCAGAAAGAAAAAGAAGAAACCTGAAGAGAACCTCTCTAAGAGCGCTTTTGGCCTTCACAGCACAGGAATCGAAGAGCTGGAGGAGGTAACTCTGGTCCTTTTCAGTATTAACTTGTTTATTTCAGACATTTACCTTGTCTAAAATGGCTCTACAACTTTCACAGTTAGCAAACATCCAGCGGCTAAAGAGCCCGAAATTTCCCTCAGGGTTTGTAGAAACCAAAAACAGACCTATTAGAGAGTCAATATTTGACCTACAATTACCAGGTGACTGAAAGCTTGTCCCCATATAACGATAAATCCATCAGAACAGCTGGTGCTGTTTGCTGACATGTTTGCTAATTAGCTAATAAAGACTGGTGTGAATGTTATGGGAGTTAAACATGGCCAAGGGAGACTTTTTCAACAGGTGAGGGAACTTTTGAAACAGCATAGGTGATGTTTAACAACCTTCAGGGTTTAACAACTTGACCAGGGATACTAACTAAAGCTAGCTACAGAAGAATACTGTGTTTACTTAAGAAAAAAATAAAATGTTTTTATACATTTATGAAAAGTTGTCTCAGAATTAAAAGATATCGTCAATAAAAAAAAATATATATTTTTTTTAAATGGAGATTACCTCGTTAATTTCTAAAAAAGGGGACATTTTTTAATACCAAAATTTCATTTCTGTAAATAAATTAGATAATTATGTCAGAACTTGTTAGTTCTGAGTTGATCAGATATTTAATTTTTTCAGGATTATGAGAAAATTTTTCTTTAATTTTGTTTAAATTATAAAATATATATTTTTTTAATTATAAGAAAATATCTGGTTGATTAAAAAAAAAAAAAAACAAGTTTGGACATCTTTTTTTTGTTTGAAAAATCAAATTTGTTTTTATTTATTTAAAAAAATGTTTTTGGGATAATTTTGTATTAATTAAAAAACAAACAAACAAACAAAAAAAATTCCAAGATACCTATCTCGTTCATTTAAAAAGAATCTAATACGCTGCTGTGGGCAAGCATTTGTATGTCTGAAAATAATTTGGACTCATTTAAGTTCAATAACTGTTAATTAGTTGATATCAAATGAGTGAAACTGTAATTGATCTTCCTCCAGCCTTCTCCAGATCTCGGTCAGATGGAGACACAAGCTGTGGCAAAGCAAATCAGCATGTCTCAACCAGAGCTGAACTCCAAGAAGAAATTTGACATCCCCTCTCCTCCCCCTGTGGCCACAAACCAGTCAGAGTCACAATTCCCCATCCCCGAACCACTGCAGTCGTCACCTGTGACAAACGGCCAACCAGAGGCGAAGCAGGCTCTGACCAATGGCGGCAGTGTTCTCGATGTGCACGCCGAACCGCTGAGGGCACCGCTTGCCTCCATGCCTGAGCTGCAGCTGGAAAATCTCGACCTGTTAGAGGAGAAAGAGAATATACCTGTTAATAATCACACACCTAAAAGTGACTCCAACTCACCTGCCCTCATGACTCAGACAGAAAACACCCCTGCTGTTGATAAGCAGACTGCACCAACCCTTCACACCAGCCCGCCTCCAGTTTTGCTTGACTCAGAGCTCAAGGCGGCAGTTGTTGATTTAGTCTCTGCAAGCAACGGCCTAGATGACAATGGCGCTCTGCAGCACACTAAACCAGGTGACTCTGTCCACCAAGAAGTCGCAGTTCCTGTTAATGAGATATGCGTCTCTGAGACGATCAGGAGTGTCACTGCAACTTCAGCCGTTTGCTCTGAAAACATCCCCCCTCCTGCCAATCAAAATGAAGTTTACGGGGCGTTGTATGACTCGCTTTTCCCCCAGAGTTTTACCTCCGAGGTCATGTCATCCCTCCAAAACCCGCAACCTCAAACCCGTACGGAGATACGTCTCAGCACCACATCCGAACATGTCCTGGTGAAAAGCTTCGATGAAAGAAACGTGATGTGCTCCAATAGTTATTCAGTCTCCTACTCAGAGCTGAAATCAGACAGCACTCACCTCATTCAAGCTTCTGCCCCTCCTGCCTCCGATTATGTCACATCCCAGGGGACGGATACTCAGGTTACAGACCCCAAACGGAGAGCGATCCTGGTCAAAGAGTTAGTCACAGATGAGACAAGCTCTAATCCTGTCCGAGCCTCTCCCGGGCTTGAAAAAATGGATTTAGGAAAGGACCTTGAAATAAAAATGGAAACGACAAAAACCCTTTGTAATGCTTCCTCTGGACACTTGAGTGCTTACGAAGAGCTTTTGAGTCCAACACATTGTAGCGTGGGATCAGATGACGGTAGTGCCGTAGAGATCTACTACAGCGCAGAAGAGGACAACATGCAGGACAGCGGGGATGAAAGAGTAGAAGTTAGCAAGACGGTGAAAGAGGTTGTCGAAGTGCTTGCGGCGTCTCCACAGCAGAAGGAAATAACAGAAACAGATTCAAGCAAGAGGGATGAGGAGATAACGCGGGTTGTGATTGTGAAAGTGAAAAATGAGAGAAGCAATGAGGATGTCAGCAGTCCGACCGAAGTTTATCAACAATGTTCAGAAACCTGGACGACTGATGCAAAGACTCAAGAGAAAGAAGTAACAGTGACAACCTTCACAGAGGTGCTGAGTGAGGACATTTCCAAGCAATGTGAGATTGAAGAAAGGAAGCTGAGCCAGACAGATGAGGGAGGACCAAGAGTGGTTATCGTCAAAACGCGGGAAACCAATGACCAAGAGAGTGAAGTTATCAGCAGCAAAACTGAGGTGTACCATCAGATATTAGAAACCCAGACATTGGGGTCTCTTAAGAATGATGATGCCAAGATTCAGGAGAAAGTAGAAGAGACGACGACCATCACAGAGGTAGCAAAAGAGTTGGTGGAGTACGTTGGGTTGGGTGAGGAGATCCTGAAGCAGGATGACATCGCAGAAAGAAAACTAAGCCAGACCGAAGAGGGAGGACAACGGGTGGTCATTATCAAAATGCACAGTGTAGAAAGCTCGGACGAAACCAAGGATGATAACCTGAGTCGATCTGAGGTGTATCAACAGATTTTGGAAACCGAGGTAGTTGAGACTCATAAAGACAATGACGAAACGATTGCGGAGAAAGAAATAGTAAGTGAAGTGTTCCCAGAGGTGGAAGAGTTTGTCGGGTTGATTGAAGAGAAAGTGGAGGAGAGACATTCAAGCCAGTCGGACGAGGGAGGACAAAGGGTGGTCATTATCAAAATGCACAGCGTAGAAAGCTCTGACGAAAAGAACGAGGAAACTATCAGCAGAACTGAGGTGTATCAGCAGGTTGTTGAAACTCAGGTGGTTGAGACTCTTATAAGCAATGAAACGAGGGTTGAGGAGAAAGAAAATGCAGCTGAAGTACTTCCAGAGGTGAAAGAAGTTGTGGAGCTGCTTGACGAACTGCAAAAACAGGAGGATACTGCAGAAAGACACTCAAGCCAGTCGGATGAAGGAGGACAAAGGGTGGTCATCATTAAAATGCACAGTGTAGAAAGCTCTGACGAAAAGAACGAGGAAACTATCAGCAGAACTGAAGTGTATCAACAGGTCGTGGAAACCCAGGTGATTGAGACTCTTGAAAGCAACGAAACGAGGATTGAGAAAAAAGAAACCGCAACCGAGGTGCTTCCAGAAGTGGTAGAGGAGGTCAAAGAGTTGGTCGAGTACATTGGGTTGCCTGAGGAAGAAACACCAATAGAGGGAGGACAACGGGTTCTGATTGTCAAAATGCAGAGTGTTGAAAGCAATGATGAAAAGAACGAGGATACCAGCAGCCAAACAGAGGTGGAGCAGCTTCTGAGAGGTCAGAATTTGGAAACTTTGGCGACTGAAATCCTTCAAGACGATGTCACGAATATTCAGGAAAAAGAAACCGCAACAGAAGCGTCCCCAGAGGTGGTGAAAGAAGTTGTCCAGCTGCTTGATGAGATCTCAACGCAAAAAGAGATTGCAGAAAAAGAGGTCAAGAGAGATGAGGATGAAATAAGGGTGGTTATTATCCAAACCGAAAACAAGGGAGGGGATAAAGACACGACAGAGGTCATCGTCACCCAAACTGAAGAACTGCAACAGCTGAAAGACGAGAGTCCAGTGACCATGACGTCTGAAACTCATGAAATTGTAGAAGAAGTGAAAGAGCTGATAGAGAACATTGGACAAGAGGAAATCATAGAAAAAGAAGCGAACAAGAGAGATGAGGGAATCATTGAGAAGGTAGAAAGAGTCCTTGTCCGAACAGAAGTTATACAACACGAAACACCTGCTCTTGAGAAAGAAGAAGCAGCTGCAACTATTCGAGATGTGGAAGAGGTGAAACAAGTCGTTGAGCTGCTTGAGGAACTCTCAGAACAAGGGGAGATCACAGAAAAAGACATGAGCAATAAAGTTGAGGAGAAGAAGGAAGTCCTGAATCAAACGGTGGTGACACACGTGAAACTCCAGAGTTCAGAAACCGTGACGACTCAGGAGAAAGAAGCTGCAGTTACAGTGTCACCTGATGCTGCAGAGGAAGTGAAGCAGGTTGTAGAGCTCGTAGAGGAGCTAGAGGAGATGGTAGAAGCGAAGAAAGAGGAAACTAGCGCCCAAGATGAAGTACAGCGACTCCAGAGTTCAGAAGTCAGGACAATCCAGTCCATTGAAAGTAATGAAACTAAGATTCAGGTGGAAAAAATAGCACCTACAGCAACGCCACTGGTGGAAGAAAAGGGACAGGAGGAGTTACTGGCCACACCGGTTGGGCAGGTGAAAACTCTGGTGGTATGCGACTTTGCTCCACCCTCCAGTGAGCCACATGGCCCGAGGGAGGGGTCTGAGGGAAACCTGACCAAGGAATTTGAAACAGAAGACCACCTTGATGCAGAGCAGCAACTCCCAAGCCGGGAGACACAATATCCGGCCGACAAAGAAATAAGCAGCTCCGAAGACATTCACGCTGCCTCGGGTAACACAAGAACAGCAGAAGTCGAGATCACACCCTTATTTAGAGAGGCAGCCGAGCAAGTTTCCCTCCTCGAAGAAGCAAACAAGCAAGTAGAAGTGAGCGCAGAGACCAGCAGCACCACAACAACAAGTGCAGTCACAGATACTCCTGCTGTAGAGGAGGTTGTCACAGTCGCTTTGACGGTGCTGCAATCAGATGCCACAGAGATTGAGCACAATAGGGCTCCGCAGGCTGAGACTGAGTGGGCGGATAAAGTTACTCAGAGCTCAGAAGGAACCAGGACAGTGCAAGAACAGGTGGTGGTCGAGCTGTCAGCCCTGATCGAAGACACGCACCTTCAACCAGCAGAAACTACAACCGGCTTGAATGAAGGGTGAGTGTCAAGTCTTTTGGCCTTTTTTAAAGTCCTTTCATGTTCTTGTAAGTCTTTTAAGTTTGTTTATAAATTTTTTAAGTTTGATCTTTTTTTTAATCTTTGATATTTATAAATTTTTGATCTTTTGTAAGTCTGATCTTGCAGGTGTGAATTAATATGTATATGTATGGATTAACAGGCTCTTTGAAATAGTGTTTAACTTGTGGATGATGCTGACTAATTTCACTTAAAAGACACTTAAAGTGAAAGGGCAGCTGTTGAGTAATTTTAAAAAATTGTCAGGGTGTCATTTAGGAAATTGAGTCTTTGTTTTACTTGGCTAGTTTGCACCACATGTTGCCTCAGGGGTGTGTTTGACACCTGAATTAGCGCTGATGTCTTGCCTGTCATTTGTGCAGCCAAGATGACGGATTTCTTTCCTTTCCTTTTTTTTTTCCCGCTGGATAACAATAACTTCACTGTCTGACTTTGTGGTGATAAAATGTGGTTGCCAAACACTTTCTCTGATAAAAAAGCCAACGCTCTGAGCTGTCTTATTTACCAACAAAGATGTCTGCATACCTGGGAAGTTTTGAGCACACCCTTTTGTACTCGCGATGTGCCACATGTTGAGTGATGTAGTCAAAGATCAGTGGATGTTTTGAGCTTCATTATCGCATGCCTTTGTTTAATCAATCTGCAGCTGGAAAATAATCATTTTCTGTCAATCATTTTGATGTTTCGTTGCATCAATATAAAGTCCTTTGAGTTTCTGGTATGTGTGGATGTACTCAGATGGCATGCTGCTTAACTTAGCATAGAAATGGATTTGCTTTAGGTGTTCTGAAATGGTTTTTAATGAAGGTAGGGAGTGTTGCATATCTTTTGGCAGCTAAAAGAGTTTAAATCAACCATATCTGCTCTTTTGTCTCAAAGAAGCACCATCTCAAGCTTCTCCACAATGGTTTTATATCCATGGTTTCTGTTTCCCTGCAGCTTTCTCCTGCAAACATATATCAGTCAACTCACAATTTTTAGCTCTCAACAGAGACATAGTTTGACTCCTTGGGTTCAGAGTGATTCCCTTTTTCATGAAGCAGAGCGATGTACATTTCACATATATGCTGTTAGCAAAGTGAAGAATAATCCTCTGAAACCTGTAGCGCAGGCTTACATGCCAGGAGGCTCATGTGCCTACTAAAAACATCCACGGTGTCACAAAGTTTGGATTTGGCAGAATTATCTGACGCTGGCCGTTTACCAAGCATTTTAATGAGACTTAAAGTGAAGCGCAAGGAAATTTGTGCAGAAGTTTGAGGCTGTGACTCACTTCAAAATGCAAAGAAAGTCTTAAGTCTTCCTCTGCTTGGAAAAAACAGATTTGAATCATCGTAAATGTTTGCAAAATGTCAGATTCAGTGTAGAAATCACTGACAGGCTGCTTTTTAGTGCCAGTCAAACATACGGTTAAGTCTGCATGACTTCTTATTTATTTAAAGTCTTACGTCTAGGAACGTGAATGCTGCACTATCTTGATCTTGTGTCCTCAACGCCACGAGATGGCAGCAAAGACTTGTCTTCATGTGAGTGAAAGTTCATGGCTAAAGCTCTGCCAAGTAAAGCTTACACCCAGATGACAGATAAATGGTAGATAAGTAAAAGTTCATTCATTTTATTTTGATTTATTTACTATTTTCCCAATTCCAACTTCCGTTTCTGGCTTGAAATACATGCAGTGTGTTTCGTCTACTTTCTCTACTTCTATCACATTTTTAAGGATGCTCTCTGGGTGGTAAAAAACACAGGCTGAGTTTGTGTATCATCACCTTTTATTGGTATTTTTTTTCTTTCATCATGTGTCGACACACACAGGCTGTGTCCTCCTACACCTAAAACAACATAGTTCCAGTTAAACAGGCATGCTGATGATCACTGAGAGATAAGGCGTTTAAAGCTGCCCCGCCAGTCTTACAGGACGCCCAGTAGCAATGTCCTCAGGAGTGAAAGACAGGGAGTCCCACCCACTCCAAAGGGTCAAGCAGTAAAAAAGAAAATACTTAACTTACCATTTAAATCTGCTTTTACTTCTATTTACTCAGCGAAAACACTTTTAACACCCACCAGATCATAAACGCTCATTTTCGTTCAGTAACTCAAAGAAGTCAGAAGAACCACAAATTCAAGCGACTGTTTATTCTGAAGTGTTGACAAGTGTGGAAATATTTGTGGTAGGAGGACATATAAAGCCAGTTGAGCCACTTGTAGGTCTGAGCAGCATCCTTTTGTTTTCCTTTCATGTGTGGCTGCCTGCCTGTCGTCTCACGGCTTACCTGACACTCAGGTGGAATGACAAACTTGTGGAGAATTTCCACAGTTGAAAATCCCCTTTGGTGAACAAAGCATGTCGAGGTTAGAGGTAAAACTTGACCTAAAATGCTCTCTATCACACTTTTTAACACCTCTTATGAATCAGATAACCGAAAATATGAAAGTCTCAAAAGTGATGCAGGAAGAAAGTCGCTATTTTATCAGCTGGAGACTTTATTTTGGTTGTTGATATTAAAGGCACTATAAGGAGTTTTAATGTTTAATGCTTTGGACAAATTTGCAAGTCTTTTTTCTGGGATGAAGACTACATTACCCATGAGCATCATCTGCCATAAAAGAGGCTCTTGAGAGCGTAAACACTTGTTGTAGAAGCAAATGAGAAGAATAAAGATCTATTAAAATGATTGTATCTGTGTAGAAATTGTAGCTTTAATTTAACAATAACAAAAAACATTTAAAACTCTAGTTTATTACCAGTCGTTGATATGTGCTCTAGTCTTTTAGTAAATGTCTTAAAACCTGAATATGAACCCAGTTGAGTTTTTATTTGATCTTTAAAGAGCAGTCAAGTGTTCACACGCTTGCAGAATTCGATTGTAAAGTTCCTCCATATCCCATAAAATAATGTTACGACAGAGAACTTGTCGTTATGCTAATTCTGTTTCAGTATCAGCCATGAATACAAAACATTGTACACAAAAATATTATCTAAAAAAACAATTTTCTTGTTGAATGACTTGAATTACAAAAAATTTAGAGCAAAAAAATAAGCTTTCTTTATACTGTTAATCTACTTTATTATGTAGGCCATGAGGAGTAATTGAATGCTCTGTCTTAGTGGGCTGACCTCTTAATTCAGTGGCACAGTTAAATACAATAGCAGTGATCTCTTCTTGGCTGTAGTTACTTTAACGCTTAGTCTATATGTAAACTGTACTTGAAGAGTCGACTTTAATCTCAGTAAAGCTGCAGGGCTTGTACAGTTTGACAGGCAGACGGATGGTACTAGTCAGACTTCTGTACACTCTGTAAGCCATTGTTTAATCCAGTTCTAATTTTGCAGAAGACTAAATATTAAAAAAAAAAAAAGATGCACTCACTGATAGATCTTTTTATGAATGATACCAGTTTTATTCAGCATTGTCTGCAGAACTTGTTTTCACGTGAGGTAGGATGCTTTCTAACTTCCTTGACCAGTCTATTCAAGAGAACTCTTCCTGGCAAGGATTCAAAACCAATATTTTCAGACGCTCCACCCTGCACGCTCTGTTAGCCGCCTCGGTCAAATGTTTTAAGCTCTTTGTTTAAAGTCTTTCTTTAGCAGCCTTTCTCCTCGTTACCTGGAAAAAGTTAAACATCCGAAGCATCCAGCTTGTACCTTCTGTTTTGCACATTTTTAACATAGGTGCTTTGAAACTGGAGAAATACTTTGTGGATGAGGTTTCTTCTGCCTCATTACAGCTTTTCTACAAGAGACAATGGTTATTTGCTTCTGAGAAGGGTTAAATATTTACTGAGAAATTACATGAGAGCAGATGGTTACTGTGTGATCAGGTGAGCTCCAAAACTAGACCGGATAGAGAACTGTTGAAGACACAACGTTAATACACACTTGCAGGTTTTTTAAATTTGCATTGCTCATGTTCCCAATCCCACACTGGGACTCCTTGTACTGGAACACAAAAACTGGTAGCCTTGTGTGTACTCCAGCATGTATGCATGTGTGCGTAGGTGTGTCTGTAACAACGTCCTTGTACCTGAAGTGCATTTCTCATTACTCCATATGAGTTTTGAAGCGTAAGCCCCCGTCTGTCTCATTATGTCTGATGTGACACGACTTGCATGTTTATGTCTGAAGTTTAAGAGCAGGTTTAGGAAAGCTGCCAAGATTTGTGGTTACCCTCGGGGAAAGGTGTGCTTGAGGAGTGTGAATGTACTCACATTGTCCCAGCAGGAGTTCTTGAACACCGAGGTGAATGGGGGGAACAACTAATCTGCAGTTTAAAGGGTGACATGTCCTCAAAAGATCAAAAAAGATAAGATGCAATTACAACAAAGTCTCTCACAAACTATTGGATATCTTGGTTGAAAAAGCTGAGATTTCATTTATTATTCATACGTTCCAATGTTTCAATCATAAACTTTATCCTCTATCATGAATTAAAGCTCCTGTGAAGAACTTTACATTGAAGCCTATAATGTCCCCGTCCTTGTTGAAGTAGTTACCCCTGACAAAATCTCATCCTGCTGAGTTTTGGCAGACACGTTTGTCATTCATTGTGAACGTTTTATGTGTAAATTGTAAAAAACAAGTTTGTTTCTCCAGCTGCTCGGCTGACACCTACCCCCTGGCCCTGGTTTCAGGCATGAAAAATTACTAGAAAAAGCCATCAATCTTGTCACCGAGGGCTTTGTTTGCATTTGGATATCACGCAAATGCACTTATGTGAATTTCAGAATATCTTGTAAATGTCAAAAACTCCTTATAGGAGATTTAAGGAGAACCACACTCTACTTTTCAACAATCAGCTCTTTTTATTCCGTCTTAGTCTTACATTTAATACTTGCACAGTTAAAGCTCCTATAAGCGGTTTTTGAACAATCATAGAAGAGAGTCAAATTAATATTAATGCTTCTATACGAGCCATAAGAGCTGACGACACCATCAGAGAGATGATGGATTATTTCTATACAGTCATCATTTGAGGTCTCAAACAGCTGCTGCAGGGTAGGTGTCAGATCAAATCAATCACTGCAGAAAAACCCCTCTCTCTTTTTTTTCATTTTCCATAGCCAAGATCCATACTGTCTCTTACAGTTAGATGTTTAAAAGTCTTTTTTTGTCAGATTCACGTGTACAGGACAAAATAATAAAAGAGAGAGGCTACACTTTTTGTCCACAGGGGGCGCCAAAATCCACTAATTCAAAAAGTTCCTCACAGGAATTTTAAAAGTCACAGCTCCAGATTGTGATATCAACATTCGTTTCTACATTTTTATCAAATGCTTAGCTTTAGAAGTGTTTTGTCAGCATTTTTTAACTTTATTTCACTTTTTTCATCTCATTAGAGAACAAAAACTGTGTCCGATTGTGACCTTTTGAGGTTATTTTTCAACAAATGGTATTATGTGCCTCAGCAGGGAAATTATCTTCCTTCATGACCTATAAAATAATCCAACTGGAGCTCCACACTCGTGTATCTCACCACATTTTGAAAAATAAGGCGTGATTTCACTCACTCTGCCAAATAGTTCCGGGGTCTAATGTCAGATATAATGACAGGGGCTGACTCACTGTGTGCTCGCTTATATAATGTAATGATCTTTTTTATCCTTCATTCACCCACACAGTCGGTAAGAATAAAGAGCAGTTTACCATAAATGACAGAGTCTATAATCAAACCACTCCTAAAAACTTTCCAGTTTATGAGAGAAAAACTGTTAAATGTCAGAGGACTCTTCTCATGCAGATAAACTCAAAGTTGTTGTGCAAACTTTTTAAAGTTCATTGAGAGTTTGAGAGATTTTAAAGATTTTATTTGTGAAAATATGTTAAGCCTGCATGGTTTACATACAGAAAAAGTTTGTAGATCATATGGATACCATATTTAATCATTCTGTCAAGCCAGTTTATGAACATTTATTATCGTTGGTGCAATAAGGGAAAAAAAAAGTAGGGCTCACATTTCACTCCTGCTAAGACTGAGAGTTTCCAAGATTAAATTCCTCATGATTTCTTCACCTCAACAAACCAGAACTGCTGCTGGGAAAGAAACCAATTTAATGATGCGACTTAAACAGTTTAACTTTAAAGATTTAAGAGAATGTTTTTCTCATACAGAGCTGTTTCATTTCTTTAAGGGAGAAAAAAATAAAGATTAAAAAGGCAACAGGCTTCTTACTGTAAACCAAATCCGCTACTTATCAAGACTTATTTCTCATAATATTATGACTTTACCAAGACTTTATTTTTTTTCTAACAATATGACCTTAATCTTGTCACTTTATGACTTGGTTTTCAAAATACTTTTTTAGTAAGAATATTATTGTTATTACTATTTTACCAAGACTTTATTCTTGCCAGATAATTATGTAATAAGATTTTTTAAATACTTTTTTATGTAGTTATTACACTCTCAAAAACGTCAAAGTCAAGAAAAAAGTAGCTGCCTCAGATTTTAAAAGTAAAGATAATAACAAAATGCCAATTACATGCACTACCTTGTACTTCCAGCAGGGGGTGAGTCCAAATTGAGTGCGAACCAGTCTAAACAAAGTCAGTTTTAACTCTTTTATCAGATTTAACTCTTTTAGTACTTGAATTTATACATCACTGTAACATTTTAAAAATTACCCAGTAGGTTCAATCACTTGTTGTAAATTCTCTGCAAGATTATTATGATTTTAATTTTTGAATTACGCCCCTAACAAGAGTAGAATAACACATCAAACAAGTATTTGATCCAAAATCTGCACTTGTAGGTCCTCAGAAAAGACAAAGCTGCAAAAAATGCCGAACTCAGAGTTTTAAAACACTTGAAGAAGTGCGACTCAACCAGATCACATCAAACTCTTACATGCAAACTATGCCCTAAAAATTCCCAGGCTGTGAAAAACAGAACAACATGTAAAAATTCTGCGAATCGCCCCTTTAAAATATGTGCCTGAGGTAGTAATTCCAAATACCTTTCCCCTTGTTTGAATATGTTGTTTGTATTCTTATTATAATCATGATAATCTTGCTGTTGTTGCATAAACTGCAGAGATTTATTTAAAATACGAAACTATCGGCTTTGAAATCAAACTCTCGTTAAAAAAGTGACACAGAAAAATGTGAAAGCTGTAACTTATAGACGCTATCTGATATCTCTTTGCTGTTTGTCTGCTGGTGTGTGTGTGTTTAATGAGGCCCCCACTGGAAAAGAAAACACACGTGTTGACTTAAAGTTACCCTGAATCGTCAGCTGACTGTGTTCGGCTTATTTGCACACATCCTCCGAGCGCAGACCTGTCCCTGCTTTCTGTTTATGACTTGTTTGTGCACGGGGCTGATCCAGCTGAAACTTTTGCCTCATTTCTGCTCTGAGTCTCCAAAATGGCTGACATGCCTTTGAACCTTTTAATAACTTCAGTTTAGATAGGAAAATTATCAGATTGCCTTTTTATGATGATCAAACATGAAGAGTCATGATAATAAAATCCACTTTGCATAATTTGCATTTTTGGAATTGCATGATTGCCACACCCTGGACGCCTTGCAGCATTTCATAGTCTGTGGACATGCGGGCGTTATTAAATCTGAATATTTCTGCTCTTCTCGCCACTTAAAGCTGAATTCTTGTCTTTCTAGGTCCCTGACAGCAGACCAACCTGTGTCAGAAAATCAGCCCCCAGAAGCTGATCAAGAGTTGGACGACAAAATGAACTCAGGCTACAGCAGCCTGAGCACCAAACTGTCCTTTAAGACCTCATCGCCCCCCAAAGAGGATGAGTCCAGGTATCGTGTGCATAAAATGTCCCTGATCAGTGATTCTGACAGCAGAGAGAGCAGCCAGGACTCTGCAGTGGACTCCGTGAAAACTATCTCCACTGTGACTGAGTCAAACGGCTCAGATCTGGACTCAGAGTACAGGTGGAGGAACAGATTCGAGGGGGTGTCTCAGTTCAAACCACACACGACAGAGGATTTCTCTCTCTCTGAATCTCTGAGCTACTCAGACACCTTCTCCAGCCCCTCCTCCTTGTCCTCTCTGTCCTCCTCCTCTGCCCTCCCCGAAGCTACGGCCTACAAGCATGCCGATAATGCCTTCCCCTCCTCCTCTTCCTCCCCCGCTTCTGAGGAACACATCATCCTCACCAGCAGGGTGAGTGACAGGAGCGAAGTTTACCTGAGCCGTGAGAGCGAGCTGCCAGCAGACGAGTGGAGGAGAGGCTTAGAGGAGCGGGAGGAGCCTGCTGCACCTGCAGGAGAGAAGGAGAGAGGGGGAGAGTCAGAGAGGTTCAAGTCGAGCTGGGAGGCACACCAGAGTCCTGTTACCAGCTCCTTCTCTGCAACACAAACCAGCTACGACAAAACAGACTCTTTCCAAGAAGAGGACAACGACTCGGCTCATTTCACCGGGGTGTTCAAAGCCACGCTGGTCGAGCTGGTCCCCGACCTCACGCCTCCTGCCCCCTCCACTCCCCCCGCCTCCCCTGAGACAGAGTCCCCCCAGTGTGAGATGGACAGCCTGGTGGACACGCTGAAGAGCATGGGGCCGGCCATGAGGCTGAGGGGCATCGGCCCGCGCCCTCCTGTTCCAGTCCTCATGTCCTCCTTGCCACCGATCGTGGAGGATGCTCCCAGCCTCGTCCCCAGCTTGGACGTGCGTGACTCGATCAGCAGCCCTGAAAAGAAGATTGAAGTAGCAGGAAAGCCAGCAGAGTCCCAGAATGGAGCTTATGCTCTGCCTGCAGACCTGGGACTGAAGAGGAACGCTGCCAGAGACTCTCGCTCCCCTCTGGAGCTGATGAAGCAGAACCAGCAGGTAGGGTACAAGCTGACCTTTAATTCCCTGAATGATCTGAGCTTCTTCTTCAAAATCCTTAAAGTTTACCAAGGATTGTGTTTAAAGGCCACATAGTTTTGTTATAAGGTGCAAAGAGCAAAAACTACTAAAAAAAGACTAAATATAGTTTAGTTATGATAGTCATTCATATTGTCTTATATTGTAAGAGTTTTTGAGTAAGCTGCTTTGATTGCTATTTTAAGATTCACAAAACTGACTAAAACTGCTCTCATCTCATAGTTTATTTCAGCTACATCCAAAACTAACTCTTTACATGTTTGTGCATTTTTAATCAGAGCATAAAAAAAGAGTTAATAAGATAAAAACATCTGCAAGAAAAAGCGAGTCACACTCTGCAAAACTGGAAAAGTGGGTGTGTCGAAATGAAAAAATGCAAATAATTTCACTGGAAACATGCTTGGGAAATGAAGCGTCCTTGAACTTCCATGACGTGGTAAACTTGTTCTCTGTCCAACAGATTTGAGATTTAATTCCCAAGAAAAGCACAAATTAGCTTAATCAATGTAAACATGATTTAATTTTGCATTTATTTATTTGAGATTTGGTCGAAACTTGTGCAACATTTGAGAAACCAAAAAAATGAGGAACTTACTTTTGCTAAACTAGAAATAAAAAGTGAAAGTTTTGGATAAAATCTTTGCAATAAGCTCAAAATCATGTGCAAACTTTAACATTTTAGTAGCAGATTTTCAAAGTCTGTCAGCCCCACATTTACCTCTTTATTAAATTGTGTTGCAGGCAAATATCTCCAGTCCTTTGCATGTAAAATAAAACAATTGTTAACTATCAGAGGTGCATGTTCTCTGTTTTGGGTGAACTAACCCTTTAATCTGTTGTTATATTAAGTACATTTCCCTCACTCTCATGCAGGAGCAGCTTGTGAACCTGCCTCTCAGAGCATCTGCCACCAACAGTATTACCATGAGAATGTCCTCTGACTCCTCTCCTGAGGACCTGAAACCCTCTCTGCTGAATGGGAACGCAGGACTTCAGTCTCCAGGGTCCACCTCCCGCCTGGACAGCAGCGTGATCTTCTCGAGCTACAGAGCAGGAAGCATCGATCAGAAGCAGGAGAACCGACAGACCCATCGCCAACTCTTCCGCACTGGCTCACTGCCTGAAACAGGGCTTTCCAACGACCGCATGAGCAAGGCGGCCAATGACTTTACTGACCTTAGCAGTGGAGCAGACCCATCCGGATCCCGCTTCGATCGTTTCGCCTTCCTTTTGAACTCCTCGTCCTCCACATCGGGCTCCTTGACCGGAGCTGAAGACCAAAACATGCGTATGAGTCGGCCTCCACAGCTGGGTGGCTCACCGACCTCCAGCAACAGCCCCAACCGCCTCCTCAGCCCCACCGGCTCCATAGACCTTCAACGATCATTAACTAACCAAGACTCACCCATATCACTATTTGGCCAGAACCAGAACCAGGGGATGGGGATGGGGATGGGTGTGGGTACTTCTCCCTTCCTGCAGAGAAGCTTCAGTAGCGAGGGCACCATGGGGGTCCAGCAGACTCCCCTCTTCAACAGCGTGCAAGCAGGGTCTCAGTTCCAGAGCCAAGAGCAGGAGAGGAATATTTTATCCAAATACAGAGCCTTCCCTGATGCCTATGTAAGTATCTAAGAAAGTAAAATACAGATTAATTAAGGAATATTTTGGCGTAAGATTAAGTTAGGGTCAAACACATCGTAACACCGAGTTAGACACCCCCTCGAGAGATGAATGTTGCCGACCGCTTGCTTCTCTAGTTATACCAACTTTAGTAACGACCATATGATAGCAATACACAGCGGTCTCAGGAGCCATAAACAAACCTCAACCAAAACGCCACTCTGTAGCCACAAATAATGCTCAGAACAGCACCTAACTTCATCAACAGTACATATAGGGTCCTAGCCACAGCACTAGCCACCAAACATCTTTTTAACTTTACCCGATGTCTTTAGCAAAGAGACTAAACACAACTCACCTACTCTCTTCCAGCAGCCGCTTGTTTGTACGGAGACCTCAGGCCAGTCCATTACTGCAGCGGGGTGCCGCAGCTCAAGGAAGAACATTTATGATCATTACTTCAAGGAAATGATATGCTTGATCATAAATGTTCTTCCTTGAGCTGCGGCACCCCGCTGCGGTAATGGACTGGCCTGAGGTCTCCGTACAAACAAGCGGCTGCTGGAAGAGAGTAGGTGAGTTGCGTTTAGTCTCTTTGCTAAAGAAATTAGGCAAAGCTAAAAAGTTGTTTGATGGCTAGGACCCTATATGTCCTGTTGATGAAGTTAGGTGCTGTTCTGATCATTATTTGTGGCTATAGAGTGGCGTTTTGGTTGAGCGCGTGGCTCTCTGTATTGCTATCTGCAGTTGTTACTAAAGTTGATATAACTGGAGAGTCAAGCAGTCAGCAACGTTCATCTCTCGACGGGGTGTCTAACTCAGAGTTATGGTGTGTTTGACCCTAACTTAATTTTACGCCGGAATATCCCTTTAATGTGTTCAGTCTGCATGCCACTGCAGAACGGATGTTAAAAGAGCTCCTTGATTTGCATATTTGTCGGTCTGCACATGCCTTCAAAGTGAGTGTACCTGCAGAAACATCTCAGTGTGGAAGTGGTCCTCGAGCTAGCATGCATTTGAAATTAGAGTAGTCAGCATGCTCCAAACCCTCCCTCGGTCAGGTACATGCTATTCCCACTGAGCATCCAAAAAATCACACAGACAGAGGCGTGTATCCTTCATGTACACACTTGCTCCGACATGCATGTGGGCATGTGAAGTGTTAACTCATTAGAACATGTCAGAAATGATTTTTATTGGTAAAAGGAGGGAACATCTGCCGCACGTGTGCAGCACACATGGCGACGCACTCACACCCGCTTTCTCACACTCCACAGATGCAAACCAACTCTGCTCTTCCTGTTTTGCACATAAATCGTTAAGTGTTAATCGCACTATAAACCATTAGACGTTTTATATTAACGGTTATGTAATAAGAGTGCAGTTGTGTCTGGGAGAGTAAACAAAAAAACACAAATCCAACACCTAGGGCGATGAAACCAGATCCTTACATTACCCCTTTTAATGATGCTGTTCTCTGAAGTATATCACTTGTTGATACATGCAAAATGCTGGTAGCGTTGTTCAGTCCGTGCACACACAAAGGGAGCACCAAAGTGTAACTACACCGTCATTAGTCTCCAGCAGTCCTGTGCAGTTTAATACAAATGTTTGCACAGGATGTTTGTTCAGGCTCCAGCAAAGCCCAGTTAGCCCCTGTGATGTTCAACAGTATGGCTGCTGCAGCTCAGTTTTCCAGGTACGCAAAGTAAACAGGCTGACCGCAGATCATGTTACTGACCGGGTCACTGCGGCTGACGCTGACTGTAGACAGTAGAGGCTTGTTCTCCATCAACAAAGTTTTCCATCAACAAAGTCTTCAGAGGACAGAAAAATAATGTCATCAGACTTGTATTAAAAACATGTAACACAATGGAGTAGTTATGTAGATTTAAGCGTAAAAATTTGGTGAAAATGCCATCAGATTCCAAAACACAAAGTTGTTTTTACATTTCAACAGTTTGTCCATTTTAGCATTGAAAAACGAACAGGCTGGATTATTTCTACAGCATTTCTTTAAACTAATTTACAAGATTTTTGTGCAACGGTTGTGTTTGGGTTACAAATCCTGCACCACATTGGCTTCATGATGATGATTAAAAAGAAAAAAAAAGCTCAGGGACATTGTTGAGGGAGCAGTTTCTGTGCAACTCTGACCATGAATGCAGAGAGACCCTTTTGTGGATCAATCTATAACAACCTTTGTACTTTTCTGTAGATTTCTGTGGCTGATAGTAAAGAGCGCTGGAATCTGTCTTAAATTTAAGTAAACAATGCACTGTATTATCGTCACTCTATGATCTGACAGTCTAAAACATTATGATCATGTATGTTCCTTTAAATTTCCAGAGAAGTACCAAAACATTTGCATTTTCCCTGTGAGAACTTCCAAAGATCAACTGATTACAGGCTTTACTTAGGATGTAGTTTGCAGGAACTTGCATGAAGAGTTATTTTTTATTAGAAGGCTGTGTTTAAATTGACAGAAACATAAAGTTCCTTATAGTAGCTTTAAGTTAAATAAGCACAATGGTAGTTAAACCGTAAAAGTTTGTGCAAACAAGTCAAAAGCATTGCAAGAGTGTACGAGCAGGCTGCAAAATTCAATGCAAATTTAACAGAGGTGCAATATTTCAACATTGGAAATGTGCTGCAGAAGAAAAAAGAATAATGATGCAACAGAAAGAAAGCTGCATGCCATTGCTTTTGGCCAGCTTCAAGTAGGAGACGTGCTATTAAAATCAAATTTAAGAAAAAGTCCAAATCTAGAGAAATTGTGTCTTTTATCAGGGAGGAAACCAAACTATAAGACAGCTTCTACCAGTTAAAGTTGTAGGTGAGAGGTTTCCGTTATCAGGGATTTATTTTACAGCTTCATCCTGCATTACAGTGTTAACTCTGAGTGAGAAATAATGCCTGACTTGTTGTGAAATTGTTATACAGCTCTTAAAACGTTATTTGGGAGATGCTGCAGGACTGATGTATATCTCTGGCAGCACTATCATCACGCTTTGTTAAGGAGGCATATAAATCAGTCACGCCGTTGAACTCCTTCACGCCGTTAAACCATCAGTGACACTTTCTCAGCTGGTGGGAGTAAAAGCCTCTCAATCATTACCTTTTGGCAGAACCCTCCTCTCTGTTTTTCCTGTTTCTATCTCCACTGGGCTCCCCACCCATCCCAGCTATCTGCCCGTTCCTGCAGAGACACGGCCACACCTCACCTCGAGTGCTTATCCCCGTGTCTCTCCTCTGGTTTTCTCGATATTTGACAAAGCCGAGTTGACAGGAGGGAAGTTTTAAAGATGGTTGAGTAAATAGGAGATGACAAAGGAGATTATCCGTTCCTCCTAGCGAGGGATTGATTGGCATTGTTTCTAAAAGTCACCGCTGTGATTTGCTGAAACTGCACATTCCTTCTGCGGTGACTTGTTTTATGGGAGAGTAGTTCTCGGAGAGGAGAAGGTACAGATGTGGAAAAGTGTCTCACGGGATTTGATTTGAGTTGGCATCATGGCAGAAGTAAATACATCATTGCCCATGAATGATGCCTATCCTTGTTTTTAAGATGCAGAATGAAAACAAGGAGTGAATTTAAGATAAAAGCATTCATGCACATACAAGTAGGAGCTATATCTGCAGAATGATGATACTTGAGATTATAGTCTCAATGATGCATTTTTTAGCTATTTTGAGAGAGTCAATATAGTTCAAGTTGATCAATTATGAATGAATTTGTACATATGTACCCTCCATATTATATATCTTATCTCATTTTGCATGTATAGCAGGTTAAGGCTGTACTCAGAGTCAACCTCTGATCAAGCTCAAGGTCCCTTAAACAGGCAGAAACCTTGAACAGAACCCTACATAGGTAGACGGCCATTTGCCTAGACCGAATTTTATTCACATTGGCTCCAACACCAAGAATAATTGCAACAGAACCCTTTTAATAATCAAGCCAAACCTAAAACTTTGAGGCAAACCTTGCATTTCAATTCAATCAAATAATTTTTCCCCTAGATTTAAAAGGCATATCGACACCAAGAGCACCACTAAGGCTGCATATATATGGCTTTTATTGTTTCATACACAAAATCCTCTGAGACTGACTCCACTGTCGCCTCAGAACATGTTATGATACCTCGCCAGTCACCCTTTATTATCTGTCTAACTAAATATTTGTCTCTCACCAGTGAGGGGATCAGGTTTGTCAGCCCTAAAGCTTCAACAGTAACAGAACACCATACAAACAAGCCTTAATAACATGCTAGAGGAATGTACAGTACATGTTGTCAGATTGTGCAATATGACAGTTTGGATTTCAGTTATTATGACTGCAGTTGCACTTATGAAAAGCTCCCCAGAAACCACAATCTGCAGCATTTGTAGCCAAAGTGGATTTGCAATACCCATCCCAAAATGGAACTTTAATATTCATGACCCTTAATACACAAAAGATAATGAAAAAACAAATTTTAACCATTCTCAGTATATAGTCATCCCACAGCTTGGCAACCCTGACAACGTGGAAGCCGTAAATCTTCTGCACTTCTTTATAGCTCAACTACTTTGGCAACGTGGCACAGGTGTTTTTTAATTTGCTCTAGATATGACGTGATAGGCATGCATGCAAAAACAACCCCTTGAGAGATTTGGCCTGCTCGACTTAGATTTCTGCGCCAGAATCCAAATGTCAGAGGGTTTGAGTCAGACCCGGTACCTGCTCTGTTAGTGGTTGTTCTTGAGGAGCCCTTGCCATGTTTGTTTTGGTGTTTTTCCACCTCTGCATCAGGCAGCCAATTGGTGTATTGACTCATTATCAAAGCATTCCAGCCCACTCAGATCACTGCACACATAATAAGGTCAGAAACTGTCATGAATTGACAGCTTTCCCAGAACCCCAGAAAAAACTAAAGTTTATATTTATGAAACATTATAAACTATTAGATGTGCCATGCTTTGTTAGATCTACCTTTGTCCCCTAAAAAGACTTCCCAGACTTTGTGAGTGGATGTTGAGAAAGTAGCTTCTGTCGTGGCCCTCTTAGGCTGGTAACACGATCCGCATGATAACCTGTTTCCTACAGAGCTTCCACAGAGAGAGGGGGCCAAGTGACACCTGAGACACACGAACACACAAAGACACACAGACAAACCAGCCTCTCCGCTACATCACCGAGATACTCCGCTTCCACATTCCTAGTTTCACGAGTAAACATCCCCGAATTATAGTGACATTCCTGTCGTGACTAAATTCCCCGAATCACTCACCTTTCATGCACACGCAGTTGAACAATGAGTTATTTTCCCTGTTGGGTAAACTTAACATTTTTTTAGTGCAGACCTCAGATGAGCTCATACTGCTGTCATGAGTGGGGGAGTCGTGAAAGCATGCAGTTGAACAGGTAGGGGATGAGGAATGTATTTCCACCTGTCAGAGAGGTGCTTGTGCTGTCATTAAGGGTGTCGTCTTTTATCGCTTCCCTTCCCTGACGCCCCTAGACACCATTCACCTGAGTGAAATACACATAAACAACGACTGGATTGGCTGGCATGTGCAGATTTCGAAAGCTAGAAAGTAGACCTTTGTGGCGACTGAGGTTGTAGCGTGATAGTTTATTTCTTTAGTGACATATTGGCTTGAGTTGCTGTGTCGCATGCATTACTATAATAAAGTTCCGGTTGTTTCCAATTGTCAACTTTATATAAACAATAAACATAAAGTTACTTAGCTCTAGGGTATCAAAAAAGTGAAGAAAACACACGGTGAAATGATGAAAAGTTAACTGAAAAACTTCTGTTTCTTTGTCCGTAGCTCACCAAAGAAAAGGAGCATGGGAAGCTAAATCCTCGTCCCGGAAAGGTGAGTCCCTCTCAGCCAGAACAGCTCAACCACAAGCTGCTCGGTTACATGTTAAACCTCAAAGCTAATCGCTGCTTTTACTGATTAACCTCAACCATTGATTTTGGTTGCATTTTTATTACAAAAGCTACATTTCTACGCAGTTTGCCTCAACGCTGGCTACATAAACAGTCCTGTCTTTTATCGTGTGCTGACATAATAACCACAGTCTGGTTAACTCAGAGGAGAAACACTTTTTATTACCCCACAGAGCTTCTCAAACAACCCTTTTGTTCTCTAATGATGCTTTCTGGTGCATTTTCGACATGTTTTGCACTTTAGTTTATGGCTTTGTCACAGGAAAACAACATTCCCATCAGTCTGAGACACATTTTCTGTTACAGTAATAAGCACCTGTTAGCATCCCAACACTCTGAACTACCATAGTGGATATGGTTACTATTTTACCTGCTTCACTTTAGAGTGATAGCTTGTAATTATGAGCAAGTTTGGATGTTGAAGTTCGTATTTGGCCCCCAGACAAGAAAGTGTACAACAAGCATGATTATAGACGCTGGTTAGAGTTTATGTTGGTGTAATAGTTTCTTGAATTCCATTTTAAAACAGTTTTACTTGTTAGAGACGGAGTAAATTTACCTGCTTTCAACATAGATAAGGAATCGGGTGTGTTTTACCGAGAGTTTAAAGCTTTTAAACAGAGTCAATATTCAGCATTCAGTCTCATAAAAACACACAATACCACTGAAATAATGAAGAAATAACGGTAGATAAACTCTTAATTCAACAAGCTAAAAATGAGTAGCCCACAGCTTTAGCTAGCATTTGTAGCTCACCAGCACTTGATGGTAGATTTGAAAGATTTTCTTTAATTTATCTTTTTTCCACTATTTAAAAAGCTTGTTGGCCGTATTTATATCTACAATCTGTTTTATAATATAGGGTTGTCAAAAATCATAAGATTTAAGCTCCTGAGAGGAGCATTTATGGAGTAGACTGTAATTCATATTGATGCATTTTTATAAAAACAAAAGCAAACAACACCATTATAGACAAGGCAGTTTTTTTTTGGTCATTTTTAACGCCTGAAACTGGTGTAAGTGGGTAGGTGGAAGGGCATCTGGGGAAATAGACGTGTTTCTTTATATTTTTTCATAAAATTATTACAATGCATTACATGTTTGACTGTTAAAAGTCAGCAGAATTCAGTTTTATGTAAAATGTAGCTACTTAAGTAAAGTCTGCCTTGTCCACAGGGGGCGCCAAAAATGAAAAACCATGAAAGTTCCTCACAGGAGCTTTAATATCCGTTCAGAAGAGACTACACAACCAGCCATTTTGGAAAGCTAGCTGAGTACTGATTGGTGAACTTACCCGCATTTGTATAAAAGCAAAAGATTTACAAAGCTACTAATTAACATTCAACAAACATATCATTGAAAAAAACTTAAATTAGGAACTTTATTTAGTGTTGGTTTTGGAGATCCTGGTGGTTTAAGTGTAGACTTTCTTGTCTTTAGTCCTGTTCTGCACAGGTCTCTGTGTTTCTGTCTTTTAACAATCAAATCTATCTTTCGTTGAGCACCTTAATGTTTGATAAATAATCAGCTAAACTCCTCACAGGCACTCATAGATATAAAAAAAAGGGTTTCTGCATCTGTCACCACATGCTCTCCTGTAACCTTTCCCCGGTCAAACCAGCAGTCAGTGTGGTTAAACCTTTTGTTCGACAGCGGATTACCAAAAAACACTCCCAGACGCCTCCGGTGGAATTTCAACCAGTGATTAGTGTCATTGAACTTCATACCTGCTACTTTTACCCTTTCTGAGCCACATGCTGTATTAACATTCAAATGTCAGGCCTGCCCCTGCATGCAGCTGGTGAACGAACAAACGCTTTCTCGTTGAGATTTGATGAAGGATATTGAATACTTGAGGAGGAGCTGACATTTAACTTCTGCTCCTGAGTACTCTTCCATGCTGCAGGGCCCCGGGCCTGATCCGACCTAACATGTCGGATCTGCAGACGTACACTGTGGTTTTCTTTTGGAGGTATCTGTAACCAAATTCAGCCCTAAGAAACAAAGAATTCCCTTCAGGAGTTTCATCATACTTGTTGGGTTTGAACTTTGCTATTAATAGGTGTGCAGAATGAACTACTGTGCAATTTACTTAATACTCCTGTTTCTGCCTGGCTCTGGCACTGTTCTCGCATCAGTTATGAAGAAGCAATTAGCATGAAATGTGATCTTTCTGCTTAGATGTGAAATCTGAGATAAAACCATTGGTGAGAAAATCTCCAGTGTTTAATTTCACAGAACAATATTAAAGTTTTTTTCTCTCGCCTGCAGTTATTCCTATAATTTTATCAGGGTTACGTTTCTATCACTCTCACTGATATGCTCCTAATGTTAACATTTGCTCTCTAATCAACATATCTGATTAGCTAAATGGTCCACATATGGAAAGGTTTTACTTTCTGCTTGTGGGGAAAAATGTCTGTCTGAGGCTGCAGAGCTGCAAAACTTCGATTCTGAAAAGGCAAAATTCTTCACCAGCAAATCTCTCACTTTTTCTCCAGATGTATATCTTCGACCGACCGGGGATGTGCGGCCAGAGGATCGAGGTGCGCAGTGATGTTATTGATGCTACGCCCTGGGAGCTGCAGGAGACCATCTCCATCCGGGTCGTAAGAGGAGGGTGAGCACAAAAAACTGTAGACAATCTAACTGAGTTTATTCTACCTGAGTTTTACATAAAGATGTGGAGTCCCAGCACCTCTGAATTCCTAGTTTACACTGTACGTTTAAGTCATGTCCAGCTGTATGGGGACAACCATGTTGCATTTAAACTAACCTTACAAACTACAGCACCCACAGCCTTGTCTCATTTGCATTCCTGTCTAAAAATTTGCCTTCGAAGTTAAAAAAAAATGGATAAACCACAGAGCTTAGCAGTAACACCAATGACACACTACACTGTCTACAAGCAATAGCTTGATTCAATAAAAAAAATAAACAAATATCAGGGCACTTGTTATACTTGGACTATTGTTTTGTAGTTGCAGTACACGAGACAAGACTTAGATGTTTGTTTTTTTTTGCTTAAAGCTACTGTAAGTAACTTTTTTCTTTTTGTTGATTTTGGCGCCCCCTTTGGATAAAGTGATGCCTCTTGTCCTGCAAATGAATAACAGATTCAGACAACTAAATCCTGTTTTCTTTTAACAGTGAAATAAATCACCAAATCTGATTATTGGCTGTGTAAAAAGTGAGCAAAGTTGTTTTTTTTTTTTAGCTTGCTGTCTATCATCTGGTCTGGCAGCTTCCCCGTTGAGGCCATTTCAGACAATAGAAATTTAAATAGAACAAAAGCAGCCTTGTTTCTGGTGGTCTCTTTTGCTTTTAAAGGTCAGAAAGAGGTATCAGGATCAGTTTCAGTCTATTGTGCAACCACTTGAAAAAACACTTACAGTGCCTTTAAAGTGTTAGCCACCAAACTCCTATTTTGTCCTGCTGTGTAGAGTTTCTCAAAGCCAGTTTATTTTATGTAGAATGAAACTCTTTTGGGTGTATTTTTTAAGTTTCTAAATATTTTCAGTGTAAAACAGTACACATTAGCTGTGTACATTTACTTTTTAGATTTTACACTGCTACTGTCTATCATCCCTACGGCTACTACAAGTGGATTTAGAAGTCCACAAGCCTTCGTAGCCGTCCTCTCCAACATGGGAAAGATAAATAGAAAGAAGAGTAGAACAAAAAAAAAACAGGTTTCAAGAGCAATCAACACGGTTTCTTTTCACATGTTTTAGCACTAAACTGGCAGTAAGTCTGTCTTTTCCTCTTTCTACCGCCACATATTCAACAGTCTGTCAAAGTAGACGCTTCCTCAGGTCTTCAAAACCGTAAAGACAGATCAAATATCACCTCCAGGTCTTGTTTTTCCTGAAATAGGGGTGTGTAATCAAACATTGGTTTTTCAAATACAAAATAAAAAAAACAATCTCTGGATGCTGGCTTCATAACAAAACAGCTATTGATTCACTGCGGACACGCAAATGCCTTCAATAGTTAACACACCCACACGCAGGTTCAAATACACAAGTGTCAGATGTGGAATGTTTTATCAGACACAGCCTGTACTGTGAGTCTGCACTCACACTCACTGTGCAGCTCTAGCCTGTACACACACATATACACACTCATATACACACACAGCGTGCTCATGCTAGCTTGGCTTCCTACAGAGAGGTAATTATGCTGTCAACACCAGCGTCACACTCCGCAGCTCTGCACAAACCACAGCTAATGCTGCTATTAATGAGATATAAAGGAGAGGACTTTGTCTCCCATCAGCCGGGACTCAATCGAGGATCTACTTTCTTTTGTTTAAAGATTTGCTTTTAAACAGGCAGGAGGGCCTTTAGTATAATACTGCTGCTACTTCTTTATCCTGCTTGTCTCCTCATTACACTTTAAAGAGGATTACTGGGCTTTTATCATTCACTCCTTTTTTAGACTTTTCAGACCACCACAGTAGATACAAACCACTGATTAAGCTTTACAAAAGATGTTTTTTAAAGAGTGTCAATCCAGTGGAAATCATCTTAAGTTCACAAAAAGAACAAGATTTTTTTTATTTTTTTAATTCAAGTTTTTATTGAACTTTTCAAGGCACGGCACATGGCAAACTTAGTATGTTTCTCCATACAGGAACAAGCAGTTATTAAGAGTTAACTTTTACAGACTTTGCACATTTTTGTCTCTCGAAGGGCAGAAAATATAAAAAAATGAGTACACAATAATATCAACTAAACATGTATCATATCTGTACACACACTCACATCATTAAGACATTTCGCAAGACAAAAACAAGATTAAACTCAGGGCCCCTTGTCCTGATGAAGACATTTATCTCAGGTTCCATGACTGTAAAAAAACTGATTCTATTTGCCTAATTTCGATCAAATTGTTGAAGTAAATTCTTAAGTTGCCACTACTACTGTAGCGTTCCCTGCTTTATCTGAATTGTAACTTTAAAAGGGTTTCTTAGCTGGAATTTTAGCATCTTCATTTATTAGAAAGTCTGAGACTTCAAACTCAGTGGGAAACTGTGATTTGAGTTTAACACGTAATCTGAGAAGACGGCAATTTTTCTTAGAAACTCACACCCAGTTCTCATTCTTTGCCCATTCTGTTGCTTTATATATAATTATGTCTCATGTGTCAAATTATCACCTCCCCTTCTTGCTCGTAAAGTCTTCATCTACTCGCACAGCAGGGACTGCATGAAATGACAGATCAGGCAGAGACATCACTGAGAGCAGTAATGGGATACTTGGTTCTGGTGTTTGATCACGGTTTGACAGAAAGCAGAGTAATGATTGAAGCACTGGGGCGCAAAAGCAAGAGTAATTTCCTTCTGGGAATTTTAGAGCAAAATTCCTCCAGAAAGAAATAAAAAGCTTGTATCCTCATGCTTTCTATTTCCAGATGGGTGCTGTATGAGAAGCCGAACTTCAAGGGGGAGAAGGTCGCTCTGGATGAGGGCGACATCGAGCTCACCTACCCTTTCGGCCCTCCGGAGGAGCAGCTGCAGAACGGACAGCAGGAGGGCGAGAAGCAGAACGGAGAGCAGAACGGAGAAGCGAGTGAAGCGCAGGCAGAGACCAAACCAGCCAGGAAGTTCGTCATTGGGTCTCTGAGAAGAGCTGTCAGAGTGAGTCAACAATAAGCCGAACACTTAGTGCATTCAAATGTGGCATTATTACGCTTCAGCCAGGCACAAACAAGCAGGGAAGTAGGGTGGAAATGGATTTTTTATGCAAAAGTGTACTTCCAAAACATTCTGATCTGACTCTAAAGCTGGAAATCTCTCAGCCTTGTGTTGGATTGTGTGTGTTCTGTAACTCAGTAGCACCATCTAGTGTCAAAAGCAGGTAAGAGCACCTGTTGCTCAAGCTCTTGTAGTTTTCCAGCTCCTCGCCTTTATCTTTTTATCTTTTTCACAATTTTAACTACAAACGGTTCACTTTTGACTGAAGTCGGAAAGAGTAAAGAGTAAATGAGTATCAGACGAGATCTTGACTTCAGATAAATACCTTGTCAAATATTGGACCCACTGGCTGTCCTTCATGACAAGTTTGACAGTCTGTGAGTGACGGCTGGCTCTTCGGTGCTTGTTTGGGATTAAAAGCACAAGTACAAAGTCCACAACTTTCTTTTTTACATGTGCTGCAGCTCTTTTTAACTGCCCGGGGATTTTGATACTGAATTGTAGATTTTTTCCTTTAATTTTTCATTTTTTTCTTCAATGTTCGGTTGAAACGCCAAGGAATTATTAACAATAATGATAATAATAATAATAATGCATTTTATTTGCAGGCGCCCTACAAGAGAAGGTTAAAACAAAACAATCAAATAAATAGTCCATATAAAAAGTTAAAATTATGGACATTTAAAACAACAGTCAGACTGAATATGCCTCACTTTTTTAGCATCATTAAATACAAGCTTTGACTGCAGGTTCCAGTCATCGGGTTCATATTTTATTCTTGAGATCCTTTAAACAACGTGATTCTTGTTGATCCGTTCCCTCTGTAGATTTTTATCAGTCCCATCATGTCACGTATATTACTCCGAAACCTTTTTTTACCCCCCTTCCTAATGTGACATTGACAGCTGCTCTCTGTCTCCCCTCAGGACTACAGCGTCCCAGAGATCAGCCTGTTCCCAGAAGAAAACGCTGAGGGGAAGAAAGTCACCTTTAGAGACACGTCTGATGACGCCAGGATCTTTGGATTCCCCGTCAAGGCGAACTCTGTCATCATCAACGCAGGACTGTGAGTTCTTTAACCGTTATAAAAAAAGGTAAAAAGTCTCATTTGTGTGGTTTTTATTTAGTTTATTAACAATCTTTCCTTCTTCTCAGGTGGCTTGTGTACGCACATCCCTTCTTCCAGGGTGTGCCCCGGGTCCTGGAAGTCGGGGGGTACCCCAACCCTGCAGCCTGGGGGGTAGAGAACCCTTATGTGGGATCATTACATCCACTCAAAGTGGTAAGTATTACTTTTAGAGCTCTTTACAACCTGTTCATTTTGAGCAAATTGTAAAATTCTGTGTTTTTATCACAGGGGGAACCAAGAGTGGAAAATGTCAGTGAACCAAAGGTAAAAAAAAAACTTTCTCTCCTTTCGATGAAGAACTTTTTGTACAGAAGCGACAATTTTTCTAGCATGTTCTCATTCTTAACAACACTTTTTGCTCTCCAGCTTGTGATCTACGAAAAGGCGTACTTCACCGGGAAATCGAGGACCATAACCACCAACACGAAGGACTTCATGACCAGAGTAGAGAGGCAGCAGTCGGCCTTCATGTACTGCGTCGGCTCCCTGAAAGTACTCGGAGGAATGTGAGTGCAGTGATTGTTTTTATGAGTTAATTAAAACATTATTTAAGCAGGAAACAAATATGAAAGTGTTCACAGCTTTTGTTAACCTAATGTGTGTGTTGTTGTGTTTGCAGCTGGGTGGGTTATGAGAAAGAGGGCTACAGAGGCCACCAGTACCTGCTGGAGGAGGGAGAGTACCAGGACTGGAGGGTGTGGGGAGGCTGTGATTCTGAGCTGCGATCCGTCAGAGTGATTCGGGCGGTAAGTGAAAGAATATTTCACTACTGTTAATATTCGTTAATAGATAGATAAAATGGTCTTTAATCATTAGTGCAACCTTGAAATAAACCAACATTGCTTCAACTGTAGTCAAAGAGCTGTATGTCCTCCAAACATACAATCAGATAAACTATTTTTCTGTTTTTCTCTGCTCTTGTACTGTACTCTGTGTTTGTGCTCTTACTTTTGTTGCTCTAATGACCCAATTTGGTCACCTGCAACCTCTCAAAGTATATCTTATCTATGAGATAACTGCGCTGTCAGATAAAATGTTCTTTGTTATGTTAATACTGGTAGCACAGGTTCAAATTGGTACATGAAAAGTAGCTGAGGTGGTAAAATCCAGACATTCCTGCAAACAGATGATCAGAAACCACTTTGACACAAACTAAAAGTTCCTCACAGGAGCTTTAAAGCTCAATTTGACTCGTCTAATTTCTTATTTTTGCTCCCCTGCAGGACCTGACAGAGCCTCTAATGGTGATGTTTGAACAGCCAGAAGAAGACCAGGAGGGCATGCAGGAGGAGAACACCTTCGAGGTGTCCGAGGCCATTCCTGACGTGGAGCTGTTTGAATATAAAACCTCCACACGATCCATCCAAGTACTCAGTGGAGCGTAAGTACACGAAATCATCAAAAAACACAACGTTATGTTATGATAGGATATAGAACAATCCGACACAACCTGATAGGATACTTTACAATACAAAATGATGTGTTGCAGTGCAGCACAATTCAAATGGTTATTTCATGCTCCCACTCATCAATACTAACTCCGGACAACGTACTGTCATGTTCAGAGGTATGAACATATGGAATCGTCTTCCTCCTGTCATTACAAGGTTAACCAGTAAACATATATTTAAAAAGCAGGTATACCAATATGTAATAACCCAGACTCACTGAAATAAGAAACAGAACACCTAGACTAGGCTGTGACAACATACAATACGGAACAATGAGATTTTGATCACTAGTACATTTATCTTGGTCTTTATTGGTGTCTATCGTAATTGGAAATGTAATGTCATCATAATTCTTGTTTTAGTTTTGATTTTAACATCTTTCTCCTCTTTGGACTTGTATCATTTTAATCTGCACAAATGTTTATTGTCTTCTTGCAGACCCCAGGAAGAGTGGCTGCTACTTAGGTAGTAGCTAATGGGGATCCAAATAAATAACTAAATAAATGCCATACAATTTCATTTGAAAAAAGAAACTTATAATAAAACAACTAACAAAAGAACATTATTTGATACTGTATAATGCAATAAAATACAACACAAACAGATATGAGATAGTATGATAGCTAGACAAAACAAAGCAGATTAAAATCAACTGGATATGTTTGGCGTGACGTGCAAATGGCCAAAATGGGCCGAAAATAGCAGAATAACTCTTTAACCGTGCGTCTGAGAGAAAAGTCCAACCAAACAAAATCAAAGATCTCATTAAGATACACGTGCCTGTAAAATTTCGGGCAGGTTGGAAAAAGTCGACATTTGTGGCGCTCTGTAGGGGGCGCTAGTGAGCCATTTTTATGACTTGTTTTTGGGTCACTTTAAAACATCGGGCCCTAATAAATATGACACAATAAAATAGAATACAGTACGATAAGACTGAATTGAACATTGAATTTCCCTTTGAGGATCAATAAAGTTATTCTTATTCTTATAACATCTGATAAAATGCACAAGATCAGGATACAGCAGTGTAGGATACAATATAATGTCATACAATACAATACAATACAATACGTACAATACGATACAATACTACAACGTAAGATATATACAATACTACAAGATACACTACCATATAATAAAATACAACAAGATACGATACAGTATGACAAGATAATTTATTATACAGTACTATAAGATACAAAATGCTTAAATGCCCTCATACAGAATTCCTTTGTGAACTTCAGCTCTGTGCGTACTGAGCTACCTCTACTGTCGTATTGTAACCATTTGACTGTTTCTCCTTCCCTCCAGATGGGTGGCGTACTCCCATGTCGACTACTCTGGGCACCAGTACATCCTAGAGAAAGGCTTCTACAATAACTGTGCAGACTGGGGCTCTAAGGACAACCGTATCTGCTCAGTGCAGCCCATCCTGCTGGTGAGGAAGACTGTGAAGAAGAAGAAAAACAAAGAAATCTTTAGTGGAAAATTATTGAGTTGATTGTTTCTTATGCTTTTGTTTGTGGTTCTTTTAGGCTCCAAGTGACGGCCCCAGGGTCGGGACTCAGGTGACTATAGCGTCTAAGTTTTTGTTGATAAATTCCCCCTCTGTCAAAATATTTGTCTACTTTTTGTGCAGTTTCATTTACTTAAATATTTATTTTTGCATCTCAATGCAGAAAGACGGGTTTTTATTACATTAGGCTGAAAAGTAAAGACTGCAGGTTGTGTGAAAATAAGTCACACACATCTCTTATCTCTTATGTATTTCGCAACACATGGTGCAAAAGTTTAACTCCGTGTTTTGGCATGTACTGGATCAGGAGCTGCTTCTGCATTTTCTTCCATGCAGAGGAAAAAAAACAACAACTCCAGAGCTGCCGAAGCCTCAAGCTTCATCATTTATCTTGTCACTTGTCTCTGTTTGGACCTTTTTAATATTTAAATGTTTTCAGTGAAATATTGAACAGTCAGTGCGGCGAGCTGCAACACAAAAAGAATCTTTAAACAGAGGACTGGTGGACAAAATTTGAACTCTAAAAGCAGCAAAAAAAAGGATGAATAATTCAAGCTGTGCTGTCTCTTTAGTGCTTGAAATGCTAAAATGAAAGAGAATAAAAGGCCCAGACTATCAACGGTGTTAACGCCTCACTTTCTTCTTTTTTACCAGGTAATACTTTACACTGAGCCAGACTTCAAGGGTGAGTGTCACGTCTTTGATCAGAACCAGGAAGCGCTGTCGGAAAAATTACTGACAAAGTCCTGCCGGGTGTCAGGAGCGAGGTAAGAAACCTTTACTGACGCATCTACCTTTTTTCATCTAAAAAGAGAACATTAAAAACGACTAAAAGTCCTTGAAAAAGACCAAAGTAAGCAATAAAATCATGGTGTGGTGGTGAGAATCTTAAAAAGCTTGTTCATTCTTGTTAATAGCAAATGATACCTACAAAACTGACCTCTCTGTCTTTTTTTTTTAGCTGGGTGTTCTATGAGGATAAAAAGTTCACCGGGAACTTGTACGTCCTCTCTGAAGGAGACTACCCCAATCTAACCAGCATGGGATGTCAGCCTGGCAGCCCCATTAGATCTGTCAAAACCGTGCCCCTGGTGAGGAAGCGCTCGTACACACTGCAGCTTCGCATGCTTTCATCTGTGTTGTCTGGATCCGACCTAACATGAATCACCTCTTCTTATTTAGACATTCTCAGTTCCTTCCATCTCTCTGTTCGGCATGGAGTGTCTGGAGGGCAGAGAGATCACCATGGAAACGGAGATCATTAACATGGTAGAGGAAGGCTTTAACAACCACATTCTGTCCATCAGAATCAACAGCGGCAGGTAGGTGACAAAGAGGACTGTCGGTGTGCGTGTGAACTTGAGCTGACTTTCAGTAGTTATCTGTTTTTCCATCATGGAAGCAGCGTCTTACCCCAAACACATGGATTTAACTTTTTATTCAAAAATACTAAAGCTATGAGATTTTAAACATCACATTCTTCTAATTTTCTCTTCTCTTTTATTTCGCAGTTGGGTGATATGTGAGCACAGCAACTACAGGGGGCGCCAGTTCCTGCTGGAACCAATAGAAATCACCAACTGGCCTAAGTTTAGCTCCCTGCAGTCTGTCGGATCAATGTATCCAATCAGACAGGTGAGTCAATGAATCACCTTTACAGCTTTGCTTTTTGAAAACATGTAGTATGAAATCAAAACAGCAGTAATTTGCATTCAAGCCAACAAGTTTCTGAGCAAAGTGTTGGTAACCCTTTCTTTTACGGTACACTTATTACCAGGTAATTAACAGGTAATTACCCAGTAACAACATGAAATTATCTGGTAATTACATGATAACTACTAAGTCAATACTGTCTAGCTACCAGGTAGGTAACCTTCCATCATCATACAAATTTAAAGCCGAATTGCTCTGGTATTTCAAGGATTTTCTCCGCTTCCTGGAACCACCACTTGCGCAGTAGCGTTGTAGTCGCTGTGATAATGCTCGGCTCAAACAGCGTATCGCTACGCGATCTTCGCACGCCCATAGGCTGTATCAAGTGTCAATCATAAAAAACATAAGAACCCCAAATAGCTTTTGAAAATGGAGCTGCACAGAAAAAAGAAAAAAAGAAAAACTAGACAGTATCGACTTAGTAGTTATCATGTAATTACCAGATAATTTCATGTTGTTACTAGGTAATTACCTGTTAATTAACTGGTAATAAGTGTACCATAAAAGAAAGGGTTACCAAAGTTTCTTTCAAAGTTTCAGAATTTTCCATGTTGACATGATATGAAATCCACACTAACCAGACGTAACATGTGGCTGAGCTTTTGACCCACTACAAAAGCTCTACCGCAAATTCCTCACCTATGAATTTTACATTTTTGCTGACATGTTTAGACAGGTTTTTAGTTTGTCTTTAAATTTATTTTTTTAATTTGCTCTTCTTAGGCGTTGAGTTAAAAATCAAGAGTTAAAATAGCCAAATCTTCTCTTGAGAGAAGGTTCGGTTGCTTATTATCCCCTATAGAAGGCCCATTTAGCAGAGTAAAAACTTATTTCTGACCCTGATTGAAGATTGTTTCCATTACATCTGAACATTTGCTATGAGTTTGAGATTCGATCAAGCTCAAACTCTAAATGTTTAGTTAAAAAAAGGCAAAATGATGTGATTACAATTCTCAAGTCCTCAACTCTTCCTGATAAATAGACACAGTGATAAGACAAGTCTTAAACAGTGTCTCTTTTTCTAATAGTATGTGAAAGCTGCGATTTAACTCATGCTATGTGCTTTTCCTCTAATATTTAAAACTTGATTCAGCCGTGTAGCACCACGTTTAAATCTTTGGTCCACTAAAGAGAGTCCTCCAAAGATTCACTGGTTGTTAAAAAATATTAACACAATATGCTGTTTTTGTTATTTTTCCTCCTGTAGAAGCGACACTTTTTCCGCATCAAGAACACAGAGAAAGGTCACTTCCTGTCCATCCAGGGTGGCGTGGAGGAGATGAAATCAGGGCGAGTCGTGGTGACCCCAGAAGTAGAGGGCATAAGTGACATCTGGTTCTTCCAGGACGGCTTCATCAAGAGCAAGGTGACACGTGACTTAAGGATAGTGGCGTTCAGCACTCGTGTCTTTTGTCCGTGTAATGATGGTTTTTTTCTAACCACGTACTTTCTGTGTGCGCCGTAGATGTCCCAGACCATGAGCCTCCAGGTCATGGGTAACATCGAACCTGCAGCCAAGGTAGTTTTGTGGACAGAGACTCGGCAGCCCCTCCAGACCTGGACAGCAAAGATGGCGGGCCCCATCACCAGCCTGACTTTCCCCGGCATGGTGCTGGATATCAAAGGTAAGAGAGGAAATATGGATTCACTGGTCAGGTGTTCTCCACTTATGGTCAGGAACACAGGGTAGGCCTACTTTACATTTTAGTGGTCAATTCCCAAGATCACAACAGAAACATATCAACCATTTATCTTCCTTTTCATCAGGTGGCAAAACTTATGACAAGGACCATGTGGTGATCATGCCAGAGAGCGATGAGAGACCGAGCCAACAGTGGGAGATCGAGTTGTTGTAACCCGTCTCTGAAAAGATTTCCACCTACATTTTATTCCCTTAACTGAATATTCCCATCATAATTTGAGAAATGACACTTTCGCTGCCTCATGATGTAAATTTTATCCGTGCCTTTGCAGAGTTCTGCATTTTTTGTAGTTTTCTATTCAGTTTTCTCCAAGTCTAGAACTGTTTTTGGCATAAATGGACACCAAATAGAAAAGTCTTAAATGCTTCTTCTGCTGCAGCAACTCAGGTCATAAGATAAGATAAAAAACAAGTTTAAAAAAGAGTATTTTTAGGAGTTACTGAACTACTGTTACAGAGTTAGAGATCAGTATGCAGGGATTTAGTTTCTGTCTTTGACTTTGACCTTTTTACCCTGAAGTTTTCATTTGTCTCAGTCTTGATATTTAAACTACACTGACCCTGTTTGTAAGGTTCCCTGCTCATGTAAATTTCCTGATGATAGGGGCTCTAAGGGGTGAAATGTGTTTCTAAAAAGTTTTTGTTACACCAGAGTAAACTAAGATTAACTTTCTGGATATTGTTTCCTTCTGTTAGCATGAAACGGCTACCGATGCTAAGATAACGAATGAAGCCAAAGGAAAGTGTAGAGTGCAAATAAATATATTTTAAAGGTTTAAATTGTATGTACTGTATGAACTGATGCTGATTGTGTGGGAAATATTGCAGTTCTCAAATGGGTTGTGTGTGTCCTGTTACTCTATTTCTCGTTGTGTTTTTTTCGTTATGAGTCAAATGTGTATTACCTGTTAATATTTGATACCAAAGATATGTTGTCAGAGCTTATGTAAGAGGGAGTGGTTTTAAAGTATTGAATAAAAGTGATAAAACAATTCTGGTTTATTCTTCATTCTTACATTTAAACCATGTCTAATGTTCACTGACAGTACGGGCGGTTGGGATCAATTCTGATACATTCATTAACAAATGATGTGTCAATGACTTCTGCCCCAAATGAATCTTTTGTGTATCCAAGTGGTTTCAGGCTTCCTTTCAGACTGTCACTCAGACGTCCCACTCCTGCTTTCATTCATTCATAACTTTATCTATACATCTGCACTGTGTTTGAACTTCTACGTCAGAGTAAATGACAGAGGGGTTGAGATAACAGCATTTTGAATAGTTACAACCACCTGTTAAACAAGTAAGGAAAAATAAATAATTAAGAAACAACAAGAGGAAAATAGTTAATAACAGTCTTTTCTTAAACTGAATCTATCACCAGTGATACATATTCAGATGTGCTTGTCTCATATTTATTTGTTTTCCAAATTTAAGTTGTAGTTTTCACTCTATGCCTTATCTAACTTGACATCTTGGGCAGGATTTCACTCAAAGGCTCCTGTGAGGAATATAAGATCTCTCTACCTCCTTTCAACCGTCAAAAGAATCACCCATTGTAGGTTTGGAGAATGTCAACAAAGGCTGTTTTAACAGAATACTGCAAATGATTACTTCATTTACCCCTAGTGTTAGCCCACACAGCAGTCTTTAAGTGATTACTTATACAGTAAACTTCTTTGATTATCTTCATAGAAAACTTCAAAGTTTTAAGATCAACTGGAGTTGAATCAGGGGTGTGTCCAGATGGGGGCCAGGGGTGGTATGCGCCCCCTTCAAATATAAATAGCCAGTTTAAAATCCTCAACTGTGATTGGCTGTGTGGCCTGTGATGGAACTTAGTTAAAATCAAATACTTCCTCTGTGTATCAATCGACTGCTGATAGCTTCCTTTGATTGATAGAAAATGTTTATTTTAAACAAGAAAAAAAAACATAATCCTGACAAGCATTCAGACAGAGACAACGATATTTACAACAATGAAAATTGATGCCCTTCATTGCAGTAATTTTGATTTTGTTTGTATTCCAATTATGACTTTCTGCAGTCATGTTATCTTTGTACAGAGTGTAACCATCTTTATGTACGACTAATTTAAGTAAGAGAATTTGACACAAGAAGATATCAACTGCAAGATTTTTTTAACTGTCCTTTTTTTTAACTGTTAATTTTCCTTTGTCTGTTTCTACCTTTGTTTGCTTCTTCCGTTAAAGCACTTTGTAAACATCTGTTTTTAGAGGTGCTATATAAATAAAGTTATTATTATTATTAATGTTTCAATAATAATAATAATAATAACTGTTATTATTATCATTATTATTATTATTATTATTGAAGAGGAGCCAAAGAGTAAAACGAAAATAATGAAGTACTTTTAATTTTAAGTGCGTAACGATTTGGTGCCCCAGTTGGGCCCCGCAGTCAAAAAAGTCTGCAAACGCCCCTGCTACAAGAGACACATGCCAGTTATGCAAGTTCAGCTCATTTTTTTTTTTTTTATCACAGAGCACCTAAAGGCTGTGTTGTCTCCTTAAAATGTGCAAATGCTCTGTTGTTGTGGATCGCCTTTGTTTGTACTAAACACACTGGTCTCATATTTCCTTTTGCGTCGTAGATGCATTTTAAGCAGACAATAGGCAGGTATATCCATATCTGACAGATTCAAAGTGGAAAAGTTTCAGTGTTATGGGGGAAATAAAAGTACTTGACAACAAAAGGTGATCCTTTTGATTTTTCAGCAGGACACAAACATGAATCCCACCTGTTATCATGCGCCTGCTGGATGTGAATGTGATATCTTTGCCAGTATCTCTTATGACTGAGGGAAAGGGCGGATAAGGGTTTTGGAGTATCAGATTGGTATCACTACCAGGCACAAATGCAGGCTCTGAAAAGCCCTTTTGTTAGCTCTCGTGACACACTCCAATTTTCTGGTTTGGTGGCTGTAAAACCATCAGGTTATGCATGAGGGTGAGCGGTCCAGTCCCTCCTGAAACCAGACTTACCCCCCTCACAGAGATACTCTGTTTATCAGGCAGCTGCTCCTGTGAGTTAAAAGAAAAAGCTGTTACACAACAACTTCCTTTTGAAGACGGAAATTGAAGGGTTCATGTTCACCAAGATCCTGCACAAAATCCACAACCTGTGGTCATTTCACGGGTCAGCTGTAAACAAACCTGACTGTCAGGATTCCTCAGTGTGAGTAGTTTACAGGTACGTCGTCATAGTAATTCTACAAGCCGATAGTGTTCAAGATCCAGAGCAGTGATTGGTCAGCTGTTTGACTGACAGCCAGTTTGTTGAACTTCAGCAGGTGTGGTTGGAGGAAAGGGTGGGACTGACTGAGATACAGGGCTGATTAGAGGAGGTTGTAAACAGCTCCACTACTCCTCCACACCTTCCTACAGCTGAACCCAGCTCTCTGTTACAGGTAAGACTATTAAATAACTAACTTTTTAAAGATTTGATGAGGAAGTTTTGCAATTGTTTCAGTCTGTAGTGACATTTTGGGTGAGAAGTTAACACTTAGAGCAAAACAAAGCTCTCAGATTCATGACCAAACTGTTATCAGATGATTAATACGGCAAAAGACTCGATTTAGCTTTGAGTTTACTTCTTTATTCTAACTTCACTGGGTTATTTTTGTGCTTTTGCTTTGCTTATGTGCCATATCAAATAAGTTTGTGATCTGTTTGGATGTTTTGACCAGTTTTGTCTCACTAACATTCTTCGCTTAGATAAAAACAAAGCCATGGACTCTGACTACTACAGCTCTTCTGTGAGTAGACTCTTCCCACCTTGTCTTTCAGTATGACTCTGTTTGCCAAGGCGCATTACTTCTAGATAATATAATCTGCTGGCTTGTGCTCTCTGATTAGCTGCATGCCTTGTCTTTCAATGTTATCTACAATCCCTGATGCAGGTAATGAGTCCAGGTCAACTGCAATGATGCAATACAGTCATGTGCAAAGATTTTCATGCATAGAAACTTAATTAAACTGGGAATTCATGGGTGTAAGTTCATCAAAACTAATTTCTGAGTAGACTTTTTCATCACTGATACTCTTAAATGATAAACCTTCAACATCTCCTCTCTAATGTTTGGAATACAATGAAAACTGACTTTTATCTCAGTCTGTCACCACCTTCATGGTATGTCTGCTTCCACTATCTGCTACTCTATCTCTCTCTTTTTTCCTTGTTTCACAATCCCTTTGCACCCTGCCAGTCAGGTCTCACACTTCTGACCGGATTTGTCTCGGATTTGTGATGTACCTGTCTTGAAGTCCTTGCAGAGTTTTTTAAAGTTTGACTAAAATCCCTTTTCTTATCTCGTCTACAGAAGATGTGTTGGGGTACCCTCGGAACGGTGCGCCCCTTCTCTAATTTCCATCCTGACCGGGATGCGATCGCAATCCAGGCTGCCCTGGAGAAAAAAGGTAGATCAACTGGTTTGGAGAGTCAGGGTGGCATTACTAGTTTGCAGTGCACACATCGAATTACTTTTTCATATCATCCCAGCCCTGTTGTCAAACATAATGTTGTTTTATCATTCAAAACAAACTCTGTATTTGGTTTAGATGCAACAACTCTGACGAATATATTTACCAATCGAAACAACGCTCAGAGACAAGTGATCGTCCAAACATTTGAGGAACTCACTAAAAAGGTAAAGACACAAATGACCTCTTCATGTGTATCAAAATGCATTATAACTGCATTGACTTAACTTTAGAAGCAACCAAACAATAATCCCAGTGAGTTAAGCAATGCACCATCATGTAGAGTTGCAGCAATGATACCGTAAGTCTCAAGTGTGTGTTTACTTTGGCTGTTTGCACATCAAACATAACAGAAACTGAACCAAAGGGGTTGAACACGCCTTTATTTAGAGAGGGAGTAGGTCCGCATACGCAGTATAAACTGATATACTTTAACAGAGAATATAATGGACACAGAAGTTAAACATCGACTGCAGTTGGTCAACAACAGATGAAGTTGATGGGTTGTACCTTAACATTCACAATCAAACAGTTGTTCACACGTCTGTCCTTTTTGTCACTATAACCTTAAAGCTATCACTTCCTGCAACACAAGGAGGGAGAATCTAGAAAACACACTTTAAATCTGTCCAACTGTGGTCTATCAATACTTCAAAACTGCCATCAAAGTTTCTGTTTGTTTGTTTTTGGTATTATTGTTTATTCCTAGGTATGCTTCATTGAAACATTTTCCCCCCAGTAAGTCTATCGAATTAAACGTTTCAGTGTGTATGTTGAGTTTTCAATGAACTTTTCTTCTAGGACCTTGCTATAGCTATTAAAAAGGCGACTTCTGGAGACCTGGAGGATTTGCTGCTGGAGCTGCTGATGCCTCCTCTGCAGTACGAGGCTCGCCGCCTGCAGCAGGCCATGGCAGTAAGTCAATGTTTGTGTGTTTCTGCGTGTATTTTGTAATGCTCGGTGAGTGATTTCTGACTCAAAACCTTCTGATTTTATCCAACATGACTGTAATTATAGGGTTTAGGTACTGACGAGGAAACACTACTTGAGATGCTGTGTACACGATCTGGGAAGAAGCTTCAAGAAATCAGTGCTGCTTACACACAGGGTGAGTCACAGAACTATTTTCTGAGTCTTTATCAAAGGCTGAAGAGGAGATTAAAACCCCTAATCCATAATTTCGATGTGTGCTGATAGCATTTCCCATGTTGCTTCTTCGTCTCTGTTTTCAGTGTATAAGAAGGACCTGGAAAAGGAACTGAAAGCAGAAACCAGTGGAGACTTTGCCAAGCTTGTTATAGCTTTGCTAAATGTAATTTGATTTTTTTTTTTGCTTTACTATCACCTCATCTTATTGATAAAGCTACTGACTGTAAATCTATTGCAGACTTTTGGTAAAGAAACACTTGTAGACACTGATTTCCTGTCTTTGATGATAAACAGAAATGTATCTTGGCTGTGAAATAACAGAGGAGTGACATACAATAACAGCATGAATTTTATACCTCACTTTGGTCATCAAGTGTTTTCTCTCTCCTGTCCCAACAGAAAGAAAGTGTTCCTGCAGGGGTTCAAAGAGATATCGGGGTAATTATTTCATAATCCTGTCCTGTGCAAATGCTGATTTCAAATGCAATATAGCAGTTCAGAGGCTAAGTAGCTCATGTTAGAAATCCAGTTTTTACCACTTCAAATTCAACAGAGCCATGTGGTCCATGTGGTGAAAACTCATTCAAACTCTGGTACCAACCAAACAAGCAAACTCTGATCCACTTGGAAATGAGGGGCTCGGTTTGCTTCCAAGCAAACTCTGAAGTGTGAAAGAACCGCAGACCAACCTGTAAACCAAATATAGCAAGTGGTACACTGGATCATGAGTCTGAGTGTCAATATCACTTGGCATCTGTGCAGCCAAGGCAACACGCCATAGTCTCTCACTCTCATAAGGGCTTGCCTTTTTTGTTGATAGAGCTGGACAGTTCACTGCCTGTATTATATCAACATCAAAGTAAACACAGAAACCCTGAAATTTCTGTTGTTTGTGATGAATAAGCAGCTGAAAGGGGATGAGTTTCTGCTCTGACATGATTCATCCACAGACTATGCAATCCATTGTTTAACCATACCTCATGCACACTGTATTGAGCTGCTTTCTGAGTGTTTTCTTTTTTATTCTTAAAGACTCTCTCGGCATCATTAAACGCGAAAAAAGCCGATGCAGACCCGTGGATAGAAATACTGACTTCACGAGACCTGAGCCATCTTGAGAAAGGTGAGGCAATAACTCGGGTATTTCTTAAAAAAGTTCCTGCATATGTAAATCTGTGTTACCCAGCATCATCCCCTTGTAGATATTAATGGATGTGTCCGTTATACCGACAGTGCTGATGGGTCTGGAAGTGGAGACAGAACAGACGGTGGAACAGGCTGTGGAAAAACACTTCAGTGGAGATGTTAAACTGGGTTTATCGATTTTAGGTACAAGTTCTACTAGACTGCACGATAACTTTTAAGCTCTCTGCATGTAGACTTGCCACTGATACATACTTGTTCCCCCGTTTTCACAACAGTACAGTGCATTCAAGCGCCTTATGTCTACCTTGCCAAACGACTAACTACAATGAAGGTAAGAAAATTTTTACATGTGGTGATGAGTAACTGTTAAATAATAATTCACATCTGTTTTCATACAGGTATCATGACTGAAAGTTACAATCAGAATGGTTATATTAACTTTAAAGTAGCTATTTATAAGGGGGTGCATCAGTGTGTTAGCTGAGCATCAGTATCAGCTAATATTTACCATTAGCTAATATAATACTTCTGTAGTCGTGCAACTTTGTGCATCAATTTAAAGCAACTGTGAGGAACTTTTGTTTTGTTTTGATTATGGCGCCCCCCTATGGATGGAGCGGTATCTCATATCTTGTATTTTAAACAGATGTGAGCAGTTTTACTCACTGTAAATGTTTACTATGACATTGTTTTTTTAAAGTCTGCTTCTTCTTCTCCTGTCGTCAATCATCTGGTCCGACTCTGCTCCCCTCACAGCAGGTCCAGGCTTTGAAAATTACAATACAGAAAATATGAGTCTTATTGGTGATGGTCTAGTCTGCTGTTAAAGGTCATTAGTTTCAGTCTGTTTCTCAGCCAGTTTTAAACTCAACAAAAGCCCCTTTGTAGACAAATATGACGGTCATTTACTGCATATACTTTAATGCATATTTGCTCAAAATGTAACCATCAAAACTTGATATCTTCTTCTTTCAGGCGCCCATAGTGCAGGGGATCATGATATCCCACTGCGAGGAGGATCTCCTGTATATCCGAGTGGCTTTTAAGAAATTAACAGGAACCTCTCTCTACACAGCTCTACAGGTGCGTCACACTTACCACCCTGGACTAGATACAAAACCTTGAAATGCTTGCATTATCATACTGATGTGATGTGACTTTTCCAGTAGTGTTATTTTTATAAATCATTTAAAAAAACTAACTTTTTATTTTTGCTGTCATTTTTACAAGTTTGCTTCTTCCTTTTCCAACAGAGCAAGTTCAAAGGGGAATATCTCCAAGCTCTGCTGGCCATCTGCCGATCTGAAGACTAATAACGCCTGCGACATTTGAATTTGTACACTTTTTATTCAGCTCTGTTTCTCTTTGAATCGCATTACACTTGTAAAAAAAAATAAACCTTGTTCTCTATCTCAACTTTTAATATTTTACAGAAGCTCATTTCCCTAACATGTGCCTGTTTGATCGATCTTTGCAAATACACGAAGCTGAACATGTGAAAAGAAGTTGTGTTATTTTATGAGTGCGGTTTGGTTGGTGTTTTTTTTTTTATTACTTATAGTACATGCTGCTAAACTTCCCCTTTAGCTGGATCATTAGTCAGCATACATTGGCACTCGTTACAAACCAACTTCAGTACAAGCTATAAAGAGATTGTTCCTTTTTTACAAAACATTTCAATGTTTTCTTTACACATATATCTTTCAATAACCTTAAAATACTGACAAAGACAAGATTCCTAAATAAACTCCTGAACTATGACTTTCTGTGGTCCTGCAGATTCATGCTTGTTAACATATACAAACATCTGCTAAATGTGCAACTTACAGATCATTTGACGGTCTATCTAGGATTTTCATTAGATCTTATTCAGTCTTTGGCATCATCCTTGAAGCAAGTCCTCTTTCACTCCACTTTGACATTCACGCTTATGAAACAGTGGAGAATTGAAGTCTTTCAGTCCTTTACCTGGAGCTGCTCAGGGGCAGAGAGCATAGAGGAACAACGGCGCCACAGAGAACATCAGAGAAGCTTTCACTTCAGAGCCGATGTTCATGGTGGTGACGATGGGGGTTGTTAAAGTTGAATTTGCGGTGGTGGAGTTGGCTGGGGTGGTCGCAGGAACAGTTGGGGTGACAGTTGAGTTGTTCGTAGTGATGGGTGGAGCTGCGGTTGAAGCATTAGTTACGGGAGGGGGTGTAGATGACATGGCACCTGAAGTAGTGACAGGTGGGGGTGGAGTTGAAGCACTAACTGGGGGAGGGGCTGTGGTTTCTGGCATGGGTGGTGTAACTCTTGTAGTGGTGGCTGGAGCTACAGTTGAAGTGGTGTTTGGCGCCATCGTTGTAGATGCAGTTGGAGTCATTGGCTCGGCTGTAGTGGTGGTCGTGAGGATGGTGGGGGTGTTTGGCGGCGCCACAGATGTTGTGACGGTGGTAGGTGTGACGGTGGTAGGCATAGCCGTAGAGGCTGCAGTAACAGTTGTAGGCATGGTCATGTTTGGTTCCATCGCAGCTGTGGTTGTTGCCATGGATGTTGCATTTTCTTGAGCCTGATTGGAAAACGGAGCAGAAATGATTGAAATCCTCATTCCAAACAAATGCTAATGCATAGATCCAGACTAGAACCTGGGTGGACTAGCTCGGATGTTGTAATCTTTTGTGTTTTCTTTTTACTTTAAAAGTAGCAAAAATGGTGCGAACAACTGCACAATATTTCATGCTTGATTTCCTTTTACAACTAAGTGCAAAAAAGACGCAGTTCCCAGAGTGTCCACTTGAGGCTGACTGCAAAAACCGAGCACTCCCCATTATTTTCCGTGTTAAAATGTCCTTTTTCGCTGCAGAGTTCAACATATTTGCAGCCTGGTACCAAAATAAATATGGTCTGGATAGTTAGTGTTATTATTTAAATACACAGTACAGGGGGTGAACATTTTAATAACTTGTATTTTGATTATTTTAACGCTACGAGTTATGCATTGATTCAAAAGAAAAAATGGTGGATAGTGTAACTGTATGTAACCAATGATTGCAACCAATCACGGTTTAGCAACATTGGGGTGACATCAAAACTAACCAAAGATTTTTTCCCCAGGGGGATGGGGGCCAAACCACCCTGCTAAACCATCTAGATAAGCCCCTGCATCCATTTAAAAACATATTTCTATCATTTTTGTTTTGCCGTGTAATTTTGGTAATTTTCTTGTCATGTTGCGACAGGTAAGAGATTCATTTATGAATCTGTAATGTGCCCCTTCAGTTTTTTTCTTCGTTTTATTCCACCAACAAGTGGAACATCTCGAAATATGCGGCAAAAACTGTTTGACTAACAGTGAAATAATGACTATCACAAAAGAATAACCACAATGGCAAATAGAAACATCACATGAGGGTGGCTATAAAAGACTTATCAGGTGACACAAAAACTTTATCTGACCTTTTAAGGACAATAGGATGAGTCATAGATCTCACTTTTTCCCATTAACCGTACTGGCAATTTCAGGCCCTTTCCATAATGGTTATATGTATGCTATAATGGGTATATGTAAGTATTTTTGCTGGTAATTTAGCACATTTCTTCGATGGTAAATATGAAAATTAAAAAAGATTTCAAGTAGTTACCTGTGAAAAGGCCAGCAGAACCAGCATGTAAAATCCAAGAGTCTTCATCTTCGTGGTTGAAATCCAAAGTCGCAGCAGAAATGTACTTTAAAATGTAAAATTAGGCTGATGTGTTTCCTAGCACTGACCGCTCCCTCTTTGACCTGGTCCACTTCCACTCTTGTGGTAAACTGAGCAGACACTTTTTGTTCACACTTTTATACAGAAAAGATCACGTTTCGGGAGTGGCCAGTGTGAATTTATGACGTGGAAAACAACCTGCCCCCTTGTAAATTATTTGGAAATGTGTGCTAATTGCAGGTGTTTGTGTGGATTCATCTTCTATTTCAAGCTGTTTCCTCTTAACTTTATGACACTGTACTTTGTACTAACGGATAAGTGTTGGTCATGGTCACACTTTTCCTGATGTTTGATGAACTGAAGTTAGAATTTTTCCACTAATATGAAGCTGTCAACAATCAAAAATCTCTACATTTATACAACACGGATCAAAAACAGACAAGCTACAATCACTGTAATATCCCTGTAGCTCCTCAAATACTGCTCATGAAGAGTCATTTTTGCATCATTTTTCATCTTTTTCAAAAAAGGCATTCATTTTTTATGGGATCAACGTGATGGTAAAAACTACTTCCTACTGTCCTGTTTAATCTTTAATCGTGAGTACAACAAGTGTTTGTGACTTCCTTTTACTGGTATCTTCATAAAGTGCTCAGGAATTGCAGTTATTTCCTCTCGGTGATAATTGACACGCTTGTAATAAAATAGTTTAAAACATTATTTCTTCATGTGTCAAAGATGGAGTTGCAAAATTAAGACCCTGAACAACCTCTGCGGGGTACACAACTCTTGGCAAATCAAGCTGTGCTACTGGTACACACTAATCAGTTTGTTAAGGCTCTAATAGTCTGGGTCATATTATGCTTTCTAACACATCACACAGCTGTTGTTTATGCACATAGTAAAAAAGTTCTCAGTTTAGCACAGACTGTGCTCAGAGATAACACAGTTTCCAACATGTATCTGGAGATCACAAGTTTTAAAGTCCCTCTGATGATCCCATAACCTCTTTCCCTCTCTGTTTGTTATTATATTTGACTGGCTGTTTGGCTTATACTACCACTGTCTTATTATTCCACTTTTTTCCCCCCAGTTTTACAAAGTTAGTGTCAAGAAACATTGAGCTGTAGCCTCAAATCCCACTTTTTTACCCTATTATCGTAGTGATTATATCTGTTGACTTACTTAGATGCCACCTGTGCTTGTTTCTTATCTATCTTAAAGTCTCTAAAAGTTGTCTGGGTGGTAGAGCTTCTGGGAGTCCCTTTGCTCCCTCATCCCGCAGGTTCCTCTGGATCGCTTCCGCAGACGTCCTGCTGTTGTAGACCTACCTGTTTTTCAGCTGCTTTAACTGTTGCATTGTCCTGTCATTTTTAACCCTGTTACAACACTAATGTTTATTTATCAGCATCAGTCTCTTCAATTTTGATTCTTTCTACTTCAATTGTTTAAATTCCCTCCCCCCTGTTACATAACCTCAACTTTTAATGCCAAACCAGTGTGAGGGGATAGGTGTCGGACAAGCTGTGTTTTTACAATTTTTCTCATGTAAACTATTTCAAATAAATGATAAATATCACTTTTAAAAGTAAGCAGGATGAGATCTTTGGTCAAAAATCACTTCTGCATGTTGAGGACAAGCTTTCACCACAGGGGGCGCCAAATCGACACAAACTAAATGTCATGTTAAAGTACAGAGAGTCATACTGATACATACAAAAAAAGTAAATACAACTAAAACTAGAACTTTTGTGACGTAACCACACTTAAAAATGACATTATGTATTGATTATCTTTTATTTAACATACTTGAACAATAAATATTCTTACGTCAGACAATAAATGTGCATTGTTATTGTGAATACACGTACCACCTTTAAAGACTGATCAGGCAGCTGTATTTTAACAAAACAAATTAACATGTTTAAACTCAAACTGACTCACATCTATCAGTCTGTAAATAAATAAGGTGGCTCTGTCAAGTTTCTTCTCATAAACTACAGGTTTTCATAATAAGGACATTGAAACACATCTTCTATACTGATTAAATAAAGGCTCAGCGTCAAATATGAGAGCTGCAGTTCAGGGGTCACTTTAGTCTCGAGCTGCTGGAAGGTGCTCACTGCCAGAGTGCCTGAAATACATACAGTTCAAGCAACGCAATGATGGAAGTGAAGATGTTGCTCTGACAGTTCATAGGGCTTGAGCCGGAGCCAGAGCCAGAGCCAGAGCCTGAGCTGGAACCGGAGCCGGAGCCAGAACCAGAGCCTGAGCTGGAGCCAGAGCCGGAGCCAGAACCAGAGCCTGAACTGGAGCCAGAGCCGGAGCCAGAGCTGGAGCCAGAGCCAGAGCTGGAACCAGAGCCTGAGCTGGAGCCAGAGCCAGAGCTGGAGCCGGAGCTTGAGCCAGAGCTTGAGCCAGATCCTGAGCTGGAGTCGGAGCCGGAGCTTGAGCCAGATCCTGAGCTGGAGTCAGAGCCGGAGCTTGAGCCAGAGCCAGAGCCTGAGCTGGATCCATTTCCCATTTGGCCGGGTTTGTTGTTGGTGCCGTTAACCATAGTTGAATTATCTTCTTTCTCCATTCTTTTTTGGTCTGACTTCCACTCCTGGAGTGGCAGGAAAGATCAAAAAGATACTTTTGAGACTGCCATTGAATTTGAAGCTGATCACTTAATTTAACACTGATTTCATAGTGTAAAAATATTCTCAGATGCAAAATGCAAACACTCAAGTTAAATGAAAGAGGTTTTCACATAGAGCAATATAATACTAAAGCAAGATGAATTAGTCCTATAGTTAATTTGGTAAATCTTTCCATTGTCTCACAAAATTAGACATCCACAATAGAAATCAGGTTGTTTTTAAAATCTGTTTAACTTAAAAATAATCCTTTCACTTTAAAAAAAATCTCTAGTCCAAGCTTGTAACAAGAGTTTTTACCTTAGCGCAGACAAATCCGATCAGCATCAGCCCCAGAATCAAGTATTTCATAGTGGAAGTAAAATAATTTCCTCTTGAAGACAGACAAACTGTTGAAGATAACATAAACTCACAGATTTCTAATGCAATTAAAGCCTTTGTTATATCATCAGGTCCAGCCTGATCCGATCTGAAGTGTATCCTTACAGGCAGTCGTGGTTTTGCTCTGTGTTTGTTGACCTTTTATAAGGTTTTCTGTTTATTTACCTGATCCCTGTTTCTATGTATGCAGACGTCTGTCCCCACCCCAGCTCTGTATCACAGATGCAAAAGCTTACACCCATCCAGATGGGCTGTAAAAGATATAGCATCTTCTTTGTTTAGCAAAGTGCCTCAAGCCAATTTCACTGCGGCTCCATTTTAGCTTTTTTTTTTTAAATCTTTGCCAAGAACTTATTCTGATTTACAAATAACTCAAACCTTAGTAACATCACTTTAAAAAGTTTTTAAAAGTTGAATTTATTATTTAAAGTGCACAGTAAAATAGATAAACCAGAGAGCCGTATCAAAACCAAGGGCAAACCTTATCAATCTGCGGTCAAATTTAGTCAAATATCAATGGATATATCTGTAAATGCAAACACACATTTTGATTAAAAAATTCACACAAATTTATTAAACTTAAATGACTGGTACGGCCCTGGACTAGTTCTACTCTTATCTATCAGACTGACAATGTTATGTCCCAGTGGACTCACTCAGTTCTTTAATTGCTATGATTAGCAGATTTGACTCACCTTCCTGCTGAGCTTACAATGTACATATACTGGAATTGACCCAATTTGATAAATAGTATGAAACATGCTTATTATTTCTTTACTGAAAAAAGGAATATACAATCAAATATGATGTAAGTCAAAGGTACTTTAAGGAGTTTTAACAGGTTAAGAAACAGATTGAAACTGATGCTGAAACCAAACAAGACCAGTAGCAATAGTGCATCAATTTCACTGTTGTAAATTTTAATGGTTAAAAATGCTAAGAAAGGGTAGGTGTTGGACAAGATGATTGACAGCAGGGTGAAAAACTAACTTTCCTGACTTTTTACACAAACAAACACTTACAGTGATTGTTACATTACTTGATTAAAAGAAAGCAGGATATCTGGAAACATTGCTCTCATAAAAACAGGACAATAGAAAAGAGGTATCACTTTGTCCACAGGAGGCGCCATTATCAACACAAACCAAATAAAAAAAATTATACACCAGAACATTAAGAGAAAAATCATATCCTGCTGACAAGTTTGGCTCTTAGTGATTGTTTCATTTGACATGTTTCATTTTTGATCAAAAGTAGAAAACAGCTCAGTGCAGACAGAGCACTTCACAGCATCCATATAACCCAATGTGAGGCAGTCACCATGAGAACCAGTTAATAAGAGGCCTTGTTGTTGTAATAATCAAATATTTCCTCTGCAAATTTGTGAGTTTTAGCTTTTGTACATTCAGCCCTCTGCACAGTAGATCAAGAGAGAAATCACAGGCACCAATAAGTGACTACAGGACGTAGCCAAGGAGGCAGACCCCCCTTTTGTCGGCCTAGGTGGAGTTAGAGGGGCTTTGGTCTGGGTTGGAGAATGCCTAGAGGTGGGCGCTGTGGCTCCAGAGGACACTGTAGGACGCTGCGGTGAAGTCACGGGTGCTGTAGAGGACATGGCAGAGGGGGGCGAGGTGGGCGGGGCTCTGGTGGTAACAGTGTTGGTGGTTACATGAGCTGAGGTGGTGCCGGACAGCTGTGTTGTCACTGATGCGGGTCGGGTGGGGTCCGTAGAACCAGCGTTGTTGCTGGTCGTAGTCTCATTTGTGCTATTTTGATTCTGTCAAAGAAGAAAAGGTTAACATGCTCAAGAGGAATGAAGAAGAACTTGTAATGTATTATATAATAGCATCTTCTGTATATGTTAAAGGGTGGTTCACAATTAAAATGTCCCCTTTTTTTTTTTTACAGATGGGGCTACAAAGCCGTACAAAATTTGCTATCATGGCTCAATGGAGGTGAATTTTCACCCACACTGAGGGTTGCCATCAAGATAATATATGGGCCTAGTTGACTTAAAATTAACTGAGTCATTATTGCTGCATTTTTACCGATAAAGGACCAAAAAACAACTCCTATGTTGTGGGAACAGCTGCCTGCTACTACACAAGCTGATGAGATTTCATGTCTTGATTTGGCAGTGTTTTGATCCAGTAGATAAAGGCTACGTTGTAAGTAGGCTGTGTTACCAACCTGATACTGTTTGCCTGCAGACTCTGCTTTTCCATGTTGGGCTGTGTTACATAAGATGTGCTCAGTTTTGACTTAATCATGAGAGTTTCCTTTAGCTTTAGATTATAGGTTAGCAGGGATTTAAAGCTCCGGTAAGGAACTTTTAGTTTGTGTGGTCTCCCTGAGGACAGAGCTGTCTTTACCAGTGTTGTCCTCTGCATTCTTAAGTTGTGTCCTCCAACAACTGAACTCATCTTGTTGACTCTTTACAGTCAAAAATATCATTTATTGTCATTGTTTTTTTTGTTAGACGTGAACAAACAGGGCTGTTTCCTCATATGCTATACCAACATCCCCTCGCACCAGTTTCAGGCGTAAAAAGTCAATCTTGCCACTAGTGGTGTGTTTTATATTTTACTTATCAACATAAAAAAATTCTTCACAGATCGTGCAATAAAGTATAATAAAAAAAGAATTTGGGAGACAACCCTTTTAGCTGATTCATAGTGTTGTCATTTCCTGCTGTGTTACACAATGAGCCGATGCCAAAGATAAAGCCACAGCACAGTGTCTCTGTGTCCGCCACAAACCTTTCCCAAGCCACAATGTGAAAGGTTAGGCACCTGTTGATCTAGCCAAGCACATGAGGCATGAAGAATTAATCCCATTTGCATATGACTGCGGTTGGAAGAAAGCCTGCAGCACATGTTTGACCTTACTGTCCTTTTACTGCACATGGCAGATCTCTATCTGTCTCTCGGTTGAGTTTCATTTCCCTCTTGTCTTATAGGTCGTATTGAATTTCCCTTCAGGGATAAATAACGTTATTCTTGTTGAGTAAATATGGATATATGAGCACTCTCAATGATGATGTTATCTTTGTGTATGTAATTTTGTAAATTTCAGTTCCAAAGACAAAATAGGTTGCGCAAGAGGTAAATAAAATCTGTGACTCTGTAAAGTTTTTTGACATGATCTTGGACTAAAGTGTACAAGACCATGTATCATTAGCACTATTAGAAAATACTGCAACACAGCTGGTTACAAAACCTATTTGTGAAATAATAATCTTTTTAACAATCAGGATTTAGTTAGACACGTGACCAAAAAACTCAAATGCACAAATTATCAGAATAAAACAAAAACAAAATGCATTTTCACCTCACATGATTTCACCCATTATTTTACTTTTCAGTAAGTCATGCCACTCAGATTGTTCTCCAAACAAATAGAAAGCCCCGTCTTGCTGCAGAGCTTCTTCTTAATTATTCCCCTCAATTTGCCTGGATAGTAAAATGCATGGAAATTCTTGATTTACCTTTGACTACTTTGAATGCAACCATGCTTAAGTAAAAGAAACAAACCTATCATGCATGCCTCTGTATTGAAGAAAAAATAACCTCTGCTAAACCAGTTTCTACTCATCATGAACGCCAAGCTGTTTGCCCACCACTGTCTTATCCACGCGTCTGTGATGTCCCATGAACAAAAGCAGTTTAAGATGTTTCTTACCCCAGTGCTGCCCAGAGCCATAAAGCCCAAACACACCCAGAAAACTAGCATCCCTGTCTTCTTCATCATGGTGGTCTGATATTTCTTAGGGTCTTTATGGCGGTCCCACCTGTATGTGTGTGCGTGTGTGTGTGCGTGTGTGTCCTTTTATACCTGCCAACTCTCCATACCACTGATGCTGATAACTGTCCGTCGTCACAAAGAGCTGAGCAGAAAAAAAATCACGCACTAAATCATTTTCAACTTGACCTGCAGTGTGAATGAGAGCAGACAAAGGAGATGTAACTGATATGTAAATCAGAAATGTGGCATAAAGGGAGGCTTGTAGTCCTTATATTATTATGAAATGTAGATTAAAGCGTCTGTGAGGAACTTTCTATCTGGGTTGATTTTGGTGCCCCCTGTGTACGAAGTGATAACCTTCTCATCCTTGCTGATTCTGTCTTGTCCTAAAAGAAGCAAGGTGAGCATAACTTTTCCCTCTTGTTTCAGTTCAGATTCACTCTTCTGTGCACCAGAATGCTTCATGTATGAAATAAATCTGTGTTTTTGAGTAGGTACGGTTGTTTTTACTCCAGGATAATGACATTTCTGTGCTCATACAGTTAGAATCCTTGAAGAATGTAGGTATGCCTTTGCACGGTGCAGTTTGATAAAAACAGAAACTCACCTGTTTTTGCTTCATATTTCACATTCACTTTCAGCCAAGCTGAGATAAACTCTGAAGGAGAAAACTAAAAATACCTCCTGCGATAAGATAATAGAACTCACCTAAGGAAAAATTTAAACAGAAACCAATTACTACATACCTGCATGGTTACCCATTAATATCTGAATACTTGACATTTCAAATATTGGGTAATAAGGCGGGTTTGATTTCAGCTTTTTTGACCAGAGTGGAGGAATGTCTCACTATGGTGTTGGACGTCTGATACTGAATCTATCAAACAACAACACTTTGGGACTGTCCTCTACTTTTTTCTCTGGAGACATTTTAATGTTGTGCTCTCCGATTAGAAATGCGTCACTTTTACCAGCTTGTAACTTTGCTCCATCCAGTTATGTGTCCTGTAAAAATTGTTCTTTTTCCATCTATAAAGAAAGTCGCTCTCATTTTGGTTTTATGTGGTCAGACACGATAGCAGGAAGGGGTGTGATTGAGAGTCTTAAAGTGAGAAGCTGTTTGCAGCAGAAAAAAGTTAGTAGTTTCAAGGTCAAGATGGATAATTTGATCGACTGATTCATCCTTTTTAAAGCTTCACACTATTACCGGCAGTGAGGAAAACAAAGTGTTCCTATAACAGGTTGTTCTTGCAGCTAACAGTCGAGCCTTTGTGGGGCTTTATCAGCAATCTTATCATCAAGCTGCATATTTCCTGGTATCAGTCATTTTCCTATTTTTCCCAGATAACCCATTGCTGCATATCATGAAGGAAAAATACTGCAACACAGCTGCGTATTTTGTTAATTTTAGCAACAAGATATTGCCATCTCCTCGTCTTGCACTGTTTCCGTAATTTATTTTTGTGCTCATGTCGTGTGACACTGATGACTTACTGATTGCATCAAGGGATTTTTTATTGTCATGACGATTTAATGGAAGTCAGCCATAAAGATAAGATAACACACTTAGACAGGTGAGGAGCTCTTGTAAACATTTTATTTGATCTTCACAAAGACAGTCATGTTCATATAAATTCGAATTTCAAAACTTTAGAGATTACAATGTACTAAGAATGACGTCAGGGGTACAGGGTATGACGTGCTTTACAACTCATAAATGTGAGGTTGCCGATTTCATTCTGTGATTCAAATACACAAGAAAGAGAAGAAGGTACAAAAAGCTACTTCAGCAGCTCAGTGCGACTGTGTATACCAAAATAGATTTAAACATAGATGTAGTCTCAGTGATCTCACCTGAAGAATGAGGTTAATGAGGACCTCATAAACCATCATCTTCAGGATGTTAAAATAAAACATACAACTTCCTTACACCCCCTTTCCGTCACAGCTGCTGCAACCTTTGATCCCAAATAAACAAAGGTTGAACCAGAGCCCAGGTCGACACATGGATGATGTGCCTGTTCTGAATGCCAAACTCTGTCCAGGACTGACTTGTATGACCTTTAATTAGAGACAGAAAGTATTGTTATCATCATCAATCTATACTTTTAGTTTCAGGTAAAATAAACAAAAACATCATTAGGTCCTCATTAACAAATCGATGGTTAAATCCAGTAACACAAGAGCACATGTTTTATAGACTTTTACTCTTTCACAACATTTCACAGTTTTGTCACCTGAATAAAAATGTTTATTGTAACCAATGAAGTGCTTTCACAATGTTTCATACAGGTGCTTCTGAACATGACAATACTGATATATAAACATAGATAAAGCTGAAACCTCAAGAACTACAATAAAATGACAAGCAATATATATAATATTAACAATTGTCAAGGAGTTGGGGTTTAAAGAATTCTGAATATTCTCATGTTATGTTTTAATTCGATTAAATAAATTCTAAATACAGGATTTTTGACACAAAACTGCCTTTTATGAGTGTAAAATAGCCCAAAGCCGAATAAAATGATGAACCTCTCGATATTGTTCATATTCTGAGCTGTTCCACTTTATTAAAAACTAAATAGAGTACTTTTGTTTCATACAGTCACATTTGTTTGAATATTGTCGTAACACACTTGAAAAAATCATCCAAAATAAACAGTTTAAGAAAAGTCGTACAGTTTCTCCAGTACGAGACCAGAATTTCTAAACAAAACCTCACCGGCGCCATCTTGTGGAGGGAGATATTTCCTCCTCTGCCCGGAAGTGACGCTATGACAGCAATAACGTGCGGCGCTTTTTGAAATAGCTGTTAACTCCACAGGATTTATGATGTCTTACTCAAAATAACGAACTTGTAAATGGTGTTTTCAAACTGGAACAGACATACAGCTATATTTATATAACATTTGCCTAAAGAAGCTAACTGAGGTAAGCTATTCATTTGAATTCCTTATTAACTTCACTTGTTCTTATGCTAGCAGCTAACTAGCATGTCTTTGTATTGAAGATTACAACAGGTTAGCGTACTCGTTAGCAAACAGAAAGCCACTGAGGTTATTCTTCAACGTTTTATTTTTCTTTTGAAACACATCTCATTCTAACGCAGTCTGAGTTCTGCTGGCTTTTAATATCTTAAATAAAATTGGGGCCAACTTTGCACATGCGTACAAGCTTCAATGTTTACATTTGTGGGGACGCTTTATCTAGCTTTCGCCTCGTTTGAACCATTTTGTTCCCTTTATTTTTACTCAGCGATGGCAGCCTCTTTACCCCAGAAGCCAGGGATGGCAGGGGTTCACCCTCAACAGCAGCCTCACCTACCGCCCGCCGCTGCCTCAGTCCCGGGTCAGCAGCCCATGCCTCCTCAGGGAGCTCTGAGGGAGATCTCCCCGGTGTTCCTCTGTCGGATCGGGCAGGAGACCGTTCAGGACATCGTCACTCGCACCATGGAGATCTTCCAGATCACACGAGCTACACAGGTAGGTACCAGATATAAAACATGACATCACCCTATTTCTATGTTTGATGCTGTTATTGCTTGTGTGATACCTTTTGAAAAACATAAGCAAAGACCTTCATGCATTTGGTCCAGTGTCTTGACCTACAAAGACATATAGTTGACCATGTATTGAAGAATTTGAGACCTTAAATATGTTAGAAAAAAATTGGGATTTTATGGTACAATGTATCAACTGCACTGATATTATATTGATTAGTACTCGTAATTAATCCAATACAAAATGTATGATTGTTTTAGTGAGTGCATCAACTTGGCTCAAAAGGATATTCCGGTGTAAAATTAATTTAGGGTCAAACACACCATAACACCGAGTTAGACACTCCGTCGAGAGATGAATGTTGCCGACCGCTTGCTTCTCTAGTTACACCAACTTTAGTAACGACCACAGGATAGCAATACAGAGAGCCACGTGCTCGACCAAAACGCCACTCTATAGCCACAAATAATGCTCAGAACAGCACCTAACTTCATCAACAGTACATGTACGGTCCGAGCCATAACACTAGCCACAAAACATACTTTTAACTTTGCCTAATTTCTTTAGCAAAGAGACTAAACACAACTCACCTACTCTCTTCCAGCAGTTGCTTCTTTGAAGCGAGACCTCGGGCGAGTCCATCGACTACAGCAGGGGGATGCAGCTCAAGGAAAAACATTTATGATCATTTCCTCATGGAAATGCAATCAGACTGAGACGCTAAAGCAGAAGAACTGCAGTGCAAAGCGATTAACATGGTGATTATTACTTCAAGGAAATGATAAAGTAATGATCATAAATGTTCTTCCTTGAGCTGCGGCACCCCGCTGTAGTCCGTAATGGACTGGCTTAAGGTCTCGCTACAAACAAGCAGCTTGGTCATTTCTGTGTCCAGAATTTTCATGCATGTTCGCATAAACAGACAGAATCCTCCCACTTTCACAGAACTGAATGGCCTCGCTACTTAAGAGCTGACATCCTCAGTTTTATTAAACACAAGAGTAATCCGCACCTGCTGCATGGGGACAGCTCCCCATCGCTGACCAACACAGGCTGTAGTTGAGAGGGAAGCTCTCTGATTAATACAAATACTGATTATTTGAGAAAGTGGGCCATGAAAATCAGAGCACTGTTGTTCGATTATTGTTGTAATAATGCACTGTCATCACTCGTTACGTTACTTTTCCTGCCAAATAGTGTAGCCTCACAGACTTCAACCATACCCATTGTAGGCATAAGTGTTACAGCCATGTGTAAGACAAACAGGGCTGATAGCTGACAGGTGCACAGGACTTATTTTAAGTGTGTTCAGTTTAATACTTCCCTCAAAGGTGAAATTTTTTGTAAAACTTTATTTAACTGAGTGATCTTGCAGTTGCTACTTTGTATGCCCCGGTGCGCTCCTTTCTGTCTCCGCTGTGTGTGACTGTAATCTGAATGGCTGCTGTTTGCTGGCTAACAGGGTTCCTCTGTCGTCTGTCAGTCTACATTTATCCTGTCCTCTTTTCAGGTTCACCTGCTTGGCTCGCTTGTCAGCATCTGTCTTATTCATCCTTCCATCTCCACCTGATCCGTGTCTCCAATCGTCTTTCTCTGTGTATAGCTCGCCCCTTTCAGCTTGTCCTTGTTCATTACACTGAGGTTTTCTATTCCTCCACTCAAAACAAAGAGCACTGTGGTCTCATATCCAATCACTATATATTACTGAAGAAGAGGGGAAAGGTCTTCAGTGTACTTCTGCTCACTTACTTTCTTTTTTACATCTGAACATTTCACAGCCATCCTAACTCAATATTTTAACAACAGTGTAATTGATGAGTTTATTTTTGTCTCTGGTGTAGCTTCCCAACGGTGTGACTCAGAGCCAGGCGATGTACCAGGACCGCTTCGGTAAACTCCAGGAACACCTTCGGCAGCTTGCCCTGCTGTTCAGGAAGCTCCGACTCCTCTATGAGCGCTGCGTGGAGATGACTTCCGACCTACAAGAGGGTCCAGCAGAGGTCAGAAACGAACCCTAGACTTAAATATTCCGAGGAGACAAGTTGAGAGTTCTGCTTCATAACTACAATGACTTTTACCCTTTTTTCTGGGTTAAGTTAAATGCATTTGCAGAAATTTACGAGCATTTTTATAGGCTTTTTTAATACTCTGTTTGCTTTCAGTACCAGAACTCACCACATTCACAGACACAAGAGACAAAAAAACACTCATTTATATGTAATTTGTGTCTTCAGCTGCTGCCATATGTTGGGGAGGAGCTGGTTTCTGTCAAAGTGGAGCCCTGCAGTCCTGCTGTCAGCCAGGAGAGAAAAGAGGTTCTTGAGGTTTGTTCCTGCCTACCTGAAGTTAAACTTTAAATGTATTCAAGCTCACAGTGACATGATTAAAAGGAGAATATGAATAAACTAAAATAGACAAATAAATGAATAAGCAATTCTTTAATCATAGAGAGTGCAATGGAAATCTTGGAAATCAAATAGCACGTCATTAAAACAGACAGAGCTCTGTAAGGGAAATCACTTTATGGGCAAAGTCTTTTCCAAAAGCCATGATTTGTGAAAACAGTTTGTTGTTTTTACCCCCAAATACAGATTAAACTGTAGCATGCAAAGAGGAAACCATGCATAGATATGATCCATAAATGCTGGCAACTTCTCAGGGGGCCAAGCCCATTTCAGTTGGACTGAGGTGAAGCGGAAATCTGTCCTGTGGTCAGGCAAATCAAAATTTAATACTGTGAAATAGATGCCGGCATCCTCTAAACCACCTGCTTTATCAGTCCGCATTTGAAAAGCCAGCATCCATGGTGGTATAGGGATGCTTAAGTGCCCAAGGCATGTGTAACCTTCTTATCAGGGAAGGCACCTTTAATGCTGAGCAGATAATAGAGGTTTTGGAGCATCACATGCAGCCATCCAGACAATGCCTTTTGCAGTGCAGACCTGTGTAACACAGCAAAAAAAATGCGAGACTACATTTGCATTCATGGCTCAGTAGATGAAGAGTCTATTAAAAACATTTGGTGCATCATGACACAAAAATCAAAACAAATGAGACCCTCGAAGATTAGGAAGCTGAAATCTGTTCCTAAGCAGACCTCACCACACAAAGATGAAATAGTCTAACACTGCTTCATTAGTATTTTTCCCATCTGAATGTAAAAGAGACATCATTTTACAGCACAGGGTGGCTTTTCTTTTCATTTCTCACTTATTAATTAAAAAAAAAATTCTCCTTCTCGGGTTTCAAGAGAAAAATGAGAAGGGTTTCATGTTTGCTTTTGATGTTCTACCCTTTAAAAACCTCTAGGTGGCAGTGCCGACACTGTCCAACAGCTCTCCCTGCACTTCTGTGGGTGAATGCAGACACAGAGTATCATGTTCATCTTAAAAACACGATAAATCTGGGGTTTGTTTTCGTAAACATTTCAGCCGATACCTCTAAGTGTTCCAGGCAGATGAACATTCCAGATCCAGGTTTATAAATTGCCTCCAGGCAGCTAGTGGCAAAACATTGTCAAATGTTGCCTGAGGCTGCTTGCTTGTTTCATCAACAAATTTAGTGTGAAGAGGAGCTAAAAGTATCCATCACTCTGAAACTCGTCGAGACATTACAATCGCGGTTCAGCTTCAGTTGTCGATGAGTGTGTATTGCGTGTAAACCGAGTACTTTCCTGTTTGCTCATGATTGTAAGAATGATCAGTATAGCTTTACTAAGTTAAGCAGATGACCTTCCTTTGGTTCACTTGCAGAAAGTGCGTCAGAAGAACCAGGAGATGAAGGTTCTGATGGATCAGATGAGGAACCTGCTGTGGGATGTCAACGCCATGCTGACACTCAGGAAATAACATCATCACTGGATCTACTTCTTTCTTTTTCAAGAGACTCAGTCCTCCACGGATGTCTGGATCATGTGCAGGCGAAGAGCAGGTGACATAAGGGAATTTATCTTGGATTTGGGACTTTCTGCTTTGGGACACTTACTTCATGGTGGCACTTCACTCCAAGGACTCACGGTTGAATAATAAATCACGAATGAACTTTTCTTTGCTCTCGAAAAAGGCAGCTGGTGCACAAATTTAGTTTTTCCTTTTACGTGTCATCGACCCTCATTTTGTTGCCCTGGCTTCATGCGAACGAGTTACGAAGCCCGTGTTTGTATAGATTGAAAGTTGAAACCTGAATTGCCTCCAGTCAAAACAACAGCAACAAACATTTTTAAAGCACCGTATTCATGGTGTTTTGGTCCCGGGTTCTGACTTCACACCAGACAGACTTTGCCAAAGCGCAGACGCTGGTCTCGCGGCTATGTTTACTAAAAGGACAATTTCTTTTATTATGCTGTGTCAGTTGAGAAAACACCATGAGTTGAGAATTCATACCAGCCCCTTGGCAGCTTTGTATCTCAGGTGCTTTGTACATAGGTGTGTTTGTGTGTGTGCGTAATGAGATTAGCTTCCTGAGTGCTAAAAAACACACCTGTTTAGCCCAAGGCTGTTGAGACTTAACTGTGAATTTATTTTTGTAAACTGTGGCACGAAAGATGGGGCTACTGCATCACTTCTTTTTGTATCAAATAAACTTTTTTTTTTTTTAAGGCAAAACGTCCAAACACTCACTTCATAATCCTGCTACTAAATCCAGCGGCTCAGACTTTGCAGCATGTGTACCAGTGTGTCAATTCTGACCCTGAGGGCTGTTGTGGGAACGCATTATGTCATCTAGAGCCGAGATGATATATAAGTACATCAAGGCACATCCACCAACACACAGTGATGCATATTCTGCCCCTGACCCTTTGTATTCATCCGTCTTCACTCACAAACGGCTTATCGGCACCGTGCTCCTACTCTACAACAAGGCATCAAAGACCCTGAGATTCCCAGATAGAGAAAAACACAGAGGATGTGTCAGGAGTGGGCAGCACTTTTGGCTGCTGTAATCGTATTAAGAGTAATTTCACAGCTGATTCAATCTGCCCAGAAGTTTTTTTTTCTCCCCCATGAAATTAATTTCTTGTGAAATAAACCCCAGAGTTGCAACTGCACAAGCAAGAGCACAAATTATCTGCAAACTCACTGCATGGCAATTTTCCATCAACTGGAGAGGGGGATTGCTCAGTTGAAAGTTAAAACAACTATTTTTCAATCATTTTCAACACATTAAATTCCATCCCAGCTTGTCAAAAGTGTCCATATCGTGGTTTGCGATTTTTACTGAGAATTCCCTGATGGATATCTATGAATTGGAACAAAGGCCTTCAAACTGTATCTGTTTTCCGACATTTTGATGACAGGGTTTTTGGGGATTTCTGAATCAATGAAGTGAGACATTCATCGGGGTGTGCTTCACAAAACTTGCACAACAGCACAATAAGCCATGGCTGTTTTTCTTCGTCTGTCTAAATTAATACAGCCGCTTAGGAGTAATGTTGTTTCCAAAGCTCTATGCTGAGATAGACGGAAAATCTGGGCTGTATGAATCAGCATAGAGCGGCAGATTTTGCAGATATGCTTTGGAGTCAATCTCACCTCAGTGCATCTCTCTCTTTCTGCAGCTCCCTCTATCCCCTCTCTAGCAGCAGATGACTGTCTAACATGAGTCCAGTTCTGCTCAAGGTTTCAGCCTGCTAAAAGAAAATTAGACTTTGCCACTGTAATCTACTAAGTGTTACACTCCTGTGGTTGACGATGGGATAGGATTGGGTCTGATCTTGCTCTCTCTTTACATTTTAGGGTCCTGCATCTCGTTTATTGTCAGGGCTGGTCTTGGACTAAGAATCTGCCCTGAGCGTTCACAGTATCGTCCTCTACGTTGCTCCCTGTAATGCCAAGCCATTATTTTCATGGCAATGCTTGATAACGCGATAGCTTTTGTCTGCGCTCACTCTGTCCCTCTGCTTTACTAACACACGAGTCTGACTGCTTAATGTTTATTCATACAGTCTAAAAAGACCAAAATTTTTACATTCTGAGAGTTTAAACAAGGTAGGCTTAATGTATTTCTTGTTACTTATTTTAATCAATGACCACACAGGTTTTTAGAGGCAGAGAATGAATTTTAAATGCCAAAAATAGCTGTCAATCATGTCTTTGATCATGGGAAGTCCAAAATTTTACTAGTTATTACAGTGCAATTGATTGTGCAGCCCTTCTTAGATGTAAATCCCAGATTTAGGTATTTTCTACAGCAAAGAATCCATTTATATATGTGTGTGGAAATATGTCCTGCCTCTTTTGGTAGATCCCCACTCAATCAACTGTTTCTTTTTGTTTATTTTCCAGTAAACTCTGTAATAACCCAGCCAGGGTAATGCAGCTACCTCCTCTCTTACAGCACTCAGTAAACACACAGTTTACCTGCTTCTGTACCTCTGAATGTTCCGTGGAGAAATCTGCCTCCATCTCTGCAGAGAAGATCTATATGCACCAAGCAGGGGGGAAAAAACTCACTCTCAATGCAGATCCGTGAATTTGCATTTATAAATCATTTTATTGATTTTACAGTTAGCATTTTAATGTGAAATGATCTGTTTCCATGGCAACAGTCCCTGCACAGTAATGCTCTTAGACACACGTTGACAGTAAAGGTGCATGGCACCGTTACAAGTCCCTTGGTTGCTTTTGGCATGGCATGGCCTCTCTTTTCTCCTTGTCACAGCAGTTGCACTGTCATCTGAGGTGTTCGTGTTCATGTTTTTTTTTTGTCCGTCCAAAAGAGAGTGTCCTTTCCCAGAAACTTTTTCAAGGCCCCGATTTTTTTTTTTACCCACTGTTGGTGGGATCTTTTAGGCTCCTTTCAAACTCCAGGGGGGCTGTTCCTCTTCATATTTATATCAGAATAGTCCAGAACAGTCCACCAGGGTCTGTCTGATGATTGTACTCTGTCCTTATCACACCGTTCCAAGTGTCCCGTCTTCACCTCCATCTTCCCAGCCTGTCCATCTTGCCTGTTGCTTTCATGCTCTCTCCAGGTCCTTGTACTTCTTTCTCAGGACAGACACTTGGTCTTTAAAGAGCACAGGGTCCAGGCGAAACTGAGAGTGGACCAGAGGCATGTAGCCAAACCAGTTGGCGAAGGTGTTGACACACTCCTGCCGCTGGTTGAAGTGCTCCGGGTTGGCCCAGGGGACGGTCTTTGTACCCTGAAACAAGGAAGAAAAATGCCAATATTAACTTTTCAGTCAGTCGTGACAGACAAGAGCTTGGAGTGAAAGTGACAGAGACAAATGGCGCTCCCTACCCCCGGACTGGGAAGCTCTTTGTACTGCTTCCTTTGAGCGACTTTGATTGGCGGCATGTGGGTGACAGCAGAGACCAGGAAGTTCATCAGGATGTCCTCACAGTTGGAGGTGCGATCCACCAGAGTCCTCAGAGACTGGGGCAGGTAGTGAGTGAACAGGTAGTGGTAGTACCTGCAAGACAAGATGACGTGTTACACGGTCCAATAACGTGCACATATAAAAAGGCGAAGGATTCGTAGTGGGCACCAGTAGAGCTTTCGTGAAACAATACAGCAGTATTGGCAAGTCAACCCCAATAGGATAACAAACCACCTACCTAAGGTTTATAATGAGCTTAAGAGTGTTATATTCCCCGCCAGCTTTTCTGTGCTAGTGCTTTAGTCATTGTGTATTTTTAAAGGAAACAAAAGCAGCTTCTCTGGATGCAGAATCAATCGTTACCTTGCCAGTTTGGGAACATTTCAGCCGCATAGCAAAAAAGAAAAAAAAAAAACTGTGAAAACCTCCAAGTACAACCAAGCAACACCTAAACCTGTGCCAGAAAGATCTCTAATAAACGGGGAGATGCTTCAAATCTAAAGGCTCATCTTGCTACCTTTTAATCAAGAGGTCAAAGTGCAGCAGGAGACTAGATTTAAAGAATGATGCAGCTCCTTTCTTCTGTTTTAATTAGTACTGTGCTGTTTTGACACCCTAATTCACCGAGAGGGGGGATTCCTTAACCTGTAAAGCAGACTTAGATGTCTAAATAACAATGATAACAACAACTAGAATAAAACTGGACAACAGCTCTCTATGAGGAGAACTACAGTACTCCTGCCCTCTTCAGACATTTCCTAACTTTTCTGTCGGATAAGGAGCGATGAAAGCTAACAGCCAAAAACAACACAAGCACAGATTAAACCACCACATCAAAGAGTCTTGATATGAAACTTGGCCAGCTTTCCCAAACAAACAAAAAAAACACTTCTTAGCTCCCTCATAAATCATTTTTTTGTCTTGGACTTCACGACTTCTCCCTCCTGATATTTATCACAGTGTTGCCAAACGCTTTATAAGATTACTAAACTTTAAAAAAAAGTAAAAACAAACACGCTGGGTGAGAAACGAAGAGTTTATCTTTTTACTCTGTTTCCCCCCTTCTGCAGGAATATTTTGTCACATCTACTGCCAGTGAGCAGAGCCTTGTGTATGTCTCAATATAATTAGTCTTTCATCATTTTTAGCTTCTTGCACTTGCACACTAAATCTCTTTAGACAAGCACATAAGCTTCACACCTACACGCAGAATAAAGAGATCTCTGCGCAGTTTACTGTAGATGGAGGCAGCCAGGAAAATCCATAAAGCAGGGTGGATGCTGTGATGTATGTTGATGATATGTATCTGGGACAGTTAACCATTTCACCTATCCCTGGGCTTTGATGTTCATCTTGTACGAAGCAAAACCATAATGTTTTCCTTCGTTTTTGCAGTTTTCCGGATGTCTGGAGCTCTTGTCACTGTCTTTGAAATAAGTTGAAATTGTGAGGAAACTTTAATTGATCCGTTTTGCAAGCTGTTCAAAGTGACATCGTCATTATTTTCCCAGACTAAATGTTTTCTTTTCTATTCGCACAGCAGCCTCATTGTGCAGAATCCATTTGGTGCACTGTCACATGATTTAATAACCCAAGTAATTAGATAATTTGTGTGTAAATGACTTAATTGAGGGTTGAGGCAGGTTTTTAAATGACTCCTCGTTGTCATTTCACTCTTTTAATTGATGAAACAGGTATTTTAGGTAATACAAATGGACCTTGTGGGCACAACCTGAGCGCTGTATAGACTTGAATTAGCATGAGAATGATGTGTTCATCGAAAACGCTGACATTTTGTCGCGAGCCTTCAGCAGCATTTAAAACACCCGTCTGTTGAGTAATTACATTCAGATTGTTGAAGAGCTCGTGTCCCACTGCTATTGCACCTTTCGACTCCAGACCTTCTCAAATTAATCATACCGCTCCAAGAAATCTCTGAGTACTTCACCCTCTTATTTTCTATCATCTCACTCACTCACACGAACAAATAATAATCTTCACTGCTGTTTCTCTCGGTGTGATTGCCCCCTTTTTGAGATTCATGTCAGTATGCTCGCTGCAGCTGCTGCAGTCTTCAGTTTGTTGCTTGTTTTTAGTGGTTGGACTCTGAAAAGAAATCTGTTTTCATCCTAGGAACTCTCTCAATAGCTGCGTTTACACAGGCACAAATAATCGGAATAAAAATGCGTCATGTAAACGTGTCGATTGGAAGATTCTGATCTAATTCGGCTCAATCGGAAAGAAATTGTATTCCGATCAAGAGGGGTGGTTTATGCCTGAATG